GTATTTCTGCTGATGGTACTGTACTAAAACTTAGGAAGCTCATATGTGTTTTTACTTGCTTTAGTTTGTAAAGTGTTTGCTCTTATTTTGATTCTGATCTTTCTTTTCTGTTCCTATCCTTTATTTGCCTCTGTTTAGATTGTACATTTTTAGCAATTATGTGGTTTGCTTCCCAGCTTGTAAAGTAGCATTTACATTGACTGTGCCACAAAAATAATAAATAAGTGACACAAATGTCCGAATCTGCACCATACTTTCTATATGTTACTTGTTTAATTGTAAATAATATGTTGACAGAATATACAAATCTGTGGCTGGATGGGAGAAAATATCATTTCCTCTCTCTTGAAAAAGTAGAACTGTGTATGTGTGTGCATTTTACATCTATGGTATTTGCCACTCATACATTAAAATAAACTGAGTTTCAGAACAGATTTTAGTAAAGGCTGATGTAGTCCATAAATGGAAGTGGGGACAAGATCATGCTGTGAGCAGCTGCTTTCCTGTATTTTTTAGAGCAGGTATATATTGGCTGTGCACCTCTATCTTTGTTGTTGTTTTCTTCCCTTTCATTTAAATATTAACTAACTAGCCATTTTTAAGTAAGTAGAATTGCTACACCATTCTCAAAGGATTTTAATTCCAGATACAGTACCTGTAAACACTTAAATTGTTCACTCTTTTGAACGCTAGATGTCACCATCCTTCAGTGTTTCATAGCACTGCCCTATACTGTACTGTGTGGTCTAAACCACTGAGCCTAGGGCTTGCCAATCAGAAGGTCGGCGGTTCGAATCCCCACAACAGGGTGAGCTCCCGTTGCTCACTCCTTGCTCCTGCCAACCTAGCAGTTCGAAAGCACGTCAAAGTGCAGGTAGATAAATAGGTACTGCTCTGGCGGGAAGGTAAATGGTGTTTTTGTGCGCTGCTCTGGTTCACCAGAAGCGGCTTAGTCATGATGGCCACGACCCAGAAGCTGTATGCCAACTCCCTCAGCCAGTAAAGTGAGATGAGTGCCACAACCGCAGAGTTGTCCGCAACTGGACCTAACGGTCAGGGGTCCCTTTACCTTTTTACATCTCTTTTCAGAAATAAGTCTCACTGAGTTTCGTGGGACTTGCTCCCTGGTTGGTGGATACAGGACTGCAGCCTCAGTGTACTCACCACAAGCCTAACCACAAAGTCTGCTGAATTCAGAGGGGCTTACTCCCAAGAAAGTAAGGTTGGGATTGCAGCCAGGGCTATTATTAACTGATCTGCTGATACTAACAGGGATATTTAAACTTGAACCAAGAACAAAAACATGTGAACAACCCCAAATGCTGCTAGAGAGCTGCATAAAATTCCTGAGAAATTTGATTTGTAATCTGGATATCATAGTGTAATGGTTCTAGGGGTTGCTCGTGCGTAAGCCGGTGCAAACACCTGGCTGGGTTGCCTGAGTGAACCTTTTCTGTCCGGACAGCCACTCACCCATGGCTGTCTCAATCACTGGCAGAATCCGTCAGTGGGCGTTTCTTAAACTTCTTCCAGCAAAGAAGCTCTTTGACGCCTAGTCTCCTCCTACTCTCTCTGCGCGAAAGCCTTCTGCGCAAGGAGGGCGTAGGCAGCGGAGGACCTCTACTCTCCCCGCTGGTCCCTGGCAAGGAGTTATGGAACCGCTTCGCCACTTCCCCCATCTGCCCCCCTTCTCCACTGGTGCTACGCTGATTCTCTTCCCCAGAAGATGGGCTGCCTCTCCCAATCCCGGGACGCTCTCTGGAATCCCTCTGGATTTTGCTCTCTCCCTCTGGCACTGATGGCAGTTCCCTGACACATAGGACCTAGCAGAAAACAGAAATCTGACTTTTATAGAGAAGCCCTGATGGACTATGGCAACAACGCTTTGTACAGAAGGGATCTATGCCTTTTTATAACTACAACACTACATACCCACCCAAGATCACATTTCCCCCCTCTTTAGAATTCACCCACCCTATTAATAAATATTAATTGAAAAGTGGAAGGAATGTATCCTTTTAATTCACCACCTCAGTTTTGAGTACCAAGAGGAGCATACTAAGAGTGGTTACAATGTATTATGGGATAACTGTTTTGTATTATGCTAGGTGCATAATCAGGTAAGTCTCTGCTGCTGTGGGTATCTATTTTGAGTTGGAAACCTGAAGAGAAGGGCAGTTATCATGTTTCAAAGCTGTAATTGATATTTTTGTAACACCAGAGTACAAAGTGCTTTGCCGTTCTTATTCTGTTTATCCTCACTGCTACAGTCAGAAGCAAATTAGGATTGGAGTTAGTGACTTACCTAAGGGTACTCAGTGATCAGGAACTGAATTTATGCAGTCCACTGCTCCAATATTGATTCAAAGTCATAGTGGTATAGTTGGTACATTGATGCATGAGGTTTTCTTCTTCTTTTGTAGGTGTAGGGTAGTCATATTACATATGTGCATCATGAAGCCCAGCTGTTTTAATAGGACACATAAATAAAAATGATAAGTTTCTTAAATTATCTGCATATACCAGTCATAACTTTTGGTTGTGACAAAAGTAAGAGATGTTCAAACTTAAAATTTGAACCATTGTAATGTCTTTTGCATGGGCCAGTACTTGATGACTATTTGGAAGTTGCAGCTGTTTAAAAATGTGACTTTCTAATTACTGTCTATCACTAGCCACTGGGGGTCATGGTGTGATATGGGAAGTGTAAAAATATCTTCATTGGTTGCTACTTCTTCTGGAAATAATTAGAAATGCTGGTTTCTAAAGTCCTAAGTGATCCAGGATCAGGTTACTTCAAGGAGTGTTTTCTCCTATGCATATTCACTCAGGTGAATCCCTGAATGAATCTTATAAATCCCTGACCTTAGTGCCACATCCACTAGGTTGTGCACCTTGGAAGTTAGGTTGCTGGCAGGTGAGAACAAAGCCGCCGCCCCCGAAGCCCCCACCCCAACTGCAGGCACACAGGCACATAGTTAACACATGTTAGTTTTTAATGTTTGACTTGATTGGATGTTGCTTGATTAGTGTCTTATATACTGGGTATATAATAGGTAAGTCTGCCTCTCAAGTATATGTCAAACGAGACCTTGACATCTGCAGTGCGTTTTCGATATAATTGCTATCCATGTTAAATAATAATTTAAAAAAACCTGAAGCACAACATCTTTACATTTCAAAACACAAAGCAAGATCTCTTTCGTGGACAGGTAAGGGAGTAATAATGTGTCTTAATTCTATCTTTACATATTTGGAGCAGATGACATTGTTGCTGAGGCAGTGTGATTCACTGGGCAGAGTGGTGTGGATGGATCTCCTATGTCACAGGGCCGTTTCATCTAAAGATTCCCTTCATTATCTTCTTGAACAAGAAACTAAAGTATTATGCTCATATGAAAATAATTTCCACATTTTAAAGATGAATGAGGATAGTAATGCACATTGCATTTTAATAAGAGCACTACCCACCAGATACACGGTGCAAATGAGGCAAATTGGCCTTGTATTGTAAGTGTAACTTTAATTGCTAGGCAATGGACACACAGAACTGCCATTAATTTATGTATCTTAATATGCTAATACAGTGGCACCTCCGTTTAAGAACAGCCCTGTTTAAACAATTCGGTTTACAAATGCCACAAAACCGGAAGTAGTGTCCTGGTTTGCGAACTTTACCTCTGTCTAAGAATGGAATCCAAATGGTGGAAGGGCACCGGCGGCAGGAGGTCTCATTAGGGAAAGCACACCTCAGTTTAAGAATGATTTCGGTTCAATAAGAGACTTCCAGAACGGATTAAGTTCGTAAACTGAGGTACCACTGTAGTTGGTTGCCGTCCTTCTGTCTCAGGAGACAGTGGAAGAGTGCACCGTCAGGGGTGAAGTCAGATAATTGGAGGGTTACAGTGCTGATGCAGCTGTAGAGACTGATATGAGAGAGACATGTTTTGTTGCAGGTGGGGCAGATGAAGGCATCTGGTTGTGCTGATGCAGCTGTACCATGGTGTTTCTTCTTTCTGTGCTCCTCCCAGTGATCATTCCTTGACTGATCACTGCTGTGGATACACGACTTGTCTCCAGGCACTGTGGGTCATCTGCGGGGAATTACCACACAGCACAGTTAGTGTTGCCAGCCTTCTCACATTTACATACATCTTTGTAACGCACTTCCTTGGGGATCCTGCCATTTTCCATTCTGTGGACATGACCAAGCCAGTGTAGATCTTGCAGAGACAGGAGTGCAAACATGCTGGGAATGTGGGCAAGGCAACTATGACAATACCAAGATGAAGGGTTACCAGGTTTATGTGTTGAGCGCACAGTTTTATGGCAGTGAGACCTGGGCAACTTGCACACACCAGGAGCGATGCCTCAACGCCTTCCACATGTGCTGTGTCAGGAAGATTTTGGGCATCTCATGACACAGTAATACACAAATTAACCATTATTATTACGCGTGCACGTGTGTGTTTTTATTACTAGAAACGCTGCTGCATATCCAAACGCCCACTCAGCAAATCTTGATCCCACCCCCGTCCAGCGCCCTGGCAGTTCATGACTCTTCACTGTCTCTCAGCACTAATTAAGGTCTGAGCCCGTGTTGACAGCTGTATTATCCCTCCTCCCGGGTAAACAGTTTAGAATTGGCTCCCAGGCTTTGCAGTCTCTGGTAAGCACATTCTCATTGGCCTGACGCCCTGTTTATCATCCGCCTTCGACTGACGGCCAATAGTTCTGAAGCTCCCCTAGCAACCCGCCTTCTCCTCCTCCTCCTCCTCCCCCCCCCGTTCGCTCTTCCCCGCCCTTTCGCAGGCTTCGGCCGAAGCTGTTGTTGCGCTTGAGTCAAGCTCGCCTGTCACTCAAGCGCTCTTTCGCTAACCAAAAGGCGACCCACACCTCGACCGTGCTTAGGTCTTCGATATGATTAGCCGCGTGAGCCGCCAATCAGACTCTGGTCCATGCGGATTGGCGGATATAGCAGGGGGAGGAAGGTTAGCTCCGCCCTTCTCCGTCTTGTGGTGGCTTCGAGCCAGACAGGCGACTCAGTTGGTCTGCAGCGGCCGCTGGACTGGTGTGAAAGTGCGCCGTCTCATTTCCTCGGCGCTGCGGAGGACGGTGGGCGGGGGTGGGGAAGGGCCCGAGGCCGCTGCGGCCCAGCCTTGCCGTTCCCTCTGGAAGAAGGAGTCTCGGGTCGCTCTGTCTCTGCGCCCCCTCGCCCCGCCCGGACGTTCACGGCGGGGCGTTAGACCTCCTTCCCCGGCTGAAGCGCTGCTGGAGTCTTGGTCGCCTCCCAAGGAGCGGGTGAATATGAGCCGTTTCTGGGTGCGCGGAGCCCACCGCACCTCCTCTCTGAGGCAGGTAAAGAAGAGCGAGGTCCGGGGCGAGGGCGGGCGCTTCGTGGGGGCGGAGGCGAGAGAGGCTGGTTCGCGCGTGGGATGCGGGGGGGGGGGCTGTGGAGGGGGGGTGACAATGAGCCGGGAAGCGGGGATGGGATTAGCGGACGGGGCCCCCGACGGCAGCGAGTTCTGAGGCGCGGAAGGAGCGTGGAAAACGCCCCCTCTTCCCCTTCCCCTTCCCACCCCCTTTGTGGTGATGTTGAGGAACATGACTGTCACAGAGTGAGTTCCTGAAGACGGGAGCCTGAGGAGCGAGGCTGGGGGCCTCTTAGGTAGAGAAAGGTTGGGAGGCTGTCCCGAGTTGTGCATTTTGTGGGAGTGTTGTGAAGGAAAAGTGCGAGGACAGGAACACGAGGGCGAGGAGATTCTTTAGTAGTTTGACAGCACTTTGGAGAACTCCCATTCTCTCTTCTTTCCCTAAAAAAAAAGCCCTAAAAAGTAATGCAAAGCCTTTCTTTTGGTCCCCAATGGGAGGAACTGGTCAAAGATGGAGGAGTGTTTAGCCACCTGGCTGAGGGTGTGAGGTAAAGATGATGAAGGGGAAGGGGGGAGATGACTTCCTTGCCTTTTTCTTTTTCTCTCTGCCAGCCTCCACTATGCCGTTTAATGCCCAGAACTTTTCAAGTAATGAATCTCATCATCTTACTGATTTTGGTTCAGAAGGTTTGTCTTTGCTGGGATGCTTTGAAAGATGCAATTGGAAATATCCAGCGTTGCTTAATCCCAGAGCTCTGCTGCTGTTGCTTCTGGGTAGTTGTTTCCATGAAAAGGGCTGCTCTTACTTGAATGGGAAAGTTGAATGCTCACTGTGATGGTTTAATTATCGTTTTGTCTTTGTTTATGTTGCACATGGGTTTGCTTTTAATGGAAGGTATAATAAACTGTCGTATGTAGAGTAGGACTATATACTTTTTGTCACTTATTTAGGTTGTTGATTAATTGCCTCTGAAGTTGACACACTTTTTCTTTGACATTGTTCCTATAGTTTTTGTAAAGTTTGTTGTTGAAGTTTTCTATTTGTTAGAAAGCTACATAGAATTCAGTATCTGCAATTCTGAATAAAACATTTTTTTGAATTGCACTTGAATTCCAGCCCTACCTTGCTTTGTAGATCTACAAAGTAAATAAGACTTTTGCAATTTAAAACCTGAGATAAGGCATTCAAAGGCCTTTTACATTAGTGTATGCATCATAAATACTTTCATTGTTTGTTCTTGGTGTGAAAGAGTGAAAATGGTGAAGTGTGTGTCACATGTCTCACCATTTCAATAACATTTTTTCTGCCATTTCTCTTGAGTTTAAAGAAATGCATATTAAAGAATAATGGCTAGAATATATTCTACAATATTTAGTGTAAGATGTATTACTTTTCTGAGCGAGTATACTGTTCATCTAAGCATTCTTTTATAATAGTTGTTTGCTTCACTTCCATTTAGAAGCAAACTACTACATGAAAAGGGGATACAGCAACTCCCTTATGATGAAAGATGACACTATTTGGGACTTTTTTAGTTTAGAAAAAGGCAAGTAAATGATGGCATGATAGTGATGTAAAATAAGTATGATGTGGAGAAAATGAATAGAATAGTTATAAGGAATATGATAGTAGACGGGTGTTCTAAAGGACAATATTGGTTGCAAAAGTGTAGATACTGTATAAATATTTTTCCTAATCTAAGAATCTGTACTCTGGTTTTCTATGAAAACTTGGCTATTTGAGTTTGTTTCCTAATATATATGATAGGTTGTGGCAAGAGTAAAATAAAAAAATCCCACCAAGGAAACATTTGCAATAACAATAGAATAGGAAGGGGACAATGGGCCATTCTCTGTTGGCATTTTGGTTTCTGTCTGGAATTACTACTTGCATATGCGCACAGGAACTTTGCATTTTATATACTGTTTTGCAAATTGATGCTTTAGAAAAGAAACAGCTTTGTGTAGAGGATTGATAATGTAAATCAGCAGTCGACTGTTCTCAGGCATCTATGTTCTACTGAAATGTTTTTAATTTACAAAGTGAGACTATATACTTGGGACCTCTTCACAGTTAAAGCATAACTAACGTGTATTAAACAATCCTGACTATGCACTCGTATTTAAGAGCATAAGGCCTGGACCCTGGATCTGATTCAGTACATCTAGTCTAACACAGTCATAGGACATAATGGTAACAGCCATATTCTCTTATCTGTCACCAGTTTCTTGTAATTGGTGAGATATGTGGTCTCTAACTGTATCTTGTGACTGGTCACTTGTGAGGTCCTTATTTGTAGCCAAGCCTTGCTTTGTGTAACTTAGGGCATTTCCTGGTGATTTAAAAAAAGGAAAACAGTTTTGATGTTATATTCCAGTCCCAGTCCAGCACCAGCAATGCAATTTCATGTCTCATAGGATACATAAGGGAAGCTGTGCTCTGGCGGGATTGCCTGTTCACTGCTTTTGCCTTTAAAAAAGAGTGCATACTAGATAGGGGAAATTATACATAATACAAAAAATATGTAGGGAGGTAGCTTGCTTGTGTTTCCAAGTTTGTAATATTAAACAAGTTAAATGATCACTGCAGTAAGTATTGTTCCAGGCATAGGCAAACTTGGCCCTCCAGATGTATTGGGACTACAACTCCCATCATCCCTGACCACTGGCCCTGTTAGCTAGGGGTGATGGGAGTTGTAGTCCCAAAACATCTGGAGGGCCAAGTTTGCCTATGCCTGGTTCAGCCACTTAATCAGTCTAATTTTTAAAAAATGGTACGGTGTATGTAGAGCATTTCCAACATGAGAGTTGTTGTGGGCACTAACCATTAGGTGGACTGCTGGAGTAATAAAGTTACGGATCTCTCCTGTGTGAATATGACTTTCCTGCAGTTGAAGTGCTAGCTGTGGGAAAGATATCTTGCAACAACTATTTGTCAGTGAAAGGATAAGTCTGGAAAGGCTCTTGCGGACTTGCATCTTGATAGCAGAACACATGCTGACGTAAATGCATATAGATTGCACCTTTCCTCTATAAATCATGACCTAGATAAGATTGCTCACCAATGATCAAACAAGTTGCCTGTTCACTTTTATTATTATTATTATTATTTCAAATGACTGAAGTGTAGAACTCTTATTAATAATGTCTTTAGCTGTAGCACATGGATGGAATGCAATGTTGTGCAAGTGGACTTTGGTTTGCGCAATGTCCTCTTCTTTCCCAACCCTCCAGAGCAGCTTTGGAGGTGCAGGGGAGAGAGATGGTGGTGAAGTAAATGCATATAGATTGCACCTTTCCTCTATAAATCATGACCTAGATAAGATTGCTCACCAATAATCAAACAAGTTGCCTGTTCACTTTTTTATTATTATTCTTTTTTCAAATGACTGAAGTGTCATTGTTGTGTGAGCAGAAGTCTGCTTTGCTTATTCACAGACAACATTGGATACAACCCTGTGTTTAAATTGCTATGTTTGCACTTCTGTAAGTGTTCTGTAGGTGCCCAAGTCTGCATTGTTGTAAGCCATAATTCAAGAGAACAAAAATATTTTGAATAAGCTATGTCCACTGACTTTGTCATGCTTCCATTGTGGCTTTTGTTAGGTTCTTATATCCTGTAAATTGAAAAATAAAAGCTGACAATGACTGTTCCTTGTGTGGATGAATAACAAAGCACCATCTATCCAGTTTCCTTACCCACAGGGCTAGGCTTCTGCTCATACTTTCATTTTTCCAGAAAGTCTGTCTTTCCTCTGGTTCTGCAATGAATCCTTTTGTTGCCTTAGATTTGCTTATGCTGGTAATACTCCTACAGACATGGATTCCTTTTAAAATTGACAGAGCTATTCTAACCCTGGCTGAGCAGCAGCAGGGTTGGATTGAGGAATGGAACCACTGTTGCATCCGTAGCCCTGCTGCCCCTGCTGTCTGCAATGGAAGGTGGGGACCAGGTAAAACCTGCTCTGGTGTGGCTGTCAGGCCTAGATTGGGAACTAGAAAATTCTGGACATGTTCAATCTCTCCCTGTCTGGAATACCCAGTATGGGGTTTTCTACAGGTTACAGCTGGTGGAAATCCATGAGGTATTATATCTGCTGGCCTGCACTTTGGGCAGGCAGAATGGGAATTACCTGAAGCATCTTGTGTAGGTCAGGATAATGAGATAGATGGGCCACTGAGCTGTTCAATAGTTTACCGTGTTAGCTATTGCCCTCCAAGTGTTTGGGGTTACACCTCCCATTAGCTCCAGACAAAACAAAGGGAGATTATTGCAGGGGTCTGAAAATAAAAAGTTGGCTTACTTTGTCCTTTGATCACAATCAAATATTTTTTGAAGTGTAGAATGCTCTTTTGTAAATGTCAGCTCTTTTCATGCATCTTGGTAGGAAAGTTGCACACAAATACACCTCCCATTTAAGAACTGGCATTCCCAAGTATTTCTGTGCTCTACAACTGTTTCTGGAGAACTTCTGCTCTCTCCCTTCTGGAGTAAACCACATGGCTAGCTTCTATTAGTATATGCTGTAACTGTAGGCATATCTGAACAGGAACACAAGATTGAAGAGGAATAAAAAAATAAACACACCTGGTTTTATTTGTTTTATCCTGGTACATTATCTTCCTTCAAGGGTGCTCAGGGTGGCTTATGTGGACTATTTTATTTAATTCATCCCATAACCTTACAAACCAGAGTGGGAGATTGTAATTGTAACTGACTGTAAGTCATCTATTGAGTTTCACATTTGGGTAATTACAACTTTACAGTATATCCAATATGCTGGCAGGTTTGTCATTCAAAAATATTATTTTTTAAACTTATTGGAAATTGATATGCAGTCACGTAATTGAAATAAAATAAAATTTAGCGAGGAGCTTTCTGAAAACATGTTCACTTTAAAATCTGTCAAATTGAAGGGAAAAATATTTTAAAATAATTACAGCCTCTGAGTTATCAGGGCATGTACAGGAATGCTAAAAGGATTTACAGGCCCCTATTGTCTTGCACTGAGTAGTGCATGACTGCCTCCACTAAAATACAGTGGAAGGTAGTGATTGTAGAGGCAGGAGGGTGATCAGGATGCTGGTGCACAGCTGTTGATTGGACAACTGATGCCCTTTGACTTTTATGCTGTCCTGTTTTCTTAAGTTGTGGGAAGAGAAGAGTGGTTGCATATAAGGAGAGTTAGGCAGGTGGTAACAGAAAAATGGGTTGAAAGAAAGCAGAAGGAAATAAGTGTTCAAAAGTAAATTAAAAGGGAAATTGATTTGAGGAATTTAATGTTTGTAGCATAGACCTCACATTTGCCTTGTACAGTACTTTGTTCATAGCCTTGGGCAATTCACTTGTGTCAAACACATTTGCTTGTCTTACGTAAAATGTTGCAAGAGCAAATTTGGGGTTCAGGCCCCACCACTGCTTTGTATTCCATCTAGTTCAGCATCCTGTTTCCAGCAGTGACCAATAAAACGTCTCTGGGAATTCAAGTAGGTCATGAGAGTACTGTATCACAGTTAGCCCTGTTCTTCTGTAGCATTTGGTATATACTGCCTCTGAACACGAAAGATACATTTAGGTGTCATGGGTGCAGGGCCTGAGCAAGTATGAAAACTTTTGGGTAGGTAGAAGTGAATAAGGGGATAGTGCATGTAGTTTGGGGAGAAACATGTAATGCTCTCACTTTTTGGAAGACACAAGCTGCAATTCATGGTATACACACTAATCCATCTTCCACCTTCCTCAGTTGCACTAGAGAGATGTGAAATTCAGTTTTTTGGGGGGGCATCTTCTTGGGGAGGAAAGCCAAGTCCAGATTAGAGAATTAGAATGGGCAATTGTAACTGTGTTCTTTAATTTGGTTATAGTAGTTGAAAGTTCCCTACATGTTAACTGGCACAAGCACTGAAGGAATGAATTCTGTGTGAGGTTTTTTGTTTGTTTGTTTTTGCACCACAACTACGTTCCAAGATTAAAAATACCAGTCTGTCTGGTGTGAAGTATAAATTTGAGACTCCCTGGCTCCATTCAGAAAGTTGATGCCTGGTCACTTTATTGGGTTTAGACTTTGCTTTGCTAATGTGAGACGTCCTTTTATAATGTGAATTAATTTCCACCAAACTAGTACACTATGTAGTGACAGGCTCTGCCTGAACCAGAATAGTACAGGGTAAAGAAGGTCACCTCTTGGGACTGATTCCATCTGTGGGAAGTGAGAAATATGATAGCGCTAGCTAAAACTAGGAGTTTTCTTTTTGGAGAAGCAGTTAATCACTGACAGAGGCTATGCATTTAGAATACTTCACAAAAGGTAAGATGTAGAAGATGCTGATACCGCATCTTCAAAGCATTGTAAAAAGTGATAATTTGTGGGTGAAAAATTTCCCTTGCCTTACAGAGAAAGGTGGAAGCAAGATAAACTACCTATAAATGACATACCAAGGCAATCCAATAGATTAATACAGTGGGCACTAACTTTTTTAGACCAGCATTCACATCTTAAATTTTGAGAAAGTCTTGTGGTCATCAATCACAAGATTTAACAATATTTATGTTGATTGATTGTTGTGATACCTCTGGCTACCATAAGGAAGAGCGGCATAACACACCACCACCATCATCACCATCATCATTTTCATTTCTATACTGCTTGGCTGCCATGGGGGCAGGTGAGCATGGCAAAACCCAAAAATAGGGCGGGTATAGTCATTGCTGCTCCTTACCCCCAGAAATTCTGATTGTGGAGATTAAACAATACTGATTTCCCCCCTCAAATACAATGCTGCTGCTGCTTTCTATTGACAACAGGGAGCATTCCCCAGTACCAGCGAAATGTACAAGGTGACCAAAAAATACGGTGGGGGTGGTAAAGCATGGAAAGGGTTGAACAGGCTGATTTGGTACAAAAGCAAATAATGGTGTCTGGGCATTTACCTCATATCTCTTATTCTGAAAATGCTATAAAATCAACAGTGGGGATAGAACATAGCAGTCATGGCTAGTAGCCATTAATGGCCTTAAGGCTCCTATAGTCCACCTGCTTGTTTGGCATTCCCCCTAATTTGCTTGCACAAAGCTTATGTGGCAGATAGACTATGCCTGGTATTTACTGAACACTTGTTCTGATTTGTTTATGGGGCAGTTTTATCTCAATGAGATTTCATTCTGCTTACATATCTTGGTCATCATTTGTTCATCTTACACTTTTCAATGTGTTTTCCGCATCACTTAGTAATCTGCAGAAAGTCTGAGTTTTTAAAGTGGATCTATAGTGCTAGTCAGAGGACTTTAATTAATTTTAATTGCACAAACCTGAAGTTCCAGTGTGCCCTTTAGTCTCTCTTGAAAAAATACTAACCATCTTCCATGAATTTGTCTGATCCTTTTTCAACGCCATCCAAATTCATGGCCATCACAAATTCCATAGCTCCGTTTGTCTGTACTGACTCTTCTAATAACCAGAATCATTGGATGCCCCCAAATTCTAATACTATGAGAGAGGAAGAAAACCTTTTCCTTATCCATTTTCTCCACTCCATGTATAATTTTACACCCCTCTGTTATGCCCCCCGTCTTTTCTCTAAACTAAAAAACTCCCAACTGTAAACTTCAGGTGAAAATATCAACTACGGATCAGTAGTGCAACACATTGCTGCTGGCTCTTGAGAGAGCTCTCCCTTGAATCTCTGGGGCAAGCAGGGATCTCAGCACAGCACAGGCACAGCTGCAGAGAGCAGGTGGCACTGTGGTCTAAACCACTGAGCCTCTTGGGCTTGCTGATCAGAAGGTCGGCAGTTTGAATCTGCACGATGGGGTGAGCTCCCATTGCTCTGTCCCAACTTCTGCCAACCTAGCAGTTCAAAAACACACCAGTGCAAGTAGATAAATAGGTACCACTGCAATGGGAAGGTAAATGGCGTTTCCGTGCACTCTGGCTTCCATCACAGCGTTCCATTGTGCCAGATGCGGTTTAGTCATGTTGGCCACATGACCCAGAAAGCTGTCTGTGGACAAATGCTGGCTCCCTCAGCCTGAAGCAAGATGAGTGCTGCACCCCATAATCGCCTTTGACTGTACTTAACCATCAGGGGTCCTTTACCTTTACCTTTTTTATGTTGGACTGACTGCATCCTCACCATGCTGAGATATGTGTGTGGAGGATTGCTTCACTATTCATCGTGCTCTAGCTGGAATGGGGTGCAGGGATCTAGCACATTCTGAAATTAGAAGTTTAAAATGTTAAACTATATTTTAAAAATTCAGTTAAGCACTGTGTGTGAAAGGAGAAATTATTATTTTCTTTCATTTATGAATCTCTTCCTGTAGGGAATCCCAAAGTGACTTAGAGAATAATAAAACAGTTGCACATATAAACATTTAAAACAATTGCATATATTATAACAACACATAAAACCAGTTTGAACTGAAACAGATAGCAGTTAGTATAAAGATTTTAGAAGGTTTGTTGAAAGAGGAACATCCTTAACAGATGCCAAAAAGACAAGAGAAGGCAGCAGTCATTTGTGTTCAACCTTGCAAGCAAATATGCAACACTTTAGTATCCTATTACAGTGGTACCTCTGGTTGCGAATGGGATCTGTTCTGGAGCCCCATTCGCAACCTGAGCAGAATGCAACCCACGTGTGCACGGGTTGCGATTCACCGCTTCTGTGCATGCACGTGACGTCATTTTGAGCATTGTGCATGCGCGAGCGGCGAAACCTGTTCCGTTACTTCCGGGTTGCCATGGGACGCAACCTGAAGCATCTTTAACCTGAGGTATGACTGTAGTTCACGATATTAATGTTATTGATTTTTTTGAGACTAAAAGAAAAGGTACCCCAAGTTTTGCGAAGCTAACTTCTCTGCTCCCCTAGAGTCAATTCTGACCACAGATTGATTGCAAACCTGGGATCAAGCATTGTGCACCTTTTCCCCTTCACATCCACCCAAGTAGAATTATACTTTTATAGCTTCATCTTGAGCATTCTATCAATAGATTTGGGACAAGAAAATGGTTCAATTCTTTTTCCTTCATTTTTAGTATACGGCCAGAGAGAAGAAAAACAAATTGAGCACCTAGGATGTGAAAGCTCCTCTTCTTCCTAAAGGAACCATATTGTTTGCAAGATGGATCGGAGTAAGCGAAATTCAATAGCAGGATTTCCACCACGCTTGGAGCGCGTTGAAGATTTTGATGGGGGTGGCGGAGGCGATGGGAACGTGTCCCAGATGGGCAGAGTTTGGACTTCTTCATACAAGGCCTTGATTAGTGCCTTTTCAAGACTTACACGACTTGATGACTTTTCTTGTGAGAAAATAGGATCTGGTTTCTTTTCTGAGGTGTTCAAGGTGAGTAGACTGACCTTAATTCTCCTCTTTCCATATTTTTCATATAGTAATTAAACAAATTATGAATGAATATTCTCTTGCTGTTGGTCTTTTGACTGTGCTTTGCCTAACTGAGTAACAGGGACTTTAAATGCCTTGGAATATTTAACATCTATGAGTATTTCTGGAAAGCTTAAAGTACAGTGAGATGAGACACCTGGTTGGCAGCTGAGTAACATATCTATACTAAATACATGAATACATTTAGATTTTTTAAGTTGGAAAGCTTGCAGAAATGTGTATGTTTTATTTAAATATCTAGCTCTATTTTTCAGACTGAAGCAAGGTGACTTGCAGGCCAAAAATTAAAACGTCATGAAACTGTAAAAACAGGAGGGAGAAAAGATGTTAAAATTAAAACCTCATCCGTTGGCAATCCAAAAGAACAACATATATTCTCCTTCACTACTTGGGATCAGAATGAATTGGCAGCTAAGCATAAGATCTTGCCCAATGAATTATGATCTTCAAGTCTTTTTCCTACCTCAAAGAATGGTTTAGTAATATCTCATTACTGGACCACTCCATGAGACAGACAATTCAAATTTCCTTTGCAAGTTTAAGTTGCAAGACAAAAACCGCACTTTCTGACCATATTACATTTTATAGACAAAACATTAAAGTCTGAGGAGATGATAAGACTGCCTGAGGAAATAAGCCAATCTTGCAATCTTCCCTTTTTACTGACTGGATTAGTTTCTTATGCACCTTTAGCCTCTGGTCAGTAAGAAGAATTATTTGAAGTGTGCTCCTTGCCACTTTTTAATTACAAGGATTGAGGCTGCAGGACCTTGGTCTATGGCAGGGGTCGGCAACCCGCAGCTCCGGAGCCGCATGTGGCTCTTTTACACCTTTGCCGCGGCTCCGGGGCGGATACTAGCGAGGGGAGGAGGCGCATTGTGCGCCCCAACACTCCCCACTGTGGCGGGCACTGTACTGGCTGTGACATCGCATGGGGGCGGTGCTTGCGTTAGTCACGCACCGTCCCGACGTCACCTTCCCGCCCGCTGTCAGCTCGGAGGGCAGCGGCGCGCATGCAATGGTTTTTTTTTTTTAAATGATATTTATTAAAAGTTTAAGGATTACAGAAAAAAGAGAAAAAGAAAACAACAAAAAATTTGACAAAGCATACATTACAATACATAAAAAGAAAAGCATAAAAAACAATACAAGAATACAGCAAAAAAACACCAAACAAACAGTAACATTAAAAACACATCCAATGTTCCATATCTTTATCTTTCATTTACTTGTTTCATCGACCTCCTCACACCTCCCTTTTTGTATTCTAATTTAATTAATTGTTTCAGCAAATTCTTTCCATCTTTCTCAATTTTTGTTAAATAATTTATCTTAACGATCTAACCTTTTAATTAACTCAACAAATCCTTTCCATCTTTCACTATATTCTGTCATTCAATTTACCTTAAAACTTAATGTACATAACTCCTTATATCATTTCTACTAAAGCCAAATAGTTTCATTCCAACATTTTTCCTAATACTCATTAATTTTACACTAATTCTCAAAATAATTTTTTAAAAAACTTTCTTCCAATCTTCATCCAACGTCTCTTCTTCCTGGTCTCGGGTTTTGTCAGTCCTTCTTGTCCATTCCATCTAGTCCATCAACCTGCGCATGCAGTGGTTTTGCGGCTCCCAGTTTTTTTCCCTTCGGAAACGGGTCCAAGTGGCTCTTTTTGTCTTAAAGGTTGCAGACCCCTGGTCTATGGTATGAGTCACCCATTAATGTCATTGAACTCTCACTTTCTCACTCTCTCTTTTTCTTATCTTGTCCAATGGCATAGCAATACATATTACTTAGAGCAGATGTGGGAGTGGCATAAGCTAAGTTCTCTATCTACATGGTCCACTGTTAAATGAGGTGAAGAAGTTTAACAAGTTTTCTGCATGGCCATTTTACCTACTCAAATTTTGATTTACAGCAGACATTCTATATTTAATGTCTGAATATATTGTTCTAATTGCATTCCAGTTTGTGTTGAAGCTTTACATAGTATGTACCTATTGTGAAAATTACTTCATAAAACTAAAACCCTGGCCTAGGCTTGCGTACTATGCAGTCCTTGGTCATACAAAATTGTGATGCTATGCTTCTTCCAGAGAAAACAGAATAATCCTCAACTGGATTTTGCCCATATATAGAATTTATTGTGTACTCCGTTATCTTGTTGCATTTAGTAATGGCAATAATATTTAAAGCAAACTGCAGTTGATGAGGTGTAGATAATATGGGTATGTGGGGAGAACTTACTGTGGAGCTTTTAGCTTCCACAACAAAAGCCTTTAATGCTTGAGCTTAAAGAGAGCTGCCATATGCCCAGTTCCTTTTTCAAAGAAAAACAGAAATGTTCAGAACAAGCAAGGCTTTTCCATGTGTTTTTGATTCTGGATATTTTGGGTCATACCCATGACAATGTAGGCCATCTGGGAAGTGCAGTTTGTGCTGAGTATGTTATCCAGCAACACATACATCTATGGGAGGCTGCTTCTGCCTTCAGGTTTTGTTTCAATGTCTTTTTTCGTTAAAACAAACCATAGTAGGAATTCATGACACAGAAACATGACTGCATACACTTGCCAAGTCTAAGCACTAAACTTCCCACCTCCCTGTGTGTCTGGAAAAGCACACTTGTGCATGTTGGGGAAAGAAAATGCTGCTTTTCAGCAGCAGCTGCTCATGTCTTATACGTGAGTTGGTGTTCCAGAGTGTCCTTCAGTCCTGAAAGGTTTTGAGGGTGGTGGGGATGGGAAGAGAAAAATCACTGGAGTGCAAGAATACTGTATGTGTCGTTTTGGATCTCTGCTGTTGCATTTTGCATTTGTCTTACTTCATTTATTGGTCAAAGGAATTGCTACCAATATCTGAGAAGAGAACCACGTTATCTTCAGAGTTTTCATTGTTTAATGAAGGTCCGAGCTGCTTCTACATCTTGGAGCTATTTATTTTCTTTTTAAAAAACTGTCAAACCATCTATTTGAATAGGAACTTCCACTTATGACCTATTCCAATCCACTGGAGAACAAAAACAACATATTTGAACATTGCCTACTTGCTCAAAATAATTGAGGAAAGTTACTAGAACAGGGGTAGATAACTTGTGGCCCTCCACGTGTTGTCGGACCTGAACTCTCAACAGCTGCAGCTGGCATAACCAGTTGTTGTGGGTGGTGGGAGATGTTATGCAGGGTTTGAATAGTGGTGCAGTTTCCTCTCCTTTTAAAATCTTCTTTACTGGGTCTTTTCTTTTATATTTTAATTATGTATTTTCCTTCTGTATTCTGACCTGACAGCTCATGGAGAAGAATCATTGTTTGAGCAGCCTAGTTTTGGATTTTAGTGTAGTCTACTCTGAAATGGTAGACTTTATACATTTCTTGTCCAGTCATATATGTGCTTCTGTGTGTGTGTGTGTATGTGTTTAGATTAACTTTGGGAAGCACTTGTAGATTTTCAGATTTTCATGAACCATAGTTTGGTCTTCTGTGCATGAGAATGGGGGAGGGGGAACACTGAATTAATAACTGAGATAGCTAAAGACGAGGCGGGCGAAGAAATATGAGAACAAATTAAAATAAATGACAAAGCAGCAACTGCTGAATGACTGCATGGCATACAGCATAATATGCACATTACATATTATAAGGCGTCAACTTCATTTGGGAATCAGTACACTGAGGATTTGTATTATGCGCTAGACTGAGATTCTCTAACTTTACTCTTGGGAAGTTACTTTTAAAATATGATATAAAAGCAAATAAAATCTTAGGCATCTTTCAAGGCCATAGAGGTTGTCCCGCCTGGGTATACAGTAGTTGAAAGGTGCTGCATTGCAGTTTCCCATTTACAGGAAATGCATCTCAAGGACAGAAGCATCATTTTTAGTTACGTAACTGCTTTAAAGAAGTATAATTTTTTAGTAACTGCTTTAAAGAAAAGCGTCTTGCTGTAATCAAAGTGAAGAACATTGTACATGTATTATTTAGGAAATGTGGTACAAATTTAAAACGACTGGGAAAATGCCAAGTATTTTCTTATACAATGTGATTTTAAGAAGAAAAGGCACTATTTTGAAAACTTGGAATACAGTGAGGCTTAATAGGGTAAAATTATTATTTGAACTCTGCCTAATAATTGTGGAATCTGTTGTGTTTGCTATTCTCCACATTTTGCTTACATTCTGAAAAGCAGAGTGGGTAATCCTGTAATTTGTTTGCATGTTATGTTTTGGATAAGAGTTGCTAATACAGATTGGGAAGAAGAGGTGGTTACATTGACAGTTGGAACATGAGGTTTGCTGATGTAAACATCCTGCAGCCACAGTTTGTTCTTTTTTGCTTGTGCAAGTTCATGTGAATTGTTTCCAGAATTTGAAGAGGAGAGTTTTCCTCTTAAATCTAACTAAAAGGGACAATCTTCTGAGGACTATTTGGGGTGGGTGTGTGCTTTCTGTTTTCCTTTTCAGGCATTTTTTATTTTTAAAAAGAAAGTTATTTCCCCTTCTGTTGCTGTGGAAACTTCTGTTGGTGTGATTTGCAAGTTATGTGCTTATCTTTGGTTATAAAAAGTATTTATATACCTCCCTCTCATAAATCATCAGGTCCAGCAACATAAAAACATTTAAAAGCAAATAAAGCAATCCTTTAAATGACTGGTAACTCAAGGAACATTTTATATATTTTATCCTTATTGACTTGTCTAAGTGTAAATCTTCTAAATCAACTTAGTTTCGTGTAAAAAAATGAGCAAGTGCTTAATTGTGGCTTTTGTGACCATAATAGAGATTCTTTACTGTGGTCACCAGGATAGATTACTTTAATAAGCATTGATCTTGGGAATTCCCTGAGGGGAATGGCTCCATAATTGCATGTTTATGTTGTGTACCATCAATTACAGTTAAACGTCTTATTTTACCACTTAAAATCCACTGGAAAATGAAATTAAATATTTAGCAGGCTTCCAATTGAAATTCCTTATCTAATAATGCAGCCTGTAAGTTTCCTAGTTCAATGCATCAGTTCATTTATGTGTCGTGCTTCACAGCAGAGTTTGTGGAAACAAAATACAGTATGCTAATACTGTGAAAAAGGAAGAAATTTTAGTAGCCTGGTATACAAACTGTCCAACATAATTTCTATCTAGCTGCATTCGAAGTTTTGTGAGCAGAAGCTCGCTAAGCTAGTACAGTACAAAGTTGCCCAACCTTTTCCTGAGAGGTCTACAACCTTCAGAAGCAGGTTTAAAATCTGTTTCTGTGAAGGGTTTTCCCTTGCCATATCTTGTACAGTATGGGCTGTTCCAAGGCTCATTCTGACTTTGTGCGATTTTGCCTTTATGCCCAACCCCCGGAAAAATTACCCTCATGTAAGTTGCAATTGCCTAATACTTAATGCACAGCAATAGGCATTTGTAACCAGCTACCCCTACCACTAGTTTGTACAGCTCAAATACTTTCCTCTTTTTAATTCTTGTGAAGAAAAACTCTTGTGAAGTTTTTGTACTCTTTAAGCTGGAGAGGTGTAAAGTAGCTCAAAGACAGTTTTCTTTGGGTTTCCTTGGCATCCTTTCTTTACCTGTCAGTCTGATGGGGTGTCTTTTTTATATTTATCCTTTCAGTATGTCTGGCATATAACTAAGAAGAAAGGGTTCTAAATTGGAAGTGAATATTCTTCCCTTGCTCATCTGATTACCTAGTATAAACAAGAATTCTCAAATTGCTTAACTATGAGATATACTAAAATGATTGTAAATTGAATTTCCTTTTTTAAATAACCAACATATAAATGGTTTCTGCTTTAGAGACCAATATTTTTCTCCTGTTTTCTAAAAAGAAAACAAAGTTGTTGATATAATGCCTATTTGTTTTTTCTAGTTTCTGCAGATATGTTTGGCAGGAGCTATTTTATATATCGATGAACTTTTGAAGGAGTGAGGGTAGTCTGTGTGCTCTTTTTCTCCTCAGCATTTCATTTGACAGTGCTGTTATTTGTTGAAATAACCCAGAAACATTGAGGGGAAAGTGAACACTGTGCAGATTAAACCGAAGTCAATAACATAAATTCCTTTTCCCATGATTGCAGAACATAGGGATTATATTCAGCATTTTATATGTGATATGTCTTAACAAATACTGACAAATGTATTTCTAATATAAAAGCATGCTCCTTTCTGTACATGCTATAGAAAGCATTTACATTTATCACAAAGTTAAAAGCACCCCACTCTCCATGCAGCCCAGTAGCAATGTAGTAATTTCTTCTCAAGAAGTCATTTCACAAATAATGCTTTTGCTATTATGCATGTGCTTTTCATTAGTCTACTCCAGCACTAGTTGCCAATAGCCTACTGCTGAATGACTTGCACTCCATCTTCTCTTCAGATTTTTTTTTTTGGGGGGGGGGGCAAGGCTTGACATAAATGCAGCTTCAGTTCCAGCAGAAGAAAATGCACATAAATTTGATCTTCTGTTAAGCATGTCTTCAGGCTACTTTTAAAAAATTAACCTTCTAAAATATTTGGCAGGCTAACTTTTTTCTTGGGTATGCGGATCTTAATATACAAATTTTGTTTCACTGGCTCAAAGCTATGTATAGTGGGAAATATAGTGTGGAACTACAGGAACTTAAAAACCTGCACAATATATTTGACCAGATATGAAAGTAGGACAAAATAAATGTATGTACACACCATGGAAACAATCAAGGATTTTACTGCATAAATAGAGTAGCAAATGTTTAGTTAATTGATTACATTACTGTTTCCAAGTTGGTTTATAATCAGTTTGCTTGTGAAAAAAACAACCAGCTATGGATCTAAAGTACCCGTGACACAAGAGATGAATAGGTATCGGGCAGGTTTTTCAAGGCTCTACATAAATCAGGGTGGGTTAGAACGGTCTTGTTCAGTGTAAATGCCAATAACACAGAATATGCAGAGAAGGCCTTCCCTTTCACTCTATACGGTCAGCATTGCAGTGCTGAAAACCAATTTGATTTGATTTGGTTTTATCTTATTTGGTTATGACTTAATGCTCAGTTTTAGATTACTATATGCTTATTGTTGCACTTTTTACTTTTATTGCTCAGACAATTTTTGTTGTTCAGTCCTATAAATGACTTAATTTGGTAACTCAGATATGAGAACTTTGGACTTTGCAGGATTGATTCAAGTCTGTGGGTTATTTACAGTGTGTCACAGAAACTGGAAATTCTTCCACTTACTATTATTGGTTGCTATGCTCAAGAGTCTGAAAGTGACTAAAAATAGTAGTGAAATACTCTATACTACAGATAAAAAACAAAATAATTAAAAGTAAAGCACAATAAAAGGCAATCAAACCATAAAAGCTATCCTTCTATCCCCTAACGTAAGTCTAACCACCACAAATAGCCCCCAAAGAGGGAAGAGGGCACAACGAAATGCCGCAAATGAAAAAAACAACAACACTAAATTATCTTGAAGATGAGAAACATTCTCTCATCTCCACACTTCAGACAACTGCTGGAGAGGGCACTCATAGAAAGGCCTTTGACGCTCTTCTCAGGGCATAGTTGGGCTCGTATGGAAAAATTCATTCTGTAAGGCATGAAGTCCTGAGCAGTATAAGACTTTATAGGATAAAACTAGCACCTTGAATTGAGCCCAGAAACTGATTGGAAGTTAGTGCAGTTAGGTCAGACAAGGTATTATACATGTGGATTATTTTCTTTGCTGTGGCACTGGCCAACCTGTGATTCTTTTTGGAAGAATTGCATAGAGATGTGAAAGCCTGGGGAAAAAGACAGAGCTGTGGGGGCTGATCCCCCCCCCATTGCTTTCTGCCCTCCCTCAATTTTGCAGAAACAAATAGGGGGGGAAACTGAAAAGAGGGACACAACTTTCCCCAAGTTTTTCTGACTTCCCTAATTTTTCTGACCTCATTTGTAGAACTGCAAAAGAATGAAGTAATGGCTTTTTTGCTACATGTTATGGTGCTGATGTGAAAACTTCATTATGTAGAGACCATTTTTAGCATCCTCCATGCAATTAAAGATTAAGGGTTTTATCCAGTGTCAGTGCAGCTCAAATTAGAACCATCAAAATGAATGGGCATGACTACCGGTAATTTAGGTCCACTAATTTCATTGTGTGAAAGTTACTTGGATGCAACCCCAACTTTGGACCTGCCTTAAACACCTGTGACCACTTGCAAAATTGGAATAGAGAAGGGTAACTTAACTTAAAGGGCAATTTGTGTGGAGTCTTAAGGTGTTGGCAATACTCCCCTCAACTGCGGAGGAAGCCGCTCGGGCGCCTGGGGTGCCACAGGACCTCTGGAGTCTGCCTGCCTCCTCCCACTCAGTCACCCTGCAGCTGGGGGGGAGACAGCGGGTGGACCGTTTGGGCCTCTCCCAGGAGAGATATGTGGCTCAGGTGCACTGCAGGCCCCACGGTGAGTGCCACCTGGCATTTTGTCACCCCCCCCCAGTGGTGATACCTGGGACGGCCTGCTCCCCTTCCTCCGCCCCTGACTCCCCTTACTCAGCTTTACTATAAATTAACATAGTCTACTTGAAAGTGGAAGAGAACCAGCAAGGAATCCATGTTACATAAGCACATCTCTGAAGTTTTAGAAATGCTTTTAAATATCTGTAGAAGGTGATTAACTACTATTGTGCCACATTTCATATTAGAGAATGTAATTTTAACTTATTGAGATGTGTTAGGCCCATTACTGTTTCCATTCATTTTCACTGTGTGACTCATAGCTTCTTTTTCGGGGGTTGTCTTTTAGGTGCGGCACAAAGTATCTGATCAGGTTATGGCTTTGAAGATGAACACACTAAGCAGCAACAGAGCAAATATGCTGAAAGAAGTCCAGCTCATGAATAGACTTTCACATCCAAACATATTAAAGTAAGAAAGGTGGGGTGTATGTTTGTATGTGGGAATGCAAATCAAGTTTCATGTACCATCTCTTATGATCCTTCATGTTTGTGGAGGTAAAGTTGAATATTCAGGTACTGTCTCTCAAAACTTCGGAGCTAAGTTTTGGATCAGTGGTTAGACTCTTGTTTATCCCTTTATTCCCAGACTCATCCTGATTCCAAATACATTTCTATTAGCTTATACAATAATTTTGACTAGCTTTCTTCTGGCCTTCTGCATTCTTAATTAAATATGTGTTGTATTCCACTAACTTTTACTCAGAGTAGACCTTTTGAAATTAATGACCATAACTAATATGGCTCCATTAATTTCAGTGGGACTGCTCTGAGTAAAAACTGAATACAGCTGCCCTGTCATCTGCAGTTGATAAAATGCAAATTGAGCAGATGTGTCTGCAAGTTTATGTACTATAAATGTATAAATCACTTTTGCATAGGGGAGCACAAGAGGATTGGCTTATATTCTTTATGTTAAAATGGGTAACGGTGTTTAAACTTGTACAGGGAGACTTTTATTTATATTGCATGCCACCGAAGAATGTAATTTATTTTTACAAATATTAGTTGTTTAAATCTTAATTTGCATTGTGCCTGTGTGAAGTAGTGATTCGAGCATTGAACAGAGCTCAAAGACTTTGAGGTGGGTGAGACATAGCAGTGTGCAGTTTTACAAAGTGGTTGTAAATTTAAATGAAACCCCTCTGAAATGATATTTGAGGTAGTGCTTGTTGTGGAATATTTGTTACAGTACAGTGCAAGTATTTTACACAAATAGAGCATTGCAAAACATAATATTACTACATGTGTTGTGGTGATGACTGGCATTTTGACCAGAAATACTCATGCAAATGATTAGGACTCCACTGTCATCTTTTAAATCAGTATTCTTTTTCTAGCATGATTAAACAACTGCTTTGATAGTGACAAGCTCCTGAAGTCTCTAAACATCTATCTTGCTTATAGCATATCATTTCCATAGGAAATATTTTATGCAGTTCCATTTAAACCTGTATTTAAATGAGAAAACGGGGAAAATATATTTGTACAAATGAGTTTATAAAATGGGATTACAATTGCACCTGTATACTTTGAGCTTTGTGACTTCTGTTAACTAGAACTGTTCATATGAATGAAGTGCAACTTGTCTAATTTCCTCATTTCCAACGGCTGACTCTGTGCAATGCTACCCAAGTGCTTAGCACTGCACTTTTGGGAACAAGGTGAGTCAGACCTGATAGCAGCTCTTCAGGATTTCAGCCTGGGCCCTTCTGCATGCAGGTCCTTATAACTGAACCACAGCTCTTCTCAAAAATTGTGAGGCTAGGGTGGAATCGAAGCCAACATGGGGTTTCCAGTTCCATGTTTGTTCGTTAATGCAAATGGACAGAGGCATCTACAGAGGGGAATGGGTAAATATAAATTTCCATCTTACATAAACATATTTGTATAGTCCTGCCTCAAGATTCTCCTCCTCCCCACTTGGCACGTTGTTGCATAGGTATGTGTATGAGTGTAAATACTTGGATAGGTGACTGCCTGGAAACCACACGTATGCTACCTTGAGTTCCATGAAGAAGGGAGGATAGAAATGCAAGAAAATAAAAAATAAATAAATAAATAGGTGTGTGCTCTGTTGGGAGTGGTGCTTTTTTTTTAAGGTGCGGGGGACACAAGACTTTTTTTTCCAAGAAGAGGAAGTATGTATGCATAGGAAATGCACAAAAATTAGTGGGACAACAGCAGTGAAGGGCAACAAGGAGTGCTGGTGCTAACACGTTTTCATTAAACTAGGAACTGGATTATTTTCAGACTTTGTTTCTGCTCCACTACGCGAAATAAAGTGGGTTTTAATGGATCCTGGATCTTTTTTACTTTAGGAATGCTGAAAAAGTAAAGCATGAGATGTCATAACTTTCACTCATGGTCAGCACTTGCTATTTTCACAAGTTACGTTTTGAAGGTGAAAAATGTGTTGTCAAGCTTTTTTGCTTTTTTTTATGTGGTTCTGAGGTTTGTGTTCTATAACTTCCTTTCCTTTTAAATACTCTGATATGCCTTCAGGTAGCGGCATAGTTGCCATACAGTCAGTTTGCTGGTTAGTTATCATGTGTGATTCCATGTGCTATAATGTCCGAAGTAGCTTCTTTATGCTTTATTTCATTTGAAGGCAGAACGTTGTATATTGGATAAGAAAGAAATGAGCCTATTTTATTGTTCTATTAACACACACAGATTTTCATAGCTGAAGGCTTATTTGCTTGTTTTCCTTCAACTCTTTATGAAGTTATCCCTGTACCCCCCCCACTTAATAGGTAAGAGTACTGAAAGTTTACTCAAAAGCAGCTTACATTCTACTGCATGTTTCTTGCATCATACAGAACTTAAAAATGAATAAATGAACACTTTCCATAAGTCAGTTTTACAGTATTCCTTTTGTCAGGCATCTTGTGGTCTTTATTTTTGAAATTGTGCATTTTCACTTCTTCTTATGCTAAATAAAGTCCCAGAGTTGCCCCATACTAAAAATTAAACTATTGTTCCATTTTCAGTTATGACATAGCTCAGTGTCATAACAGAACTCAAAGGTACTTTCATAAAAGTCATATTTAAAACTGATAACATTTTGCAGTTGTGAGATGAACTGTAAACAATTGGATTCCTAAGCCTTTATGGCATGTGGAATCTATATTCTAAATGAATAGAAAACTTAGCAGTTTATTTGTTGGTCTTTTCTGGCAGTGTGATCACATTTGGTGGTATCTTCATTGCTGTTCTCATAATCCAGATTTTGTATACCAATACTAATGTCCGGGTAGATATAAAATCTAGCTAGACAATTGCTAAGGCCAGGCCAAACATACACTTTGTTAAGATGTCCATTTGTACTTTAAGACACAGCATTGATTTCTCTACACCAAACTTTTTCTGTATGTATGAATGTAAAACATTGTGTCTGTTAGTATTGTCCTCACCCCAAATCCTACAAATGTTTAGGAATAGGCAGAATTTAGAAATCTACTCCCCATCTTCAACTACATTGGTTCAGTATACTAGTGCTAGACAGAAACTAATATACTTAGTGATTTGTATTTTTAAAGCAGCAGCTACTAACATAATGATTCAGATTCACTGGTAACTTGTTTTAAAGTTGACAAAATGCACTGTCTGTTTCCCATTTTAAGAAGCTGTTTACTCCTGTTTTATAGGTTTATGGGCGTCTGTGTACATCAAGGACAACTGCATGCCCTTACTGAGGTATGACTGTATAAAGTACCAAGCTATTTATCATATGTACTTCCCTTGAACTAGTTGGGTTATCTGTAATTGTCCCTAGAAACATTGTTCCCTTGGAGTTTTTTAAGCAGAGGCTGAGAGGCCACCTGTCATGTATAATCTAGTTGAGAATCCTGCATTACAAGGGGTTGGACTAGATGACATACGGGGTCCCTTCCAAATCTATGATTCTATGTTTACCCAAACATTCCAATATAATTGAATGCAAGTCTTAATTGTAAGGGTTCTATAATCAGGCCTCTTAATTTTCACTGACACATTCCTTATTAGAATCAAGTAGGAGACCAAGTCATTGCTTAAGTCATTGCATACTATGCTACTACCACACCTATAGAACTTCTAATATACTCTAGTTCACATTTTAATATTATTGTAGTTTATATTTAAATTTCACAGCCCTTCCTTGCCAAAGTAGAATATAAGAAAGGATGTGTTAAGAGTATCTCCGGTGTTCAAGTAATTTAATTCCTATGCTGCTTTATAAATTTGAGTGGGATGTCATTTCTGAGCACAATGGAATTAATAGGGAGATGGAAAACAACATTGGTTTCTAAAAGGCAGGCTTGGTCACGAACTGCAGCTTTTAATCTAAAAGGACATTCTCCAGAAGTCAGAACACACTTGTAGTTTGTTCATCTTGTGCCACATCTAATGTTATTCATATGAAAGCAAGTGTCATTAATTCAGCTACTTGCCTTCAATAATTCAGAGCAGGAATATTATTAAAAAGCATATATAAACTCTATTGCATTAGCACTGGTTGTTTTTATGTTGCTAGTTAAGAAACATCTTGGATTCAAAACAGGTTTTGTTCAACAAAAAAATTGTGCTCATAGAAGTTCTGTGCATGCAACAGAGCTTCCTCTCCCTCTCCTCTGCCTGCCCCCTCATATCACCTCCAGTTTTGCACTGGAGGGTTGAGAAAACCCCTGGAGCAGATATGGGGTATGTGCGGCAGGAGGAAGGGGGAGAGGAAGTTCGTATGAACTAGTTGAAGCTGTCCCACGTGCACAAGTATTTAGTTGGATACAACCCAAGATAGTTAAAGGAATGCTATATATTTTCTTCCTTTCAATTCCTGTTTAGGTGAGACACAGATTCATTCTGAATGAATTTTGAATGCAGAACTAGAGATCTAAAAGGGTTAGATCTAGCATCTAGCATAAGATTAGCACATGAACATAGTTTCAAGTGTCCAAGATTTCACATCTGTTCTTTGAGCTGGAGTCTTCTGGAAAATATTATATGTGGATTCTGTTGATGCCCTTCACTCAAGCAACAAAGATATCAAGGAAGTGTAGCAAACTTGCTAAAGGAATTCTGAAACTGAATAATGCATCTTTGCACTGTTGCAGATTTGTGTTCTGTAGAAGCGCAGAATGGCTATACATCAAGTATTACAGGCTTCTTTCTCACATGTCTGCTTGAGAGTCTGTACACATTAAAGATTTTGAGGTTATGTGCTTATGTTTGAAGGAAGTTAGCACATCTGGTTCTTTAAGGGAAGGGAGGGAGGACTGATACCAGTCAGTCTTATTTTGAATTGCTTGCTTTAGAAATTAGTTTTCTAGCAAACCAATCACATATGTTGCCATCCTGCACTACAAATCCTCAGCTAGATGTAGAGCAACTGCAGTAATACGTTTCCAAAAACATTAATGTGGAATTAGTTGAATGAAAGCCTGAATGAAGGGCAGGTGAGGGAGAGGCTATTTCTTTCAGTTATTTTCTGATCAATATGAACACACCCACCCTCCCAGGCTGCTTGTTTAAACCTGGAGCCACACTATTAGAAAGTGAATAGAGACTGGTTTTAACAGAAGAGGGGTATGTGGGTGAAGAATATAGATCTCTCCCTTCCCCCTTTCCCACTTCCATATTGTCCTTCTTCCCAAGCCTTTTCAACAGCTGAGTTCAGATTGCAAGAAGGGTCAAACAGCTTTTGCATGCATGCCATCTGCTCATGGGATCATATACCTCCCCTCACTCCCTCTTCCTAAATGATTGGGACAAATCTGGATTAAACACTGATCTACTGTTACCATGTCTAGTTTGTCACTTAGTTTGGCACCACTAGAGACAGAAAACTACAAAAGCTATGTTTGAACCATTGAACCATCAATACCACTTCCTAAGTGCATGCTCTATTGAGCTGAAAATCCCACTTGTCTCAGTGGTTACAGAACTTCTGCAAAATCAGAAATTAGAGAAGGGTGCTAAGACAGTAAGGATAGTCACATCCCACTGATTCTGTAAACTATATTGCACCTGGAGGCATCAAAGTGTGATTGCAATGAATTCTGTGGCATTGTTTTGAGTGGACTCCATCCCCTGTGGTTAACCATTCTCCCATTTGATCTTTTGTTCTTAATGATGCTTTACAGATGTTACGCTTTGAGAATATTCAATAGGAAATGCTTCCTATGCCCTCCAAATCCAGCAGTTGTTTTCAGTCTAAAGTCCTTGCCGATCATTGTGCAAGGAGGGTAGGGCACTTAATGCATATATACAAACTAGAAGCAAATGTGTAACTTATTGGGACAGAGTGTACATGCTTCTGGAGAGAAGTTTGCACCTGCTTTGCTTTTCCGAGATTTTTAGCACACTGCAATAGCTAAGCCAAGCTTTTACTTGGCATCCAAACCAGGATTGTGGTCAAGGTATTAGCTGCCTCACCAAGCTAAAAAGTCCAGGGAGGAGCAATGTAGATTCTACAGTGGGGAATATTGTCATTTTCATGTGCTTGAAAAATTGATAGAATTTCTTCGGCTGTAGTTTGCTTTTGTTAGGTGTGGGGAATGGTGAAATTGAGGAGACTCTTCGCTTTTCACCTAGAGATTGTCTTCCTATAGTTTGAAGGCTAAAGAGAAAGTCAAAGTTGATAATTTTGTCAAATTTCTTACTTTTTTGCTCTCCATAGAACACCACAACGGTGGCTCAGGAGCTCTTGTAAAGAAAGGGTTGAGCTGGAAAAATATCTGTAGGAGTAGGGTATGGGTGGTGAACTTGATCCACTACGGGTGGTGATTTCAAGCTATATTCTGCAAGGATAAGCTGCACAGTTGAGTTCCCCACGGAGAACTATGTTGTGCATCTAATTGAACTGTGACTCTACCTGCTCCACACGTAACATCAGGTGTGGATTAGATAGGTGTGATTTAGGGGAAATGGCCTCACAGACCAAATGTGACCCATGCAGGGCCTAATTTTGTCCATAGATCAGAGGTTCACATTCTTGTAGACAGGGGTAGGTACTCTTGTTAAGGGGAGAGCGACTCTTCCTGTAGTTGGGAACAAGAGGTGCCCATTACAAGGAAAGGGTTGGCTCCTTTAAATTTCACCAGCAATTACTTTAGTAAAGGTGTAGATGAAGTTTATCCTAAGCATAGTTATCCCTTCTGTATAAAGTCTATTCTGTGACAGCTGCATATTGCTTAATTAGCACTGCATATTGCTTAATTAGCTAGAGCTTGCATAGTATCTGCAAAAGTAAAAAAAAAAAGCTTATTGTTGTATGGAAGCACTTTTTGATACAAATAAGTCATGTTGCAGTTAGCCATGTGGCTGTACTTTGGCATGAAATAACTCTTTGGCTTGGAAGCTGTTCTTCAGCAATTCAAGTATTCACTTGTAAACTCTCTTGAGGTCTTAATGCATATTTCATGTAGTTATTTTTAGTAACTGCCAAGGCCTTTGAGAAACTTGAACTGAGTTTGGCACTTAGTCTGCACAAATAAAAGATATTTTGTTACTTTATAAGCGTAACTTTTCCTTGTATTTTATACAAAGAATAATTTGCCTTGACATTTCATAATACTCTCCAATTTAAATGCATTAATTTTTAATTATAACAAATTAAATTGGAGCTATTTTCATTTTTAAAAAGCATTGTTAAAATACTATTTTCTCATATTAAATATTTGGAACTTAATCTGGCTGAGGAACCATAATTCTCAGTGAAATTCTAAAAATTCAGGCCATCTCTGCTTCATCAGCATTTTCACAGGTAGACAATAGACTGAAATGGCTTAATTCACATGTTGCATTAAACTGGTTTAGAAGAAACTGTGGTTTAGCATGAATGTACAGGGTGCTAGTGCATCCTGTTTAAAAGTTATTGCTCCTCCCCTGCTCCTACTGCACCATCAGGAAACAAGGCAGAATCTGGCTTATCATGAGTCAGGGGCTCATGACTTGTTTACCTTAAACAAACCATGTGCAGGAAGCCAAGGACAAACCAGTTAAATGTTTTTAAGTACAGTCCTTGAGCTTGTGTGCTTTCTCCTTTCCCCTTCTTCCCTTCACACATGGCAGTTGAATACTTCATTTTATCCCATGCTAATGAAGATGGGTGATTACTTTGTTGCAGTGAGAAATAGCCATGCTACTGTTTGCCCCACCCTCCTTTTTCAAAGCTGGGATGATGGTACTTTCCGGCTGTTAAGCCTTATAATGAGAATTTGTAGAGGAACTGAAACTGATTACACTCAGGATTTATGTGTGGAAGCCTCTGGTTCATTTCACTTCCACTGGTGGTTCAGTTGAGACAAGTTGTGGTTTGGTAACTGGGAGTACCCAGTCACGCAGCAGGCTTCCCTTTCTATTCCTATGTCACAGAAATGATGACAAACTATGGCTAGCAAATATGAAGTGCAGGGGGGAGTTGCATGTGAGAAGGAGGGGTGGAGGAGGCATACAAACATTTGGGTGACTTGTCTTCCCCACTGCGGCATGTGTTTTGAGTTTAATTTTCTGAAATTCTTAGTTTATGGTCATCAGGTGCTAATCTTAAGCCCCAGTTCACTGATCCAGTTGTTACTGCTCAGCCTAGGAAACTAAATTCTATTGCACTTTTGCGGACTTGATTACTAGTCACTAAACTCACTGTACCCCAATATCAGATTACACAGAATAACCTCAGTATAAATTGGATGGTGTGAGGATATAGCTCATGGTGCTCAGCATCCATTTCTTGGAGTTCCAAAAGTGTTCCTTCATCTGTGGAAATGTCTTCTGATTTCTGTAAGCTTACAGCCAGATCCACACATAGGCTTTTCCACATACATAGGAGGGATCATGTGGAAAGAATTAAGTGACCAGGTCCTTCACAGTCCTTAGTGTTGCTGTACTTCTTGCTGTGCTAAACCTGTTTCTCCAACTGGAGCTGCATCTTATTGCATAAGGATACAGCATACAGATTTATAAATTCATCATCTGTTCTATTTCTTTCTCTTACCTGAATAGATATATATTAAAAGAGATGTTATGGTAGAATTCACTTTTAAGAATGCAGCCAAGCTTTTGTAGCATTTCTATGAGTAGGTTTGTACAGGCTTTATTTTACAACTAAATATAAGTTCCATGTACTTTTTCTCTGCAGTATAGGGGAAAGGCCTATAGTTAGTTGCCTGCAAACTTAAGATCAGATTGTTGGAAGAAATTTGTGAAGCTCAGGACAAAAATAATTGCAGAATATGTGCAAACACTTATTCTTGTCCCAGTCTGGCGTTTCTGTGGGCTCTGGCTTCCATCACGGGTGTTTTGTTTCACCAGAAGCGATTTAGTCATGCTGGCCATATGACCCGGAAGGCTGTCTGTGGGCAAACGCTGGCTCCCTCGGCCTGAAAACGAGATAAGCGCCGCACCCCATAGTCGCCTTTGACTGGACCCAGGGGTCCTTTACTTTTACCTACAAATTTCTCTAATCCTGAATTCTCTAATATTTTCCTACAACCCACAGTTTCACAGGACCATACAACAACTTTGCAAACACTCAGAAGTAAAAACATCAGAATCAAAAATTTAGATCTACATGAATTTGTATTGCTGCTTAAAGTATATTCTGTCAAGGATTGTGAAGAAAGGAAACAACATTCAGCTGAGTTCCCACAACACACCCAGTAGGCCTTTCCTTCCCATCTAGCTCTTCAAGGGCAGACTTGTATTTTTAATGGAATTTGAATTGTTGGCATACTTGGAGCACAAGTATTCAGTCCTGAGCTGCCACTCTTGATGTACTTAACCCTTGTTCCAGTTGGAAAAAAGTCCTCTGTTACTTGCAAAGCCGCAGTTTGTTTCGTACATGATGGGAGCAAAAGCTGTCACATCATTACACTTTTTTACTTTACTTCCCCCCTCCCCTTGCTTAGAAGGCTATTCCAAATATATAATTAGGTGGAGCCTTATCCCTATTTTGAAGAGTTGGATTAATTTGGTTTTAAGTATTGTAGAATTGTAATTTCATTTGTACACACAATGAACTTTTAGGCCCAACTGTTAAAGCAGTGCTTATCTTGTAGCATCAGCTGGAGCAAGGCCCCATAGGATAGTTAATTTAACTGAAATGGCAGACATTCAGAGCATGCACATTTGAAATTGCAAAGACCACATCTTCCAGTACCCGCGTTGGGACTGATAACTTGTTGGGAGGAGGGGGGTGGAATAGCTTGGTAATAGAGATCCTTTCACCTGAGATTCTTGACTATGGGAGCCTGTGGGGCTGGTGAAATGAGCCGTAGTCCTACTATGTAAAGAGAAATGAGCAAAGTGTTATAATTCCTCCTGGGGAAGATTTATTCAGATCTATGGTACCAAATGTTTGAGGAGACTGGATCTTGCCTTTTTTATGTGCTAACTGCATCAACAGATGAGATTAAGTTACAGTTACAATAGACAAAGTACTCTGAAGCCAAACAGGCAATCAGCATGAAATTGGACACATTTGCACTATTATACCCTTTCACTATTAAAGGTTTTTCTTAATTAAACCTTCATTAAAGATTTGTAGTCAAATATTTCCAGTATCTGCATACAGGACAACTCCATGCTTTACATGCCGAGCTCATTTTGCTGTGGTGACATAGCATTCAATAAACAAGAGGGTGATATCCACTGATCCACCAGTGGCACGTTACAGTTTGTGGAATGGATTCCTGCTCCCATTGCAGCCCTCTGTACATGCTGCAACTCTGTTATGGCGGCTGAGCTGTAGCAGGTGCAGGGGATTGGAAAGAGGAAGTCCAGTTGCATGAGTGGAGGTCCAATTCTGTGACGTTGACTATTGCCCATAGAAGAAAAAAGAGTGATTGTGGTAAAAATGCAATGTGCTAATATACTTGTAAGCTGAATTCAAAAATGGGTAATACTAAAATACCTCGTAAGCCCAGTTTAATTATTGTCTGCAGTATAGACACTGCAAACTAATCAGTGGTTTGTTCCAAATCAATTTATGAATTGCTTCATGCAGGAAAAAGTCCCACAGTGATTTACAACACTATGCAGTTTATACACAATAAAAAGCCATTGGAACAAAACAAATATGAAAAGTGTAAATTCACAAAAACCACCCAGCAATATAAAAATAATCAGCCCACATTCATAGGAATGAACACTAAAAATAAATAACCAAAAGTCAGACTATTGGAACTCTTTCCAAATGCTTGTGAGAATAAAAATGTTTTTGGCTGGCACTATGAAGGTGACAAAGTCAGTGCCAAGGAAGCATCTTGGGGAAGGACAATCCATTATTTGTGGGTAGCTTCTCTTGTTGACACCCTCTGAATATCTGTTGGAGGGGGTACACAGAAGGACCTCAGATATTGATTTCACCTTCATGTGAGGAAAAGCAGTCCTTGAAGTGCTGGCGTTCATAGCCACCCAAGACTTTATATGTCAAGATTAGCACTTTGAATTGGGGTCAGGAAAAAAATATTGACAGTCAGCACAAGCTAGCCAGAACTGAAGTTATATGTTCAGGCCAGCTAGTCCTGGTCAGTCTGGCTACCACATTCTGCACTAGCTGCAGTTACTGAATAGTCTTCAAAGGTATTTCAACATAAAACACAATGCAGTAATCTATCCTATTACCACATCACTCAAGCCAGGCTATCTGTATCCAGATAGGAAGGCTGCTGGACCACCAGCCAAAGCTATTAAAAGGCACTTGGCGGCATGGAGCCCACTTGTTCCTTCATTGACAATGGAGGATACAGGAGTACCCCCCAGGTTTGCACACCTGTTTCTTCAATGGGATTCTGACCCATCTGGACGGGGGAAGGCTACCTACTGACTGTACATATCTCTTGTCTGAGTTGAGCTTCAGTTTTTTGTCGCTCACCAGTTCCATTATCAAGGCCAGGCACTGGTTCAGCACATCTGCCACGACACCTCTCAGTCCTTCAAACAATGATATGCAGGAGACAAAACAATACTGAACTGTAAAGGACAATATGTTCTGAGAAAAATATGAAGGAAGTACTGCTTGTGCAAAGGAGGCTCTTTGAGAATGACGGTTGGACATTATGTAGCAGGACGGTGATCTCCTGCAGCTTAGTACCATGTAAAGGAGGTGTGGTGCATTGCAAGAAGACCTGACATCAGTACTGCTACAAAACTGCAGATTCTCACACCAGGGAATCTGCGAACAACTGTGATTTGCAAAGTAGATACTGTGGCTCAGTTGTTTTAACTATCAAAAAAGTATGCCACTATTTTCATCCCAAAACATTTGCATGGTTCCATAGAGTGCTGGATGAAGCAAGCAGGAGAGCCATAGCTCAGTGACAGAGCATCTGCTTTGCATGCAGAAGGTCCCAAATTCAATCCCTGGCATTTCCGGGTAGGACTGGGAATGCGCCTGTCTGAAATCCTGGAGTGCTACTGCCAGTCAGAGTAGAACACGGTGGGGAACCTCAGGCCCAGAGGCCGAATCTGAACCTCCAAAGCCTTTTCTAGTCAGCCATTGAGATTTTCCCAAGGTCACACCCCTCACTGTAGTGCTCCACAGCCGCCTCAAGTGCTCTTGCCTGGCACGAATCTGTGCTTGAACTATGACAATGATTCTTGTTTTCTTGAATGGTAGATGGACTGTGTGTGTGTGTGTGTGTGTGTGTGTGAGAGAGAGAGAGAGAGAGAGAGAGAGAGAGACTCTGGCTGGCTGGCTGACTGACTTCTGAGGTTTGTGTGGTTGAACGAAGGTAAAGATTCACATCCGTTGCTGCACCCAGTTCTTGCCACTGGCCCTATGCACCACTATCATGTGGCCCACAGAAGGTTGTCCGTGAGAGTATCTGACTGGCAAATGTTCTAGATGGGCTGATGGGTCTCCCTCAATAAAAGGCGGCTTCCTTTGTTCCTAAGCAAGTCGCTGCATTACTGGATGACCCATAAATTGAATAAAATTAATAGAATTTAAATAATGACCTGACAAACAGAATAGAGCAGAGTGCGTGCAAGACTGTTATCATGTACCATCGGAATATATTTCCTACGTGTATGTTCATGGGCACCTCTCTTTTAATTATGTCAGTAACCACGCAGGCACAGTGGATCCTGGAAGACTAATTTTTGCTGCATCAGAAACTTGCATTTGCCTGGGGCATATAACTGTTGCTTCCAAAGGGCAATCTGTGTTAATATGCACAATTAATTTGCTTGTAGTGGAAATCGGTACATAACCTAGTCCTGGTCCACAAGTGGTAAACAACTGCACTTTTTTGTGAGGTGGCCTTGAACTCTCCTGGCATAATATGTTGAGAAACTTGAGCTGGCTCCTAAAATCTGGGCCAAGTAGTTTGGCATCTAGCCAAGGAACACTTCGTTTTGATCCTCTTTAGATCCTCAAGTATTCTGGACAGCTAGAAATTAACAGTTCTTTGATTTGTAGCTCAGTGGATGATACAGTTGCTGGGTCACTGGTTTGTGTTAAAGTAATCCCACTTGGATATAAATTTTTGGTCTCATTGTATTTAAAAAGGGGTGCAAATATAGAATGAATGTTGTATATTTATTCTTCGTGCACATGAATTTCTTCAGCTCTTGCAGTTTAACAAGTGGGACTTATTTGATAGTACTTCTCTACAAGCCTGAAGTCTGGGCTGACTTGCAGAAATATTGCGCTACAGTGTGTGGTGTTTAGCAGTTAGAAATCTACTACATGAGAACTCTTTTTATAGTAGAAATACAGGGAGAGAGGAGAACCTTGAATTACTTCATGCCACCACCTGCTGGCAAAAACTCACCATGTTAATTGAAATCTAGGATGATGTCTCAGTTATCAGTTGTTTTGTCTGCACTACCTCTTTCCAGTTGTCATTTCCTCCTCTTTTGGTGTATACTGTGCTTTAGGGAAGGGTCATAGCTCAGTAGCAGAGCACGTGTGTTGCATGCTAAAGGGCCCAGGTTCAATCCCTGGCTTGTCTAGGTAGGGCTGAGAATGTCCCTTGGCTGAGATGATGGATTTTTCGAAGCTAGCCGACCTGACTGGAAGAGTCCGTGACCAGAGGGAGGAGGATTACCAGGAAGAATGGACGAAATTTAAAGACTATTTAGTTAAATATGTTAAGTTAAATTAATTGGAAAGGCTTGCAAATACCAGATAGGCTTAGGACTTAAATATGTAATGTGATAAATTACTATGTTGAAATTTAGATTGGGAAAGAAAGAAAGATGTTAAGTGACTAAGTTAATTTTATGAGAATATAGGTTTTGGAAAACCTTTAAAATGATATACACTGAAATTCAACCAAGGGGATACGAGGAAGTCGCTTAACAATTTTAATAAGATTAGTTTTAATAAGGTTAGGATTTATGATTGTTTGTTTATTTGTTTGCGTGTTTAAACATTTTGTGGAAAACTAATTAAAAAAAATTGGGAAAAAAGAGAGAATGTCCCTTGGCTGAAACCCTGGAGAGTCACTGACAGTCAGTGTTAACAATACTGAGCTAGATGGACCAAAGGTCTGACTCAGCCTTGACAGTTTCCTGTGCATTCATGAAAAACGGGTCAAGAAGGTAGTTTCTAAACATATCCCAAATGGGGTCCCTAAGACTGTTGGATGGCACCTTGTATGCCCTCCTACCAGCAACTGAGGCAGGCTAGCTTGTGCCAAACATATTGCTCTGCTTTCCTTTGGACCACATCAGTGAGGCCGGGGGAGGGGGTCTTGTCCATCTGGGCAGCTCAGGACCTCCATACACACTGGAAAGTTACTTCTGTACTGCTAACACAGCAGTTTGTCTTCACCCCTGGACGCACACTCCATTGTCTCTCGAGATAGATGGATGCCAACAAGGAGGATGTCCAGGAGTTATTGGGGATGCATTCACCTACCAATCTTAAAGTAAATAGATTATTTACTTTTATGATTGTTTGGTTTGAGTTAGTATATCATTAATACAGTTGGAGGAACTTACATTTGCCCCACTAAATCCAAGAAGAAATTCCTCACCTGTCTGTACTTTGAAGTTTAACTGTGGTTCTTTTCTTTTTAATTTTTTTAAAATATATTTTCAGTATATCAACTGTGGTAACCTAGAACAGCTGTTGGATGGTAATCAACACCTGCCTTGGACAGTAAGGGTGAAGCTGGCACTGGACATTGCTCTGGGACTCACTTACCTTCACTATAAAGGCATTTTCCATCGGGATCTGACATCCAAGGTACCATGCGTCCCTATCAAATGAAACCATTTGGCAATAGATGTGTATTACTTAGCGAACTACAAACAATCTTGCGTAGTTTTACTTTTCTCCAGCCCCACTCAGTGCCTCAAACTGTAAAACTGTTACGTAAAATGTCACTTTAAAAGATTGTGAAAAAACACTGAAAACATAGTTTAGTGGATTAAACTTTCCCAGAACAACTCATGTTGTGTAGATGTCTGAGAAGAAACTAACCTGAAGTAGAGGTCACAAATAAATGAGTTAGGATTATGTTCCTGGGAAGGTGGTTGCACAACTTCTTTAATTTGTTCGCAGCAAGTTATTCAAACTTCTAGTTCCCAAAGCCTAGGGATCCAGCTGCTACACATTTTATAATATAAAACTACAAAAAGATGCAGACATACATACTTGTCTCTGTGTCCCACCCTACTTTCTTAAAGGTTTATTGCTGTATGTTTAAATGTTCCCCATAACTTCAGATACGTTCAACATTGTTCTACAGGTGACCTAAACTGCTACAGAGCAACACTAAGCTGGTAGTAGTTTTACTCCAGCAACTGTTCAACTGATGCATAAAACAGGGCTACAAATAATTGCATAAACTTTGCTTTTCAAGATGCTGTGTCATTATGACTATTTAACATTGCAGCTAGTAATATGAAAATCATTTCTTTCCTTATAAATGTCCCATTGTAATTGCAAACTGGTGAGGAAAGCAATCAGAAATTTATCACCTTGACGATTATCTGTTGTTTTGGCACTAATTCATAAACAACACTATTATAAACAGCTAATGATTAAAAAATAGTGATAGTGGTTTTTTAAATGTGCCATAGGTAAAATGCCGAGTTACGATGAAGGTTCTCATGCCAAAACTGCAAATGACCAGCTGGGATGCACTTTAATAGTCTGCCAACTCTGGGGAGATGGGACAAAATGGAATAAAGAGTTACTGTCTCTGTTCTTGGGAAGCAAAGCATCCCAAATGCCACATCTTCTGTTTATATGAGTATTTCCAGACTTCAGTATACTGATTTTTGTAACTGAACTGTGGTCTTTTTTAAACTAATTCAAATGGAGGGCAAATATTAACAGGTGGTATACTTATGGCTGAAGAGTTGTGTGAGCCTTGAAAGTAATTAGGTTATGCCTGAAACACTAAGATGAGAAGCTTTAGTACAACAGCACTTAGGCTGCATTGATATCACTTAATAGTGTAAAATTGTTTGGTGTTACAATATTGGTGAGCAAATCATAATTCCTGTTAGTGTTGCCTGTGGTTTCACTATCTTACTATTTAAGTGATTGAGATACAAACGATGAATTCTCACGTTTGAATCAGCCCTGAACTCACTAGGTAGCCTTAAAAAAGCTACATCCTCTCAATGTTGACCCCTCTCCCCATTTGTACTATGATGATATCTACCTTTATAGATAGTTAGAATCACAACACAATAATGTATTCATATGTGCAACCTTTTTGAACCCTTTAAATCAGGGGCAGGGAAGCTTTAGCAGCTGGTAGGCCATTTTGGCAGCTCCCCCATCCCCTGCAGACCAATTTGACAGCTGGGTGGAGCTGTCCACTCAAATTACCAAATTACCTGACTTCAACATGACATCAGATGACGCAGAGTAATTATTTTCCTTTGTCGCCATGGCTTGAGCCATGCCAGTAGATTAAAATCATTTGGATCACCTGCTTGAATTCAAGCTGAGAATACAAAGTAATTGGTTCTTTCAGCAGCACCAATCCTCACTTGCCAAGGAACAACTGGGAGCACACTCCAAATCATTTGTTGGCTGCTGTGTGTCTACCTGCTGCATACTTGACATCACAGGTATGGGGTATAGAATTGTAGAGTTGGAAGGGACCCCGCGGGCAATCTGTTCCAACCCTCTGAGAGGCAGGAATCTCACCTTGCAATCCCCCATCCACTTTGAAACCAAAGCAGACCTGCTTAGCTTTGCAAATGTACTAGCAGTTCTATTTCCTGGCAGAAAGCCCCATTTAATTCAATAGGATTTTCTTCTGGGTAGGCGTGGTTAGGATTGCACTGCAAACCTCCTTTGCCAGTATCTATCTGACTTGTTTGTGTTTTCTAGGTAGGATCCTAAGAGGTTTTATATTTAATCCCAGCAAAGCCCCTAATGGTTGAACATCTTTATCAGTATCACAAAGGACTTGTGTTGAACAGCTAAAATATTTGCATTTCTCACCATTTCTTCTTTGCTTTTAAACACAGCCTGAGAGGCATTCTGTGAAGCACAGAAGCTCTGCCTGAGGGTCCAGTTCTTTTCCTCATTTGAAAAATAGTAGCATTTTTGCTTGTATGCTTTCCAGCCAGATGCACATGCATGAAGCTTACAAGGAGAGACAGACAGCTCAGGGTTTTTTGAGGAAAACATCCTTGTGGACCATTTTGGGATCCTTATCAGACTAACGACCAAAGGTTCTTCCCTGCACCCTGGTCTAAATGCAAAATATACTGAGAACACTGTGGAGAATGAGGAGTAGATTTCCATGTTGCCATTATGCTTCTTGAAAAGTTTTCAAGATTTTCAAGTTTGACAAGCCAGAGCAGTACAAAAGCTCCATAATCCTAAAATTAAAAATCCTAAAATAGAAATACCAACGTTACTTAAATGGTAACAATTCTACTCATCATATTTTTTTTATGCTAGCCTTTTTCCTACCTTCCTTTGATTTATGGAATTGCTATTTAAGCTAGTGAACTTTATATTTGGATTTAGATAATTTGCTTGTAAAACCTTCAAGTTGGCAGAAAGGAATAATGAAAAAGGATGAGAAGCAGGAGACAATGAGTTATTGTGAGGATGCATTTCTTACCTGTTAATGTTTTTAGATAAATCTGTTTGTCTGAGACAAACTTTTACAGTGCAAAATTGTCTGAACTCTCTCTTGTATATATATAGAGAGAGAGTTTATATCACACTTTTCAGCATAAATTGAGTCTCTTAAATGACTTCATTTAGCAGACATGGATTTCTTTAGCAATACTGTAAAAGTTGTATGTAACCATTAAGACAGTAGCAGGATCATATTGTCCCATTTGGCTGTTTTAGCTAATGTGAAGGAAACTGTGGTAACATGCCTGAATATAAAGCAATCCTTCTTTGCTTTCAGCAGCACAAAGAAAATTAATGGAAACTGCATTGGGCCTGAACAAGCTATTGCTAGTGGATATCTTTTCTTATGTGAGAAGAAAATAAATGTTGAACTTCCTTAGCAGGATTACACTGTGCAAAGCAGATGTTAAGCTCTCTCAACACACAAAAGGAGCTTTATGTTCACTCACATCTGTTTATGTATAAACATTTGTTAACTCTTTGGAGCTCAGTTTCAGCTTCTTTAAGTGAAGATTTCAGCCTAAGGAATAACTCAGGTTGTATAAACTTCCAGAATTGTATCTCTGGGGAAGTCTCCACAGAGAGATTTGATCATGTATTATTGGACTTTTTTATACATGCAATGTAGCAATACATTCCACAGAATTTGAATCTGCATAACGAGGGGCCATAGCTCAGTGGTGGAGTGCAATATTTGCATACAGAAATATTCCATGTTCAATCCTTGGCACCTCCAGCCTGTGAAAAGCCTCTGTGCAAGACCAGTCAGGGTAGAGGGTACTGGGCTAGATAAATAGAGCAGTGCTAGTCCCAACCACCATGTTTCAGATGGTGATGGGTGATTGAACATACAAAAAGCGCCTCTCTCATTGACCTCAGTGGACAGGCAAGATTAAAGTAGGGCAGGTGGCAGTCCTTTAAATATCCTGGACTGAAACATATAGGGTTTTAAAGACAATGACTTTGAATTTTGCCTGAAAACAGTATGGTAGCAAACCTGATTTTTTTTTTCCTCAAGGGGAATACAATTCCATCCAAAACCTATTGCTAGACTGTCACTCCTTACTACTAACCAAGAATTAAATTCATTATAAATACTTATTTTCAGGGATGTTATAGTTGACAGTGAGTATTCTGAGTGAATGTCACCATTGGTTCCCAGTCTGATTGCCTTCTCTTTATCAAAATAAATATAATTAAAAAGTTTCCCAGAGACCTTCTGTGAAGCTCAATCCAGGGACATATCTATAAGAATTACCCACAGTTGCCTTGTAGAGCACAGCTTGGCTAATCAGTGATGTGGGTTTTCTGGAATAATTTTCTGATGTCCTTGTAGTGTTATCTGATTTAGCAGATTGCCCGTGTTAATTTGGGTCTCAATACATATTAGTATTTGAACTGAAATTTGATTAGAGAAGAAACTAAATAAAGCACAATTAATATGGCTTAAAATTGGGTTTTTTAAAAAAAAAATCTATATGGGACTTACCTATGTACACATAGATCATAGATCTGTAGAGTTGAAAGAGACCCAAAGGATCACCTAGTCCTGCAAATGCAGGAATTGCAGCTAAAAAATAGCTGACAGGTAGATTTAAACACTTCCAATGAAAGAGAGTCCCTTTCCCTTCTAATGTAGTGCCTTTCCACTGTTGAACAGCTCTTACTGTCAGAAAGTTCTTCCTAATGATTAGTTGGAATCTCCTTTCTTGTAATTTGAACCCACTGGTTCAGGTAAAACACGATGCTTTACAAATAGCATTCTAAAATAAACACAGGAAAAACAGAGGAAGTGGGAGGGAAATGCAGGCAGAGAAGAACATGGTGGTTTCAATTACACACACTTTGACTTAGTTACAGTAAGGTATAGTTATTGGGGTGAAGGGGCAGCAAATTTAGAGAGAACAGGAAAAGGGAAGTTTTGAGCGAGATAATGAATAGGAATGAGGTTAGGAGACAAACTGTGGGTGGGTGCCATAATGATTGAAAAGGGTATCTCAAGCAGAGTTTGACATGAAGTTATGTTCAAACAAATTCAAAGCAGTTATTCTTATTGGAATACTTGTAAAAGTTTGGACAATAAGATATGCCTCCCATGCATTGTTTACATTTAAGGAACAAAATATTGAAGGCTAATGCAGGAAAGCAAATGAATAGCAACCACTCACTGATCAGCAACATATATTTTTTTTGAGAAATACAACTCTGTATTCAGGGCATATAGTTTGAAAGTTCATAAACTGTAAGAGAAAGCTTAATTTCATTGTATTATACTAAAAGCTTCTTAAATAGGTAGAAAAATTACTTGCCATATGAAGCACCAAAAAAGAACCCTAGCATTATCAAATGGCTGCTGCCCAATATATGGTTACTTCTACACCAACTGCTGAATTTTCATCGTGGTTTTAACATTGCTGTATGATTAATGTTATCCCTCTAGGATTTAGCTGCATTTTGCAGTGAACAAATAGTTTACCACAAGCAAGCTGAATGAATGCATTCTTTGACGAGAGATAACAAAGGCCATAATTGAGAAGCTTTAGTGTGTGTTGTGTTGGCCTGATTTAGTTGACCTTGTGCAATTTTTTAAAACTCAAAGTGAGCTGTGTGTGCTATAACTGATCCAGGTTAAAATAAAATAAATATTAATTGGGACCTAGGAATCAAACAGGAATCTCTGTGTGTCCATGAGAGAAGTACAATGAAGATCTGAGACCTCTCCCTTCCTCCCCCTTCCCTTTCCTATCTGCTCTTTTTATGAGCAGGCAAGTACCTGAATTTATTTTGCTGGTTTTGCAGGTTACAACTCAAGAGAAGTCCATAAAGTCACTGCTGCCTGCTGTTAACATGGATGTGTGTGTTACGCACAGTGGGCGATGCAGTTGTGCAAGAAATTAAACTGGACAAAACTAAAACAGAACATAACTTTACTATACTTTCATTTTATAATGAAAGGCTAACAGTGGCCAGTGCCAGAGGCATCAGTACATTAGAGAGAACAGTACACAGACCAGAATGCTTAATTTCCCCCATCTGCTCCTTGTCTTTGACAGTTAAGTATCATTGTAATGATGTGGTCATTGCTCTCCAAATCCATTAAAGACTACAGTTCACAGTCCTAGTTAACCTACAAAATTTTGGCTAAGTGAGACTTGACAGTGGCTTGCAGACATTGGAAGCAAGTTATTTTTTAATTTTAAAATAGATTAAATGTATGTAGTGATCTATTTTAAAAAGCAAAATCCGAAAAATGTTCTGAATTGAAATATCAAATTAATGTTCTACCTGAGATCTTAAAATCAGTAAAAGGGGGGTGGGGAGAAAGGAATTAACACAGTGCTTAAACTACAGCCTAAATGCAGTGTAAACCTAGAAATTATAATTCATAGTAGTAATAATCCATGAACTGAATCTAGTAATGATTTCGCTTAAAGATATCAAACAGCACAAGAGTCCAATGTATCATATTTGTTCCTTGTTCTGCTTGGAACTCATTCCTAGATGTGTTTGCTCAGAAATCTTGCTGGGTTCAGTATGATTTGTTCCCAAATGTGAATAGAATTTCCAGCCTTATGGTGCGGTTGTATACTTGTTGAGAATTCCTACTGTGTTCAAGGGGGATTGCTCCCTAATAAGCATGTTTAAGAGTGGAGCCTTAGGCTGCAATCCAATACATACTTACCTGGGAGTAAGCCTCCTGAATGTAATGCAACTTACGTCTGACTCAGCAAGCATAGAATCGCACTCCTAGTTTCTCTAGCCTCCCAAATGTTCCTGTGCTATTGGGTAATTATTCAGGTAACTGTTGCATATTTAGAATTGGGGTGGACATTCTTTTTCCCAGTCAAACTGTATAGTAAACCAGAACAGATTGCTAAAAAAAATGAGCAGTAGCTTTGGCTGATCTTCAGATCAGTCATATCTGGAGATTGCAGAAGCCAGAGTTTTAGTAGGTATATTTGCCTAGGACTGTATAACTAGTCCTCAAATACATACACTTGGCTGCCTATTGGCCACCAGGCCAATTTCAGAGTTTTATTTCTGACACACAAACCCCTAAATGGCACAATAGGGGCCTGATTATCTGAAGAAACACCCCATATTGTTCTGGCCAGGCTTTGTGGTTGGAGGCTCCTCTGGCAGTGCCATTGCTGACTGAAGTCACAAGATGACGCACCAGAGGGTCTTGGCAAGAGCACTCCATTTGTGGTACATTCGCTCCCCTCAGAACTTCACCTGGTTCATACTTGTCTATATTTATGCACCAGCTAATGACTTTTCTCTTCAGCCAGGCCTCTTAAATTTGTGGTGCATGTGCCTGCATTACAATGAGAGGTGTTCCTTGTAATACCTGACAGATGGATTAATTACTATGATTAATGGTTTGTTAGTTGATTGTATATTTAATTTTGTGAGCTGTCTCGAGATCGCTTCTGATGGTGGGATACCATATAACACACACTCTTACTTGCATTGCTTCCTAGTTTTAAGTTTTTAATGGTGGGATTCAAATGTGGACCACACTAATTCCCCTCTTCTTTTCATTCAGAACTGTTTGATAAAGCATGATGAGAATGGATATTCTGCTATAGTTGGTGACTTTGGCTTAGCAGAGAAAATCCCCGACTTCAGGTAAGTAGCATTGTCAGCATGAATCAAAATGAGGAATATTACTGCAAACATAAAATATGGGGGAAATCCTCAGCTGTGGGAATAAAATGGCAAAGAAATTTAAAGGTACTGTCTGAAAATTCAGTAAAGCTTTTAATCTGTCAAACAAGTAGTGACCATTCACAGCAGCAGGTATTGGTTATAAGTTATTTAACAGAATCAACTTCTCATTGCTAATACCTGTAGTGGGAGAGAGAACCATTTTGTATATACAAACAGAATTAAACTTGCCAAACAGGGCAAACAAAATCAAATATAGTTATTAGTTCTAATTCTTCTATTTCATGCTAGATTTCTTTTTGAATTTCTTCTAATAGAGAGTGGCAGCTTTCAGATCAGCAGCAACCTGCAAAACCAAAGCTGAAGAATAACAGGACTGTATTCCACCTGTTTGCAATTATTGGCTTTTTTTAGCCCACCTATTTATATTTTCTCTCTTGTATGCCCCAGTGTGTATATGTATCTGTCAAGTGAGGATAACAGTCCCAGCAGCAACTTATGAAATGGACTCCAGACCATGAAAGCTTATGCCATAATAAATTGGTTAGATTTTAAGGTGCTATAAGCCTCTTTGTTTTAGCTGCAATAGACTAAGACTGAAGTTGCTCTGGGAGTTTTTACCAGGAGTTTGCATAGTGGCTAAATGAGGTCATCTCCTAAAAAAAAGATAGATGTTGGTGCTCACCTTGACATGCACCTTTTGATCCTCAGTGTTTGCTGCAGTATATGTTTGCTCAGTGATGAATATAAGTACTTTGCACATGCTCAGGTATATCTTCCTTTACACGATCCGCATTTGAGTTCTCACACTGAAATCAGTTCCTGAAAGTTCCATACAGTTCTTTCAGATATCATCACGCCACTTAGAAACCTTTCTCCTTGCCTTCCTGTTTTTCATTTTCTTTTTTAAAAAAGATATCAAAATGGTTTGACTGCTGTGTAAAGTACCATGAATACTAATGAGTGGGGTTCTGTAAAATTACTATTTTAGTGACTATTTTGACCCTGAACATGCTTCAAGCAGTTATGCAAATCAGTATTGTCATATTCTTCCCATTGGATAAGTGATCCATTAATGAACTGAACTAGAACAGTTTGGGTGAAACAAAATTAACTAAAAAATGTACTGACTCAACACAGCTGCTCTATAAATATGGAAATGAATTATTTCAATTTCCAGGAAGCGTCCCATCATGCTTCCTAAGTAGAATACTTTTCTGAATTGTCTAGGGAGAAACTTCTGAATAGTCTGATTTGTCATGGGATATTTTGTTCAAGATAAAAATTATCCGCTACTGAATGGTGTTCTGAAGTGTCAACTGTTGCCTGTTAATGATATCTGAAGACTTGCTCTAAAGAGCCTAGAATATGAAGAGGCCTTTCAGAAGAAAGGACAGAAGCTCTTTTGGCTTGCAGTGGTACTCTGGCCGCTTCACACTTCACCTCTGCTCTCTCCATCACCTTCTGTTGTCCAGACAAATAGAATCAATATGAATGGCAAGAGAACAGCTTGTACTTGTTCCCATGCTGAAAGTGAAAGGAGTTGCAAAGAAATGCTTAATTTGCCAGCTTCTAACCACCTCTCTCTTCAAATGTTTAAAGTGAGAAACTACCAGTGGTGGGCTCTCCTTACTGGATGGCACCTGAAGTGCTGAGAGATGAGCCATATAATGAAAAGGTTGGTCTTCTTTAATTATACATTAGTTAATAGATACTGGGTTGCTGGTTGCCTGGCATAGTTGGGGGTGGGGGACTTGTGAGCATCTGTAGCTTTAAAGCTGTTCTAACATGATAGTAATTAATACGTTTAGCTGAATGGGTCCTACGTAGAAAATTCAATTGGAATCTGCTCCTTCCTGAACATGATTTCAGAGTTCTGTGGATTACTATAGATCCCATTTGAATGGAACAACAGCACTTTTTATTTCATTAAGTGGAATAAATATCCAAGGTTTCTGTTTTTCTTAATTTTCAGAGTAGCAAAAAATGGGTTTCTCAACCTTTACAGTTTTATTATGGCAATAAATGCTTCTAGATAAGCAAGTAAAAAGCAGCACAGCATAAATCATATGAAACCCTGTGCCTGCAAGTACCTAGCTGAATTATCTCATATGATAGGTATGATATGCTATAAGGGAGGTTGTTTTCTCTAGTCATACACATGCTGTTTTGTTTTGAATATTGCACAGCAATGTGTTATGTACTTTCTCTTTCCTGTGAGTAGTATTTTTTATAGCTCTAAATACATTTGGTAATTGTTTGGATGAGCTCTCTCTCCCAATTAATACTGCAACATTTTCTGATTTTCCTTGTTTGGAGTGGGCAGTGGGATACATGTACATTAGATGTACATTATTTTTTAGCACACCACATTTTTGTCCAGGCTCTCCCAGACTGAGCTTGAATATGTTCTTCTGGTTTGCAACAAAAGCCAGTTTTGCACAGTACTGATTAGCTGGCCTCAACCACAGTCACATCTTCTCAGAGCAGTTTTAAGAGTCAATAAAGGTTAGCCATTTTTTTAAAAAGTGTAGTAAATATACACTTGATCATATAACAATACAAATTGGGCAGCCTACCTGAAGCATGGAAGGGAAAGGGAAACAGCCAATTGGACCTTGATCTGGGGCTTGCACACATGCATTGAGCAGCAGAGATGGGGAAGCGGAGATCACCTCAAAGTTGAAAAGTCCACATTGAGCCCTGTTTACAGGTACATCTCTGGGTCCTAAGATACCTGTTCAATGAACGTGCTTTTATGCATTATCCCTTAGGAGAAGGAAGTGAGACTGCCACTCTGCAGGCCTAGGTTTTAATTGCTTGACCTAGAACTTTGGCAAATGTTGGAAAGTAAAAAACGTGAACACCATAGACAACACTTTTGTCATGTGAATGGGGACGGGAGACCCTACCAGATCAGGCAGCATAGGAGTGCTTGTAATAAAGTTGTGGTCATGTTTTCTTTCTCCCCCTCCACCCCTCCTCAGGCGGATGTATTCTCGTATGGCATCATTCTTTGTGAGATTATAGCAAGGATCCAGGCAGATCCAGACTATCTCCCTCGCACAGAGGTAAGCAGAGTGCATTAACAAGGACTGGAAAGGGAAGAATCCTCAAGAATTTCGCTGGGTCATTAATGTTTGCAGAGTTGCTGAACACATGATGAATGACCGCTGTATAAGTCTTCTAAGAAAGCATTCATCCTCTGCTACAGTAGCATGCAGAGACTGGCACTAACCTCTTCTCTCCACTCCTTCCCCATTTAAAGCACATAATTATACTTTGCAGGTGAGTGCTATATCAGGAATTAGTCATGAGCTTCTATAATATCTGACTGGTATAACCCAAAGCAGGTTATTGATGGTACCTTATTCACTGAAAGAGGACTATCTGCATAGGAATCCTTCTCTTCTAAATTAGAAATACATTTTGGTATTGGCGGGTTGCCTCACTACCTCAGTGAGCAGGATAAGAGAGAAGTTGTCATGTCCTATCCTACCTATGCAGAAAGTTCCAGGTTCAACCCCATGCATCTCCAGTTAAAAAGACTTGGTAGGCACTGATGTGATAGACCTCTGCAGGTGACACTTGAGAATTGCTGCTAGCTGAAGTAGATGATGCTTGGCCAGATTGCAAGTAGCCTGACCTGGCTTAAGACAGCTTCCTATGAAATATTCTCAAACTGAAAGTGTAGAAAATGTCTTCTCTTTGCAAGAGAAGGGGGGATTTTGAGGCAGTCATCTTGCCTTGGAGAGAACTTAGGAAATTACCAACTCTTAAAGTAGTCCATGCCAAAGTTATTGCAAAACTAGATGGATTATGATGCAAGTTGAAAGTTTTCCTACTTCATCACAGATACGTTATGCAGTTTATTTATGCATTTTAAGCTGTAGATGGCTAAACATTGTACAGTTAGGAATGTCAGGTTATATGAGCTGATAAATTCAGCTCATATGGCAGAATGTTTAGGAGACAGTAGGTGTACCTCAGTGTCCATACAAGATCAAGGCACAAACTGAGACAAGAAGAAATTACCCTTTCCCCTTGCCATTGCTCATATCTACATAGGAACCTTGCATTTGTGTTAGAGCACTAATAGATGTGATTTGGTGTGTTGCTTGTATGGGGAATAACCTATATATGTAATTCATTGTATTGCTTAAGTAGAGAATTATTATCTGTAATTCCCTTTCATGCTTTGCCTTGTAACACTGTCTTCATGATTTCCTCATTTCCTCGTCTAGCACATGTTTCCTCCCCGTATCTCTCTTGTGCCTCAATTGTTAACTTTTCCCTTCCTTTTCTTTTTCCACCTCTACTTGCAGAATTTTGGGTTGGATTATGATGCTTTCCAGCACATGGTGGGAGATTGTCCCCCTAACTTCCTCCAGTTGGCCTTCAACTGCTGCAATGTGAGTATATTTAAAGGAAAAGAATGGAATGAGCATATTTCCTAAAACAAAACATCAGTACACTGAGGCCTCTGGTACCTTGAATAAATGGTTCATGAGGGACTTGGAGGAGAGGGCATCTATACAATCTAATGTTAGATTTGTGGAATGCAAGTAGGATATTTTAAAGCAAAGAGGATATTTTAAAAGTTATAGTTCCTCTGCTCCACATTGCTTTAGATGTATGGCTTTGTCAAAATGAAACATCAGTTAATCTTTCTTCCATGTAACATAACAATATGCCTGTAGGTATACATGCGTTAAAGATGGTGCCTGTGAGAATTAATTTATAAAAAACCCATAAAATCATGTTTTTGTAACATAGTGCTATGTGTACAGATTTTTCTTCATGACTAAGCTCTGATGTATCTTGTCACTTATTTTGTTAATAGATGGACCCAAAATTACGTCCTTCATTTGCTGACATTGTCAAGACACTGGAGGAAATTCTAGGGAATTTGAAAAGTGAGGAGGCTGAAAGAGAAAGAAAGCTCCTAAATCTGGACAGCACAGATCGAAAACCCATCTCAGTTTCCAAAGGTAGGGATCAAGGGGAATGAGCACAAAGCTGCTCTGATTTACTAAGCAAGAATAACAAAAATTGTATTATAGTGAGGGTTCCTTTCTTGAATTTTTGATGGGGAATGTAAACCAGAAATAATACTTTTATTTCTAAATAAGAAAAGTTGACTTGAGCTGCATTATCACGAAATTCAATATTGATGTTGCGTTGGGGAAACAAGGTGTGTGCCAAAGCCCCTTTTCCCCAGACAGGCCTATGGAAAAGGTACAACTCTGTCCCAGCTCTGTCAGTTCAGGTTGGGGAGAGAAAAGGAAGCTGCTCTGTCTGCAGTGGCAGTAGCAGGACAGTTGGTATGATGGACACTCTGCAAGTGGATCTCCAGGATGTTGTCTTGTCTTCTCTCTGCCACGCCCCATGTGTAAATGTGAATTAGAATTGCTCTGCTTAAATGTCATTAAGGGTCAACTTGACTAGTGGAGTAAAATAATCCTTTGTTTGGTGTCTTAATCCTTGCAGGATCAGAGGAGGTGCCACTTTGAGAACAAACTTTCCCCCATACCCTAATATCATTTCTGAGACACCCATTTTTTATGCATCATAGGCTATGACAGATGAAGACCAGTTCTCACAAATGCTTTGTTGCTTGACATTAGTCCTCTTATTTTATTTTTCAAAGGGAACATTTTATTTGAATATGATGTAAACTTTTATCGTTCATCTTTTTTATTCTTACTTCCCACTTTTTCTAAAGCCCTGCTCCGTAGGTACCCAAATTCTAACTATATAGACCTCAAAAGGAAACTGTTACATAAGTAACTACTAGCTGTTAGTAGCTTTTTCTGTAGCTTGCACTTTTGGAGTTTAAATATCTAATTTTAGAAGCAAACAAGGCTCCTGGTGTCTGCTGTGCCCTTGTGAAACAGATTCCAGGAACTTCATCCAAATTAAGCTCTTCCTTGTTGGCTTGGGATGTCTGACCTTTAACCAGAGGCTGACGTATTGCAAAGTATTTCCTAGAGACTATATCAGATCAGTTTGAATTCTTGCAGCTTTGAAGACTACTGCTGCAAGTTGGTTTGTGGAAACTGCGAGTGAAATGAATCTACGGACTGGATACATTGTTTTGGGCCATAGGTGTCATTACCCCACACAATAAGGATTGAGGACTGTACGGAAAAGTGCCTTCATTTGAACAGTGATAGCCGCTGTCAGCTTGATCCAGAGTACACTGGGTTCTTCATTCTTTGCAATATTAAGGGCACTGGAGACATGTGAGGAGAGCTGTACTTGGCATTGTGCAAATGAGGAAGCGCTTTCATATCTGGGAGATACGTGTGGACCCTGAAACTTGTTCAAAAGGTTTCTGTATCAGTGCTGGTTAATTGCAAATCCTTTAATGTACCCAGAAATATGTATGTTTAACATAATAAAACATAGGAAGCGTTGGTGTTAGGATTGGATTGTACCTTCTTGTAAAGCATCACACTGCCCCCTGGTGTGCTTAGAGAAATTGCAGCCAAAATTTGGGTACCTGTTCTCAGTTTTGAGAGGAAGCTGTTACATGGCTGGGACAGCTACTTTCCACTTGACCTTAATATTTGCAGTTGCTCTATTTAGTGATGCATTATTTACATGTATTTAACAGATTTTACCCCCAAGCCCAACTGCTGTGTGTCATAGTTTCTGCACTGGACTATGTGCTGTTTCAAAGCTGATGTGGAATATAACCTCTTCACTTCCAGAGGGAGGTATTATTGTTTGCCTTCACCTTTCAAAGCACAGGGGTGTCTTTGCTCTAAGGAAACCTCACGTTGAAAACATCAGCCTTTAGTAGCATGAATTTGTCTTATAGTCTCATGAAATGGTGGCTGTCCTCCTCAACACTTGTTCTTGGGAACAATCTGCTAGTGCACAGAGCACAATAATAGAATGGGAAGGCTATATCTCCTGTTACGTTGGCCTTTGAAAATACTTGCCCACATGTAATAGAGATAAGACTTGTTATTCTGTCTTCAGTCTTTAACAATTGGTACTTCATTCCCCTCTAATGGTCTATGCAGAATGAAGCTCAAAGCAGTAAAATGTTGACTTAGAGAAAAGATTTTGGATGAACATGAGGAGTTAGGGATCATATCAATCCTTAGATTACTTTAAACACTATTTATTAGTACTAATATTCTATACTAGACCTTTACTTCCTACTTAGCTGAATAAAAAATTATTTGGATCTCAACTGATACAGAATTCCATGTGAGTCCATACATTTCCAAGGTGTGGGGTTTTGTGGAAGACTGAACAGAATGTCATATGTACACTGGTGATCTTTTTCTGTATCATTCTAATCCTGTCACTAGCAACATCCTTTAAGTCTGATTTTCTTTTTCTCTCCATTCTAGGTTTACTGGAGAGGGGACAAGGAGTAAAAAGGCTAAGTTCACTGGATGACAAGATTCCACCTAAATCACCCCGTCCACGGCGCAATATCTGGCTATCGCGCAGTCAGTCAGACATATTCTCTCGCAAACCTTGCCGCAAGATAAATGTTCAGGACCCCTACTATACACCAAGCAAAGGGGCAAACCGGAAAGTCAACCCTTTCAATTCTAGGGAAGACTTGAAAGGTGGAAAGGTCAAATTTTTTGATTTGCCAAGCAAATCTGTGATATCACTTGTATTTGACTTGCACTCCCCGGAGGCAGAAGGATGTCTAAAGATGAACCAGACCCCATTCCGGCAGACTTCTAACACTGACTGGCTGGACTCCTCTTTCCTTCCTGTAAGACGGAGCAGATCACTTCCAGGATCTCTTGAATTTGTGCATAAAGATAATAGAACATTTGGGGATCTCTCTTCAACCATTAGTAGATGCGATCCCAGCCAGCTGGGGGCTGAAGTGCGGCAGAAGCTACTGAGCAGCAGTCAATATGGAGTGTCTGAGATTCCTCCTTTTCAGGCCAAACATCATAGGCAGGACTCGCCTTCTCCTCTTCTGCAGGAGGAAGAAATGGACTATTCTGATGGACTGGAGCCCCAAGATGAAAATGGGTACTGCCCTGTAAATTTTGCTAAGGAAGTAGAACTCGGAAAGCCCAGGGGGCAAGTTGCCCAGAATGTAGATGGTATCTTGGCACATAATTTAGACCATTCAGATAGTAGATCCTCAGAGATGTTTATGAGCTGCATCTCCTCTGAAGATATGGAAGTTGAAGATGAAACTCAAAGGAACATGCCTTCCACTAGGTCGGAGTCTTCCAAACTATTGTTCAGTGTTAACCCTCCCCCACAGTCTGGCAGAGAAGCCTCTCTTTTTGAGGCAGTGGATAGTGACATCTCAAATCTTGTTTCTCTGCCATCTTCAGATGCACCAGCATCAGTATGCGAGCAATCAAAATGTGACATTTAAAGTTCAGCCATGATACCATGGTGGCATATTCCTCCCAACTTCTTTGCTTTTTTAATTTTTTATTTCAGAATACTCTAGCAAAGTGTAGCAACCAGACCAGTCCATTTGGAGAGACAGCATGTATGTCAGTGTGTGAGAGATCATAATCCCTTACCGTACCTCAGGAGGCAGCTACTGCAGGCAGAAGGGGAGAACAATATCTCCATGGAATGCCTGGATCAATGCAGGGCCATAAATTTGGGATCCTAGGCTTGCCTCTACTTAGAAGCCATTTTCTGTCTGTGTACACAGTTTAGATCCCATTGAAGAAATTCTTCCAAACTTGGCAGCATCCTTTAAAAAAATCTATAAAACTCTTTTTGTGTCCCTTCTTGAGAGCTGCTGAGCAGGTATAAATGACCTCTTATTGAGTATAACAAGATGGAAACTGGCAATGCTGGGACAACATAGATAGATAAGGTGGTAGCATCCTGTACCTCTGTTATAATGACAGGTTCATAGTGCTGGCCTGAAACCCAAACTTCCACTGAAGAAAGTCAGACTTGACTGCTGGAGCTAAATTTCCTACCTCTTCCAATCCAGTTTCAAACACTGGAAGCAAACAGCTCAGATTCCTATTTCAAGCATTCCTTGTCCAATTATTACTTGCTTTGGTCACCTTAATACCATGACCAAGAAAGAGGTCGATCCCATTTTCCTTAAGCAATAATAGGTGCTGTGCAACCAAATGCCTATTCAGTAAATTTGAAGTGCACAAAGAGGATGAACAGCTGTGTGTTTGTAACTCTTCAGTATCTCCAATTCTATATTGTAGAAGAAATTAAGTATATAACCATCCAAGTGTTTGACATGAGAGCTCTTAAAAAATAAGCCACCCCTTCCGCATCAGCATTCTCTTAAAATCCAGCTCTGTCCAGCTCTTTGTGCAACTCTTCAATTAGCCTCTCCATGTGGGTCAGTCACACACTCTGAACAGATGTGTGCACATATGGAAACTTGGTCTGTATTTGCATTTTGTATAACTTAAAAGTACCTCACCTGAGATTCCTCCATTGGAAGAGGGATGCTTGTTCACTAGACTCTGACTGTAGCTGCAGAAATAGTACTTCCAGTCCTTACTGGTCTCTCTTTCTGAGTATCAAGTCCAGCACAATGCTCAAAGTAGAGAGAAGTTAGTATGTGCTGAATAAGAGGGATTGGAGTCCCAAGTCTTGACTCTAGTCCCTTATTTTAATATAATAGGCTAATGAGAACTCCCCTGTGGGGAAGAAATAAAAAAGCAGTGCTGCTTCCTGATGTGTGTAGATGTCCTCTCTTATTAACCCCTCAAAAAGGAACCATAAAAACGGTGAAAGTCCACAAAAAGTATCAAGCAATAACTTGGGGATCACAGATATGGAAATATTTGAAAAACAGGTAACAATATTTTGCCCAAGAGTTGCTTGTTGCAACCTTAACAGCAGTAACATCTTTTTGCAATCTATGCTTATTTATATAGGAGCCCTTGTCAAGTTCCTTCCAGAGAACTCCCCACAGCTATTTTTTTGCATGCATTTTTTTTAAAGACAGTGAAAAATAAATGTGTTACCATCTCACTGCACACTTAGGATATAGTAACATTTTGTTCCTCCAAGGAAGAAGCATTTACTCTTGATCAGTGCATGGATACTGAAAGAACTGAGCACTGGAGTCTGCTTTAGAGGCCATGAAAGGAGTCCACACTTCTGCCTACTCTGGTCTGTGGTTGATGTGTGAGCTCCTAGAACCCTGTAGCCTTTAGATGTTTGACCTGTGCTCTTACTGTTTTGTGAAGATTTAAACAAGTGGCCTCTCTAATTTTGCTTCATCTATGTTTTTCCTGCTTTCATGCAGTTTTTGTGCAAACAACCTATCAGATGTGGTATTCTTTCTTGAGCTGGGGGAGAGGGTCGCTGCTTATATGGCTGCTCTGCATTCTTAGCAGAATGCTAGTGCAAGGCTTTAGTCTCTTATCCTGGTACAGAAAGCATGACATTTCTCCAGCCCACACTGTAATGGAGTTCTTTTTGAAGGAGCTTGGTGGAAGCCAATTCCTTGGTCATTGTGTGGCTAAAATTAAATGTATGCTATCCACTTTTACAACATGTAAGAGCCCCTGGCCATAAGGCCTTCTGGGTATGCAGTCTAGAGCCAGTATTGCAGAGCAGCTGTTGGCCATTAGCTGTAATGAATACAGATAGTGGCAAGACAGTGGCAGTGCTTTGTACAAATACAATAGTGAATTTTGCTTTTATCATGTTTTTGATTTGCTGACAGATGCATCTTGCTTTCTTACAAGCGACCTGCAGACCCATCTAAGATCCCCAATCTGTTTTTAATTCGCTCAATCTTTCTATGTTACATTTATTAAACATGTAATAGCAGCAATACTTGTGACTGATTGGTGAAAGATGACTGTGTATAATTGTATGTAACAAATTGCTACCCCAGCAGAAGACAGGAGTATGATAGGTTATTCTTGGTTGCTGTATCTTGTCCAAGAACACTGGTGTTTCTTGCCAGTTTAACTACAGACACTTGAATAATTCCTCTTTGCACTTAATGCTGCTGTTTATACTGCATGTCACTACATTTCTATGCAAAAATAACCTTTGGGGGCAGCCAAATATTTGATTAAGGTTTAAAGATCTTTGCAAGGTCTATTTTCATATTTATGAAGGAATTTTATGTCTTAATATTTGCAGTCTGTAAATAGCTAAACTTTGTCATTAAATCTTAGGAAAAAAGTCTGTAGCCTGTGTATAATTTAACACTGCCAGAAAAGAATCTTTACGAAACATTTTTCTAATACTGCAGATATTTATGGATGTGTAAAGAAGGCAAATATTGGTTTTTATGTTTTACTTGGTCTGACTTTTTTCCTGAACTACAGCAGCAGTATGTTTTACTGGAACTGAAATAAGTAACCAAAGATGAATCTAGTTTAAAGTATTTGAATGTTTTCTTTGTCAGTTTTTGTAAACTGTTTCCCAATTTGCTTTCAGAATAAAAACAAATAAATCTACTTTTGTGGTTGAAAAGACAGAGCTAAGGAAGAAAGCTCTAGCCTGGATTCAGCATCCTCTGACTGCCAAAGCAAGAGCTGCTGCGCTAGCAATAAGGGTGAGACTAATGCTTGAGCAGTATGAAATCCAGTGAAACAGTTGCATTTCTTGTGCAACTTTTAAGGGATGCGATAGTCTGCTTCTTTGGTAAATGTCTGATTTCACAGAGATTCCTTTTATAGTATGCCATGCTACAAAGACAGAGTTACTATTTATTTGTTGTGTGGAATTCAGACCCCCCCCCAAAGAAGCTGTTTCTATTTCCAAGTACCCAACAGTATGCGGCTTAGAAAATACACCCCCCCCCCCACTTTCGTCCTGATCTTTCATCCAAGCTGTGCTTTGAACTAAAGTGTCATCATTCTGTTTCCCACAGTGGTCAAGTCACATTTCCATAAAATCAAGAAGCAATGCATAAACAGTATCCTCCCCAACACAACAGGTATTCAGGCGCATACTGCTTCTGGCCTATTTCATGTATTTGGTATAATCTTTTTTTAGTCATTTAACCCAGTAGTCATCACAACATCTTATGTCAACAAATCAAGTTATATTAAATACTTTTATAATTGTCCTGAATGAACTTGTCCTGAACGCTTGGCTCCGCTACTTATGTGAACAGGACTTCTGAGGACTAGCAGCTATAACAACCTCTTGTAACACATGCAGGGCTAGCCCAAAAGGCTATAGTACACCAGTGTTGGCAGTGGGCGTTATGGCACCAGTTCAGGCAAAAGTGGTAGATTAATATGTTCTGCTCTTTTCCCCATACAACTCCTTTGTAGCTGAAACCCACAGATCACCATCAATTAGGAATATTAGCAATAAGTGGCAACCAGTGAATTAAAATGTACCATCAGTGTTAGAAGCAGAAAACAGAAGTTAGAAAAGCAAAAGCAAAATAAATTTAAGCGGAAGAAAAAGATAGAGAAGCTTAATGTATAAATATATTTGGGTGGGGGGAACAGTAAGAAATACTAGATAGATTTAGAACTTATGGCTGATCTGTACTGCAGATGTGGGGAGCCTTTGGCTCTTCAGATGTTGATGAACTGTCATCACTGGCCACACTTGTGGGGGCTGATGGGAGTTGTAGTTCAGTAACATCTGGAGAGCGACAGGTTTCTCACACCTGCTGTACTGATTTAGTTGTATACCAAGTTTGCTTGATAATTGTGCTATGACAATAAATTCTAAGCTGCAATATGCAGGAGTGTCAGGCACCCACACATGGAAGCTTTGCTCCTCCCTTTGTGTGAGCTGTGAAACAAGCCAGGAAATCCTAGTTAAGCATGGTTTCCTGTTCCCACTATGAACAAATGGTTAATAGCTGCCAAACAAGCTAAGAGATATAAGCAAACTTAAAACCTTTAACTCCATATTTTGGCTTGTTTGGAAGCCATTTGGGCATAACCAAGCACTATGATCAACCAAGGCTTTCTGCTTGTTCACAAAAAGGAAGTTTGTGCGCAGCTGATACTTGGGCATACTATACTTCTACTGAGATTAGATTGGTCAGAGGGCCAAACTACCACAGCATGGGGAGGCCACTGTCTTTGCAACTAATTGGTGGAAGGATCATTTGGCCTGAGAAAGAGAGTATTAACAAAACAGACTGTTTTCTTTCCCTGCTAAAACTAGTGGTGACAAAGCTGAGTAAGATTAAAAGCCTTTTATAAGTAAAGGCAGCCAGCAAGAGATTAAACCTCAGCTGTAACTGCATTAGTTGGCTGGGCACATTTCCCCTCTACTAATGCCAAATGTGACTTTAAAGGTAGCATTTGTGAATCGATTTTTTATCCTTTGTTGTTTCCAGTAGGTTTTACCTAAAGTACACTCCAAGGCTTGAGCAGTTTGATTTAGTTTGAGAACAACAGAATGCAGAGTATGATGCAGATACCTTCCTATGCCCTTTGCAAACTAAGGTTTGCAGAAGCCCATCTAGCTTCTTACTCATTTATTCTGCAGCAAACTTACCAAAAAACAGGCAAGTGGTATGGGTAGAAGAAAAGCATGAAACCTATTTCTGAAATTCTCTTGCATCTTCAAGCTCTTGTGCCATCCTGTGTCTCACACATAGCTGCAGTTTTCTAGCTCCTGAGGCAAGAGTTTCACCATTATTGTTACAGAAAAGAATAGGCCGTATCTAACCAAATCATTGCACACACTGCCAGGTTGCAGAAATGTCAAAAGCACATGGGGGGCATGCAATGGGAAGAAAGGGAACACTGTTGCATTTGTGGAAGTCATTCAGTGCACACAATTATTTAGTTGGATACAATGAAATATTTCATAAAAGGTGATATGAGCAACAGCAAGTCTGCAAAAGGTGCCTTGTTCAAAACAGACCTGCTGAACCTCAAGAATGTCTTAAGTTACTTTAAGGAGCAGTCTCTTTTACTAGGTTTTCTGCACATGCCTTGTACTAGGCACTGATGAGGCCCATAGAACTTTAGTTAACTACTTTTCCAACCCATCCAAAGACTCAATCATCAAAACAATGAGCTTAATTATATGACTACCATGCGCATTTTAAAATATGCAAATGGTGGGCACAAGCAGCAGGGTGGGATGAAAGCACCCCCACTGCCACATACCCTGGAGTCTGAATGTTGTTCCTTCTCCCATTCCTCCCTCTGCAATTTGCATCTTTTTGAATATGCACTTTAATGGAATTTACACAATACTGTATCTAGTTTGGTAAGTATGCTGGTGCATACTTACCAATATACAGTGGTTCCTCTACTTACAAACACGATCCGTTTCGGGGTGCTGTTCGCACCCCGAAAAGTCCCTAAGTAGAGCACCGCTACTGCACATGTGCAAAGTGCTTCTGCGTGTGGCGAACCCGGAAGTAAACACTTCTGGGTTTGCCATGTTCATAACCTGAAAAGCCGCAACGTGAAGCAAACTTAGCACGAGGTATGACTGTAATCCCCAACAGGCTCTGATCTGAAATTTAAAATGCACAAATACTGCATAGATACAAGGTTTTATACTGCTATAAATATTGTTACTTATATATGGAAGCTGTTTGGTCTTTGTATGCAAGAGAAGAAGTGGTCTCCATGGTCGTTACAAAAATAAGCTGCTGGTTCTCATGCTGTTGGTCTGAATGAGTGGATTAAATTAATATGCTATAAATTAGGGCTCCTCATAGCTCTCCCATGTTTAAGACAGTTGCCTGGTCCTGTGTACATAAAGGCTCTACCTTTAACAAACAAAAACAGAAATTCTAGTACTGTACAGAGTAATTTAATTGTGCAGATGTTTAAAAATAAAGTCACAGTCTGCTGCTTTTGTTTGATGACTGTGGGTAGAAGCTGCTGCTATTTTCAACAGCTCTTATGTAAAGTCCCAAGTAGGAGGGTTCCCAGCTCTACTTACTAGCCCAAGCCAATTTCATCTTCTGGCTGTGAGCTTTGGAGGATTTAGAAAACAAACTTTTCACTATCTGAAGGGGGACAGACTTCCCACTGAGGTACACTTTGTTATGGCAGTCCGGCAACCAAGGCCCTTCACTTGAGTCTTTGTGTTCATCATTTTTGAGCATATGGACGTAGGCAATAATGTAACCTGTCATGAAGGCATCAAAGCCAGCCCGGTGAATACCACCCTCTGAACAGCCAGGCACTGGTGCCACTGGGTTCTGGGTGCCAGACAAAGCCGTCACTACAGAAGCACACTCTATCTGGACTTCTGGTCCTGATCCTTCAGTCCCTGCTGCCCTTTGTTGTGGCCCATCTTTGGATGGTGATAAAGTGATGCCCTCATTGTCTGTGGCACTGGCTTGTTCCTCATCCATCTTGGTATCAGTTGTGTCAGAGCCTAGTTCTCGTTCCACATCCATAGAACTCTCCTCATTACTGGATACAGTTTCTGTGCCTGCAGAATCTACAGTAGAAGCAACCATGTTGCTTAAACAGGACTGCTTGGATGGGGGACCGTCTTCCATATTGCAAGCCGCCTCTCCTTCCTTCTCAGGGCTTCTCAACACAGGTTCCTTTGAGGGCTCTACAAAATTCTTCCGATGCTTCCACTTCTGCTTTCTTTTCTTCCGCTTGTCCTCTTTGTGGTTCTCATCTTCATTAATTATTAGGTCAATGTTGTGAGACTGTGAACACTTCAATCCATCTGGGCACCAGCCATAGGCCTACAGGGGAGAGTGAGAATCATGAGCACACTTGAGAAAATATCACTGGATCTTAGATACCCTACAGCAGTGATTCTCAAACTTGGGTCTCCAGCTGTTGTTGGACTACAGCTCCCATCATCCCTAGCTAGCAGAACCAGTGGTCAGGGATGATGGGAGTTGTAGTCCAACAGCTGGGGACCCAAATTTGAGAAATGCTGCCCTAGACCAACTTTCAACATTAACTTCTGGATATTTATCACATTTGTGAGATTGTGCCATGCTAATTAACCGGAAAATAGCAATATTAAAAGACTATTCTGGATCATCCAAACCTCATGTATTACTTGCAGGCTTCTGGGCTGGGCCACTGTTGGGAAAATATACTGGACTAAATGGACCTTTAGCCTGACCCAGCAGGTCTCTTGTGTTCTCTAGTAAGCTCCCAGATACCCTCATTATTAAAAGGTAGCACCTCTCCATTTTTATCAGAAAGCTGCAGAAAGAGGTACCATGCTTTAAAATTGACCATAATACCAGCATAAGCATTTGCCTCCCACTGCCAAACACACATCCAGCCCAAGAGCCTGTCTCTCATCCTAGACAGCTTGTCCTCATAGTCCCTATCTGAGAATATCCACCACACTGAATGAACTATTTACAATTTACTATTTAACAAACTTTCAAGATAGAAGGGAGACAGAAGTAATACTTACAGAAAATGTCTGACAGATGGTGACTTTGTTTGCAGGGTCAAGCCCAGACTGGCTGGCATCTGATAGGGAACAGAAGCGATAATCGATGTAGGAAGCTATGCTGTCTGGGTAGTTGCAGAACTCTATGCTGAGGTGCTGCTTTTCTGAATTCTTCAACCTGTAGTTTTCTCGCTTGCTGGAAGGCAAGAATAGCATTAGAACCTGGAACAGAGGCTGTGTCAGAGCAAGGAGATCAACTGCCCTTCAGGACAGGCTCCTCTATGTACTCATAGGAAAGCCCCCTGAATGTAGAAAAATGAGCTAAAGCGGAAATAAGAATATAAAAGATACATAGCATTGCCTTTTAGAAGAGAAGCAGAGACACATAAAAATGCTATCTGCACAACTGCTTGTTCCCCTGACTGCCAGATACCTGGAACACCGTAACAGGGTATGAGCATCTTCCCAAACTAGTACTTTTCTCTAAGCAGAAGGCAAACCTCTCATTTGATTATTAGAATCAGGGAGTGGGGAAACAGAGAAAAGGGAAGAGAAAACCTGAGGAGTTGTTTAGTCAGTTCCACACATTTCTACTAGTTTCTTCTGCTAGTAGCCAAGGACAACATGAAAAACCCTACCCCTTCATTCTGCTGCCACAGAGAACTTAAGGCAGGAGCCATCTTCTACCGCATTAGGCAGACGAGACTGTTGCAGTCTCTTTTTCAAGTCTTCTGATATATGCAAATAACTTTTTCTTCATGCCACATTTTGAAGATACTGAAAATTGAGTGAGAATCCTTCTTGCTGTATTTTAATGTTTTAAAGGCACAGCATGGAATGTGACTGACCCTTCAGCTCTTGGGTCCTCTGCATGTGCCAACAGAGCAGAGTTTGTGGAGACCATAAATTATGGCTAACTGCCAAGGCCAGTCAAAATTTTGTGGACTGGAATTAAGTAAAATACTTTACTTAGAATCCAGGCTCTAGTATCAAATAAGAGATTTCAGTCTCCTAAGCAGTAAAAAGAAATGCAACTCATTTTCATTATACATCTTTAGGCACCAGGTGAAAACGTTCCTCTTCAACCAGGCCTTTGGCCGATTGACATCCGATGCCCTTTAAAATGGGTTGTGGAAGGGGCGATTATTGGTTTGTTTTTGTTCATATTTCTATCATGTATTTTGTGTCTTTTATATTGTAATTTTATGTTGTGAACCACCCTGAGATCTACAGGTATAGGGCAGAATACAAATTTAGTAATAATAATAATTTAAACTCATAAAGAATTTCAGCTGAAAGCTGTAGCAAGGAAACAACCTGAGACAAATGGCAGGCAAGTACATGCATGTGGAGTTATGACTTTGTAGTGGAGCTTGGGGATTAATTGAATCACAATTAAGATTTAACTGAATCACAGTATTTGCCCAAAATGCACATAAACATAATAAGCTATATGGAAAGTAACAAAGTCACTAACTAGATATGGTATTCATACTTCTTGTCCTCTACCCTACTCATTCATACCCAAATCAGACCCTGTTCCGGTAAAAATAGAAGAGCAGCAGCCTTGGACCCAGCAGTTGTGTTCTCGCTACTTAAAGCCCAGGAGCAGCATTCAATGATGTATGCCTGCTTACCCAACAGAAATCAGCCTGTGCAATGGAACTTCCAATTTCTATTCTACCTCCCACACCCATGTGCTCCAAAAACCTGGTCCCTCAAATCTCCAGAGTAGATTTTGGGAGTACATGGGGAGGTGAAGGGGGGAGGGGAGGAAGGAAAAGCCTTATTATTTGATCAGGCAAATGTCCACTTGTGCTACGATGGATCTCGGCCCAAAAATCCTTGTCAGGGTGCTTACAGCTTGACCTGGCAAGAGATACCTACCATTTCTTGTAGGCATACTCTAGGTAAGAAGCCACAAAACGTGCCTCAAACTCAGAAGCATACTTGGTGTCATAGATTCCAGCTGGGAACATCTCTGAAAGATCAGCAGTGAAGGTGCCCAAATTGTCAGGAAGGTGAGCATAAAAGCACTGGTACAGGAAAACCAAATCAATTAGGCCATTGTGCAGAATGAGGGGCTTCTTGGCTCGGATCAGTTCCAGGAAAAAAGTACGGACAGTCTGGCTGTGGTTTTCATTTCCCTGTGAGAGAGCAAAGAGGGGATAAGGTTAGCTGGCCTCATTTCCAAAGCCTGCACTAGTTTCTCTGATATGAGAACAGCCTGGATGAAGATGAGCCTCAGAAGTGTTGGGCGGTCAATGCAGGCAAAGGCAGCAGAGGTAAATGCAAAAGAGGGTGGCATTGATCCCCTGGAGTTCCCTTCACCTGTTTTGATGGTACAGGTCTACAGCCCAAATTCTGCCACTGCTTATGGATTCATGACCCAGGTTCTAGGGCAGAACCACCACACCTAGTTTTCGCTGAGGTAAAGCCTGGAAAAGGCAGGATGCCCACCACCACTCTCTCCTGTACTCTAGGCAGAGATGGTGCTTTATTCATCTACCAGAACTGTCAGATGAAGGTGCAGGACATTTCGCACCCCTTCAGCTCAGGCCCTGGTATGTGTTCCCAAGCTTATTTCTGTGAGGGCAGTTCTCCTCCAGCTCAATGGTGAAACCAGCTGCTAGCAGACTGACTCCTCCACAGAAGCTCCACAGAACTACTTTGACTAGGTGGTGGCTATGTTGGTGCAGCATCAATTCAGCCCCATGACACTGAAGTGTGAAATGCATTGTGGGTTGTTATTTGGTGTTAATAAAGGTTTTTTAAAAATACACGTGATAATTTTGATTAGCAAAAGAAGTGTGAAATGCAAACGAAGCCAAGCAGATATTAAGAAAGAAACCAGTTACTTCTCATTGTGGTCTCACCTCACTTATACCTTACAGTAAACAGTCCCCATACCTTGTCATTGCCTCTGTGATAAGGAATGCCCTGAGAATACTGCTTGTTGAAGTCAAAGCCATGTTGCACCAGGAACTGAACTGACTGTGGTTCAATGATATAATCCTCCATACAGAGCAGGGTCAGGTTGTAGATCTGGGAGAGGTATGTGTTCTCTGACTGCAAATACAGGCCAGTTCAAAGAAATTGAGAGCAGCACAGAAAAAGTGCAAACAGGAACATCCTAGAAATCAACAACTACTTCCTTTAGTGTCTAGAATCAATACTGGTCACTTTATGCATTGAAGACTGAACCTTCAATATACCATCCTCTTATAGGCAACACATTCTTAACTCAGCAGTAGAATTAGGGTGAAAGCCAGACAATGAGCACTATACCTTATCAGGAAGATGTTTGAAACAAGCAATTCCTAGAGACAAAATGGAGCGTGTTCTGGCAGCACTGCAAACAGATTTGTATCGTTCTTCAATACACCTGTGGGGAGAAGCCTCAGGCAGCTTAGTAGGAAATTTAGACCACTGAACCATAGCTTCCCTATTGACATGACAAATTTCACCTTTCCATTCAAGATCGAGACCAGCCTGAATTTCAAAGCGCATTAATAGCATGTGGGCCTGTTCCCCACAGCTTGCATATTTCCTGCCCTCAAAGAACTGATTACTCCAAATGGGCAAGCACATCTTAAGCCATCCACACCCACACAGTCAAAGAACTGCTTCCACTGTGAATCCCAATAGGTCCACTCAACTAGTGTCTGGTACTGAGTTGGGGGAAACAAAGACTCCTGAAAGTATCGGCAGACACTCAACAATGCTGTCCATACTCAAGGACCTAATAATTCAGAACAAGAAGAATGAGAACATCATGCTTCAGGACTCACACAGAAGCAGCACATTACTTACTGATTCAACAAACTCTTCCTTGTTCCAAGCCCACTAAGCTCCTATGGACAAAGATAACAATTAGATTTCCACTCCATGGTAGAACAAGTTATGTAAAATAAGTTGTAGCTCAGTGTTACAGTTTTACATGTACAAGGTTCAAGGTTTAATCCCTGATGTCTCCCATGCAGAGCTGGAAAACTCCTGTCTGAAACCCTGGAAAGCAGTATAAAGAATAGGTAGATAGACCAATGGAAAAATTAAATAAAATGGTGTCAGCTTTCCCTAGCAAAGACAGCAACCCAATTACCATCAAAGTTACAGTCCCCGCCCCTACCCTTTTTGAGAAATCACAAAGAAGGGCAACTCTACCCACCGTGTCAATAGCTATAAAGCTAGATGTTTTGATGGCCAAGAGCATGGATGGCCAGAGCTCCTTGAAATTATCATTCTGGACATCGATGACTGGCACTTTCAAGGAAGTCATCCTTATGCAGCTGTTGGGACACAAGAGATTAGACATGCATAACTTTTACAATCCAATGGTTAATTTTGCTTTGGGGATACCAATGACTAATTAAAAAAACCCGAACCCACAGATTGCTCCCTGCATATATCAAATAACAACACCTCAGAAAAAAAGAGAGAACAGGAACCGCTGCTTTATATGGCAAAAAACCCAAGAGCCCCAGGTATAGTAAATGCCTCATCTCGTTAAAGCTCAAACCAGAACTAGAACGGGAACAGTAAAAAGTCATCAGTACATGATCCATAACATGCACGTTATAGGTGAGATCAAGTTTAAACCTCCGCTCCACCACCATTTCCTGGTCCCTGGCCACTAACTCGTTTAGGAGAATGCACATCGTCTGCACAAGAAACCGCTGAGCACAATACCTCCTCCCAGAAGGTGCTTTCGAAAGACCTTCTCTTACCTTCGAGAAGTGACACCTGCGAGTTACTTAGACAACCGCCATCTCCCTTGTCGTTCAACTCGCCAGCTTCCGGCGCGTCCTGCTCTCTGGGGTCCTTTCTCTAAGGGTGGCGCGTAGGCCTAGCTGTCTTTGCAAGTGCCTTTCGCCGCATCCAAACCCACTCATTCTCCCCAGGCCCACAATCTCCTTAGCTCACCCAGCTGTTCACCAGCCCAGCTTTGCATGGCGAAAATGTACTCTGAAAATGATTTCTGGGCTTGGATAGGGTGGGATGTGTGAGCGTGTAAAAACTAGCCTACTGCACCAAAGTAAAACTCGCATTCATTGCTCTCTGCCCACGATTTGCATGTGGCGTCCGGAAGGTAGAAGGATAGCAATACTAAGGGCTGGAATCATAACCCTACGTATCTGAATGAGGCTCATTGAATTATGCAGGACTTACTTCTGAGTAGACATAGTTGCAATGTGCTGTAAACTACCCCCTTGTTGTTCCCTACTGTATTCATTCTCACTCACTCGCTTTTGACCACAGCCCCACTTCTAACTTGCAACATCCGCGGTGCGCTACATTGAAGGGATGTTGTGAATGGTTGTTGAAACTACGCATTTTCTACACGAAATGTTAGGAACAGCACGGGCGGGCTTTTACTGCCCAATCGCAGTTAACGCTAGAATCCTAGCTTTTTTGCGTTGCCCCTATGGATACATTTCACTTCAACTCTGTGCGAAAATGGCGCCAAAAGAAACCAGGAAGTTGGTCGTCGTGACTCAGTTTTTGTTCCGTCTTTGACGCCGATTGGCTTGATGCTGTCAGCCCCTTTCCTTGCGAGCCTTCCGCTTGCCGGGATGAAGTTGTGCTTCGGTTTGATTGGCTCCACGCTAGTTGGAAGGAGGTTCTGAGTTGGACGCGCGCAAAGAAATCAACAAAGAGACGAAGGTAGGGATGTTACTCGTGGCCTGTCTCTCTAATAACACCGTTCTGAGTGTGAAAGTGCATAGAACACTCCCTAGTGTGCATATTCCTTCGTGCATGTGATATGAGGAGCCGAGCCCTTTGGTTTTACTACACACGCAGCGGATGAGGTTACAGAAACTTGAGGTGGTAGAATGTACCATACCAGTTCAGGCTACGGATGAAGGATCCGCATTTCTCCCCTATTGGGGAGCTGGGAGCTTCCTGCAGATAGAAAACTAGCACAACAAGGGAGTGACCCGTGTAGAACTTTTCTCTCTGATGTGTTAAATTTTGTACTTTCAAAGAGTTTTGCATAGGAGATATAGATAGATAGATAGATAGATAGATAGATAGATATCTAAAGTGATGCAATCTATTACAGAAACTCAGGATTCATTATCTGTCTATTCTTGTATATGTAGACTACATCTATTAAGGAGTAATAAAGGCAGGCCTCTTATATCACTCTTCAGTTGCCCTATAGTTCTGTCTATCCATATTGTCAGCATTTATATTCATAGTTCTTATTCACATCTTGCCACCTTGATGGAATACAGGGTACTGTATACAGTATAGAGTGTTGCACATATTGCTAATTTTGGATCTGGAGATGATGATGAGAAATATAATTTGACAGTGGTACATTTTTTTTCTAGGCTGGCAATGAGCAAACTCCAGTTGGCAACACGCAGCAAGCTAGGAATACAAAGGAACACTGGGAAACAACAGAAATTGCTGAAAAAATGTGAAGGAAATACCACACTATGCAAAGGTGCTTGAGTTACAAAAATATTTTTTTCATCAGTGTAGGATGAAAGAAAATTGAAAATAATTGTTTGAACCTCTTTTCAGGATCACTTATTTTGTGGTAACAGCTATTGAACTCCCCTCAACTTTTTAGCTGGCTATGCATTCAAAGACTGAATCAGAAGCTGAAGTTACAAATATCTCAGATTTAATGCATCATTGATTCCACAAACTGGCTTTGGGATAGATGGAGTTTTCCTTATGAAGGAATTAGAAAATGTTTAGCGTTGCTTGGCCAACAACACAAAACCTGAAAATTTGTACCTTCCTTGCCTCCGTTCTTGTAACATTCTTCGACCCAAATTTATTTGGTGACTTTTTAAAAAAAAAGAAATTTAATTGAAACTTGTAGAGTCAGAAAAGTATTCTGTTTTAGAATAGTGTGACATAAGCAGACACGGTGCTTGTTGTCTAGTTTGCCATCATAGGGGCTCATCTTCCTGCTTTGAATTTGTGTGATACAGGGATGTGGAACATCCAGGCTGGGGTCTAATATGATCCTCCAAGAATCTCTATCTAGCCCATAGGACCCTCCCCAGGCCACACAGCCTCCAGAGCCCCGCTGCTCATTAGCCCTGCTTTGCATCCTCCTTAACTGTTTTTGCTGGCTAGAATGTGTCCTTGAACTCTGAAAATGCTTCTTGCTTGAGTTAGATGGAACATAGAGAATAATGTGTGAGTGTGTAAAAAAAGTAGCCCACTACACAAAAGTAAAAATCCACATTCATTGCTCTCTACCCACATTTGTCTCCAGCCCTCCTCACCATTGGCATGTGGCCCCAAGAAGGTCACTCAGAAGGGAATGTGGCCCTTGGGCTGAAAAAGGTTTACCCAGCCCTGGAAGAATGACATGGACAAAGGAGATATCTGCTGAGGACTTCTGTTTCTGAGGTTAACAGAAAGAGCAGATCTTTGGGAAATATTTGTAGAGGGGTATGCCAGTAGGACTGCTGTTCTTCAGCTGTCTATCAAATACGTATTCCCCTCTGGCCCAGCACAGGTTTATCAACTGCCGTGTATATTTGTACAACCCGATAGAAATTGCCACTGCAAAAATTGTAACTGGCCTCTCTTTGTTGCAGGAGTTCCCAGCCAACAGTCTCCATTCCACACCTTCAGCAATGCAGCTGAAATCAAAGAGTTTCGGAAGAGGCTGCTCACCTGGTACAACAAATGCAAACGAGATCTTCCTTGGAGGAAATTGGTATGGCATATTGTGCTGGGCTTCTAGGATGCACAGAAATATCTCAGAAGAGAGAGACAATTGCTTTGCTGTGTCCTGTTCCCTAAAGTCCCCTGTTCACTTTTCTACAGGCTGCAAGTGAAGAGGATGCTGACAGACGAGCATATGCTGGTGAGAGCAAGAACACTCAGGAATTCTGCTGGGGATTCCTGCCATCTATCTGCATTCAGGGGTGCTCTAGAGATAAATGCCGCAGGCTGCACACAACACTGTCCTAGTGGTAGCAGCAATGTGGTGGTATCAGTTTTACTGCTGAGAAAAATACTTTGAATTGTGGCTCCTTAGTCCAATTAAGGACATTGGTGTTCTGCGTTGCTAGAGATCCCCTAGTCAGATCATGGCACTTGACTTTTGGCAGCAGTGTAATATTTAAGGGGCAAGATAGAACTGCATGCAGAACTAGTTATCTCCAGCTAAACAGTCCCCCTGGGATATAAAAAGGTTGCTTAACCTCTTACAATTGCCTTTAAAGTACCGTATTTTTCGCCCTAAAGGACGCACTTTTTCCCCTCCAAAAATGAAGGGGAAATGTTTGTGCGTCCTATGGGGCGAATGAGGCTTTCGCTGAAGCCTGGAGCGCGAGAGGGGTCGGTGCGGAGGGGAGGAAGCTATCCGCAAGCCTTGCAAGCCCGGCGGGAGTTCCCACCATCCCGCTGTCCCCCGACCTGGTTTGGAGGCTGGCGGCGGGGAGAAGCCCGCTTCTCCCTTCCGCCAGCCCCACAAGCTCAGGGGACAGCGGGGAGGCGCAGCGTGCCATCCTGCTGTTCCCCGACCTGGTTTGGGCTTCAGGCAGATATCCGCAAGCCGTGGGAGCCCGGCGGGAAGTCATGCCAGTCTCCCAAGGCTTGCGGAGAGCTGCCTGTTCGGGGGGCTGGGGTTGGGGGAAGCTTCCCCCGCGCCTGGGGGGGAAATAATTTTCCCCCCTTTATTCCCCCCCCCAAAAAAACCTAGGTGCGTCCTATGGGCCGGTGTGCCCTATGGGACGAAAAATATGGTATATTGAGCAGCACATCCCCTCCCACTTGCCATGCAGAACAAGGAAGGTATCAGAATGCCTGATGCACCTGCTTTCTCCTTGTGCCTGCAGTGTGGGTATCAGAGATAATGCTCCAGCAGACCCAGGTGGCTTCAGTGATCAACTACTACAGTCGCTGGATGCAGGTGATGCTGAGATCCTTTTCTCTCTGTGGCATGCTCTGTTGTGCATTAGCTCCTGAATTCTGGATCTTGGATCCATTGTGCTTTGGAGACCTTGTAAACAAGTCCCTGTTTTCCTTTTTGATACAGAAATGGCCAACCTTGCAGGACCTGGCTCAGGCTTCACTAGAGGTAAGAATGAGAATGCAATATTTTGTGTGTGTTCATGCATGAATATTTGAATGGAACATGCAGCTTTGCTCTCCACCCCACTTTAAAAAAAGGATTTAAATACATTTCTTTTTTAAATACAGAAATACCCAGAAAATCCACAAAAATGAAATAGCAAAAAAAATACACTAAGCGAAAGCATTCATTATTGATCTGGTCTAATATATTTTTTCTAACTCTTTCTATTTGGAAATAGGAGGTGAATGAGCTATGGGCAGGGCTTGGCTACTATTCCCGAGGGAAGCGACTCCAGGAAGGTGCACATAAGGTACTCTATAGGCAGTGGGTCAAGACACAAGGCATTTTTGCAAGAAGATAGTTCCCTTTATGTCCTGTGCTTACAGAAAGAAAGATTTTTTAATAGCCACTTAGGAAAGAACCAGGTGCAAAATAACTAGCTACTGTAGCTATTGTACTAACTACAGTGGTGCCCCGCAAGACGAATGCTTCGCAAGACGAAAAACTCACTAGACGAAAGGGTTTTGCGTTTTTTGAGTCGTTCCGCAAGACGAATTTCCCTATGGGCTTGCTTTGCAAGATGAAACGTCTTGCGAGTTCTTGCGAGTTTGTTTCCTTTTTCTTAAAGCCGCTAAGCCGTTAATAGCCGCTAAGCCACTAATAGCCGCTGCCGCTATAGCATGCTCAAGACAAAAAAACCGCAAGACGAAGAGACTCGCGGAATGGATTAATTTCGTCTTGCGAGGCACCACTGTAGTCTAATTGGGAGTTCAGGTAGGAATAGCAAAGTGTTATTAGATGGCAAGGTGGGAACCCCAAATGGTTTACTCTTGAGCTGAGTAGCTTCCTAAAACTGAGGGCATAGTTTGTAGGAAATGTATATCCAAAATCCCCTAATGTTTGTATCCCACCCTTCCTCCAAGAGGCAATGGGCAGTATTTTCGTCTCATTATATCTTATCACCAGAAAGGTCACCTTCTTCTTAATGAGCTGCTCAGGTTGTGCTATAGAAACACGGAGCTCTGATACTGCTTCAGTCACTGAACCCTATATAGTGGCAGCAAGGCCATCCCAGTTGTTAGCCCCATCTGCAATGGCAAGTGCTTCTTCAGTGAAAGCCAACCTACTCCTATTGCAATAGAGCAGGGGGCTAGGAAGGTTCTGCAATAGCTTCTTCCAAGGAGAGCAGTGCCACATCCTCTGGCTGGAGGAACACTGCCCTCACAGGCTCATCAGATAGAAGTACTTCCAGGGCTGACCCTGCATTCCCTTTCCCCTCCTGCTTCAGAGTCCTCAACCTCATCCCCTGAAGAAGGGGAATCTGACTCCAGGATCATGACACCTTAAAGGCATGTTGGAAGTTTTAACGGTGTGTCTAAGAACCACCAGAGGGGATGCTTTTGAGTGACAATGTCCCTGTGTTGCTTCAACTGGGTTTATTTTGCAGTTGGTGTCACAGATGGAAGGACATATGCCCAGGACAGCAGAAGAGCTGCAGAAGCAGTTGCCAGGAGTTGGAAAGTACACTGCAGGAGCTATTGCATCCATAGCGTTTGGTCAGGTAATGAGGTTGCAGTCTGAGTGGGCAGATTTGCTTTAGGAATATGCACAAAGGAATATTACCCAACCTGGCTTTGGGCTTCTGAGTCCTTAGTCAATCTAGGGGGCTAGACATTTCTTATCTCCTTTCCCTTTGCAGCTGTTGTTCACTCCTGTGTTTCCCTTGATGCCCCTAAAAACAGTGAATTGGCTACTAATTCCCTCACTGTTAGCGCTAGAACAAGTAGGAACAACTAGGAAGATCTCAGCCAAGGAAGTGGTGTGTAATTTAGATTTCTGCTCTGTATGGAATGATTTCATAACCTGTATAAATGAAAAGAAAGAGTATCAATACCTTTCTAACCCTGTGACTGGAAGAAAGACTAAATTGTGGCTAGTCTTGGTCATCAGTCCTAAAGAGTAACTTCCTTTTGTACAATACAAACACAAACCATACAGAGGTGGTATCTGGCAAGAGAAACAAATATTAATACAGAATTTAATACGGTCACTAGACATTACTAGCTAAGCCACTAAACAATGACTTGTACCTCTGTGCACTCTACTTCAAACCAAAGACTTCCTGAACCATACTTGATATATTAACCACTACGTAATCTCAACTTTCCATGGATTCACAGAGTGAATTTGATGCAGGCAGAGGGCCCTCTTTGGCCTGGTTGGGCTCTTCAGTAGCTCTGTCAGCAGCCCTTAATAGAGGCTGGAGCACAAGTTGTCACAAGTACAGTAACGGCTGGGTTGCTGTTTTGTCCAATGCATCCAGGTGACCGGTGTGGTGGATGGGAACGTAATTCGGGTCTTGTGCCGTACACGAGCCATTGGTGCTGACCCTGCCAATGCATCTGTTGCTGACAGACTCTGGTAAGGGAAGGAATGGGGTTGGGATGATGCAAGCATAGTTTTAGGACCTGAGAGTCAGGAAAGGACAATAGCTTTTGGAAAATAAAAGTATTTTGTTCCTTCTTCCCCATCAGATATCCAAACTGGAGACAACACATCCTGGCAAAATCTAAACTGTTCACAGCCAGTCTCTAATTGCATATAGTGAACTTGCAGTTGGTCTCCTCTTGCTGGTAGTGGCCCTACGCACACATATGAGTTTGAACTCTTAAGGTCAAAAAGATAGTGAATTAGCAGTTGAATCAGCAAACCAGGAGCTGTACACACACCCAGAGAAGTTGGGGTGAATAATTCAGTCCTTCACATGTAAGAAAGTTCCATTCAAATCAATGGTAGTCCTAACTAAATGTTTGTTGGCTCAAGAGGAAGAGCTAGGTGCTGTGGAGACTGACAGAGGGCAGAGAATTTAGAAATGCTGCTCTTCATCTTTGGAAACTCCCCATTACTGATTGCTGAGCTTTTACAGAATGCTGGTTTCTAAAGCCCCCTCTAAAATTAGGGAGTAGGTAGCCACCTCCCTAAGAAATGCTTCCCTACAGCACAGAGCGACAGCTGGCAGCCCCAGGGCAGTTTTTGTGCAAAACTAGCACCTCTCTCTGTCTCTTTTTTTCACTCTCAGCTCTCCCATCAATGCGGTTGTAGGTCGAGAAAGCTCAGGAGTTGTTCTTTTTTGAGGCTGCTGCTTTAGAAAGACTTGTTATGCTTGCTAATGTAGGCTGCTGTCGTTCTTAGGGCTTTAGCACACACTCTGGTGGACCCATCCTATCCCGGTGACTTTAACCAAGCGATGATGGAATTGGGGGCAACTGTGTGCACTCCCAAGGCCCCACGGTGCATGGAGTGTCCCGTGAAGCAGCACTGCAGAGCACACCACAAAGTAAGGGAGCTCCTCCTCTATACCCTTTGCTGTTTCCCATGCTCTGGTGTTTTGCTGTGGAGTCAGATTATTATTATCTGTTGGGAAAGAAGAGCCATTTCCTGCAAAGCTCCCTGAAAAACTTAACACTCCTTGTACACGTACCACACAGACATTGTATGGGGGTTCTGCATGTCTACCTGCATGTCTGCTCAGAAATACTTTCTTCAGTGGTGCTTACTCCCTAGTAAGTGTGTTTAGGAATGCTGCCATGCACATAAATTCCCTCGGAGTTCGTTCAGTTTCATATGGTTGGATTTCTTCCTAAGCAGAAATACAGTCTAACAAAGCCACCTATTGATGCTTCGTTATAATGTCTTCAGTTAATCATATTCTAAATTGTGGATCCTTCCTAATTCCTTTCACATAACAAGGCCCACTTCATCTCTTTTTTAAAATGTTGCATATACAACACAGATGTGTATCCTATTCTGTCCTTGGGTTTGGTCTCAACTTTGGAATCATGGCTAATGTCAGCATATAGCTTGATGTTAAGACTGAGGACATGGGAGTTCTAGAAGAAGCCACAAGTACTTGCACAGTCCCCCCACCTCTCTGTTCACTGATAGTTGGAACCTTTTCCTGCAGGTGGAAAAAGAGCAGGCAGCCTCTGCCAAGAAACTGTTAGGAAAACCTGCTTCTAAGTGCCCCCAGGTGCTGGATGTAGAAGAATGTGGTAAGCGCATGAGAAGACCTGGCATTACCAGGTTGGTGGTTTGGAGTTTTTACAAGGTGGGAAAGCTCTCAGATCTCCACCTCCAGCAAATCTCTACCTTCTCTTCCCAATTCCACCAGCAGCCCTTCTTTATTCAGGGTAGTAGATGCAAGAAGAAGGGGGAAGAACCACAGCCATCTTCTGTAGCCAGCAAATTAAGGGCACTCCCCACCAAAAAACCAAACATACTAAATCCAGATCCGTTTTTAAGGAGCAAACATGTGGCCTTTTTATTTGAGCAGGCTTTTGCGATGGTTTATGAGAGTGTTGTGATGAATGGTTTTTGATGAGGTCTACATAAAAATAATCATTAAAATGCAAGCAAACAAACCCACACTTAATACAGTGGTACCTCAGGTTACATACGCTTCAGGTTACCATACGCTTCAGGTTACATACTCCGCTAACCCAGAAATAGTGCTTCAGGTTAAGAACTTTGCTTCAGGATGAGAACAGAAATCGTGGGGGCCACCAGGGGGCGCATTGGAAGATGGCCGACAATAACATCTCTCCGACCCACACGAGGTAATTAAGAGGCTGCTATGGGAGTATGTAGCCTCCCTTGCCCCCCCAAGGGGATGGGGGGGCTGCCTTGCCAGCTGTGTCCATAATTCACCCCCGGATTTGAAAGAAGGAGGTGTGGACACTTGGCACGAAGCCCTCGAGTGAGATTGGCTCTCCCTGACGCTGTCTCCAATCAGTGCACTGGTTCTCATTAGCTCGAAATATATAATTGGAAATATATAATTGGAAAGAAGCTAATGCACATACATCAAGTGAAGATCGGGAGTAAAGACTGCTGATTAATGGGATCTCTGGGAGCAGAGCGACGGGTTGGATAAATAAATCAAGTGAAGAATCATCATTAAAAGACTGGTATGTCGGAGTGAAACGGAAAGGGGGGGAGGAAAAAACTTTTCTTTTTTTGCCTTATGTGAGTACCAATAACCCCTCCCCTCCAGAGAGAAGAATTGTTGTGATTATTAATCACAAGCAGGAGACTAAGAACTGTGTGGGAATGAATTACTGATTAAAGAGAGAACTGGTGGAAACATCGGGGAATGGAAGGAAAGTTTTATGACTCAGCAATAAATGGAATCTCGTGAAGACAGGCTTGCCTAAGGAGGACGAGGGGGAGGAGGACCAGGGTCATTGGAATGTGAATGTATAGTTATCGGAACGTTATCTTGACCTGGCAGGGCCCTCTGAGATATAAATTGGCAAGCCTGTAAATCAACGGACGGACTGTGGGAATGTTTTTAACGGAGGTGTGGAAATGGCGTCTGTCCTTTATGTGATATGATTTTTGGAGAGTGTAAAACCCACACAGGAGATGTTTGTCTTTCACCCGCTTGTGAAGATTATCAGAGATCACAAAGAAAGGAATATATGATAACAACAAGAAGATGAAGAAAATAACAAAAAGACTATCTGGACAGAACTGGATAGAACTGTTTAATCAAAGCAGCAGCAAGAGTGATGTTTGGACCCCTTTCGGAGCTTGAAGTATGGGTACCCCCAACAAAAATTTAAAAAATTTGGCTGTATAATTTGGAATTAATGTGATTTGGAATTAATGTGATTTGATTGGCCTGTTAATAAAAATTATTTTTTTTAAAAAAGAGAGAACAGAAATCGTGCTCCGGTGGCACAGCGGCAGTGGGAGGCCCCATTAGCTAAAGTGCTTCAGGCTAAGAACAGTTTCAGGTTAAGAACGGACCTCCAGAACGAATTAAGTACTTAACCTGAGGTACCACTGTATGTTGATTGCATTTTAATTATCAATCTGATGGATTTTATGCTTGTATTTGTATGCTGCCTTACGTTTATGGCAAATGCATGGCAAAAATTCATTTTTAAACATGTCTGTCCCTAAAAGCTCTCTGGTAGAGAAGCAGAGGAGCACTGGATCCTTCCTCTGAAGTATCTTATTTCCCCTGCAGGTAATTTTTGTACCATAGTTGCTCTCTGCTTCTGGTAATCTATTGTTTGAATTGTGTAGGTTTATCTATGAGAACCTAGTAAATGACTACACATTGATCTCTTTCACACGTGTGATTGCATAGAGTCTACAGATAGATCAGAGGCGGGAAACATTTTCACCCCAAGTGCTACGTTCTGTAACGGGTAACAGAAACGACTCTATCCTTCAGCCAGGCAAGCAAAATGTATTATCACAGTTCAGGGAACATTCCTGCCAGGCTGAGACACTTGAGGAGGCCATGAGAGGCATGGCCTGTGGAGAGTTCCAAGGGTCCAATAGAGAAACTTGGATGACTGGAGGTTTCCCACCCTGGTATAGAGCTATTGACTAGACTGGCTCAAATTCAGTTTAGGTGTGCAGTTCATGCTGCATTGAGGAATATATTTATTTATTTGCAGTGAGATTAGAAGTTTCTTGTTTGGTTGTGAATTGACATTTGTCAGCTTTGCCACCATGGAATGGGCAGCATTGGTTTAACTCTGGCTTCATTAGCAAGCCAGGCCTTCCTGTCCTAGAACATGCCACCTCCAGCAAATATGCTTTGCAGACAGTTGCCTGTTGCCCACAGTTCAGAGCCAGGCATCTCATCTGTTTCATTCTTCTGATTTGTAGCTGCTGCCACCACAGGGAGCTGCTCCCTCTGCCTGCCTCCTTCAGAGCCATGGGATCCCAGCCTTGGTGTGACCAACTTCCCCAGGAAAACTGCCAAGAAGCAGCCCAGGATCGAGTGCACAGCCACATGTGTGCTACAGAGAAAGTGCAGTGATGGGAAACCAGAGTACCTTATTGTGCAGAGACCTAGCACAGGTAATGGTCTGAGAAAGGGAGGCTTACCATGCCTGGAAAATCTGTTGTTACATCTCCAGCTCCTGTACCCCACCCACGTCAGTGATCATTCCAATTTTATGTTGAGGCACGTTTATGACTTTGAGCTAGTGGTTGCAGAAAACAGATGCCTGCAAGATGGGTCAAGTTTATCTGCCAGTCCATTCCAGGCTGCTATACTAGGTGCCAGGCAAAAACGTTTCAATATAACCAGGCCTTTGGCTGATTAAGGTTCTATGGTCTTTAAAATGTGATTGTGGGAGGGAGGGTTATTGGTTTGTTTTTGTTTATTATGTATCTTGTGTTCTCATTTTGTATTTTTATGTTGTGAACCACCCTGTGGTTTTCAGATGAAGGGTGGTATACACATTTAATAAATAGATAGATACCCTGGGCACCCAGACCTGTCTCTGTTATTGAGCATTTTTTCAGCTGTTGAAAAATTCATGCCACAGTTGAAGTAAAAGAAAACCAGCTGAATTATTTAAGGCATTACTTTCACCTGCACTAGTCAAGGGAGAGAGCACTCAGCCCTGACGTAGGCATGTACCTTAGGAGCACTGCTCGTTTACTATGGAAGCAGTGTTTTCTAAATACATGTCTGATAGATGGTTATGTTTAAAATATTATATTGACAACACAGTATTTATTTAGAGCATTTCCTTGGTGTTTTGTGTACATTATCCCAGGAATCTCTGCGACAGCCTTATTAAGTAGATGCATATTATCCCAGGTTTTTAGATATGGCTGAGAATATGTAACTTTGCCAGAGGATACCAAATTTTATGTCCAAGATGATTTTTTGAACCAGGGATTTCTAGCTCATAACTCAGGCTCTTAACTACGATACAATATCAGCTTGTGCTGGTGACGGTACATTTTCTTGCAGGTTTGTTGGCAGGGCTTTGGGAGTTTCCAAGCCTCCTCCTTGAGTCAGGGCAGGAGAAGTGGCAGAAAGCAGCGCTGGCAGATCACCTCCAAGCCTGGGTTGGTAGTAACGTGGCAACAAGACGCCTGCAGCATGTTGGAGAGGTACATTGGACCCCCCTCCCTGCAGAATTGGCCCATTGTTTATACAGTGTCTCTCCAGCAAGTACCTCCCCTCTCGCCGCCACCTCCCCTTGCATGGGATTTACAACCTACAACCTGGGTGGCATTAGCATCAGAATCTCTGTTGCTATTAAGTGCCGAACAAAACCTTCAGGATGTGTGCCATGCATGAAGCTGGTTTGATGGGGAAGACAGTTGTTCTGTTTTGTAACTGACAGATGGAAAGTTTTGCAGTTAAATACCTGGCAATGAAATTACTGCCCCCATGAATATCTGGAACAGTATTTGTCAGGGTTGAATTAAATCTCACTTCCAGCCATTCAGTCCTCAGATTATTTTTAGATTATCACTCAGATTATGCCATAGGTGGGAGAGATCATCATGTCTTGCTAGTCAGCTACTTCCCGTCTTAAGCTTGGCAGCCCCAAGTGCTGGCCCCCCACTGCCTGCCTGCTTCAATGGTTGCTTGGAGCTCAGAGTATCACTTGACAAGTGGAGTGAACTACTTGACCCCCAAAGGCGCACTCCTCCATTATCTCCCGAGACAGACGGATGCCAACAGGCTACATTCCAGCCAAACAGAAGTCAGGTTTTAATATACATACACACACATACTTTCATCCAGGCAGGCCAGGAGCATTATTGCACTTCAAGGCCACATTCCAGCCAGGCAAAAACACTTGGAGGAGTATGACTGGGGAGGGGTGTGGATGGGAAGGAGGCACAACCTAGTGTGAGTCTCAGCGACTGGGAAGAGAAGCCTGGAGAACTGCAGTCTGCCTCCAGGCCTGCGCCCCTGTCCTAGTTCTAGAGCACAGTCTCTGCTTTCTTCCCTGTCTTCACTCCCACAGACAAGTAGGTTATGTACCTGCAGCTCCTTGTCCTGAAACAATGAAGGTTGGGAAGGAGAAGCTCCCTGGTCTCCATGCAAAGCCCAGCCTCCCTCTATGAGGCTGCAGCTGGGTTTCTTCCTTCCCAAGGAACTTGTCCTTCTTACCTGCCAGAAGGTAGGGAGGGAAGGGATGCTGTGACATAACGGCATCTCTCACCTTCCCTAACCACATCTACATATCTTCAAATCCTTCACCAGGTTCTCCATATCTTCTCCCACATCCGCCAAACATACGTGATCTACTCTTTGAATCTGGATCAAGATGAAGGAAACTGGGATGTGGAGCTGGAGCTGCCGGCATCCCGGTGGGTGACCGAAACAGAATTCCACAACTCTGCCATCTCCACAGCCATGAAGAAGGTACTGAGAATCTAGAGCTTGGTTGCTTCAAGTTTCCCAATGGACCCACATGTCAATTTCTCCTGAGAGATGCAGGTGATGCAACAGCATGGAATGTTAGCCCCAGCTTCTGGGGAAATGCAAACGTTAACTGCAGCTGGAAGTATGACTGAACATAGCTTTCTAGCAAGGGATACACTTGGTCCACTTTTAGCTGCTTCTCTTGTTATGTGTGCTCTGTCTCCTCTTTCACACTGTCCCTGTGTTTCTGGCTCAAGCAATCAGTGGTTCCAGGGGGCAGCTGATACGTTAAAAACGCCTTTGTACGTAAACAGTTGCAACCTGCCCCCTCATATGGAGTCAACACCATGTATTCATTATGGTGCTAGATGTGTTATGTGGACTGTCCTACTTTTCCAGGTCTTGAAAGCTTATGAAAAGTGGAGCCCTACAATCAGTACTGCCAAGGTAAGGACATCCATTTGCTAGAGCTGAACAGCTCTTACCTCTCTCTGCAGCTCCAATCATGTTCCTAGAATTATTATTATTATTTATTCCCCGCCCATCTGGCTGGGTTTCCCCAGCCACTCTGGGTGGCTTACAGCATATCTAAAAACATAATAAAAACATCAAGTGTTAGAAACCTCCCAATACAGGGCTGCCTTCAGATGTCTAAAAGTTTTGTACTTCTTTATCTTCTTGACATATGAAGGGAGGGCGTTCCACAGGGAACAGCATCTCGCCCCTCTGTCTACTGAGCTCCATCACTGGTCCTGCATGTTGGGAGCCACCAGTTTGAGGCTTGCCAACTGCACATCCTTCCAACCACGCTGGGTGGGTCCTGCTGGTTTGTCTCCACCCTTCTTACCAATGTTAGGCCTATAAGCAAGGGGATGGGATTTAGAGGTGGCCGCAGTGCTTTCTCCGTCAAATGCATATGCATGTGTGACTGTACAGATTGTCAAGAGGAAACGGGACTCCCTACACACCAGCCAGACCCTGCATGAAGAAGGTAGTTTTTCCAAGAGGCAACTTTCTCTGGATTCATTTCTTGCAACAAATCCCGGGGACTGATGGCAGTCTCTATGCTCTGCCTGACCTCATGTGAGTACACCTCATTCCACGCCCAGCAACCTTGTACAACACTTGGAAGCCCCATTGGTGCCTTCTCAATGAGCATCGCCGAAAGGTCTCAAGATTCTCGCCTGGGATGACACTACCCAGGCAGTGAGGTGTGCCTGCCTGTTGTAAACAGTGCTAAGCTCCATAATCTTACTAGAGTTCAGGGCTGTGGGATGAGTCCAGTTGTTTTGTCTGCATTACCATTCAGCTGATGTGCCTTACCTTATAGTTTCGGAGATGAGGGACTGATCTCCAGCAAGGATGTGGTCATACTGGAATGAAACACTGTGGCTGCAATGAGGGCATCATGGGGATGTTGTGACTTTAACATTGCCCCCCTCCACTCCAATACAAAACACGGGCACAATTCAAACAAGTGTGGCTGTAGTGGCTCCTAGGAGGTCAGAGTTTATTGGTGTGCCACACTGCAGTAAAATGGACTTTTTAAAAAAGTATATGAGGCAGGCTGACTGAAAGACTTATTCTCCAGTGGATGCTAAGCAAAAAGACTCAATGTCTCTTCTGCATCCTTCTTAAATGTTGCTTTCTTAGAGCTAGTTTATTCTCAAGGACAAGTAACTATGCAATTACCATTTGCTCACATCCATAGTCAAGAAAGTGTTTTGCTGCTGTACTAGATGCCACAATTACTGGAGTTCACAGATGAAACTGTTTTTCAGTACATGCAGTGTCCTGTTTTAATTGTGGGTTTGCTAATAAAATTTTAATTAATTTTTACTGTGGCGGTTATTTAGTTATGCTTTCTTCTTCTTAACTGATTGTATTATTCACACTGTAGCGTTGAAAATTGGCACGCGTGCAAACACACACAACCTTAAATATTGTACTAGCATGTTGATACCTGCACAGCCATGTCACTGGCAAGGAACCAAGAAAGTCCCTTTAAAAGCAAGCATTCAGAAATCTGTTAATACAAAGGTGGAATATTGTGGAGTTTTCAGTTCTTTTCCCACTATTTCTAGTATTTGCCATTTCACATGTGAAAAAAGCACAATAAATGACTACTCTATAATCTCCCCATTGCTCCCCTGCGACAAAAAGGGGCACATTGGTAACATTTATCAAAAGGGTAACTACCCTGCCATAAGCAATGTGGAAATATGCTATTAGGCATGTCCTTTTTGTAAAGTACAGCTAAGTAGCAGTATCTGTTCCCCAAGATGAAGAAACAGCAAGTTCATAAAAGCTCAGCCACACAGTGAGCAAACACATAAATAAGACCTTGTTCGTTGCATAATGTTGATAAGAATCAGATTCTAAATATTCTAAACTCAGAAGGGAATTAATACAGAGAAGCATGTAACAATGTGTTCTATTACAGAACTACAAAGAAATATTTAAAGTTAACGCAATTGTGTTTTTAATGCAAATATAACAAAAAATAGTCTCAACTGATATTTTTTTTTAAAGATCAACCCTGACTTAAACACATATATCTTTATTACTATAAGTATTCCACATGCCCAAATAAATATCCAAACAAGACTGACAATTGAAAGATGTTTAAAACTTAACACAATTGTAACAAAAATTAAGCAAGTTTACTAAAGAAATAAGCTGTTCTTCAGCTGACTAGCAGGCCAAATTGAAATAGTAAAACATATTACCAACTAGACCTAAAACAAAAAAAAATGCTATTATACCCAACACTTAAAAGAACATTATACTTCAGTGTTATAATTTAAATAATAAGTTATAAATAAATCTTATAATTTAAATTGTTGTTAATAAACATATTAATGTTTTGCTGTGATCTCATCACAAATATACTTGAGGCAGAAACCATTCAAGTAACAGTTTTTTAAAAGAGCTTCAGCACATAGTTTTGTACTGAAGAAGATGGATTTCATATATTGAAGAACACCATTTCCTGTTCTGGGACAATGTTGGGCAAGCATCAGCCTGATACTACCCCTTTCCATGTTTCTTAGTCTTTGCCTCTGGAGCCCCACATCTACAAGGAATTAAAGAGCCAGATTTCTATGCTTTCTGTTTATCTCGCTTGTTCCAGGAGTGAAGCTTGTTAATAAAGATGCAGAATAGAGAAGCCCTGTTCTAGGAGTATTGACCACACTTGTTTGCAGCCAAGATGCAGCTGCCATCACAATGTTTCTTTGCTGTGGTTAGAGCTCCCAACTCAAAATAGGTCAGCAATGTGTAAAAAGTTCTGATTAGGTGGGTCATCCAGATCACATGGATACTTTTTACACCAGTGAAAGCAACTCTGGTGGAGGTGCAGAGCCAGTTTAGGAAGTATGCACATGATCTAGAACTCCTTATGTCATTGATATAACAGGGAAACCAACCCCTTAGGAGCAGGTTTGCAGAACTCGCACCATCAGGTTCACATATACACTGAGCACAAGAATGTGTAACGGGGTGTTGGTGCGCATTCTTCAAACTTGCTGGTCCATATAGTTTTGTACAGATTGCCAGAGAGCACGAATGTTTCCCTCGCCAAAACCTGTGGCCCCACATCGCTCTATAAGCTCCAGGAAGAAAGTATCCTCTGTAAAGAGAGGCTTTGTGAAGATCTGCATGAGGTATTGCTTCTCACAAAGGCCTCCAGAGCTACCGCTGCCTCCTACGCCAGCGTCCAGAAGGATGCCATGGTCCTTCAGGAGCTGAAGATTTTGCCCAGCTTGCCTTATCTCCTCCACCTTCCTTTTCTCACTGTAGTATGATAAGGGGGGCTTGAAAAAGTTTGCGCCAGATCTGGCCATGGCCGCAGCGGCTCCTATAATACCTGTGGTGTAGAGTGCCACGTGTTGGATGCCCGATCCACCGTGCTGCTCTAAGAAAGTATCCACCTGGTTCTTCTTTTGATCTGACAGAGACTCAGCTAGAATAATTTTACAGTCATTGCGAAGCAGAGTCGGATCGCTTCCATTGGACTGCATGGCAGTAAGACGAAGACCCATACCAGCACCCTGGATTGTATAGCCATCAGTACCATTGTCTTGCTGGTGGATGGGGAAACGCTGGAATCCCAAACAGTTCTTGTACCAGTCCAACACAGCTTGCGCGCTACCTTGGGGGCAAGCATAGGTGATATGGTCAAAATGTGTCACCTGGCCACCCACCTGGACCTTGGGAGCACCCTCCACCATGTGGAAACCAGGCAGGAACGGTCCGCTGTACCGAGATCTGTCAAGTAGTGTGTGGCTGACGTTGCCTATGATGGATCCCACTACTGAATAAGTGACGTGGCCATTTTCATCTTCCACAGCTGTGGGAGGGATGAGGATCTGGCATCCTCGTTCCTGTAGGCTTTGGGAGATGCCAGGTACATCTTCTGCCTCAAAGCAAATGTTGGAGGCTGTACTGACGGCATATTCTAGGTCCACGTCGTACAGAATTCCTTTAGCCTTGCGGCAGCCTGAAGATGGCACAGGTGGAGCGTCTCTCTTGGCAGGCTTCAGCCTTTCATTGACGAGAAAAATGGCATCCCCTCTCCGGAAGGCCAGCTGCCTGCTCCATTCTGCCACCCGTGCAGCAAACAGCTCGAATCCAAACTGGCGCACCAAGTTGCTGGCCAGCTGTTGCCCCTCAGGGACGTGGAACCCAATGTGGCACATCCGGTTCAGAAGACCAGGCATTATGCAGTTTGAAAGGGTGGTCAATGGTAACACAACTTTTGCTGCTAGACCTACAGAAACAAAAGAAAGCCAGCTCAGTTGTTGTGGGGTGGGGAAGCTCAGTCGGTAGAGCACAAGACTCTTAATCACAGGCTCATGAGTTCGAGTCCCAGGTTAGGCAAAAGTTCCCTGCATTACAGAGGGGGTTGGGCTAGATGACCCTAGTGGTCCCTTCCCTGGATGGGAACAGGGGCCTGTTCTGTTAGTGCCTCCAGGTTTTGTAGGGGGGGCAGGAGGAGGAGGAGGCAGCTCTGTGCCACCTCCCTTCGGCTGACGTGTGCCTGAAAAATCAAAGGAATCCAGGTCTAAGGGGGGGGGGAATCTGCCCCTCCCCCAGAAATCTGCACGTTTCTCTGCCTAGCTGCAGAGTCTATCTTTTCCCTCTCTTTCCCCTTTAGATCTTGCCTCAGGCCTCTGAGTGAAAGCTTATCTGCCGTGTGTCTTTGATTCCTCATGCGAAAGTGACTTTCACGTAGCAGGCAGGCAGGCAGGCGCCGGAACTCCTCCTCCTCCCGCCGCTGACTTGAATCTGCCGCAAGGAGGGGCTCCGCAACACGCGGTCGGAAGCGGAAGGCGAGTGTCTCCAGGGCGCACGTGGGCCTACGCAAACATCTTCCACCGGCTCGCAGGTCCTAAGCAAAGGCAATTGCTACGCTTATCAGCCGTTCAATGGGCTGCGTATACCGGAGCCGCAATCTCCTTTCCTATAATGCCATTCCCCCCCCCCCAAAAAAAAAACCTCAACAACAACAACCAAGAGCGTTTATTTTACCTTTGTTGATAACACTGTTTTGTGCTACAATTATTTTATTTTTAAAACTCCCAAGGAATGTTCTTAAAATATGTTGCTTTCATATCGCCACCACTGGGTGGGCAGCCTTGTTAAGTATTTACAGCGCTTGAAGACTAGCTGTTATTTTTATTTTTTATGTGAGGAGGAGCTATACAATTCAATCTTGAAAGTATTTTTAAGAACAGGCCTTTAGATCGAACCTCCCCTTTTCACACACTCGTAACAGTTTTAGATTTCAGTGGAAAGGCACAAGGAAGTGGCATAAAGTGGTACCTTGGGTTACATACGCTTCAGGTTACAGACTCCGCTAACCCAGAAATATTACCTCAGGTTAAGAACTTTGCTTCAGGTTGAGAACAGAAATCATGCTCTGGGGCGCGGCGGCAGCAGGAGGCCCCATTAGCCTGAAGTGGTGCTTCAGGTTAAGAACAGTTAAGAACAGTTTCAAGTTAAGTACAGACCTCCAGAATGAATTAAGTACTTAACCTAAGGTACCACTGTACTTTATGATGATGATGACTGATTATTTAATTTTTGTGCTGCTTATTTAAAATATCTCTTAAACAGTTTACAATAAGCTGAAACTGCAACAGCAGACAAAACAAAATATTACAAAAATACACATAAAAATGTTACATTAATAGAAAGTTACCACTATATTTAAATCCATATCAATGCATTTTCCTTCTGACAACACCCTCCCTCTCAGCACCCAGGGTCGAAACAAACTCCCAGCTCACCAACAAAAGTTTCACAACGAGAAGAGTTCCTGGAAACCTCAGAAATCACCCTAGCCTCTCGGAGAATTGCAGATCCAAGGTGGATGGGACTTCCTCAGGCTGCTCTCGACTGTGTCCCACTCAGCTGCACTCTCTACTCCCAGTTCCAGGTACAGCAGGTTTGCATGTGTCTTTATCAGATCTTGGGAAATACTTTTCTCTCCCTTCAGGGCTTCTGAATTGGGGTGGGGACTATTGTGAGGGAAAAGAGTGCGTGTGTACTGCTGGAAAGGTATAGATTTGGAGAAGGCCAATACTTGGGGGCGGGGGTTGATTGGGAATGGCCTGTAGGTACTAGTTGTACAGAAACCTGGCAAGAAAATGGGGACAGGACATAATTTCTAGGTTCTTACGTTACTCTGCTAGTATGGGATCTTCAGCAGCACCACTCCTGCGTGGTACAAGAGTGTATCTTAATGGTTAGCATTGGCACAGGAAGAAGCTGTGATGTGGGCTTTGTTACTCATGGTCTGGGCTTCTCACTGTTACCCCAACAATGCAAGAAGGAGCAGCACTGCAGCACTTCCAACGTTGTTGGGGTAACATGAGTACGGGGCTTTAAGGGGCAGCCTGGAAGCCATATAATCTGCTCAGGAAATCCTGTTTCAAAATGCATTATACATGACAGCTTCTCTCTTGCAAGGCAGAGGTGTTCTGCACATGTTCAGAGGAACTCTATTTCACTTGTACCTCACATCACTCAATCAATTCACTTTTATTATCCCAGAAAACCAGTTTTCCACCCAGGTTCTCTCATGTCAGTTCACATTCAGTTAAATTTCCTCCAATCCCATAGTTGACTGCTCATTGTCAAATCTGTCCTCTCATATACAGTGGTGCCCCGCAAGACGAATGCCTCGCAAGACGGAAAACCTGCTAGACGAAAGGGTTTTCCGTTTTTGAGTTGCTTCGCAGGACGAATTTCCCTATGGGCTTGCTTCGCAAGACGAAAATGTCTTGCGAGTCTTGAGATTTTTTTTTCGCTCCCCCCCCCCCATTTCTAAGCCGCTAATAGCCTTTTAGCAGCTAAGCCGATAAACCGATAAGCCTTTAATAGCCGCTAAACCGCTAATAGCGCTAATCTGCTAAGCCGCTAATAGGGTTGCTTCACAAGACGGAAAAACCGCTAGACGAAGACACTCGCGGAACGGATTAATTTCGTCTTGCGAGGCACCACTGTACTTTAGAGTAGGAATATTAGGGAGTTCATGCCTGAATTGGAAACTCAAAGGAACTGTTTTTTTCATATACTCATGGATATCTCATCATGCTGTGCCAGTCCTACTAGTGGGACGCGGGTGGCACTGTGGTCTAAACCACTGAGCCTCTTGCCAATTTGAAGGTCGGCAGTTTGAATCTGCTCAATGGGGTGAGGTCCCATTGCTCTGTCCCAGCTTCTGCCAACCTAGCAGTTCAAATCACACCAGTGCAAATAGATAAATAGGTACCACTGCAATGGGAAGGTAAACAATGTTTCCGTGCGCTCTGGCTTTCATCACAGTGTCGTGTTGCACCAGAAGCAGTTTAGTCATGCTGGTCAAATGACTCGGAAAGTTGTCTGTGGACAAACGCCAGTTCCCTCGGCCTGAAAGTGAGATGAGCACCACAAACCCATAGTTGCCTTTGACTGGACTTAACCATCCAGCAGCCCTTTACCTTTTATCTTTACCTACTAATCTTAAAACAATTTTTCATCTGAAGCAAAAAGTAAACATATACCACCCCATCACAATAATGCAAGTTGAGTGGGTACAGTTTGTCTCTTATGGAATCTGTTGCCTATAACCAGAGCTTCTTTTTATCCAGAACTCACCGGAACTCAGTTCCAGCATCTTTCAGGCGTACACCGTTGCCATGATAAGAGAACAATGGAGGCATTCATGGTGAGTTCTGGCACTTCTTTTTCTAGAAAAATAGCACTGCCTGTAACAATTGCTTCCCTTTGCTTTATAGCAAGGCGGCCCATCTCATCACACCAGTAATGTATTCCTCAGTGTAACTGAAAACTGCCGGGATGCAGTCCTGTCATCTTCCAAGAGCATAATGCTTTCCAGTGTTCCTGGCCTGGCACTGCATGGTATTTCTTCAGTTCCTGAATGTGATGTCTCTGAATGAAAAACAAGTACCGCTGGGTGTATGGCAGTGGTGAACGCAATTCATGCTGCTCTGAAATTCTTCAAGGACATCTGTGTATCTAGCCCCCAGCCAAGCACCTCCTCTCTCCCAGCCCCTTCTGGGTGGAGAGACCTTGAATGAGAGATAAAGTATGCCACAGCCAGCCTGGGGATAAGAGATCTGAGAGAACAGAGCTACAGTAAGACTGTCATAGATTGGAGTAGAACAACAGCTGGAGTCACCTGAGAAAAGGCAGAGTATCACCTGGTGGGAATTCTTGGTGCAGACTTGTTGGGAAGGGGGGTGTCAATGTCTATTAAGTTCAGTTTCTGCAGTTGGTCAGTATAGCTGGTGTTTTGTGGAGGGGAGGCTCATGAGAAATATTTATCACAATGAAGTTAGAGCCGAAAGGTTCTGAACAAGGAAGGCAAAGTTGTGCTACTGCTTCCTAGAACAAAGTCTTGGTGGATTCCTGAGAGGCCCAACCTTGGCAAGGTGTCAAATCACCTTTGACTGAACCACCTTTTGTGGGTGAGACTGTGAGAGGTTTTGAATCTTGCCAAGATAAGCATGATCTGATCTGAGTTGTTCCTAATCTACTACCACCACCCCAAGGCTGTTTTTCTTGGATGTGGGAAGGTGAGGAGTATATGGGAGGGAATTGCACACAGCCTGTGTGGTGGCAAGCAGGGGATGACGGGGACGTTGTGACCAGCTTTAGAATGCAAGCGCCACTGCTTCTGATGGTGGACTCAAAAGCTTGGACCCTGTTCCAGAGGACAATTAGGGGAGGAGAACATCCTGCCAAGATTTGGCCCAACCAAAGGCATTGCCTTCCCTGTTTTGCCACTTTCTGGAATCAACAAGGGCTTTCTAAATACCGTAACTATTTTTATTGAGAGATTAGGGTGGTGTGGCTGAATCATGCTGGGTTTCTGTGGCTTGTTTTTACAAGTTTAACAAGGCTTGGGTGTGTGTCCTTTTCTAACCAGTGTGTTGGAAAGCAACAAGACTCTTGCTGAGATTTCATCCATGTGATTAATGTGTGTGGCTCACCAGGACTGTGCAAAATAGGCTGGCTCCCAGAGAGGAGCTTTCACCTGTTTTGTTCCTTCCCCAGGCTTTTTAGCTCAGTTGGTTAGCTAAGCTGCAATATGCAGCCAGTAACAAATCCTGGCTGTCCTGTAGATAATTGTTACGGAGGCAAGAGCTTAATCAGTATCCCAAGTTCAGACAACTCACTAAGCCACCCTTGGCTTTGGTGCTGCACCCCACTGAGCTAAAGAGGCCACAGAGGAGCGGCTGTAATCTTCTCCCTAGTAGCCAATTCACACTAAACTATGGCTTTGCTTAGCATTAGATATGAATGCAGCCAGAGCTGTAAAAAAATGTGGGGGAGAAACTAACAGTGCTTCCGGACGTTCACTATCTTGCAGAAGGGATGCAAATACATGCTGGAAATTTAGATTTGATACTACCCTTGCTGGTACCATTCCCAGGAAAATCAGAGGCTCACTATGTCAGGTTCCTATTGGAAGACCGGACAAATGCTAGAACATTAGCAGTGGCAAAGTTTTTATTGGTGGTTGCAAGAACAAATGATCCCTATATTCTGAACAAAATGCTTGTTTAACCTGGAGGTAGGCTGTGTGAATTGTGTATTGCTTTGTAATGATTTGTTGGGTCTCTGGACCGTAATAGAGATTGATGATGATGATGAAATTTAGATTTGCACAGTTAAAGCAGATTAAAGGATTCTGGGCAACAAATCCACTTCACACAAAAACACCAGACTTTTTGCAGTTTGGAAAGTGATGGGGAAATGCACTGAAAACATGTGCAATGAGCAAATGACTAATGGGAAGACGTATAAACACCCTGCAAGCAAATCTGAATGGATGCTAATTGTCATATAACTAACTACCCTGCAAACAAATCAGAATGAATACTCAGCAAAGACTAGCTAAAGTATAACTTCTGTGTAAACTTTGTGCAAGCAAATCAGGCTAAATGTCAACAAACAGGGGTCTCTGGGTTAGGAATACAGTTTGTTGCATAAACTGCATATGAGAATTCTCTGCTTTTAGTTTGCTGACAACAGAGGAAGACAGTGCTTTTTTTCCTCTTTGCTTTTTGAACAGTTCTTAATTTCTAGCAAAACTTATACTGGAGCGTTCATCTATGTAGGAAACATGCCGTCACATCATCAGCCTTGCTTTGTATTTATAAAAGTATAGGGAAAGGAAAACTGCAGTTGTTTAGTAACAAGTGAAAAACATATGCTCAGATGCACACTATTCCTAAATTCTAAGTGCAAGGAGGAAGGGGAAGCTGCAGCTGTTAAGCAGCATGGGGAATTACTCTGAATATGCTCAGAGGCACACTCTTTATTAATGTTTAACTTTTTGTGCATTCTCTCCCATGGTTATCTGACTCATATAGTGCCCCACTTGTAAAATGGAGCCAATATCCTTTAAAAGCAATAGGGTGCCTATATGTGTCTTAACGTATGTGAATTGCCTTGTGGCCTGTGGCTTACCTGATTGTTTTTGTCTGGTCTAGATATTTGCTTGCATTCATTTTTAGATCCCACTTTCTGCTTGAGGCATGTTTCAGTCCAGATTGTGTTGTCTTCACCATTGTCTGCCAAACCAGAGTGCTTGGCTGCCAGACTCCTTCCTTGGCCCTATCTGCTCATCAAATTATGGTGGGACAACACAGTACTAGGCATACTCAGTGCTTTTTCCCCCAGGGGGTACTCAAGGGTACGCAATACCAGCACCTCCTTTTGTTGTTGTTAAAAAGTGTGGCGCTTACTGTAACAATTTCATGGTACCGGCACCTATTTTTCTAGGGGGGGAAGCACTGGGCATACTGTGTACCATTCAGGTCACCTCCCTTAAAAATATATTCTGTAGAGTTGGAAAAGTTTCAGAAAAGGTGAGGGCAACTAAAATGATCAAAGGGCTGGTACGACCATCTTATGAGGAAAGGTTACAGCATTTAGGGATTTCCAGATTAGAAAAAAAGGTGTATAAGGTAGGGACATGACAGTGATGTCTACAATTATGCATGGCATGGAGAACGTAGATGGAGAGAAGTTGCTCTCTGTCTTCCAGAATATTAGGCCATCCAATGAAGCTGAATACTGGAAAATTCAGGGCAGACAAAAAGAAGTACTATATAAGTACTTGCTCTCACAGGATGTGGAGATAGCCACTATTTTGGAGGTGTATGAGAAATGCATCTGAAAACAAAATGTATTGAGGAGTTAGTGATCTGACACGGTTACCCTTCCTGCCTCTGTTCCTTCCCCCTCCCTTGCTCTTGTTAAGTTTTTTGATGCTGTGAGAACAGTCTCTAATGTCCTGAGAACTTTGGGAGGAGGTGAAGCCTCACACACAGCTGCCTTCATCAGTTGTGGAGGATAATTCTGGGTGCCTTCTTTGATGCTGGACATTGTTTTGAGAAAGTGAGGCCTTGGGAGGGGGTGGCTGTTGGATGATCTGCACATAGCCAGTCTTGGAAGCCACACAGGTTGTCTATAATATCGAACGGTTTGGGCAGAGTTTGTTTGAAGCTCATGCACGGACTGATCGGCCACAGGGTCATGCAAACTGAGGGTACCTGGGGGAGTCGCTTCGCCGCTTCTTGGGGGCTTCCAAGTGGCAGATTGAAGTGCTTGCTTGGTATATGTATACCTTGCTTGCTGTTTTAGAATAAAATCTTTAAACTTCTCGCTCACTTGTGTATTTTGTATTGCTTCTGAATCTCATTTTAAAAGAACCACCTTGCCTTTGGCAAGACAGGAGGATTAGACAAATTCATGGAGGGCAGAGCTATTCATAACCACTAGATATGATGGATACCTCCACTGTCCGAGACACCTCTGCATACCAGTCAATGGGAACCACAAATAGAGGGAGTGCTGTGGCACTAGGCATCTGGATGGCCACTGTGAGAACAGGATGCTGGACTAGATGAGCCTTTGGTCTGATCCAGCAGGTCTCTTCATAGGTTCTTAATGACCATGCTGGGAGTTGTACTGCAACAATATCCAGAGGGCCACAGGATAGCAACAACCCTTGCTGTAGCTGAAATCCTGGGCAGCTGATATGTGAGTGTGTCTTTAAGCATCCATTACTGTCACTTTCAAATACAGGGCACTAGGGCATCCATGTAGGACAATCCTATCTATGTTTACTAAGAAGAAAGCCTTCTGAGACTTAGAGGCTGCATCTGGCCTGCTGAGGGAAGTTCTTTTTTTTTTTTTAAGTTTTTATTAACAATTTCAACATAACAAATTATCAAAACATATCATATTCATTATTTTCCCCCTCCCCCCCCCCGAGACTTCCCTGCTGAGGGAAGTTCTTATGGTCTTAAGCTGCTCTCTTCTACTTTAGGCTGAAGGGAGGTGGCCAGGATGGGCTATTCAGCCCTAGCCACCTTGCTGCTGCTCCTGGCAATTGCTGCTACGCTGGCAGACGTGGCTGAGAACAGGACCAGAATATGCCAACCTGCACCACTCTGGAAGATCAATGGGGTGGCCCCCATGGCTGGGATGGAGGGCCAAGTGACAGTGGTGGCACTGTTGAAAGCCAGCTGACAGTTCTGTCTCAAGCAGGCCGCCAGGTGAGTTCACAGAGAAGATTGCCTGAGTCAGGAGCTGTTAGGTTGCAGCCACACCATACATTTGACGCACATGGCTTTCCCCAAAGAGTCATGGGAACTGTAGTTTAAGAGTGCTGGGAACTGTAGCTCTGTCAGGGGGTAAATCACAGTTCCCATAATGCTTTGGGGAAAGTCTCATGCTTTAAAAAGATGGTCTGGATGTGACTAGAAAGGCAGATATGTGTTGGAACCCTGTATCTGGTGTTCAGTGGCAATATCACAACTCTTAAGGTCACATCTTTGCCCCTAGGCTTTCTACCAGGAAACACAGAACTGAACTGATTGTCTATAAGCTCCAGTTCAACAATCAAAATTTGAGGCCTGGGCTGCAGCAGGCCAGATATAACACGCTTATAGATGGTGGATGCAATTTCCCTGGTGAATTACAGCTCAAGCATAATATGTATCATTTAACCTATTGCTGGATCTATGTAGCAGGGACCGCTGTAATGGCAAGTCCAGTGAACTGATAAATGAAGGGGCCTCCGTCCAGCAGTGCAGGCTCATATCCCACATGGTATGTGCAGAGGACAAGGGCTGGAACCTATATCTGTGCACCTCATTTCCAAAACGTTACTTGTTCTTCCTACCCACCAGCCTTGGCAGCTTGCAGAGGAAGCTGTCACTTGAAGGAGTGACCAATGTCAGCTTCATGATTGTGAATGAGAAGACTCCTTTCTCCAGGGCCATGTACTGGGAGCTCAAACGGCATGCCCCAGAGGGAGTTCCTGTTTACCAGCAGCAGATTCTGGAGCCTGACGTCTGGCAAATTCTAGATGGGGACAAGGATGACTTCCTGATCTATGACAGGTCAGTGCTTAAGGGAGCAATGCTAACTCCCCACCCACCCAGACTGATAGGGTTTTTGGAGAGTCAGGGCCACTGCTGTGCATAGCAGCCGGGGCAGAAGGGAGGGAAGGCAGATCACTGAGCCAGCTTGGAGCTGGTGCAGCAATTGAGCCTGGAAGAAGCCCAGTTCTGGCAGTGGGACCATCTCAGGATCCAATGGACTGCAGGGCGGCTCAGTCCAGCTCCTTCCTTGGCTGCTGAAAGCCCCTGCTGCCACCAGCAGGGATCCCATCAGCAGCACTAGCGGGGGCAGAAGAGGGTGCTCCGTAGGCAGCTGCTGATGGGAGGCCAATGGGGGTCTGCAGGCCTGGGCAGAAGGAAGGAAGGAAAGTAAGACATATGGAATTCAGGATTCTTGAATACATTATCAAAAAGTCTGTTTGAGGACACATCTGGAAAGAAAGGACATACCATGATGTAAGTGTTTCTCTTTACCATCATGTCTCACAACTGTTGGTGAGGAAAACCAGATTCTTCAGGCCAGGTTAGATTCATTTCCAGTGTAAATTAGTGGATTACAGGCTCTCCTGACACTAACTTTATGTCCATTTGTTTCATGGCTCTCGGGCTTTGCAGGTGCAGCAGGCTGGCTTTCCACATCCAGCTGCCATACAGTTTTCTGCACTTGCCCTATGTTGAAGCAGCCGTGCGGTACACACACAGCAAAGACTACTGCGGCAATTGTTCCTGGTACCCCTCTAACAGCAGCCAGGAGGTAGGGACTTGAATCCCCTCATCAACTTCCTTTTCAACTATTTTATTTAAGCCAGACATTTCCTCATTTGCCCATCCTGAACCTCTGCCTGGGAATTCTAGGTTTCTGATCAGATCGGTCTTACAGTAGGGATGTGGAAGGAGAAGGTGGAAGGGAGGGTTTTATTATATTGGGCCACTACAGCAAGCAAGGAGAAAGGATGTTGAGATACCACAAAGCATCTTTCATCTTGGCAGGAAGTAAACCATCTTGAAATAAAAACCTCAGAAGCAAATTGCAGATGGAGACACCAGGTCTGCCGCAGTCACAGATAGTGTAGCGTGGAGGGGTCCAGGAGAACCCAGGTGGGAGGACATGCTAACACCCCCCCCACACACACACTTTCAGCTTCTCACACTCCCCCAAGTGCTTGCCCTCCCCCAAGTGCTTTTTTCCCCAGTTGAGTTCAGATACTAAAAGTGAGATTGACTTGGAGAAAGACACTTTGGAACAGAAGCTGTGTGGCATCAAGTGCAGGAAAGGTTTGGTTCCCCTCACCCAGGCACCCCTTTTCTCTAAAGTCAACCCCACCTTCCTGTTTTGCACATGATGGGGCAAGACCTGGATCTGCTGCTATCATGTACTGCTTGAGCCTCACCCAGTAGCCATTGTCTGCCCTCAGTTATTGAAAAAACACCCTTAATTTGTCAGGTTGAAGTGCTTCCTGTTTCCAATGAATGGGAGCATATTGTTCCTTGGACAGAAGAAATAATAACTGCTGTCTTGTCCTGTGGTGTCACTTCCTGCCCCATCAGTGATCTGAAAGTTCATTCCTCAAGGTGGGATTGCGGGAGGGCCCTGATGTATTACCTATTTTAGTTTTTTGCTGCCCCGATAGCCAATGCAGCAAAATATTATAAATACCTTTTAAGCCATTTCGACCATACCGAGAGTGAAGTCAAACAGATCTCCTTCCAGGAGTCGGTGCAGGTTTTTCTGATCTGGAGAAATCAAACCTTCTTCCCTCCCTGCTCTTTTGAGAGAGATATATACTTGGCTTAAACTCCTGTGCAGCTTTTTGCCTCTCAAACTTTGGGCTTTTAAAAACCATTTCTACGCCTAAACATCCAGCATGTTTACTCATTTAAACTTCTATTTTACACATTCTTTAAAACCACTTTTTAAGTGACTGCCAGTCAATCACCATTCTTCACAGCCAATTTCTCCTGAAAACAGAAAGTAGCAGTTGTTCTGAGCTCAGTTGATTTTGGAAGTTTACATATTTTGTCAAAAAGGGCTGAATGCAGATCACTTCAGATATATACATCCATCTTCACTTTTAAAAATGTGTTTCTGTCTTCACCCTAAGCCCATCAGTATACTAGAATCTTTCATTACCTTCACAGGTGAATAAGACAGCAAGTACTAACGTGACAACAACTGAGGCATCTGGACACAAAGAGAAGCACCTGGAAGAACCCAGGTACCATCACGATGAGCCAAGCCAAGAAGCACCTAACACCAAGCACACAGCCCATCACTATTCACATCATGGAGGAGTCGGCAACCATAAAGCCTTGGGTTTGAGCAGTACACACCAGCCAGTTCTCCACTCTCAGAATCACTCACAGAAGCATCAAACAAGGGAATCCCCATAAAACATTTAAACTTCAATGTATGCAACCCCCAACTGTTAGCCATAAGCATACTTAGCACTAAGCAAGCTTTTAAGAAGAGCCAGGGGGCAAACTTACATGCATCAGAAGGAAGAAATATGATGGCTCAGTTTTCAGCAGGGGAAGGGAAGTGAATGCTCCACTCCCTAATCATTCAAGGTCTCTCAACAGATAGCAGAGGACACAACAAAAACTTTTGTTGTGTCATATATGTGATTGGAAAGTTTAACTGCTTGTCCACAATGAGACTTCTATCCTCATTTTGAATCTGTCTCCCAGTTAACCTCATATCCACCAGTTTTGTTCCATCAAGCCTTAAGGTGGTGTTCCTCTTGGGCCCAGATGGATTTTTAGATACACCCCATTTCTGTGGTGAGGACTGCCTAAGGAAGCCATCTTGTTTTCCTCAGGAACACAGAGCTGCTATGGTAATCAGCTTCTTGAGAAGCCAATTTTGACCCCATTTTTGCATTTCCTGCTTTTCTGCACTCAATGAAGCATGTGATGTAAACTTTCTGTCACCACATGCTGACACCGTACATAAAAGCATGTCCTTGGAGATGGAAGGATGGGGATCAGAACTGGTATTAGCAGGAGGGTGACTGACTGTGGCAGAGAAGGCTGACTTTGAGCCTAGGGCTCAAGATTTTGTACATTAAAGTCCATGCACACAAATTACTAGCTTGTAAAAAGACATTTGTTGTATTGCTGGAAGTAAAGAACATTTGCGGTTTGTAGGAATGGAAGTGGTGAGACAGAATTAGCCAAGTTTACAGGTATGTTGATAGAGGTATGAAAGACAGAGAAGTCTGAGGTGAGAGTTGAGTTTGTCAGGGCTATGAGAGCTGAACAAGGGAAGAAAATGCCATTTATCAGGAAAATTCATGAAAAGGGATGCAGTGCTTGCTGATTAAAAGTAGTATAACTGTTTCTGGGAAAGAATGTTGGAAATAAATTCTCTGAAATGTTTGAAGTCTTTGCTCACAATACCTTAATGTACAAATGGTGTCATTTATTTCAGACAGTACACAGCATTGTAGAACACGTATTCACCTTCAACATTTAAGAGATGTCCCATAGTTTATCTGCATTTTTGGCATACTAAGCAGTCCTTATTGAGAATAGTCCAGGTTCCTGTTATTTGTTGAAGGTCAGTGAATTGGTGCACACTGTACAAGTCCTCCACATCCCAGTTTTAGGAAGGTACTGCTACAAATATTTACAGGAGGGTGTAATCTGTCTTTATTGTATTGTTAATGCTGATATGTATCCACCTATAATCTGTTTATTCCAAAGTAACCCTAGTTAGTAAAGCCAGCTAGACTAGACTGCAAATGGTGGCAGCTGCCCATAGGTTTATGGCATTTCTTTGAAAGCCTCAATTCCTTTTTATTACATCTCAGCTGGTGGCTAAAGGGACCAATCTTCAATTTACAGGACCTGCCATAGGTATAACATCTATAATAGGTAGCTCACAATTATAACCCTGCTGATTACACTCACACATGCTGTAGACTGGAGTGAAGAACTTATTTCAGCCCAAGGGCCACATTTGTTTCTGGGTAGCCTTCTGAGGGCTGCCTGCCAGTGGTGCACAGGGCCAGAGGCAAAAGTGAATGAAGCAACAATGGTTAATTTTACCTTTCATACCAGTAGGCTAGTTTCTTCATGCTCACACATTCCTCTCTATTCTTCACCCAGGCAAGCAAGAAGCATGATCAGAATTCAATGAAATAAATGAAATAAAACAGTTCTTCACCTGGCCCCAGATATTCATAAGGCTTGCTGCTGGTGTCAGGCAAGCTTTTCTAGGAAAGACAGGGCAGTATAGCTGGAAAGACCCAATCAGAGTCCCTGAAAGTGGGGAGATCTAAAGAAGGGCCTCCTGGTATAATATTAGTAGTTCAGGAGGTTCTTGTGGAAGAAGGCAGCCTTTGAAATTCTGCAAGCAATAAAAGGGCATTAGGCTGTCAGTGAGGTGCTTATAGTTAACAAGCCACCTTTGGTGTAAACAGCATACTTACTGCAGATTTATTTATCCCCTTGTGTATATCAAAACTTTCCTGATATCTGTACATGCTGGCTACTCTTAACATACATGTATTAGAGCTATGACATAATTTATAGCTTTTGGTAATATGTCATATAATTAATCGCCTTCACCCAGGGCATAACCAGCACAATGGACGCTAAATAAACTGCTCGCAACTGTGATTCAACTTGCAGCCTTAGTTGCTTAACAACTAGTTTAATGTTCTTAGCAGTCTTGCTCTCCACAATACATAACGTAGTAACAAACAAAAACAATATCCCCACCCCACCGTGCAGCCATATGGTAGCTGCTATGATCTGGTGTAATATTTGATTACTTGCCCAACTGACATGCAAAGATTTAGCTGTCCTTCCCACATGCTGTTCCGTTCCCTTTTTATGTTCCTTTAGTTCATTTCCTACTTATGTACATACCTAGCTGAAACCATCCCTGCCCCCCAGAAATCTGCAGAGGCCCAATCTACAGCAGCTAGGTCATAATTTAATTGTTAAGAGACTATTTACTTGCTGATAGTTTTGTACGAAACAAAGTAATTATATGGCTGGCTTGTTTTGGTTTTTTTAACATTCCAATTGTATTTACAATCTCTTCCCTTTATTTCTATGTACAGTATTACCATTATTAATTGCCAAAGAAAAAAATCTTCAGTAGTACCAGTGCTAAAAAGATGGGCAAAATTATGTTTTGCTTAAAAAACTAAAAGTGCTAAAAAGATGGGCAAAATTTTGTTTTGCTTAGGACAACAACATTCCTACCTAATGCTGGCCTTGGGCTCTGATCCAGCTTTCCTGATGCCCTCTGCCCCAGCCCACAGCTCCCATTATCCAAACTAAACTCCTTTGCCTCATGTCCTGTTTGCTTACATTTGCAGCAGAGTCCACAGGTTCACAGCAAAACTGGAGCAAGACTATTATTATCATGTTTAATGCTAATCTCATCTAACATGCAGGTCAAATATTTGCTAAAGATCCTCTTTAAACTGGCCTTTCTGTTTGCAGCAGCCAGAAAATATCTTATAGTTTGCCTGTTTATGCCTATTCAGAATAAAGCCTCATTTGAGTTCTATGGCACTTACTGCCAAGTATGTGGGTATAGCATTGCAGATGTAGTCTCTTTTTGATGGACAAGGCTGGCCCTACCATTGGGCAGAGTGAAGCAGCCACCTCAGGTGGTAGATGCTAGGGGGATAAAAGTGGAGGCAAGATGTTGGGAGAGAATTGCCTGTGCCACACACAGCCTCCCCTGCTGCCCTCAGGCATGGTGGAGGATGCAGTCCCACTGCAAATGGAGAAAGAAGACATCTGAAGGCCGCCCTGCATAGGGAAGTTTTGTAATGTTTAAATATGTTTTTATATATGTTGGAAGCAGTCCAGAGTGGCTGGGGCAACCCAGTCAGATGGGTGGGGTGCAAATAATAAAACTATTTTTATTATTACATGTATTTTGCCTTGGTACTAAATCGCATTAGGGTTTTGTTTGACAGCATGATTACAGAATCAAATCAAATAGATGCTCAGTTAAAGGAGCCTTAGCATTTAGGGTAAAATTGGTAGAACAGCAAAGTCTTTCCCACAGATTTTTATTGTTAAAGCTCTTCAGAGGGAAGCAGTAACAATATTATTGATGTTAACATCTTCCCCTCCAATAATTTTTCTCCATGGATGAGCTCCAATATTGGAAGTGAATTTAACTGGATGAGAAGCATTTTGGCAGGGAACTATGGAAAATTAAGTACTGAGTGGAAGGAGGGTTCGGATCCTCTTACCCTTCTGATTATTTGCCTTAAAAATCAAACCTACACAAGTCTACAGGGTGGGTAGTATAGCACACAGAGAAAGGAGTGATAAAATTTGCTAGGCTACAGTCTGTGAGGAACAGTCCTCCTCCCTCCCTTTGTGTATGCTCTGTTTACAATTCCCCCTGCATTTGCACCCATAAGCTTGTCTCTTACTTGCCTAGCACCAAGGACCATGAGGTTGTGTAAACATCTGTACAGCTTTTTTATCTTCTACTTAACATTGTCATTTGCTTTAGAGGCCCTTTAACCCTGTTCATCTGAGGGATCAGCCAAAGAATGAAAAGCAGAATGATGTGTGTGGGTGTGTGGGTGTGTGGGTGGGTGGGTGTGGGTGTGTGTGTGTGTGTGTGAGAGAGAGAGAGAGAGAGAGAGAGAGAGAGAGAGAGAGAGATGAGGAGGGAAGGAGAGGCTGTGTCCATGTCTATTTCTCCATGGAATCCACACTATGGGCTGCCTTTAGGAGATGTAGTACTTCTGTTGGAAGCCTCAAAAGTGGGACAGCATTAGGCTTTAATCAGCAACGGAGGAGGCAGCTGTGGGGTAAATATGCTTTAATGCCTCTTAAGTACACTTTCCCTGCCCAATCCACTTTCCCCTGTTGGGCAGTGAAGTAAAAAGAAACAAAAGCCTATCTAGCCAATTCAGAGGGGTTTTGTTAACTGGCTTCATTATTCAATTAAAATGTCTAACGGTGCTGTAGAAACTCATTTATAGAAAATGGTCTGGCACATTTAAAGTTTACACATGTAGAGTAATTGCTTCCATTGGAATGTTATGTTCATATAGTATTCAGGAGTATTTACATAGGTGATACAATATAAAATCCAAAATGCTAATGAGTTTCTAAAACTTATTTAAGAGTCATTCCCTATAAATAGGCCATGTTTGATTAGTCTTTAAGTTTGCAATCTTATACATACTGATTACAGTGTAAAATCTTACATGCACACTGAAATCACTAGGATTTTCTTCTGGATACGAATGCATGGGATTGTGCTTTGAATCTTTCACCATCTGTTGTATAAGTAAGAGTCCTCACATGTAATTCCCAAGTATAAAACTCATTTATCAAATAATTCATTCAAAGCAGTATGCTTCTGGTTTACAATGATATTCATTTTATAATGAGGAGCTCAGAAAAGTTTTAAGAAATTATTTCAAATCATCATTTTAAACAATATTTCTACTGACAACTCAGAAGTCCTCTTGTGAATATGTAGGTTTTATATTGTATAGCTTCTACAAAATATTGGTAGAGCTTCATAAAATACAGTAAGAATAATTACTTCACTCTAATTATGATTCTATTTTTGCATGAAAGTACATTTGAAAACTAGCTGTGAGCTCAAAAACTCAACAGGCCATTTCCTAAAAATAAGAACAGTCTTCTCCAGCACATCTAAATATTTTATTTTTGTTTTAGGTATGGGTTGCTGCAACTTTAATGGCAACTTTCTGCAATTTTAAATCCCACACCTACCAAAAAAGTTTTAAGAACAGCTTACAACATATAATTTTAAAAAGCATAATGATTAATCTCCAGGTTTTGTGGCACCAGTTCTTATCCTGCTTATCTTCACGTGCTTTGGAGGTGTGGTAAACTAGATTTCTACATCCATAATCTACAGTGTTGTCTGCCAATATCATAATGGTGTTGAAAAGTTGTGCGCTCCGCATGCAAGGATCAATGTGGCAATTGTTCTTGGTACGGAAGTATGAAGCTCTTCTGATTCCTAATCCTCATTAATCTTACTCCTTGTACACAACAAGCAATAGCAACTGCCTTTGTTAGCTCCCCTCTAATTTTTCTAGCAGTTAATTCTGTTTGTCTGTGTCATACACCAGATGCCTATTATTACCTTCACAGGTGTGTAACACAGCAAAGACTAGTATGATGGCAAGTGAGGATACCAAACATGGAGAATCAGAAGGAAAGGAGAGCCAAAGAACACTCAGCCCTGGGTACAAAGCTCACAGAAAATATAAAACAGCTACAGAAGCCTTGGGTGTGTGCCAGCACATTTCAGCCAGTCCTGTTAGAGCCACCCATGGAAGCAGGGCAAGGGGGATAAAGTGAAGGGACTGCCTCAGAAGAATGTACTTTGAATTAACCAGAAGTCTGCTGGTAATCCTTACTGCATTAATCCACTTGACGCTATCAATTTAAGAGAGGACCCCAGCTATAGGAGGTATTTGAATATCACCATCTCAATTGATGCTCTGCAATCTTAGGAAATCAAGTCCTTTTAATATAGTGCCTTGTGGGGGTATTTCCTAATGTTAGGTGGCAGTGCCACATTGTGGGTTCTATCAGTTAGTGCAGCAAGTACTGTTTCCCGCTTCCTCAGGATATCCCCTAAATTGCAGGATGTTCAACCTGAATGGGTTCTCAAGATCAAGCACTTTTAGCAGCTGTTTTGTATTCTAATGCTTGGACAACTACAGGAAGTTTGCTTTTAAGATGCTCTTTTATCAATTTATATATCATATATTACTCCTTTCATATTTCTGGGAAGCATGTTGATCCTCTAATTTACTGAGTGCAGGTGTGAAACATGTACTCCTGAGCTACCTCAGTCTGGCTTCAAGTTGTTTTGGGACCTAGTCCGCATTAGTGGTCCTGATGGATGACCTTGATCACAGGAGTGTGTGACCCTGCAGCTCACTCTTTTTTGACAACAATCATTGTACCCACTTGGACCAGCAGTGCTGGGTGGGGATTTGTGGCACTTTACTTCACTGGTTCTGTACCTTTCTGCAGGACCTTTCTGAGAATGACTCTGGAGGACTATAAACCGCTGGCATTTTTACTATTGGGTCTCTCACGGTACCATCACATCCCCAATGCTTCTAAACATCTACCACGTTACCTAAATGACCACTTTATCCCTTATAAACTGGCCAGATCACAGCACTCTTCTGAAACCCTCCTGACATAGATTAAGTTTCTACGGGAACCAACATTTAGCATAGCAGCACAGGTGCTCTGGAACATTGTTTCAAGACTTACCACTTTGATAATTTGTCGCCGATAAAAGTTGCTTTCTCCAGTCATTTTTAAACGATTTATTTGATTCCTTGTTGGTAATTTGATCTGTATTTTATGTTGTTTTATTGTACTGTATACTGACATGATTTTTTTCCTATGACTTGGCAGTTCATACACTTAGAAACAGAAAATAAATAAATAATGTAGAGAAATTCCAGAACTGCGTAAGTACACAAAATGTTGTGAGAGGGAAGGGACCATATCAGAGCCAGTACTGATAGGAAGGCAATTAGGACTACGCAAGGACTAAGATCAATGGATGATTTTAGGCTTGCGGTTCAGATTTTGGATAGTGAAAGTCTGTAAGTCATGAGTTATTAGACTGAAGGCTGCGGCATCTGTTACATGGCTAAAAGGGTTTGGCAACATGGTTAACAAAGTATGTAGCAGGGGTTGCATAAAGCTTAGGGTTTTTTACACGTTGATATGTATTTGATTATCTTTTCACACCCAGCTCAGAAACACCACCCCCCTCAAAGGAGTACAAAGACAAGCTTTCTAACAGAAAGAATGCCCTTTCAGAAGAGCTATTGCATGTTCCTGCTATACTGAGATCACTCAATTAATTAGAGACATTTAATGTTTAATGACAGTTTAATGACAGTACAAAACATCAGAAAAACCGACTGTTCTACATGCCTGTTCTATATCCCTGGGCCAATCATATACATGGTACTGGTCCTTTTTATCCACACTAGCACAAGGAGCAATTTCCCTTTCCTGGTTCTGATCAAAAGGACATATACTATCAACAATAGCTATTAAGTACTGACCAATGTTTCAGTTCATAATCCATTTACTCCAAAGCTGTCCTAGTAATGTAAATTGGATTGATCCAGAATAAATGGCATCTGAACTATAAACCAGTTAGCTCACAATAATTTTACTATTAAAAATAAGGAGAATGACAAGTACAGGTCTGCTTTTACTTATACAGGTTACAGAATAGATGCCTTGTACAAAAAACAATCACACAGCACATTTAGTTCTGCTTGGAGAAGTACTCTCTACTCTTCTGAACATCAGGCTTGATAGTGTCTTTCCCAGGATGCCAGCCAGCAGGACACACTGAGGAGATAATAATATTAACTTTTAAGTTACTCCAGTAGTACAGACCGAAAACAGCATACAAAGAACTAAGTTATCATGTCCATCACTAGACTTCACACAAGATGACTTGGATCACTACAAGCTCCGTCATCTATTTGACTAACTTCTGGAACTAGCAGCAGTCACCACCCCACCTCTCCTACAGATGGGCTTCTTGATGCAGTTGTGTACCTGAGTTCGGTGGCGTAGCGTGGGGGGTGCAGGGGGGGGCCGGCCGCACCGGGCGCAACATCTGGGGGGCACACGCTCGCACTCGCAGCTCTCTGCCCCTACCTGGCTCACTCAGGGTTAGGGGGCGCAAATTACTTGCCTTGCCCCGGGTGCTGACAACCCACGCTACGCCACTGCCTGAGTTGCACAGGACAGCTGCCTCTTGGAAAAACCGAAGCGATTCAGTGTTTATGCATCTAAAATACTAGCCAAATGCCTGACAGCAACAGAAGACTGAAATAATGACTGAGAGCAGGGAGGTTGGATGGAAGATGGGCCAGAGTTGAGAGTGAAAGACTAGTATTATGTGTCCATTGAAAAATAACAGCTGAAAGAGTCGCTTTGAGGGACTGAATGAAATGGGAATGAGATCAGAGAGCCAATGAGAGGCATATGTAGAAAAGGATAGACATTATGAAAGTTAGAACAGTCTGTACACAGTCCTGGATGTTATGTTCCTTAAGTAAATACATGCTTCTGTTTTAACTGTTCTGGTCAGGGTAGAGTCTAACGTAAATATATCTCACTGACTAAGAATATAAAGGAGGAGCCCTATTGCTTTCTGTAAGTAAATAGATGGTTGATGCAGGTATTTTAAAGAAAGTCTTGATTCAGTGAAAAAGGAGGAATGCCCTTAGTGCCCACCTGGAAACACACCTTTGCAAGGGAGCCTGGGAATATCACAATATGGTGGCAATGTGGCAGAATAGTAATATATACGGGTTATAACTGACATTTATCTGTTGGCAGTAGGGAAGGAAAAAAGGATGCATGTTGTGCCTTGAGGGGGCACAAAATATACCATATTTTTCCGGGTATAACTCTAGGTTTTTCCCCTTAAAAATAATGTTAAAAATTAGGGGGCATCTTATACATGGATAGTGCCGAGGTTGGACTGGCGATTGGTTGTTGCTGCAAAAATACATGGGGGTGTCTTATAGACGGAAAAATACAGTATGTTCTGTAGGAAATGGCCTCAACAAGAATCCCACAGAGAAGACAAGCAAATAATGTGAGGTGCCAATGCTTTCTCTAACACAGCAGCCCCCAAACGCAACATTTTAGATTTCTTCCCATGGGAATGAATGGTAGCTACTCACTTCTGTGGAAAAATGCTACTGTGTATATGGGATACTGTCTTTACAGGGACAGTAGTTCCTGTCTACCTCTGACTCTAGTTTCTTGGTGGAAAGATGTTCTGCCCCTCCACCAGCTGTCAATACTATCTCTTATTTGTCCTGTAGATATAGCTAGAAACCAGAGAGACTCTTAAAAGCCTATTTCTATTTACCTATTCCTGGACTTTTTTAGCCATACAAGATGCTACTCAGGAACTGGATTTTTATCAATGAGATACTGTTTTAGAGAACCATAGTCCTAGATTTTCACATTTATGTTTCTTTAAACATAGTATCCCCTTTGCAGGGAAGAGGATACACCATGTTAAGTGCATCCTCCTTTTTCCACTGAGAAACTTACTGCAGTTCATGCTTGCCTAGCCTGAACTTGACAGTCTTACCTTCTCCATGTTTGTCTGTGAACTGAAAAGCCTGAACTAGCCGGAGTGTTTCATCAACTGAGCGACCAACAGGGAGATCATTGATTGTGATCTGGCGCAAGATTCCCTTATCATCAATGATGAAGAGGCCCCTAAAGAGAGAAGGCACACACACACACAAAAACCAAAACACTTAAATGTATGGTGGCAGAATATAAAAAACTACAAACTAGCATTCAACACCAAATTCTGTACCATTTTAGTTCTTCTGAAAACATCAAAATGATCTGGTACAACTTCCACCTATATATAAATTAAAAGCAAAAAACCCTGGGACGGGACGATATGGGATTGGGGGGGGGGGCAACTCCCATCTCTTGCGGGGGCGCAATTAGTGCCAGCACCGTCCGTTAAGAGTTTGGGTGTAATCTTCGACACCTCCCTTTCCATGGAGGCGCAGACTGCAGCTACAACAAAGGCGGCATTTTTCCATCTCCGCCAAGCTAAGCAGTTGGCTCCTTACCTCTCTCGCCCTGACCTAGCCACTGTGATCCACGCAACGGTCACCTCCAGACTGGATTATTGTAACTCGCTCTACGTGGGGCTGCCCTTGAGACTGACCCAGAAACTCCAGCGGGTGCAGAATGCTGCAGCGAGACTCCTTACAGGGTCTTCGCTGCGAGATCACATTCACCCGGTGCTATACCAGCTGCACTGGCTCCCGGTGGAGTACAGGATCAGGTTTAAGGTGCTGGTTTTAACCTTTAAAGCCCTATACGGCCTAGGACCCTCATACCTACGGGACCGCCTCTCCTGGTATGCCCCACAGAGAAACTTACGGTCTTCAAATAAAAACATCTTGAAGGTCCCAGGCCACAGAGAAGTTAGGCTGGCCTCAACTAGAGCCAGGGCTTTTTCGGCCGTGGCTCCGATCTGGTGGAACACTCTGTCACAAGAGACCAGGGCCCTGCGGGACTTGACATCTTTCCGCAGGGCCTGCAAGACAGAGCTGTTCCACCAGGCCTTTGGCCAGGGCACAGCCTGACTCCCTCCCTCGGAAATCTTCGCGGAGCTCTGGCCCAATGGTTGCCAGTGGCTTGAATTAATTAATTTTATAATGAATGATTTTAGAGTGTTGTTTGTGCTGTACTTTTGTACTGTTTTATTGTTGTTAGCCACCCTGAGCCCGGCTTCAGCTGGGGAGGGCGGGATATAAATAAAATTTATTATTATTTTTTATTATTATTATTATTATTATTATTATTATTATTAGGAGACTCATTTGCAGTTCCAAGCACTAAAACCTCTATAGAACATTTCATAAAGGAATGTGGTAAAACTTCCTACGTACAGCCTCTTTACCTTTCACCCTTCAAGAGACTTCTAACTTGAATGTTCAAACTTTTGTTACAAGATACTAGCACTATTCTGAAGAACAGAGTTTAAATTTGAATTGGTGTTTTTCAACTCAGGTGCTGATAGCGGATCTGGGAAGATGCCAAACGGAGATTGCACATATTCACACATTCACTTTCCTCTTCCCAGTGAAAAGGACATTCATAATTAAGGGCAGCCTTATTAACAGGACTAGTAAAGTGTGCATGTTGACTCAAAACTTGCATCACTTATTTTCTGTGGGCTTCTCCCTCTGATTAAGTTTTATCTTTTAGAACCTTTATCATGCAGTGCTCTATATACCACAAGTCACTAAGTCACAAGTCACTAAGAGGCTGCAGTGGTAACCTTACCTGTAGGAAATGCCTTCATCTTCTTTTAATACTCCATACTTTTTAGAAATTTCACGGTTTGTGTCAGACACTAAGGGAATACGCATGCAGCCTAGTCCACCCTGTTTTTTGGGTGTGTTGATCCTGTTAACAAGAAGAAGAAAGGCATTTTATAATGAGGGTTAGTATTTCAACAATATACTTGTCCTTCTGTACACTTAACACATTCGACTACAGCAGAATATCTAAAGTACAGGAGATTCAGTGGTCTTTGCAAAAGAGGCAGTGACCAAAAACTTCCTGTCTAGTTTCAAGCACTAGTTTGGAATTATTTCAAGTCCCAATCCATGTTACTGGAGTGGTGTGGGAACAGCTTCCTAGTGGTCCGGTTCCACACTGCTCTTACAATATCCAATAAAGGAAACCCACATGGTTCTTACCATAATGGCCAGAGAAGCAGCTTCATTGGGTCTAAGGTTACAGCTCAAGCTGCTCAAGTTCAGGGACTTAAGATGACTACACTTAAAAAGCTACAGGACCGGATCAGAACAGGATTGTGAAGGGTGGGCAAAAAACCCTTAACCAACCCCCTTTCTAGCACAAATTGATTTGTGAGCAGGATGGTGTTTTCTCTCTCTTGCACAGGACATGAGGCTGGGTTAGCGGAAAAAAGAAATAGCTGGCAATAGTCACTTGTTGGTAGCTGCTTCTTTCACCCATTTAACAGGCTTATAACTTTTAACGTAGGAGACCCCCAGAGAATAAAAAGGCTGAGGTCCAAATATTCTTACCAGGCAAGATGGCAAAAGTGAGAGTCGACAGAAGCACCAATCACTTCGCAGTTGATTTTTCTAAACTCCTCAGATCTGTCACTGAATGCAATGATCTCAGTTGGGCAGACAAAGGTAAAGTCAAGTGGATAGAAGAAGAACACAACATATTTCCCTGGAGAAGAAGTTAACAGATTAGTCTCTTACGTGAAGATTCCCACCACAGCAAAGCTGGAACCAATTCAAAAGTCACAAATTTCTGATTCCAAATATTAACAGCTTTGTGGCATTCTACCCCAGAGGTGAGGAGCCTTTTTTGGCATGGCAGGCCAGTTGTTTATCTTCTGCCACCACGGATAGCAAACTTTGCACACGATCACCTTACTTGTCAGTCATCTGATGTCATACTGCCACCAGTTGATTTGACAGGTGAGTTGGACCACTAGGGAGGGCTAAGAGAGAGATATACAATGGTACCTCGGTTTACATACGCTTCAGGTTACATATGCTTCAGGTTACAGACTCCGCTAACCCAGAAATAGTACCTCAGGTTAAGAACTTTGCTTCAGGATAAGAACAGAAATTGGGCGGCGGTAATGTGGAGGCAGCGGGAGGCCCCATTAGCTAAAGTGGTGCTTCAGGTTAAGAACATTTTCAGGTTAAGAATGGACCTCCTGAATGAATTAAGTACATAACCAGAGGTACCACTGTATACATCACAAAGCAGGATTGAACTCCCTGGGCATCTGCCACACCTGAGGTCACATATGGGGCAGGTGGGTGTGGTTTAAGAAAAACAGCCTAGTGAGCCTAGTTTGGACTGTAGGCTGAAAGTTTCACACCCATGCTCTCTTCTCTCCTTGATCTCCAAATAAACAAAAGAAGTGCTGCAAATAAAAGTCGTAACTATTTTCTTCCAAGCTAGCAGAAGTGACACATGCAAGGACAACATACATACTAGAACAGAATAGGGTACCTACATGCAGATGTGTTAGTAACTTTCTGAGGACTTATTTGCAATACTATCCAATGCATTTTTGTGAATGCCAACAAAACTTCCATTTCAGAATCAAAAAAGGTTATGTTGTTAGTCCAGACAGTTAAGTTAGGGTTTTATACATGTCACATACTTATCAGTACCTCAGTAAACCCTTGCCAACAAATACAAATACAACATGCTTTATTGCACTTACCTTTGTACTGAGAGAGTGTGAGTTCTTTGAATTGCCCATCTGGCATTACAGCCGTGGCCAGAAAGTCTGGGGCTGGCTTCCCAATGTGAGCATCTCCTGCTGACATTCTGACTGGAGCTGGAGAAAGTTTGAACTTGTTAGGTTCTGTGGCTTTTACATTGACCCACCCCAGAAGAGGAAACCCATTAGCAAAAGTTTAGCATACATTTAAAATACAATTTAGAATGTGCTGGACTGAACAGAACTACTGCAGGTTTGTCAAGATATTGTAGGAACAACTATTTCATTACCTCAGTATTTGGACCAAAAGAAAAAGAACCTTCACTATCTGTATATTCAATACTTTTTTAAAATACAATCGATGTAGCACACAAAACAGATGTTAAATGTTCCACATGCTTTAATTTAAGCAGTATCTGCTGAGTTATAAACTCCATGGGTACAAGTAAGTAAACTCTACTTTTACCCTTCAGTATCTACTCTGCAGCACGGGGGAGCCTTCAGCCCAAGAGGTTATTTCAGGCAAGCAAGCTACGCCCATACTCTTTGATTTCAAACTACCGTACGTACATGGGCAAAGGAAAGCGGCCCCACCTGCCAAAGTTGAACTGCAGAGTATGAAGTCGCAATAGGAGTCATAGGGCCCCTCTGCCAAAGGTTTGCATAAACAATGATGAGCAAGGCCAAATGCCATCATGCATGCAGCCTGAAATTCATTTTAAAGTATGTACTTCAGCTAAGTTTATGTTGCCACATAATTTTAAATATCTGAACCTTAACACAACCAAATTTTCTACTGTGATTGTAGCCAACTATGCATTAGCATAGTTTTTAAGATATAATATGACTCAAGAATACATACCAATCACCTTTAAATGCCAACATTAATTGTCTCAACAGAGCAGAAAAAGATTAGATGTGTGCAACCTGCCATCTTTAAGCAAACTGGAAAGATACTGAGGGAAGCGCTCAGTCAAATGTAAATGTATCAATTTTGTTTTTTCATAGATTCACAGAACTGCAGAGTTGCAAGAGACCCTCAAGGGTCATCTAGTCCAACCCCATGCAGTGCAGGAATCTCAGCTAAAGCATCCATGACAGATGGGCATCCAACCTCCACTTAAAAACCTCCAAGGAAGGAGAGTCCAAACCTCCCAAGGAAGTCTGTTCCACTGTCCAACAAGAGACACTTTAAGGGATAATCTATACTAACAATAGGAACATGAAACTTAACAGCATTCTGTAGAACAAGAGTGGCTCCCACAAACCCTCCCACAAACATTTTTCCCCCTTCCCACCATCACCCATGGGGCAGCAGGGGCAAAATGAAAAAAATATTAGATGCAGAACTGGGTTGGGGAGTGGAAAACTGTACCCTCTAGACTAAAATTATAAAAGTATTTATATGCCACCATCTGCTAAAGTATCAAGGCGGTATACAATAAGTATATAATAAAATGCAAAACTTAAAAATATAAAATTAAAGGTAATGTGAAATATGCATTCTAAGCATATTTAATAAGGATGGCTGCAAACAGTTCCCAAAGGAGCAATCTGATAACCACATGAGGAGCAATAATTCCCCTTCAGGTGATCTGCCTGGATCAGCTGCATAGGGAGGGTTGTCTGACTCTGTGTGTGCATGCACATGTATGTGAAAGTGTGTACAGCCCTTGGGCCAAAAAATTAAAAAGGAATTTTAAACCACAATACATTTCAGTGGCTTTAGTAGCTCCCCATCAGTGTTCGAAACTCCTATTGTTCTAGGCGCATTTTGCGACAGGGAATTTCATTAGGGTAAGCAGTTTCTGAGCTCTGGGTGCAGTACTGCATCTAAGATTTCAGAATAAAAATGCAGAGTGGCAGGAAAGGAGGACCTTTTTCTGCCTCTTCACTTCTAGCTACTCTCTGAAAACTGGAGAAGAGACCCTCTTAAGAATATTAGGGGAAGAACTAGACCATGTGAAAAATGAACATAATATTTTAGCTGCAGTTCATTCATTTTCAGCTTTGTATTCTTGTTATAAAAAAGTGCGCCTAAACATTCCGTTGTTGCACCCATAACCCAGGTTTAAGGCGCCACTTAGCTCTGAGCTTTCATATCTCAGTTTCTAACACTGTTCCCCATACAACTTGGCTCTAGCACAAGAAAATAACAGCTGCGTTATTTTAAAAGTAAGCCTTGAGATTAGCTGCGTAATGCACAAGAAGTATTCCAAGTATAAACTCAGTACATCCCAAAACAGGCAACGGTGCACAAATCAGAGTTCCAGATGATCATCTCAACCCCAATATGCCAAAAATAATAGTAACACTACTCAAATCAGTGCAGTTAACTTTAAACGGTTTAGTTTTCCATTACGCAATGGTATGGAAATGAAACCGATAAGAGGAAACTCGTTCATAACTAGCTAGCCTTCGCCCATTTCAACTCTCTTGCACACGGTGCGTCATGTTCATTCGCTAAATTCCATGGAGCTCAGTAGCACCTTTTCAGGTACCTGAGCCCAGGGCTACAACCTCGACCTTACTCTACAATTATATTTAAAAACTGCCATCTCTCGTGGAACACAAGACAACGGCCCCTAACCCGCGGAGGCAGCAGCCTTCCAACTCCCAAATGCCCTATTTTGCGTCCAAGCATCCCAACTTCTCTCCCTACCAAGATAAATGCAGCTTCACGCCCAACCAAACCCACCATCAGCCCATTGAAACGAGCAGCGGAAGGAGCCGGCGGCCAGCCCGACAGCAGCAGGCGCGGCCAGAACCGCGACGTCCTTTGAAGTTCATTGACTTAATAGCACCATTTCACTTAATAGCTCGGGCGTCGATCGCACCCAGAGCTTTTCCCCACCCTGCAGGCTGCACTTCCCAGCCTCTTTAAACCGGGATCTTTTGTTGCGCCAGGAAACCGAGGCGACGAAAAACGACCCGAAGCTTGACCAAGGCAGGAAACTGAACTCAGCTCCGCTCTCCCCTCCACCTGTTGGGCTACCAGGCGCCGGGGAGCAAAGCCCAGCTAAGTTACACACACAGATCTCCATCAGGAAACCGTCTACAATTAATTTGACACACAAAACAGCAGATCTCAAATACTATTAGGAAGCACATTCTATTACAGCAAACGAACAAAACCTGTACGAACTGCAGGCCAGCCCTGCCCTGGCCCAGATTCTCATTTTGGACGGCGGAGAGAGAGGTATGTTTTACCTAATGCGAAATTACCCGCTTCCTCAAATATCCTCTTGCCGCTCCCGGCTCGAAACAAAAAAAAGATCCAGCCCTGCAGGCAGTGCCCCTTCTGTTTTATACCTTCTCAACTCTCGCGAGAGCACGAAGCCGAAGAACTTGTCGGTTGGCGCCTCCTTCCCGGCTCTCCTGCTTTCTGGCGTAGCTGCTGCGCCAGCATGACTTTGCATTTTGCGGCTTTTTGTTCGCCAGCATAACTTTTGGTGCTGCTGGTTTTAGAATCGGGTGTTGTTGTTTTTTGTAGTTGGTGGGTGGGTGGGAATCAGGGCCAACTGTACTGCACAGATCTTGATAGTTTTTTTGGGGAAAGGTGCCCCCTCCCCTTCGACAAATCGCGTGGGGAAGGGAAGAAACGTGAATTCTAGCTGCAGAGTTATGGTTGCATTAGACTCGGGTTTTATGGGTGATGCAAACCATGCATGACTACAAAGCGGCGGCGGCGGTGGTTGCAGTCGTTTCACTGAAACCGTGTTGTGCAACCGATCTGAATTGAAAATGCAAAGTCATGTGGAATAGACAGTTTGCTGTGTGAAAGGGAAGGACTTTGGGATTTGCCCAGTTAACACCACAGCTTGGTCACAACGATGGTGCTTGAGCGAAACTTGGGTCACATAAGGAATTCTGTTTTCAGATAGATGTGACACGTTGGCATTTAAACTATCACGTCCCTTTGTTGTAAAAATGTGGAAACCTCATGGATTCTATTCATTCCTGGGATCCTTCATTTCACAACTTTAGTTTTCGGTGTAGACCTGTACATTGCTTCAGACTAGTTGGGTTCCTGCCATACAATTTACAACTGAACTCCTGTTCCTTGCTGACATAGGAATAGTCATAATATATTTATTTAAGGATCATACCAAAGGCCTGTCCAGTATCATGTTCCCCACAATCAGGTGTGCCCTGGGAGGCCAAAAGCAGAAGGTGAAAACACATCCCTCTGCCTTTGTTGCTCTAGAGCTGCAGTATCAAGGTACTTCTGAACCTGTAAGTGATATATAATCAACATGACTAACAATAGCTACCTACAGTCTCCCATCTTCCTCTATAATGAACTCAAAATTGCTGTCCCACATAAAGCAAAAGACAATGGCCTGTAAATCCTGAATACAAGCAGCATTCGTACACAAAATTCTCCATTTTGTGTCCAAGCATCCCAGACAACACACTGTTAACAAAATGAGTAGTAAGGGTAAAGGGACCCCTGACCATTAGGTCCAGTCGTGACTGACTCTGGGGTTGCGGCGCTCATCTCGCTTTATTGGCCGAGGGAGCCGGCGTACAGCTTCCGGGTCATGTGGCCAGCATAACTAAGCCGCTTCTGGCGAACCAGAGCAGCACACAGAAACGCCGTTTACCTTCCTGCCGGAGTGGTACCTAGTTGTCTACTTGCACTTTGAAGTGCTTTTGAACTGCTAGGTTGGCAGGAGCAGGGACCGAGCAACGGGAACTCACCACCAACCTTCTGATTGGCAAACCCTAGGCTCAGTGGTTTAGACCACAGTGCCACCTGCATCGTAGTAGTACTAGCACCTATTTTTTTACTAGAAAATGCACTGATTGTAAGTAGTATAAAATTCAATCAAATTGCTTTGTCAGTTTTCTGCTGGAATTACAACACTGAATAGCCAATAGTTCTGTTCAAACAGGTTTTATAAAATGGGAGTTGCCTGGATGTGGATTTTTCCATAATCCCAGATTACCTTTGGGCTGTTAGTGGTGAGAGAATGTTACTTTACGCTCAGAGGCATATACTATTATTAACCATTGATGTGCACATTATCCTGCAAGGCCAAATAAAGCCACATTTTCAGTCACTTAGCTGTAACTGGAAGCAAACAGAAACTCAGTATTTTGTTGATTCAGCCAAAAACAACATTATCAACAGTGTTTGCAAGATACCAGTGCCATATTTCCTTGTAACCAGGGAGGTGGCATGTTACTGGATAATCTATTTTTCCTATTTGAAGGTTAATTATTTTAAAATCTCTGCTATTCATTAGTTAGTCTTATTCACATGAGCTATTCTCTTGTCAGTGGCTCATACATGCTGCTTTGAATAGCTTATTCATCTGTTCTCTTCAACTCAGGTATTTATTGTTGCTTTATTTTCTCTCTGCTCAACTTTCTTATGCAACTTTTCTGTTCCTTTCCTCTGGGATACCTCTTTTTTACTTTGATTCCAAGAGACAGATAACACTGTGGAGAAGTAATCATGTGAGAAGCCAAATGGGGATTTGTTTCTGTACCTCTGAGATGTATGGATTTGGGCCAAATGACTGCAGTAATCATGAAGGTTGACTGAGAGGAATAATGAATCATTTCAGAAGCAAATAACACCTGCCCCAAGTCCCAGTTGCCTTTAAATGCATGTCAGTGTTTCCATTTATTGAAACAATATTTCCATTTTAATGCTATGCTACTTCTCAGATACAGGCTGCTATTACATTATTGTAAAGAATCAAGAGTTTGAATTAGTATGTATTATGGAATAACGACACTCAGGACTGGTGATTATATAATCCAGGAGGAGGAAAAACGAGATGGGCAAACTAATTCAATAAATGTTTACTCAGAAGTAAGACACACAAAAAGTTCAATGCACACTTCCAAGTAGGTTTGAACTCATTGAACTCAGTGAGGCTTACTTATGGGTAACAAAGTTTAGTATTGAAACACTGTGCTAGATTAGAAGTATGATTGAACTGATCCACTATGATTTTTTTCATGGATTATGTTGCAAGAATAATGATCTGAAACTCAGTCTTTAATTCTTTAAAAAACATAATGTTATACAGGATAATATTCTTATCTTTTGGGTTTATGTTTAACTTTATTTTATATGATTTGAATAGTGTATTTGAAATTCACGACTATAAAATGCTAATCTGAGGGGGGAAAGGAAAGATGGATTAATCAATAACAGCAGAATTAATGTCTAAAGTCCAAGCCACATGTACAAGTGTGCAAAATAGTAAGGAATGTGTTACATATTACCAACTCCCTATACAAAAGGAAATAATGTATTCATGTATTTATTCATAAATGTAAATTATATAATATCTCTCTGTGTAAATTCATAATCTAAAGAGGTCTAGAAACTATCCATTAAAAGTATCAATTAGGGAGATCTAGAAAACTATCTGGAATTTTTTAAACTACCGTAAGTGAAAGAACCGGAGCTGGTACAATACTTTTTGCTGCCTGATGCAAAAAGCAAATAAAAAAACACTACCACCACCCAATCCCTAAGGCTGGCCAAGTTATTTTGACACCAGAGGCAGAAAATCCCACATGTAGTACTTCTCCCTTGCAGTAAAAATACAATAACAATACATTAAATAGCTAACAATTTGCTACTCTTTCATGACACGCAATATCATCTGTCTGAGGCTGCTTCATCACTCTACTTAATGTTACAACAGGTTTGGGGTGGGGGGAGAGGAATGCAGGTGTTACTGCACATGATTTATCTCCTTAAATTACTTCATATGCCAGTGGTCTACTCATGTGAGCCATATAATCTCTTCAGTGGGAGTTCATGAAGGGTCACAGGAACTACATTCATAATAAGAATTACTGTATACCAAGATACAGTGTTTCTAACTATTTTATAATTTATTATGGTTCATATTATGAATTGGTTATATATATGGGGACACCAAAACATTTTAAGTGCTTAGGGCCTCTAAAAGTCTTAATCTGGCCCTGCCCAGATGACAAGCCCCACTTCTTAGCCTCGCTGACGTGATCCAAAGGAAAGTTGATGTGATCCAAAGGAAAGCAGGGCAATACATTGGGCACCAGCATGGCTGCAGGAGTTGCTGGAAGGAGTTGTACAAGATGCCATCCAGCCATTTTAGGGATTCCAATCCAGATTTGTGTAGTTTAATTCTTAGCCTTATCTTCTCCCTAAGATGTCCTGCAAGGCAGCAGGTAAGGGGGACAAATATAGACTTGATTATCAATGGCTGAGTTTGTCAGAAGCAAGTAGCAGATTGAGACTGCAATCCTAACTCCATTTACGGTACCTGGTAGCAAGTCCACGCTGAATATAGTAGGGTTTACTTCTGAGTAGGCATGGTTGGTACTGCATTCTTGATCTCCAATCCATCTACGTAAATGAGGCCTGGTGTCTGTTGAAATTCCTTTATCCACACAACTCTTAGGTGCAGGAGTCCTATCCTCTTGCATCTGGCTACCTTTATACAGTATATAAATGAATGATTTCTATTCACACCTGTGGAGAAAGGTAAAGTACTGCATTTGAAAACAATTGTGTAGGGAAGGCAAAACATGCCTGCTCCAGAGACTAGACCCAGCCTCCATTGCCAAGGGATCTGACTCCTTACCACATTGTGCAATTATGACTAAAATAATGCCTATTATTATGATAGGTGGAGAAGATAAGGAAGAAATGTTTGTATTTTACAAACACTTAATAAATTTTATTTCTTTGTCTTCCTGGGGAGGAGGGACGTGTCACTTCAGCCCATTCACACATCAAAATAATGCATGTGGGAGATGCAGCGTCAGCACTGTGTAGCTCAATTTGCTGTCAGCTATGCATTTTGCATTCACGTGAAGAGCCCTTGGCATATACTGACATATATATTTACACAGCCTGATGTGTGTAGGATCCCAAAAACCATGGGTGGAACAAGAGCTCTACCTGTGCACATATGTATGTGAGGTGGTAGTGGGACCTGTGACAGGACTACACACTTCAACCTCCACAAACTGCTTTACCATTAAAAAAGGATGGGAGTGGGTTCAAGCGAGTAGATTCAAGCGTGACTGGAAGTAGAATATAAGGTGGGGTATGTGCAGATAAAGGGGTGTAACCAATTTTTTTTTCTGGGGGGATGCAGGGGTACACATACCCCTAAACATTTTGTGAATCTAAGTTTGGCCTCATTGAGGGGCAGCATTTCAATATGAGTATGAGAATGTGAGTACCCCTAAACTTTCTTTTAAGAAAAAAAGCACTGGGTGTAACTAGTCAGACAAGGAAATGTTGTTTTCTTTATTACGTTATATGGAACAAATAGGTTGCAATCAGCAAATCTGAAAGAAACTGAAGCTATCAGAGGTTGGCAGTTAGGCATTTAGTCCTGGTCTCATCATGCCCTTGAATGCACATTTCTCCCGTGTAAATGAATTGCTGCAAATGGAGTCAGGCAGGAGTAAAGATACCTTTTGGCATAGTTTCTGTTATTGCTACCACTGACAATCCTGGTAGTATCTTTCGCCACATTCCTTATCTAATTATGAACATCTTTCTAACTTTGACTGAGATGAGGCAATCCTGGGATCCTGTCCTTTTATCATACTCTGGTTGCAGCATGACCAGGCAACCCCACCCCAGCTGTCGTAGATAATATACCCAAAATTGGAATGCAAACTTTCTTCAGTAAAGCTTTCTGCCAGATTGTAATGGAAGCGATTTAATTCTACCAAACCCTTTCCGAAAGAGGGGGAATATAGAGCAATAACTGTTAACGCATCGCGCCCACGTGAGCTGGAAAATGTTGAAAAGTGAGGAGTATACGGTTACATATCAAACCCGGAAACGGAAACGTTGAAGTTGGAGGCCGGGGGAGTTGTCGATGTACAGTATTTTGAACTGCGGTGAGGGAAGGGAGCGCCCGAGGACGCGGCGCGCTGCAAACTGGCTGTGAGTTTCCCGTGGTTAGCTGATCTCTTACTTTGCCTGACTTGATTTGCGTCAGTCAGATTCGTGTATAATTAGGAGGTGGGGTAGAAAATAGGGGAATCGCTCCTGTCCCGGAGGCTCTGCTTTTTTATTTCGATTCCCCTCCCCTTTTGGTGGGCTTGGGGATGGAAAAATTGTTAAAAGAAGGAGGGAGGGGGAAAAACAACAACAACGTGTACCTCTAACGTGCATTAAGCGCAACGTGGTATTATGCGTGGCGAGTGAAACTACACGTGTTTGCATTGAAGTGAGTTCCACATGGTCTTCTTTCCAACTAAGTGTTCATAGGAGTTACGAATACAGTATTTGTTTGGAAATAAGTCCCATTGAAAGCTGTGGGTTTTTGTCCCCCCCCCCGTGAAGGTGTAGAAATATCTGGCTGCATTAAGAACTATGGCAGGCGATGCATGTATTCACACCAGTACAACCGTATCTGTAGTGTACTTTGCAGCGACTGCGTATCAAAATCCAGTTGCTTCCACACTTAACAGATACCGGTATTTAATTATGGGTGCTGTAACCACTCTTCCTGGAGATTACTACCACTGAGCACGCACCACCCCGGAGTAGCTAAGTTTACCCCTTGGCAGTCCTGTTTAGAAATCCTTGGTAATGTCTGCCAATAATGTATGCATGGGTAAACCATATATTTTTTTGGAGAAACAGAAAAGGTTAAACTACTAATGTTTATGGGTTGAGTGCAATGCCTTTTTAATTTTGAAATGGAGGTACAGTAACATAGTTGGGGGATTCTCTACCAAAATGCAGGGAGCCTACATTTTGTATCACATGCCTCTGGGCAAAACTCTGCTCTCTTGCCAGCGCCCACCCACTCCCCATGCATTTCTGTTGCGAGTGGTTGCAATAAACCTTGAGGCAAATGACAAGCATCCAATAGCTAGGAGTGTGGTGTAACAATTGGCACTATGGCAAGTTGAGGTGCTAAGGGATTCCCTGAAGATTTGCTTGAGCAAGTTCTCTTAATTATTTTGCTGTCTCAATTATTCAGACTGCCTCAATTTGTACTTGGTTCAATTATATCTAAACTGAAAAAACTAAATTGCTCTGGTTGATCATATTCACAATTTAACCTGATTCACAAACCATTTAACAGAGTGTTTAAAGAAAAAGGTTTGTAGGTTTTAGCCTAATCATAAATTTGTCTAGAAGAAAGCTAACTAAAACCAGAGGGCATTTTTTTCTGGGATTAGTGTGCAAACTAATTAGACTTGTAGTTTCCTCCTGCGTATGTAATGTTCAGTAAAAATTGGGTGTGCATAGGATTGTTGCTCAGTGCACAAATATGCTGATAGTTGAGTTTTGGGGTGGGGAGGCAACAGCACCCCCAGGACCCCTATTCCCCTCACTTGCAGGAGAGAGCTGTGTGCATTCTCACGGAATGTCTTTTCTCTCACCCCAAACTAGACTGCAGCTCATATGTTTTAGAAGATACTGTCACATCAATAATGTTGTGTGAATCAACTATTACTTGTAATACTATCAGCTGGTAATTTTGTTTTGGACAGCTTCTGTACTGTTCCTGCCCCTGCCGCCCAAAGTCCTGTGTGCCCTTTGCCCAAGTCTGTTCAGCAGTGATTTAAAGTCACTATTATATCTGCTGGACTGTACTTGCTTTCTAAAGCAAGCAGTTTGAACCAGTGTGGCCTCATGGCTGGTGGTGGGTTAAACTAGCTCCTAGGAACCCTGAACTTAGTTCCTAACTTAGATTGGACTAACTTTATGGTGTTGGATAAGTCACTAAACAACAAAAAAGTCACTATCAGCCTCTGTTTCTATTTTACAGATACAGTGGTACCTCAGGTTACATACGCTTCAGGTTACAGACTCCGCTAACCCAGAAATAGTGCTTCAGGTTAAGAACTTTGCTTCAGGATGAGAACAGAAATCGTGCTCCGGCGGCGGCAGCAGGAGGCCCCATTAGCTAAAGTGGTACTTCAGGTTAAGAACAGTTTCAGGTTAAGTATGGACCTCCGGAACTAATTAAGTGCTTAACCTGAGGTACCACTGTATAGAGTATCCCTGAACCATCTTGGTAATATGATAGACTTTGTAAACCATGCACTTTAAAGGATAATAATTTTAGGAGAGATGTCTAGACCAAAGCATAAATGAAAAAATTCATATAACTTGTCTTCAAAACAGAATCAATTATAGCCTTTGCTGTTTTAATTCTGCAATCTATGCACTATAGCTGCAGTTGGAACTGGGTTTATTTGCCTCTGTGTCAGGTGAAATAGGATGAAACTGCTGGCATCTACTGATCAAGTTACTGATTATATATTATAACTTGCCCCAGGTTAAAGTTTAGATTGATGTGTATCTTATCTAAAGTGCAGAGCTGGAATGAATAGTATACATACAGTGCATATATAACTTTATTTGTACGCCACATTTCCACAGTTTTTTATGCTCAAGGCAGCTTACAACATGAAAAAAATACAGAACTGCAAAATAACACAAGTAGTAATAAACAATAAATAAAACATTCAAAAAATATACAACCATACGGAATAATTTCCACATAAATCACAAGAACTAAAATAAAAACACAAAAGAACTGGCAACAACAGCAACAAGACCCCCCTCCAAAAAAAACTCCTAAACAGTACCCCAGCCCAAGAGTCTGCTCATCAGCCTCTGCTAGTATACTGAACTGCACAATTTAAATCATATAGGTGCTAATTATGGTTTGTCAAATGAGATTCTTGGGCATTTTAAAAATAACATGTACTTTTCTTTGCTGGTTGTCCTCTTAAAGGCTTCCATGTCATATTTTCACAGGACAATGAATCAGTGTAACCAAGTGGTTAATATGCTAGCTTTGTACATGAGTTTGAATCCTAGCATGCTGGTTTCAAGGACCTCCCCAGGAATAATGGTGAGGCTGAGGCTGCAAGTCATAATCACTTGGGAGTAAATGCCATTGAATTCAATTGGACTTTACTTCTGAGTAATCATGTATAGGGTTGCACTGCAAACCTGTGCATGCTTCCTTGGGAGAAAAGCCTATTAAACTGAATGGGACTTGCTTATGATTATGTATAGGATTGTCCTCCACACCTATATATATATATTTGTCCCTTCCAACTCTATGATTCTGTTCTATGATTTTAAAGACAGGGAAGCTATGAATATACATGTGTTGTGAATATATAGTGTGGATAAGAGTTTTAAAGAGGGAGACTAGTTCTGCACACCAAGCCATTGTTTGCACGTAGGCCCTGTAACTTAAGCTCGTTTTCCTCATTGGCAGTAACCAATAGGCATTTGTGATTATTTTATTAGAAATTTAATAGTAAAAGTAGGAATATAATTTTCATCCTGCCTTAATTGTCTAAAGGAGCTGGTGCTTAAATGGAGGAAGCAGTTTCATGGGACACTGCTGTACAGCTGATCTCAGCAAAAGCTGAGGAAGTTGACGGAGACTGGAATCTCTTGAAACATAATTTCCTTTTAAAGTTCAGCCAGCAAAGCAGCTTTTAGATCGCATTGTTGGATGTTCCTCTTTCATAAACAAAATACTTTTCAATCAGCACAAACACGTACAGTAAGTCAAGGGACGCGGGTGGCGCTGTGGTCTAAACCACTGAGCCTCTTGGGCTTGCTGATCGGAAGGTTGGTGGTTTGAATTCATGTGACGGGGTGAGCTCCCGATGCTCTGTCCCAGCTTCTGCCAACCTAACAGTTCGAAAGCACACCAGTGCAAATAGATAAATAGGCAAATAGATAAATACCTTCCCCTGCAGCGGGAAGGTAAATGGTGTTTCCGTGCGCTCTGGCTTCCGTTACGGTGTCCTATTGCTCCAAAGCGGTTTAGTAATGCTGGTCACATGACCCGGAAAACTGTCTGTGGACAAATGCCAGCTCCATTGGCCTGAAAAGTGAGCTGAGTGCCACACCCCATAGTTGCCTTTGACTGGACTTAACCGTTCAGGGGTCCTTTACCTTTACCTTTACCTTTACCTTAAACTAATCCAACAAAGAGTTGAGCAGAATGCCTTTTAATTACTTTCAGTTCCATGCGCGTGCACTTGGGAGTAAGACTGTAGCTGAATTCAGTGAAACCTGCATCTGAATAAAAATCCATTGAATCTGCAACTTTCAGGCAATAGGTGTGAAGGAAACAGGGAAGGAGTTAGTTAATGGTGGTATATTGTGTAAGTTTTGGACAGTGAACAGAAAGTTGAGAATGAAAACCTGATATTGCTCTGTAGATCTGCTTGTTATGAAACAGGCTCTGACCGTGGCTTTGGGACAGACCAAGAGACCTTGCCTTTATATGCTTCTCTAAGTTTGTCAGAAGATAAACTGATATCTTGTTCTGATAACAAGCAAGCATCAGGCTACAGGTACAGACCTGCCAGCCAGCTTATGCACAGATTTATTCATTGAAGTGCACAGACTTACGCTATCTTCAGGTTACATCCCAAGGTACATGATAGGAGAAGGAGAGGGTATGAGCTTGGAGAATACTGTGCCTAAATCTTTGTGGTAAGTCCTTTCTAAACTCAGACTTGCAGCACCCATGCTTCACTTTTTGGAATAAAGCAAGCTCTTCTAATTTATAAAGAATAACTTGAGCTGCACCTCTTATTTAAGGAAAGCCTGTCTTTACAGTACTATCAGCAAAGGCACAACTCTCCCATCCTGCAGGTTACGTCTACAGTGATTCCTCTTAATATGCTGTTGGTTTAATAAAGGTATTGTCCAAATATGGATTTTTATTTTGTGTGTGTGTGTGTGTGTGTGTGTAGATGTTTTTAAATTGTTGTAAGCCACTGTGAACATGGAGTCTGCCATGGAAGGGCAGGATTTAAATTTTCTACATGGATAAAATGTAATATAATTCATCCTATTATATATTTACACTTTGCATTCCACTCTCTCAGTTTCAGCTTAAATAAGAATAATGTCAAGTCTACTACACATTCTGTTCTGTGTAGTGAAACAAATTGGTATAGCGTCCTAGTTAATATTTTTATTATTGCATTTATTTTAGGTAAAGATGTCTTCTGAGGCCAACTATGCTTTGCTTCATACTGGGCAAAAGCTGCCTCTTGTTGGATTGGGTACTTGGAAGAGTGACGCTGGACAGGTAAGCCGTGAATTTAGTGTTTGAGAGAGGGGAATTCTAGAACTCTGTGCTAAAACCATTGATTCTTTTTCTTTTTCTTTTAATCTGTGGCTGCATAGAAAGGTGAGGTTGCATGACCAGAAGCTACTGTATGTACTCTGTGCAGATAGAACATTTTTCGATTTCTTAATTGTGATTAAATGACTGGGAGTTTTCCTCAGACATATGCATGTTGTGTTAGGAGCAAGGTGTAATAGAGAAGAGCACAATTACTTTTCTGGCATTTAAGCATGATACTGAATAAATGTGTTCATCCAAGAGCAGCAGTCATGAAGAATAGAGATTGTGCATGGATAGCATTAACCTACTTGTTGCACCTCCCCCTTCTCTCTTCATTTGCCTTCCTCTTTTTGATATGAAAGTACAAATGGATATTGAACTGAAATGGCTATCCTGAATGTAGATATAGCAATGCATGTTCTGATTTAGCTGGACAGGGGCAGAGATGTTGGATGGGTTTGGCGTAGTGGCCACTTGAGTCTGAGTCCATGTGCAATAGTGGCATGACTTAGTGATTCACTTTCATCTAGCAGTGAGAGATGTGCTGCTGAGGTTCACCACAGAAGAGTCCAGAAGTCAAATTCTACCTCAGCCACAGACCTGCAGAGCGTTTCTGGAAATTGTAGCTCTGTGGGAGGTAAATTACAGTTCCCAGAATTCTCTGGGGGAAGCCATGTGGTATGAATGTGACCTTAATTCACATCTTTGCTTGTCCATTTGAACATAGGTTGGAACTGTCTCTGCCTCTGAATTCTCTTGCACCATCTTTTATTCGTTATACTGATTGATTTTGCACATTCCAAAAGCAAGATAAAGAAGGAGGAAGAACACCCACTTTGCATAAATTTTATAGGTCCTATTAAACAGCCAGTCTCCACTTCACTGAAGTGCCATTTGCTGGCTCTGCTTTTTCCGTGCAGTTATAGATTCTTACAACTTAGTGGGGTCCAATATTCCTTTGAAGGGAGGCCAGTCATGTTACTAGTCGCAATTAATTTAATTAGTCTCTTTTTCAGTCTGTTTGTCTCATTCTCTGTCTGACCCAGCCTTGGTGGGAGGACACTTTTCTTCCCTCAACTTGGAAGAAAAATAGTTAGGAGGAGTGGGAAATAAGGATTTATCAGGAACCAACAAGCAGGGAGTACATATTCTTTATTTTGCCTTCCTGTAACTAATAGAGTAGCTTCAACATGGATTCTGAGGAGAGACTAATTTCCAGTCACAAGGCATGAAGCTTTGCATTCACTTTCTCCTTTGCACAAAAAAAGGGAGCCAGCTGAAGGAAATTTAGTCAGAATGAGATTAAACATTTTTTGGTATTTTAAATGTGTTTGTGGGAAGGGAGGGGGCTACTGGTTTGTTCTCTGTATTTTGTGTTCTCATTTTGTACATTTTTGTTGTGAACCACACTGTGATCTTCAGATGATGGGCAGTATACAAATTTAATTAATAATGATAATTATAATAATATCTTCAGGCACTGATAATGGAGGTGACGTTTTTGCATAATGTGTTTTTAAATGTTTAAAATCTAAATAATGATTTATTGATAATTGCCGGCAGCCAAAACTGGTTCTCCTACTCTTAATCACATTGCAACTGCAATGCTTATTAGGTGGAGACAGAACAACCAATTTAAATAACATGTTTTAAAGCTTTATTTGTCTTTATTTTACTTTATAAAATGAAATGTATATACAACTTGATTGTTAAACAAAATGAAAACCTCAAAGCAGTTTACAAAGTATTAAAGGCATCTGCAAGTTTCATCTTCGGTCGAATTGCTCTCATTTGGTAATGTACCACATTTAATTTTTCTATAGTGATGACAACGCCTTGTGTAACCTGAAGTGTGTTGCAAGAATTTAATAAGCTGAACTTCCATTCACAGTGTATTTATAGCAATGTCTCCACTTTCTGAATAGCCTTGGCATGATTCATTTTATGGTCACCATTACTAGAGGAAAGAAAAATCTTGCAGCTGGTGTTAAAGTGAGGGAAACAGAATTATTTTATCATTGTGACTAAGGGAAACTGATTTCTAATTAATGTGGCTTTTTAGAACATCAGAGCATTTGTGACACACTTTATCCATTGCCCAGGCTTCCAATAAGCAAAAGGAAATTAAATCTAAGAGGCATCAGAGGCTCTGATCTTTTTCTTTTTTAAAAAACCCTAACAAAAACCTAAAACCAAAGGCTCTTATCATCCTTTTGTGAATATTGTTTCATCTCCTTTCAAACAAAAAATGCAGGAGCTTTTATCAGATGAAACATCATCTAGGTATATTATTTATTCTATTATTGCCACGGAAACCTTTGCTAAATGTTGTTTGTTCTTCTCATTGGAGAACTGGATAAAAAAAACATTGCTTAAAAAAATAAAATAGGCATAGTTCCGGTGGGCGGAGGACAGGGAGAGAATGAGAGAAAATGTATTGACCTTGCTGAGAATCACTTACATACACATTATCTCTTTGTGGATGTGCAACCAGACAATGCGACTTGTGGTAGTATGTGTATGGTGTTCACTGTTAAATAATGTCAGTGCTCAAGGTGGCATACATGATTCTTCCCTCCTCATATATTCCCCACAACACAGTGAGGTAGGTTAGGCAAAGAGGTAGTGACTGGCTCAGGGTCACCCAGTAAAGCTTCATGGCCAAGTGAAGACTTGAACCTTGGTCTGCCAGGTTCTAGTCTGACATTCTAACCACCCCTACACTACATTGCTATTTGGCATAAATCACCTTAAAGTGTAAAGGGAAAAGGATAAAAAAGTGCAAATCTCTCATTTTATAAAATGATGAAACTTTCTCCAAGATGTATAGGCCTTTTGTCATAAGTTCTTGTAGATTTGGAATGGCACTGTCGGCTAAAATGAAGCAGATGTCTCCACATTCTTATTCAACAATCTCCCTATTTTTCTTACAGGTAAAGGAGGCAGTAAAATATGCCCTTAGTGCTGGCTATCACCACATTGACTGTGCTCCGGCTTACAGCAATGAAGGAGAGATAGGTGATGCTCTCCAAGAGATGGTTGGAAATGACAAGGTAAAAAAAAGGAGCGAGAATATTGCTGCCGCAAAAAGGCTGGGTGGGTGGAAGTTTCATGTTTATTTCAGATTGGCTCTGCTTACAAAGTGTAATTACATCTCCATATAAACCTACCAAGATGGCAATCAGCTATTGTTCCTGCTGCCTGCTGTGTGTTAGTGGGCTCTGTTGCTTTGACATTCTGCCTATCCCTTTGCTAAATGTCCTTTTGCTGCAAAAAAAATTCACAGGGCACATTAAAAATATGTCTGTGGTGTTCTGTTGACTCTGGAAATGAAGCTTCCTTAGCATAATAGCACAGAAGGCACACACAAAAATCTAATCAAGGGATGAGAAACTTCTTGAGCACTGAAAAGATTCCCTTCCCCATTCTTTCTAAAAGGCCATTAAGAGGGAAGAGCTGTTTGTGACTTCCAAGTTATGGAACACCAAGCACCACCCAGAAGATGTGGAGCCAGCTCTAAAGAAGACCCTGGAAGATCTAAAACTGGAGTACCTGGACCTCTACCTCATGCACTGGCCACACGCCTTCGAGTAAGTGTCCGTAGGAAGGAAATGTGGAACATGAAACCACAGCAGCACTTAGAGGGTATGGGAGGGTCAGATACCTTTCACCATCTGCACAGATAGGAATTTGTTGTCACAGAACGATGAGCCAGCCCTGTTGCCCCTTCTGTTCCTCAGGTTTACAGCAAACACAGTTCGTTTTGTTTACCTTCACTGTTGAGGGTTTGAGATTCTTCTTTCTTTTGCAAAAGGGAAAAAAGAGAGGAAACAAAAGCCTAATGAATGAAAACAAATTCTTAAGAGGCCTATTGAAAAGAAACCTGTGGTCCTTCAGTTGTTGCTAGATGCTAACTCCCATCAACCCCAACCAACTAGTGAGGGATTGTGAGGCTTGTAGTCCAACCACAACTGGAGGACCATAGGTTCCCCACCCTGTTCTGTGCCAGCTTCTAGATTCTGTGCTGTTATAACCAAAGCTGTGGATTTATAGGAGTTACTTTTCCAAGGCCTAAGATGGTCAGTCATAACTCAATTTATACGGCCATAAATTTATATGGGTTGGTTTGTAGTTAACAATTAGTTAACAATTAATATCATATCAACTACTTGACCACATTGTAAGTGGGAAAGGAGAAGAGCTGGATCTGGATCTGGGTCATATGACATGGATTTTAGCAGTGCTTCTACTGAGTTGAACTTAAATAGACTTAAGATTGTGCTAGTTATCTGTTTGCTTTGCACATTTTTTATAATAGGCGGGGGGACAACCTCTTCCCCAAGAATCCTGATGGCACAATGCGCTATGACTACATTGACTACAAAGAAACTTGGAAGGCGATGGAGAAGCTAGTGGAAAAGGGTCTGGTGAAAGCCATTGGGTTATCAAACTTCAATAGCCGTCAGATTGATGATATCCTTGGCATAGCTTCTGTAAAGCCAGCTGTGCTACAGGTAAGGCAGATGCAGAAAAAGAGGGAGCAGGTTACTTTTTGAGATGGTTTTCTTGGCAGGGGAGAGAAGGTGGGCCATAAGGATGGATGCTTCTGTTTCTGTTGGGCGTGGGGTGGCTGTGCCGTGGAACTGCCTCTGCAGAATGGAACGTCCTGTACAAAAAACCCCGCTTGACTCTTCTAAGAAAGGTTCAAGCAGTTGGGACTTGCAGTTTTTACTTAAAGCGACTGTTTACTCTTAAGGGTTGGTTTCCTTTTAATATGAGAAATGCGATCAAAATAGCCCAGCTTTCCCACTCTTACGTTATCAAGATTTCTCTTTCCTTTGGTGGTTTTGTTTTTAGCTTTGCCCATGCTGTTTGAGGCTGTTATTTTGAAGAAGCAGTACTAGAGTAGGGGGTTTGACACTTTCTCCTCACTCCATTTCCCTAATTTAAATTGGGCCCCCAACATATTGTTTGCTCCTTGGCAGAAAGTGAGGAGTGGAGGGAGAAGTGATGCATTTATAGTGAATCTCTTGACAAAAAGATGTGATCATTTGAGTGAATGGGCACTTCAGACTCACTTGAGCCATTAATAATCTTTAAACTTAATTTTCATAGCATACTTTTGTTTCTGGTACCCAGTTTGAGAATTAACTGTGATAGATCGTGGTGAAGTGCTATCAACGATTAGCTAAAACATGTGATCAATAACCAGAATTCTTATGGCAAAGGAAAGGGTGGTGTAGTGCTGCAGACTCTTGAGTGGCTTGCATGATCCTCTGCAACAGAGACATTTGTTTAAAAAAACCCTCTCTTAATAATGTTCTCCTTTCAACATTGATTTCAGAATGACACAACCGGTCTCACAGCATTCTTTACAGTATTTGCAAACGAGAGTCTGGTAATAGAAGGCATTTTGTAAAGCAATAGGGATCCTTAAGATCAGGTGTCTTGAGAAAGGAAGGGAAGCCAAAACTTGATTGTTTCAGAAAATATATACCTTTTTATACAAAAATTCTATAACGGCATAAATGGTTTTACAAAGCTGTTCTGCCTGGAGAGTGTGTTATCTGTATGTTGTCTTAATATAAGCAGGACTGCTGCAGAATAAACAGATTGCAGATTGTAGCTAGTATGTGTAGTAAAGGAAATGTTATCAGCTCCTGCAGGGTGGAGATAAAGAAGTGGTCAGTGAATTGGGTTACTCAACTCCCAGTTAATCCAGCCCTAACCGTGATCAATCTTGCACTTCTGCTTGAGAATGTTTATGCCGGGCCCAGATGGTCTTCCAGCTAATTACTATAAAAAGTTAGAACAAGCATTATTTCTTCCCATGAAAGACCTAATGAATAATATTCTGGCAAATGGAAAGCTTCCAAAAACCTGGAAGGACAGCTTTATTACTCTTATCCATAAACAGGGAACAGATGCCTCAAACATGGCCAATTACAGACCCATTGCACTGCTAAATAACGATTACAAGATATTCGCAGACATTCTTGCAAATAGATTAAAAATGGTGCTGAAAGAGATAATTCATAAAGATCAAACCGGATTTCTTCCCTGACGATTTATGCAATCCAATATTAGATGTGTGATTAATGTATTAGAATATTTGGATATTAAAATGATAAACCAGCAGCTATTATGTTGGTGGACGCTGAGAAAGCTTTTGATAATGTGTCCTGGAAGTTTATGAAAAAATCGGACTGGGAGAAAATATTTGTAAAGGAATAAATGCCATCTATTCGGAACAATATGCAAAATTGATCATCAATGGAAGAAATACTGAGGAGTGCAAAATAAACCAGGGAACCAGACAGGGCTGCCCACTGTCTCCACTGATATTTATCTTGGTGATGGAAGTCTTGAACAATCAGATAAGAAGGGATCAGCTTGTTAAAGGCATCACTCTGGGAAACAAAACATATAAAATTAAAGCTTTTGATCTACTTGTTATGACTGAAAACCCTAAAGAAAGTCTGAAAAGAGTGCTGGAACTGATTAAAGAATTTGGAGAAGTGGCAGGCTTTAAGCTGAATATAACAAAAACAAAAATGCTTGTTAAAAATGTAACCACAGAAGAAAAGGACGACTTAGAAAACATATTGGGCCTGAAAATCTCTTCAAAAGCGAAATACTTGGGTATTTGGATCACACCCAAGAACATAAACTTACTTCAGGCTAATTACACCAAAACTTGGTTAGAGATTAGAAAAAACTTGGTAACCTGGAGTAAACTAAAATTAACATTTCTGGGTAGGATTTCCATTATAAAGATGATTGTGCTTCCAAAATTAATCTTTTATTTCAAATGATTCCGATACTGGGTGAAGCAGGTTGTCTCAAGATATGGCAAAGAGAAATTTCCAAATTCCTGTGGGAAGGGAAGAAACCTAGGATTAAACACCTGATCTTAATAGACATAAAAGAGAGAGGAGGCTTTTCCCTACCCGACCTAAAACTTTACTACGAGGCAGCCTGTTTCACCTGGCTAAAAGATTGGTGCATGTTGCAGGATCCGGACCTCCTGGACCTGGAAGGTTTTGACAACCGTTGGGGATGGCACGCCTACAATTTATGAATTTTCGCTTTTCCCCTATATGGAAAAGTGAAAATTCATAAAAATTTTACCAACCATATAATAAGAAAGTCACTCTTTGCTGTATGGGAAAAATATAAAGACCTGATGGAGCCTAAAGTCCCGTGGTGGACTTCTCCAGTAGAAGCCATAGCAGTAAAACGGAAAAATACTCAGGAAAGCTGGCCAACATATAAAATACTTCTAAAAAATGAAGATAACCAAATAAAATTTTAAAAAATTGAGGAAATAAGAGAACACATCTCAGACTGGTTCCAATTCCATCAGTTATTTGAAAAATTTAAATCTGACAAACAAAAGGGGTTCTCAGTAGAAATTTCCCAATTCAAATCTGATCTTGTAAATTCTAAAAGAAAAACTCTTTCCAAAACTTACGGACTCCTCCTTGACTGGACAGTCAAGGAGGAGGAGGTAACAGTGGCAATGGTGAGGTGGTCCCAGGATTTTGGCCATTCAATAACCATGGCCCAATGGGAAAATTTATGGAAGATCAATTGGAAATTCACAAACTGTTACACGATTAGAGAGAACTTTCAAAAAATGCAACATCGATGGTATCTAACACCATGGAAACTTTCAAAAATGTATAAAAATGTGTCAAGTAATTGTTGGAGATGCGGAGACTCAGGAACATTCTACCATATGTGGTGGATATGTAGGAAAATACAGGTATTCTGGGAGAGTATACATGCAGAACTTCAAAAATGCTAAAGATCTCTTTCAATAAAAAACCAGAGGCCTACCTCCTGGGAATAACAGATTTGGATATTCCACAAAAGAGGAAGGGTATCTTTTTATATGCAACGGCGGCAGCAAGAGTTTTGATCGCAGCAAAATGGAAGAGTAATGAAATCCCTTCTATACAAGTTTGGATCCAAAAGCTGACAGAATATGCCGAATTAGATGGTTTATCAGAAAAAATAAAGAATAAATCAAAACAGGAATTTGTTTCTAAATGGGAGGTTTTCAAAGAATATCTGAAAAATAAATATAGCAGGTTAAATTCTGTTGCAGCATTCGAGGAACTTCAGTAATAGTTGCTAGGTAGATAGAAGAAATTAGATTTATTGAGAATAAGTTTAATTATGAAAAAAATGTGTATTGGCAATAAGTAATATGAATTTGAAATACAGAATAGACGGGAAGTTGGGTCTTTAGTGTTAAGACCAATAGATGTTTTGTTGTTTGCCGGGAAAATTGTGTGTCTATGGTTATTTTTGTAATTTGTGTGTAATTTGGTATTTGTTTTTTTTGTGTGTTTTTTTTCTTGTTGTATAAATAAATATTTTTTTTTTAAAAAAAGAGAATGTTTATGCCACAAGTGGGAGGGTTTCCTCTAAGAACAGAAATTATGTGGCTTGTGAATGCCATACTGCTGCTTCTGCCCATACATGAATTGACCTGCATCTGCCTTTCCTGCTTCTGCAGTGCAGGTGGGTGTGTCCCCCCCCCTTAGCAGTCTTCTCATTACTATATACTGCTTTTTAAAATAGGTGGAATGTCACCCTTACCTTGCCCAGAATGAACTGATAGCTCACTGCCATCAGAAAGGGCTGGTGGTAACTGCTTACAGCCCTCTTGGTTCCCCTGACCGGATGTGGAAGCACCCAGATGAACCTGTGTTGCTGGAAGAACCTGGGATAAAAAAGCTAGCTGAAAAATACAGCAAATCTCCTGCTCAGATTCTTCTCAGGTAATAGCAGGCTAGAATTTGGTAGAGGACATGGTGAGGACTTACTGGAACAAATGGATCTTTTTGGTTTCTGTGTGAATTTACTATGAACTTTGTTTTAGCCCAAGGGGTGGGAAACCTCTGCTGTCGCCACCCGCCCTGGGCAACTGTTGCAGGGCTACAACTCCTGTCTAACCAGCCAGCAAATTGAGCAGGTGGTCCAGAATGATGAGAGTTGTAGTCAAGCAACATCTGGAGAGTCCACATGTTCCTCATCCTTGTTTTAGCCAAAATGGTCTGTTTAGCTGACTTTGGCTTCTAAATGGCAATAAAGCATTTTCAGCCGCCTCTCCCGTTTCTTATTTTGGCCTCTCAAAAGGCTGAAAGCTTATGGTGAGCGGTAGGCTCTAAGTGGGCTCAATACTTTGCAAGATAGAGTCAGCTCCTTTTAAGAGAAGAGATACTGGAGGAAACAAAAGCTCCCCAAATGAGAAAGGAGAACGTAATATCCAAGAATATGCTGGGATTTCTTGGCTATATTGCAAGCATTATCAGGGCCCAAGTGGGCTCAACTTTTCAAAAATAACCATTCATTTTGAGAATCCATTCTGATGTTTCTCTGAAAGGAGCTGTTTTGGAGCTCTGTCTTGCTCCCCAACAACTGAGCTTTCCCAGAGCTTGGAGCTCTGTCTTCTTAAGATTATGCTGTGTCACACACTGAGCCCCAAAGATGCCTTAGAAGGCATGAGAGGCCTGTAGAAACAAAGAGGATGGTAGCAGTGGCTGTGGCATGTACTATTTTGCGACCTGGATCGACTGTTTTGGATTTTATTTAGACATTGTGGAGGAATCACAGCTTCTCCTTTAACTCTGTGATAGATGGCAAGTACAGCGCAAAGTGGTCGTCATTCCCAAGAGTGTTACTCCTGCTCGCATACTCCAGAATCTCCAGGTGAGTGAGGCCTCCTGCCAGGCCTTTCAGAAACAGCACTGCCTTGACTTGCAGTACTAAGGCTTCTGTTCTCCCTTTCTGTTTCCTTACTGACATTGTCTAAATCAGGTGTGGTCCTACCATGTAGTAGTTTTATATAGCCACTGCATGCATATTTACCAGTTCCAGTTCCAGTTCCTTCTGCAGCAGCCACGCCATGCAGTGGCTGATCAACTCTTTTTCTACTATATGTATCAGCAGAGGCTTATCTGGGTATCTGATTGTTAGAGACTGGAACATACTAGTTTAGCACATCCAGTCTTTGTACTCTACATGTTCAGTCTGCTGAAGCTGACCCTCAATTGTGTGCATTCATTGCCATCTGTTTCCCGTGCCTCAAAGGGATTTTCCTTTCCAGCTTTGATTTGGGTAGCTGTATTCTCTTAAAGCCTCACTTCAAACAGTTTTAATTGTGCATGTTCCTTTTGGATTTAAATGAGTTCACCATAATCTTTGATCTTTTTCTCCAGGGCTTTTCGCTAGAGTCCAGGCAAAAATAAATCTCTGCCCTCCCCATTTTGAGAGCATTGCTGAAAAATTACTCCATAATTTTATCACTAAGCCGGAACATGGCTTTTCAAGTGCTATTAAAATGAAGTTCAGAATCATGTTGGCAATATGATAGTGTTTTCGGGGAGATCCTCCCAAATTCTTTGGATTGTGTGTGTTGGAGTGGAGTGACTAGGAAGTTCCACTCTCTAGGATGACAGGAGGCAGGATTAAGATTATCTTCATTTCAAGGAAGATGGCAGGTTTTGCTTTTGCTTGAGATTATAAAAACCAAAACAAAACACAAAAATTGCATGACAACTACCAAACAGTGACAGCAACTCCATCTCCTGCATAGCAAAGTTAGGCAGGTGAAGAGATGAGCTGGATAGGAACTCTCTCAGAAGCAGATCATTTAACTTTCATTCCAACTTCACTACTGAATGAGAGGGCTTTGTGTTGGGCAACACTGGTTTTGCTGAAGAAGCCTATGAGAGTTCTTCCTGCTGCACCCCCCTTCACCACTACCCAGTCACCATTGCCTTCAGCTGGTGTTTAACTAGATTTGAGAAGCCTACGAATGAGAACTCCCTGATGGAAGTCAGAACTTTTTTCATTGGTCATCTTTGTGTCTGAAGATTTGTGGAGGGTAGCCAAGCCTCATATCACTAAATAAGTCTTTGCTTGGGAATTTGATGCTTATGTCTAGCAAGAAATTCAGGCTTCTGTTATTGAGGGAGAAACTGCCCTCTACCTCGAGGAAAGCAATAATAGCCTTTTATTATATGCTCAAGGGTTGTAGGGCAGGCTATTTGAAATTATTTAGCTTGTGAGCAGAGAGGGTTTCCCTAGCGTCTGTTTCCCATTGCAAGCTGCTGTGCACAAATGGTTCTCTGTCTCATTTCCAAAGGCTGGATCTGTTTTATAAATTCCATGCACAGTGGCCTTGCAAGGAAGCCCTTGCTTTTGGAGGAAGTCATCCATCTTAATTCTGCCCCCTGTCAACCCAGAGGGAGTTACTTCCACCTAATCTCTGCTATTCAGCTCCTTAAGCAGATTTGCTGATAACTGAGGAGCAAAATTTGTTTCTTTTCCACTTAGTCTTTAGTAGGGGAGATGCAGAAAAGAAGCATACTTCATATACACCGGACATGCAGAGTAGCTGAAAACATCTTATAGTGGATTAAAGCTGGTTTTTTAAAAAATAAGATAGCAGTAAGTAAAGAAAATGCTTATATGGCCCATCTTTTGCACAATGTAAGATTAATGCTAACCTGCTCAATATAAGGAATGCACTGTGACTAGAAAGGCAAGGTAGAGAGGGTTGTGGATTAGTGTGAGTGAAAATCATATCTTAAATAATTCCGTTTGAATTAGCCTGATCCTCTATTCCCTTTTCCCTTTCCTCTTCTTTGAAGAAACCCTTTATGAGACCCCACATTTAAATTCTTCCCTGGTCTCCTTACTGGCCTTAGTAGGACCAACTTGGCCAGTTAGCCCTGGTGATCATTTGATGTCTACTGACTATTTTTTGTTTTTTTTCTTTTCCCAAAATGACCCCTGAATTCTTGAATTTTATTGATATTGATGCTGCATTTTTTGTTGTATTTTATGCTGTTTTATGCTCTTTTAAAGTTGCATTTTAATCAATGTTTTATATTTGCTGTTAGCCTCCCTGAGCCCAGTTTTTAAACCAGGAAAGGCAGGGTATAAATAAAACATTATTATTATTTAAAGTATCTGCTTCTGGTTTTAGGTGTTTGACTTCAGCCTGACAGCGGAAGAGATGAGCTTTATTGGGAGCCTGAATAAGAACTGGCGATATATTGTTCCAATGGTTACGGTAATGTTGCCTCTTGCTCTCTAAGGCATTTTCACCATAATTGAGGCTTTGTATCATTCGCCTCCCACGAGGGTGTTTAACACTCTAAACCTTCTTATTCATTTATCCCTTAGTAACTGGCATTCAAACAAAACAGCTGAAGTAGAACTTGGGGTAACCCATTGTGTAGATGACAAGCTATTTACTTAACATGATTACTTCTTGTGAATGCTATTGGCTAGCAAGCAGTGCATCATTTGATTTAATTTTTAAAACAGGTATCAAATGTGTTGGTGTTTTTAGCTGTAAATTAGGCTTAAAATAATAAAATGAGAATTCCCTGGATGGCCTAGATTCAGGTTTGGGGCAAGTACTCTTTGGTGAAAGAGCCCCAGAAAAGATTTAAAATTACAAAAAGTAAAGTAAAGTGCCGGAATATAGGCTGTTAGATCTTTAAAATATCCTCTTCTAAGTTTATTTCAAAGCTCCTACTTCCTCTTTGTGAAAGAGACCACGTTTGGCAAACTGAAAATGGTTTACTTACAAATTCTTCAAAGATCAGATTTATGTGCTTTTCCAAACAGCAGCAAGAAAAGTATCTCAGGTTGTCTGATGAGAGGGCTGGCCCTGATAGCGGAGGATATGTGATAAAGATACAGAGGATTTTCCTTCTGTGTAAAAATAGATCAGATATTTTTCCTTGCTAAGAGAGATGCATGAAGAGATGCATGAAGAGAATAAATTACTAATTTGTCCTTGAAAAGTTCTGTAGGTTTCATTTTGCTCCCTGCCCCCCCTTCTAATGCAATATTTAATGAACAAGCAATTTTTAAATTTGCATTTGTGATGGTACAAGCTGTATTGCCTGTGTTGCATGCCCCCTAGTGGCTCCTGAGATGAGGAAGAAAACTATTCTCTATCAACAGAACCTTATTGTACATTATCCAAGGGTTTCTATAAAAGCATCATGTTGCCCTCTTGTCACCCTTATTGGTTTTCCTTTTCTCTGCGCTCTGTGTGTGTGTATCCTTCAAAACATGTTCCATTTCCCCCAGTGTAATCGTATTCACACCTATAAACCATCTCATTTTACCATATGCAAAATACGTTCAAAACTTTCTGTCATCTTCATTGGAGACTTGTCCGCATGCTCCCATGTTGCCAGTGTGTTTTATAAAAGGGCCTCAAATTGGGATCAATGCTGTTTCATTAGATTCATGGCTCGTACTCAGCTCAGTAGGATTAATTCTAATTTTGCCTTGCTAGTATATCCAACATTCTATTACTTTAAGTTGCAATTGCTATAGAAGATAGCTGCTCCTTTGGTCGGCTTCTATTAGCTGTGACAGTTTCCCCACTGGTTATGCACATGCACCTGAAAGCTAGCATTCATTTTCTAGAATAACTGTAACAATTGTACTTCCTTTTCACTTTATCTTTATCTTCTACAGGTCGAGGGCAAACTTGTTGCAAGGGACGCTGGACACCCCCTCTATCCTTTCAATGATCCCTATTAACTCCAGTAGTTTAGAAGACAGAAGATAGAATTTCACTCAAGACTGCCATGGGTTATTAGACTTAAAAAGACGGTTTCTGGGATTTTTGTGTATGTGGCCTTTATTTGTTTCTACATGTTTATAAAGAAATGAATGACAGGAATAGAAATAAATTGCAAGAGACATGTGTAAGCATTAAAAATAAATGCACAAGTTTGTAAGTCCCACCTTGGTCCAAAATTATGCTTATGCTATGACAAGCAGTGTTAGCCTGATTTAACACTGAATGTGCTCTAATATCACAAGCCTGCTTACAGTGAACATAATTTGAAACAGAATTTGCTTGATACTGCTACTGCATTTAATGCTAGATGGAAATCGCTAACCCCATTGTGTATTAACTGAACCATCTCCTCCAGCCGTGTATGAACTCTCAGGAGGATAGTTTAAAACAACCTTTTCACATTTTTCTGTCAATCTTTTCCAAAATGCCCTCCCTTATTTACATATGTATATATGCATGTACTTTGTAATGGAAGACCTTCTTTAATTAATTTTATTTGATTTTAAATTGTTATTCTTTCCCATAAAGAAGAGAACAAAAAAGAAACCAGAAAGGGAGAGGGAAAAGTAGAGAAAGGGGTACACATAATCTTAATCATCACTAGAATCCTGTAACAGGTCAGACCTCATAGTGACCCATCGTGCAAACAGGTCTATTGTGGAGTCCAAATGTTTGAGGACTTGCTAGTCTGTCTCCTATGAAGAGCCACTTCCTCATAAGAGCTACTGTAAACCGATCTTCTGAACATTGTACTATTGATGGGATTGAAAATTATTTTTAGTGTTGGAATACCAGCTGTTTTGCTGCCGAAGTGGTGCTCAGGATTTAGCTATGCAGTCCTTCAGTGAAGTGCCGCACCATGGAGAAGTAATTAAGCTAAATGTCTACATCCATGAAATTCTGATTTTTTATTTTTTTTTATTTTACAAAAGGGAGCACAGTCACCCACTCCCTTTCATATTCTCTAGCTCCCTGTTCCCTTCCTCCCTCAACTTACAAAAATCCAACTCAGTGTTATTCAGGATGTCCTTGTATAGAAAAATTGTATTTTATGTGCGGGGCTGAAACAATCAAATCCTCAGGTATTCCTGGTGACTTTGATACACTAAGAACATTATGTCCAAACATGTGCACAGGTATCTTATACTGGAGTTGAAGGGGTACTAGTGTTTTTAAGGTAACCTTCGGATTGCTGCAGTAGGTTAAAGTGATTTGAATTAAAAGCAGACATATATCCAGATCCAAAATACAAGCAACAGTTTTGTTATTAGTATTTTTCTTAGTAAAATTGTCAGCTGTCTGGGTATATTGATATAATGATTCCCTTGGTTGGGGTCTTAAGATACCTTGTCTGAAAATCCTATATTGTCTTTTTGGTAAATATATTCAGTTTTGTATATGCTAGCAAGTGTGTATATGTCTGAAATTATTCCCAAGGAAGATTCACCTAGGTTGCAATATGCTGCAGCTAGTGCACTCTGATACACTGAGCAACTGCTGCATGTTTACGTGAGATTAAGAATACAAGAACCCTGTTGGATCACATCAAAGGCCCACCTGACCCAGCAGGGGTGGTCCTCTGCAACATTTGACCCCTTCGAGTTTCTGAGCACTGGGCTTTGGGAAGGAGGTGTGAGGGCTCTGGGTGTGCACAACTTCAGAAACATGTCTATACAAGCTGTAAGGGAGAATCAAAAATGGTGTGAGACTGAAGAGAAGATGTGCAAAGTTAAACTAGCCAAAAAAAGGAGAAAAGGCTGAGATTACATTTTCCCATGTCACTGGTGCCAACGTGCACCACAACCACTGTCTCCTCCATGGCTAACATCTACAACCTTTGCATTAGGCAGGCAATTTACCTTATCTAATGAATGAAGTTAATTATTCAGCCTATGAAAGTAAAGACCCAGCAGGATGACATTTGGGTAGGTAGAAGCTTTTAGCAGGGAGCTAATAACAAGAGAGGAGCAGCAGCTGTTGATAGCAGAACAGTGATGAGGTTCTTAGCTGCATAATCAATGTCAATGTCTACTCATTTAAAAATCTTCTCCATCACTAGTCGTTTTTAAATGAGACTCAGCTTTAAAAAAAAATACTCTTAACTGAAAAAGTATATTGAAGTTCATACCATAGATGACAATACAACAGGTAACATAAAGTTTCAGATTGGTGGGTGGTTCACAGAAGCCTTACAGCCAACAGTCAAGCACACACAAGACTTAATTTATGTAAGAAGATGTGGAAACAAACTACAGACCAAACTTTACTTCAACTGTAATCTTTAAAGAACTTTGCATTAATACTGATTAGGTCAGTATCTTTTGACTGGGAATTATTGCTGCCTAAAAGACATTGCTGTTATTACTAGTGCAGTTTCCCTTATTTTTGCTAGGTGACCAGATACAAGATAAGGCTCCTGCACCCTTAATAGTTGTGTAGAAGAATTTTCAGCAGGTGTAAGCTTGTGTCTGCTAAAATTCCACCCTACACAACTATTAAGGGTGCAGAATCCTGTCCTGTTTTTAACCCAGTTATTAGTAATATACACTTTCAAGAGGTGTTAACTGTTCTCTAACTAGAGACAACTCCTAGTAGTATTGTTAGTAGGATTTTGTTCTATGTTAGCAGTTTGTGTTTACTCCCATAAGGCGACAATTTGTGCACACTTACAGCAGAGTCCTGTGCAGTTAGGTGTGCCTGAAACCACTGAAATAAACATGTTTAGGCATGCTTAACTTTGCATAGGGAGATTGTGGACCTTGGAAGAAAGCCTAATGAACACAATAGGCCATTCTTATAAGGCTGGTACTGAACCAGAAAAAATGTTGCAGCATTTGACGTTTTGTCAGTTTCTTGGTCTTAATTAGCTACTGGCATGCACCAGTAAGGTTAATTTCTAATGCTGCAATCCTACGCATACCTGTTAGGGAGACTACATAGCCTGCACATGTTCAGATACAATCTTTTATCAATAGCAACGTTACTGAGAGCTAGTGATGCAGCAGGTAAGTATTCCTCAGCCAGCTTAGCCAATTGTCAAGGAGGATGGGAATTGTAGCCTGGGAACCAAGGCTTGAAAAATAAGAGAACCGCAGATAAATAGGTCCCAAATCCTCACAAAGCTACGAAGCTTAATCTTTGGGTCAATCACTTTCTAAGCCCAGTCTGCTGGGCTTGAAATATGACATACCCAGTATGCACACATCTCAGTAGGGAAGACCTGGGTAGGTATTATCCTATGTGCGTTGTGTCCTCCACTCGCAGTGCTTTATTTTTTCCTAGCCTGAGCGAATGGTTTCCATTTCCCTCTAAGCCGAAGACTGCGAGGTGCACTTGGGGACACCACTGCATTGCCAGGCTAACCCTGCCCTCTGCCGGTAGAGACCCCGGCGTCAGAGATGAGGGTCAGGTGAGTCGCGCCACTTCCACTCGCTCCCGGTCACACCCTTTACTTTGATGCACGGAACTCTGTGGGATCGGGAGCTGTTGTTGTGTTCATTCGTCACACCTGAAGCATGCGTGGTGTGATCCAGGACCTTGGCTTTTAAAGATACATAAACACAAATGGTCTTATAAAAAACGCTGGAGGAAGGGGGTTGCCCAGCAGACACTAGATGATCCGTGTCAGAGCAGTTAAAGAGGTCAGAGGGTTAAGACAGTTTCTGACTCTTGTCTTTAGCCGCCCGCAGAGCTAATAGGTCTCCGAATGGATGCTATTTATTTCACAGCCTTTCCCAGTATGCTCTTCTACCGTCTACGGACTACAAGCACTCTGACTTGGAACTACATTTTCCGGCATGCTACAAAAGTAGTGGTCTAGGTTTACTCCGAGTCCGCGGACTACGTTTCCCGAAACAGCAAACAGAGGGACAGAGGGAGTGAGGCGACGTTTCCAACATGCTCGAGGGTTTCTCTGACATTCGTCCCGTTGGGTTTTTGGGGAAGGGGGTTGCGGTTATTTTCAACTCGCCTCAGGACGGGTTCCGGCTTCCCGAAAGGCCTCACAGGGAGGCGCGAGGCATGCTGGGAGTCGTAGTTCCTTTGCCTTGAGAGCGTGCCTCGCGCTGCTGGGGCGTGTCCTCAGGGGGCTATAAAAGCATCTGGAGGGGCGGTGGGCTGCGTTTCTCGGCTGATTGTTGTCACTCCGTCGGGGTTTTGAGGTGAGTTGTGGGGCTGCCATCACCTTTGGCGCCGCCGCCGCTGGCGTGGTTCGGCTCAGGTTTTGTCTTTTCGGGAACTGGGTAAGGACGAAGGGAACGCCGAGTTGTTTGTTCGAGTAATGGGGGCGGCGGCGGCGGCGGCGGCCACACAGGTATTCCTTCGTAGAATTTGTTCTCCCTCAGCTTCGCTTTCGGCGGCATATTCTGGTCCTCTTTACCTCGTGGCGTTTTGTTTCATTCTCTCTCCCCCCCCCCTCCATCCTTTCACTTCCTATTACTCCCACCGGCGGTTTGGTGCATGCCGTTTTCTCACGGCGTGGGGGGCGGAGGCGGCGGTTCGCCTTAAAAACCGAGACGCCACGTGACCCGACTCGGAGTTTAGGCCGCCATTTTCAAGGCCCATCAATCCGGCGCGCGCAAAGGAGGGAGGGAGGGATAAGGGGGCGGGGGGGAGAGGGGGGGAAAAGAGCCGCGTCACGTGGTAGGCAGCCTCGGCCTGTAGAAAGAGGCCGTTGAGATTCGGCGCCAAAAGATCTGACGAGGGGAGGGGCGGAGGCGGGAAACGAACCCCATTGTCTGCTGAGGTAAACGTCTTTCTCCCAGAGAGAACTTTCTTAGCGTCGTTGGCGGCTCCGGGGGAGGAGTTAAGAGCGGCTTTTAACGCTCTGCCTTTTAACTCGTTCGATAAACCGAGCATATTCGTATTCTGGTATATTTTTCGTGCGCTCCAAGGTGGGTGGGGGTGCTTAAGGCTTGTCGGGTCTACTCTGGGTTAATTCATTTGTGGTACCGAAAAGTAGCTGGTTGCAGCGGAACTGCGAGGTGAATTGGAAAATGCCTTCTTTACTGTAGTTTTTGGAAGGAATTGTCCGTCGACGTTTTCTCATCTCACCACAGTTAACGAGTGAAACGGGAGCGTTCCTTGAAGCGCTATTCTGTTACTCGCCTTAGGACTAATTGGCCTTCATTATTATTTTCTGCTGGAGAGATTGTAACCTGTAAGAGTCTAGAAACTCGCATAGTGATAGTTCCCTAGTCAAGAGTCATTTGGATATTGATAAAAGACCTGTACAGCCCTTGTGTGGTGTGGTGTAGCCTATACAGTACTATAACAGACTTGATTTGTTTTTACACCTCCCCTTATGGAGCAAGTGTCGTTTAAGGGACTGTGGTCCCTCAGCAATATAGCAGAGGAGGACTTCTAAGTCACTGTAATACTGCTCATTGTCTCCAATATTTATTGAATTTATGCTTTGCTAGACCTGTCAAATGATTTAAAATGCATCCAGCACGCATTTAAAGCACATTGTTTTGCCTGAAGAATTTTGGAAATTGGTTTGTCAAGGATACTGGTACTGATAACTCCACGAGAGCGGCAACTTTTGTTCCTGGAGTATGCTCTTTACATTGGTAACAAGCCTGTGTGAGGAGTCCATATAAATATACTAGTTAGGAGGGCTGTAATTTCAACTGGCACTTTGTATACCTTCTACTACTGACAGAATGGCATCTGTACAAAAATCCTTTAAAGTTCCTTTAAAATGAAATTGAAACTCTTAAATAATTTTCTGTGACTGTAGCATGCCTCTTGAACAGTGCACAGGCTGTTTGATTGGGAGCTTTTTGACTTAACAGGGAAAGGTTGTGGCATACATGAAGGAGCCAGCTGATAGTTATTTGCATCAGCAGCCTATGTAGGGCATAATGTACCATTGATGGTCCTTACTCTTAATTTGCTATAATTCTATTTATAAAGCATACATTACAGTTACTGTAATGTTACAGTAACATTCCTAAGTATTCTTATACAGTTGCATTCCTAAGTATTCTAACTTCAGAATTTTCAGTTTCAGAATGGCAGAAGAATCTGCTGCTCCTTCTACTTCCGCTGACAAAACTGAGAGGTAAGATATAATTAGATGTAAGAATAGTGCAAGTGCGTTTGAGAGTAGTGTAACTATCTTCCTGTAATAGTCAGCTACTACTAGTTACATTGATTGGAATAGATGAATGAAACAAGAGCAGTTTTTAAACACTGACACTCTTGATTTACTATAGTAAAAAAGGTAAATAATGACCAAGCTTGCTTCTAACAGCTATATGTTGTGGCTAACAACCTGGTTTCTTCCAGTAGCACCTTAGAGACCAACTAAGTTAGTTTACCTGAAGTGTGCATGTACACGAAAGCTCATACCAATAACTAACTTAGTTGGTCTCTAAGGTGCTACTGGAAGGATTTTTTTTATTTTGTTTCGACTATGGCAGACCAATACGGCTACCTACCTGTAACTAGAACCTTGTTTCTATTTTTCTAGTATGGATGTGGATGCAGAAGCCAAGAAATACCTCGGCTTGGGGCAGAAAAATCTGGTAATGGGAGATATTCCAGCTGCTGTTAATGCATTTCAGGAAGCTGCTTCTCTGTTGTAAGTAATGAGATTTATCCCTTCAGTTGAATTTTCATTTGATGAAGGGAATTTAGCCTATCTTAGGGATAACCACCTTTTTTCTTTCTATTATGGGCTGCATTCTCTTGGGGGTAGTCAGTGGAGAACTGCATGCTAGTGGTGCACAGAGCCAGAAACAAGTATTCTGAATTAATATCTGCAATACAGACAGCTTCATTTTTTTCGTTCCCAAATTAGAATTCTTTATTCTATGTAGAGCTACCGAAAAGTAAACCCCACTGGGTTTTACAGGGTTACTCTCAAGTTCAGTGGACCCTCGAGTTACGTACCTCTCTGGATATGTAACCTTCAGGTCACGAACGTGGCAAACCTGGAAGTATTTTTCTGTGTTACGCCGCTTGCACATGCACAGAAGTGGCGCCTCTGGTTATGGATTTTTCGGGGTGCGCATGGACCCCCAGAACAAATTAAATCAGTATCCAGAGGGTTGTTTTTTTTTTAACACAGCTCCTGTTTTGGAAAATGAATGAAAGTAACTTTAGCACATTATTTGTTTACTTAGTTATTGAATTTATATTCCTCATGAGGAACCCCAGGGTGGCAAACAGATCCACACTTCAGAAAGCAAAGCAGAAACATTCTAAAACTGTTAGAACATTATAAAAACAATTACCGTATTTTTCGCCCCATAGGACGCACTTTTCCCCCTCCAAAAATGAAGGGGAAATGTGTGTGCGTCCTATGGGGCGAATGCAGGCTTTCGCTGAAGCCTGGAGAGCGAGAGGCATCGGTGCGCACCGACCCCTCTCGCTCTCCAGGCTTCAGGAAGCTATCCGCAAGCCTTGCAAGCCCGGCGGGAGTTCCTGCGGGCTCACAAGGCTTGCGGGCAGCAACCTGCAGCCCCGGCGAGTGTCCGCAAGCCTTGCAAGCCCGGCGGAAGGGCTCCCCGTGCTTCGGGCGAGTGTCCGCAAGCCTTGCACGCCTGGCGGGAGGTCCCGCTGAGCGCGCGAGGCTTGGGGCGGCAGCTTGCCACCCGAAGCACGCGGAGCCCTCCGGAGGGTGCCCCGTGCTTCGGGCAGGTGTGCGCGAGGCTTGGGGCGGCAGCCGCGGCAGCGGGGGGGGGAAAATAATTTTTAAAAATTCATTCCCCCCCCCCAAAAAAAACGAGGTGCGTCCTATGGGCCAGTGCGCCCTATAGGATGAAAAATATGGTAGTTTTTTTTAAAAAAAATATTCCATCCAGTGATCTCAAGGTTGCCAGGAAATTCGGCCACCAAATTCCTGCATAACCAGGAATATTTTCAAATTTCTCATGAAAGTTAATAATGGCAATAGGCACAGCTCACTGGAAAGAGAAGTAACACCAAAAAAGCCCTGTTGTGGGTCAGTGCAAACCAAGCAGATCTGGTGGTTGCATCACCAAGGCATCACCTGCTTATTGTAGGGACTGAGATGATTGGTACTGGAGTATTTTTTAGATACTGTATTTAGTTTCCAAGCCTCCATGCAGGAGGTCACTAGAGCTTAGGCAACTGACACTAGGTTATCCTGGTCCAGTAACCAGACTTAACTGGGCATAACCACCTAGCAGTGGAAGCCACTCCAGTGAAAAGATGGCATTCAGGAGAACTTCCAAAGTATGTCTCCCCACCCCCAAATAATTTGGACAACACTCTTTCTCAAGCCATATGGCCTGTGTATGTATGTGTCAGTATTTCTGTTGAATAAAATATTGTCCATTTTAATACTTCCTGATACTATGTGGAAAGGGCAGGGGATATAATCTGCAGGTAGATTAAAAAGGTGTATTTTTAAATAGATTTTAAAACTTGGTTTGGATTTTCTGGAATTTTAAATTTAATAAATTCTCAAATAACCGTGCTGTTAATATTATATCTTAACCAAAGCATGTTTGCTACAGTTATTCTTTAAAATGAAGTAGTTTCTCTACCAGCTACGTAGTTAACAGAGGCTTCCTATTTAAATCAAGAGCCAGTTCGATCGTTTTTTCAAATGATTATTTACAGTCCAACTAGCAAACATAAATGTTTAGTTCCACTGAATGAAAATGATCTCTAGTCTGCTCAATAATAAGTTATTGCATTGCATTCTTCATTAAATTATCTTTCCATTGATACATAATGTTATGGTATTACTCCAAAAAAAGGTGGTTTATGAGCCATCATTGCCAAAACAATATGACACCTGATTGGCTCTCTAAACGCTTTTTCTGGTTATTTGGCTATAATGCTTGATAGAGTACAGATAATTGAACAAAACTTGTTCCATTACATTCTTAAATTATCTTTCCATTAATATATAATTTTATTGTATTACTCAAAAAAAGTGGTGTTATGAGCCATCAAACCTTGGAAATACAACAATTTTGGCCACTAGTGTATTACTTCATATATTTGTTGAACCCTGGGGCAAATCTGACATCTAAATGCTGCCTTAAAACTAAATGCCCGTTATTTGGTACTACCAGGCTTTTTTCCTATTTGTTGGAGTCTACACCTTTTATAAGATTTCATTTTTGTTAGCCGATAGAGGGAAAGTCGTTAAAATATTCCATTATGACCAGTAGCCATGACTGTTTGAGATAAAGTACAAAAATACAGGAATGTGAACACTGGACAATTGTGTGTGTCTTCCTTCCAGTGTTGTTGCTTTCTGCTTGACTCTGCTTTCACCACCATAACAAACAACTTTATATGCCACCTATCTGACTGGGTTTACAAGCTGACTAAATGAAAGTACAAAAAACACAACAAAACCCAACCAACTTGATAGCAATCACAGCACACTGACAAATGTCCTCCTTATTTCTGTTGTAATAAATAATCCTTCATAAAAGTTATTGCATTGCATTCTTCATTAAATTATCTTTCCATTGGTATATAATGTTATGGTATTACTCCCCAAAAAAGTGATGTTATGAGCCATCATTTCCTAAATAATGACACCTGATTGGCTCACTAAAGCATTCATTTTACTGATTATTTGGTTCTAACTTTTGATAGGATACAGATAATTGAACAAACCTTGTTGCATTACATTCTTCATTAAATTGTTTCCTTTGATACATAATTTTATGGTATTACTAAAAAAAAAGTGGTGTTATGAGCCATCAAACCTTGGAAATAAACTTTCCCCCAAAAGTTTCCACAATTTTCGCCGCTTGTGTAAATGGGAAACATGACTTAAATTAATCCACCCTGCTAATCTGGTAATCTCTTTTTAGGGCTAATAAGTATGGTGAAACTGGAAATGAGTGTGCAGAAGCTTACTTTTTTTACGGGAAATCACTTCTGGAATTGGCAAGGTAAGTTAATGTGACCTGCTTTGGGCCACTTGGTGGTTTGAATAGTTAATCTAGATTAGGAAGGCTAATATAATTTTACATGGACTGGCATCTACTTCACCAGTTTCTCCTGCACAGAGAACTGAAGTTACCTTTTGTAACCTTTTCTCAGCATAGTGGCAGCCATTCTAGAGCTACATAATCAGGTCAACAAACTTTGGTTGGTCTTCCTTGTCAACCAAATATGTATTTGCTTCCAGGACGCCTGGAGCAGGATCTGTTAACTGGTGTTCTTATGCTACATCAATACAGCCTTGAGTTCAAGCTTTGAACGCTAAAACTGGTGAGGGAAAAGATAACAGCAATGCCTACTTACATCTTCTAGAATGGAAAATGGTGTGCTGGGAAATGCCTTGGAAGGAGTGCAGGTGGAAGAAGAGGAAGAAAAAACAGAAGACTCAGTGGTAGAAAGTGCTGATAATATAGATGGTATGTAGTGCTGTCTTAACTCATGATAGAGATGCCAAGCTGTGTGTGTTCCAAGTGGATACTAGACAAGGGTCATTTTATTATCAAGTTGTTTGAATCTTAAACCGCAACTAAAAAGACTCTCTAAAAATCTTTTTAATGATAAAATTGACCAAAAACTTGTTTAAAAAACTTAAAAACCTGCCTTTTAACAAGGCCAGTGTGTCTACAAACCTATAGATTAAAGCATTGTTTTGAACCATGTGGGCCTCACTTTGTTTCTTAGTAAAGCATTGGTTTCTATGCTTCAAGATCTTAAGGACAGTCAGCTAATTGTTTCTAAAACCATGAACTAATTGGGCAAAGGTTCTGTGAACAAACTGAATAGTAACTCCCAGTATTACTGCTTATTGCAAAACTGTTTAGTGTATAGCACATTGTGGCCTAGATCTTTTGGGCAGTGGCATCTAATAAGATTTGGTGCTGTGAAGATCATGTTGTGACAATAGGCCATGTTCACTTAAAGTGGATAGTTTGTCTAATTTTCAATACTTGCCCTGTCCCTCAGTTCGTAGCATCTTCCTCTGCAATCCAGTGCAATGTCTTGTCTAGACAAAGCTTGGCATCTCTTGCTCAGCTGTTACTATGCTGGCCTACAACTCATTGCTTAAGCGCAACTCCTTGCAAGCCCTGTTATGGAAGGCACTTGTTCTCAGTTTAAGGGTCCAAAAGGATTGTATTGATTCCTGTAACTTTGAAGCAAGACATCAGTGGGATGGAGGGTGGGATGTGAAGATCATGAATGTTTATCACTAAATTCGAAGGTTTGTTTGTGCTTGATCTTCCTTAAACATGTAGAAGAAGCAAGGGAGGAATTAAGAGAGCAGGTATATAATGCCATGGGGGAAAAAGATGAATCCAGAAAAAATCCTGAAGAGTCTCTGGTGCATACAGGAGTGGAGATGCAACCGAAGGATGTTGAAATGGAAGAGGTTGAGGAAGAAGTAGCAGCTAAGGAAGAAAAAGAAAAAGCAGCTCTGGGTGGAGAAGATATCACTGTTGTGGAGAAAAAGGAAGAGCAAGAGAAGGCAGAAAAGCAGGTAGAGGCAACTACGGAAGAACAAAACATCAATGAAGTAACTACTGAGGTAGCATTAGAAGATGATGCTGCTAGGGAAGAGAAGCCAGTGGATGCAGAAGGGACAGCTGGAGAAGATAAGCGAGTGGTGGTAGAAGAGGCTAGGGAAGATGCTGCTGTACACAGAGTGGTGGTTTCGGAAGATGCTGCTGTGAAAGTTAATCCAGTAATAGAAGAGGCTGCAGAAGCAGCTGGGGGAGATACTACTTTAGAAAAAGAAGTGGCTGCAGGGGAAGCACCTGGGAAAGAGAAGGTTGTTGAGATAGCAGCTCAAGAGAGGAGAGAAGAGGAGGTAGAAAAGCAGGCAGACGCAATTGTAGAAAAGAATCCAATAGTAGAGGAATTGGTAAAAGCTTCAGGTGAGTTAGAGAGAGAATTCATGACAGCTGTTGAGAAAGTTGAAGGGCAGGCAGAAAAAGAACAACCAGCTAAAGCTACTGCTGAAAAGACAGAGGACATGAAGCCTGCCACAGAACAGGTGGTGGTGAACTTGAAAGAGAAGGAAGAAACATTGGATTCAAGAGAAGGAGAACCTTCAGCTCCAAATGAAACTACTCCTTCAGGGAGCATCAAGCAGTCACGTGAAATACAACCAGAAGAAAAAGCTGAAGTTGCTCCTAAGGTAGAAAAGGAAGAAGAAAAGGATGACGAGATGGGAGAGGGCGAAGGTAACAGGGATAGAAGACACTTGTGGGTGGATCTATTTAGAGAGCTAACCCTTAGTAAGACTAATCCATTCAGAATTCTCTGTGCCACAGGGATGAATCCACCCAAGGAGAATTTTGAAGCTGCAAGGAACAGTTGAATTGAAACAAAACTAACAAGTTGAGCAATAAATTATTGGCTTTTTTGGGGACTGGTTTGCATGAGCAGCAAATATAGAAAGCAGTGGCTCATAGAGAACACTGAATGGATGTTCACTGCATGTTTTTATGTGAATGCAAGATTAACTCTGAACAATTAAAAGCATAGTACTAGAATATATATTGACAACCAGATCCACAAAAATACAGCAACACGAGGGTGCTGGCTTAATGACCTGTATTAAACAACCTAAAACCTATCATGCTTTGAGGCCTATGACTAGAAACAAGTGCAGGTAATAGACATCACAGCTTTCATGTCCTGCTTCTCTTGCTTTAGCATTGCTGTTTAACTACCTTATAATACCTTGAAAATGTTTGTTTACAAGTGAGATTCTAAGTAGTGAAATAGTTGTAAATCTGATAAACCTTCGCATAATACAACTGTTTAACAAATATTTAGTCACTTTGTGTTCCTATTTGAAAAAAGTGACTAATAGCGATAAATAATAGGGATACAGTACAGTGGCAAGTTTGCTCTGGCAACTAGAGCCTCGTCCTATGCATTTCTAGTCCAAGAGTAGCTTAAAAGCATGACCCTCTAGATACTGCTGAACTAAAACTCCATAATCCCTAATTATTTTGGCCACGTTGGCTGGAGCTGGTGGGAGTTGTGGTTTAGCAACATCTAGAAGAATACAAGATAGCCATCCCTGTTCTAGTTTGAAGTCCGGTGTTTACAGCAATACTTTTTCCCTTGGCTTCTGTAGTAGTTGTTACATGAAGACTGTTGAGCATAAGGCAGTTTGAGATTGTGCTTGCTGGGCATCTGGATTACTGAATAGCTGGTAGGAGGTCAGATTTCTTGCTCCATAAGAGGGTATATGTTCCCTGACACTGCAGAATAGGTGTCTGCGCTATCCCATAGTTTATGTAAGTTCCTGTGCCTGACACCCAATAGTACATACCTGTCAGTCTCCCTAAGAAGCCATGCAATGACACTTAACTAGAAATATTAATATTTCTGTTTTATCTTAACTATGAAATGTGACTACTTCTAAGGAGTGCAATTTTAAAGCTCTTCTCTTTGTCTCCCCCGTTACTATGAAAACAAAACTTCTATGGGGAAGCTATAAAAGTATTAAAACTTGTTCAAATTCTTTTTAACTGACATGCCAGGGGGTGCCATGCAAGCAGCATAAAGGAGAAAGAATATCCTAACGCTGAATATTTTAATCTATGTAGCTCCCCCTCAAAACTTCGTATAAACACATGTTGCAGATTGCACAGAAACCTACCAAGCCAACCCTCATGAACACATAGGTTGGAAGTGTAATAGTGGTGGAAGAATTTCACAGCTGAATAAAACAAATAGTCAAGTAAAATGGATGTATAAACAGTTGGTTGTATATTAATAAGAAACTATTATTGTAGAAATGGAAGGATCAGAAGAGGAAGATAAAGTTGAAGAGGATAAAGAAAATGACTCTGCAGTTGAAGAGGATAAAGAAAATGACTCTGCAGTTGAAGAGGATAAAGAAAATGACTCTGCAGTCGAAGAGGATAAAGAAAATGACTCTACAGTTGAAGAAAAGGTGAAGTATAAAAATGAGCATTCAAGCCTGTTAAAGAGCTGGTTCAATGTTTCTGTCATGGAGAAAGGAACATTGTTTTTATGGAAACTATTTCCGATTACATATGTTTTCTAGAGCATAGGAAGACTGAAGTAGGCAGTTCCTTCCGAAGGTTCAAGATTATAGTAGGGGTGTGGCTTTGAGTACTCTGGTTCAAAGCAGCATTTTAACGTTTTAGTCTGTTAAAACTTTAGCCTGTTTTTCCTTCTAGATGCTTGTTCGTTCTCCATTCTTAAAAAAAAGCCCTTATCCTTCTCTCTGCTCCCCCCTTCTTTCCTTGTCCCCTCTGCTATCAAAATCTCTTGTCTACTGACACAATGCATTCATACATTGAAACTCATAAACTAGTTTCAGTGAAGCATTGTGGTCTCCGTCTAGTACCGCACCCATGGTTAAACTAATTTCTGTAACCATTCCCACCTTCTCTAAACCTGTTGAGTGTCTTTTATTACAGTTGTTTAAAAGCCCAAAAGCAGGCCTCCAAAACCTACAGGAAATTGGGAACAGGTTGCATCTCCTCTGCCTCATATCACAGCAATAGTGATTTGCTACAGAAAGGGAAAAGGCTGTGCCTGATAATGTGCATGGTATCTGCTTAATTATCAGAAGCTTCCTATTGTTTTAAAAAACTGCTATTGAAACAGTTTTTTTGCAACAGTACACCACCTTCTGAAGTAATTCTCTGCAGTCAACCAATTTTTAACTCAACTGAAAGTATGTCCTCTTGTGACATCTCCTTTTTTGCCTTAACATTAAAGAACTGGGCACTGCATTTTTTCCTGCTATTCAAACTATGAAGACAGCGAGGTCAAACATGAGGAAGCTACCTAGCTGATAAGCTGAGCTGTTCATCAGGGAAGCCTCAGGAAAGACCTGGGCAAGAACTGAAATGACATGCAAAGTGCTTTTGGAGCAAGAATTATAATTGCCGCTAATTATAATTCTATATTATAATTACAATGTAGAATGAATATGAGTAGGGTTACTCTGAATCACATTTACTGACAAGGAATATGTAGTGTTCAATGCAAAATTGATTGCACTTTCCAAACATTGGTTTTAATTCTGCTTGTGAAGGATTTGCTGGCTGAACAGCCAATTCATAAGAGGAGTGAGATACAATGTGAAGGACAAGCAGTTCAAAACTAATACAGGAGGAAAGTAGATAATCCTCTAAAGCTGTTTGTAAATCCTTTTTGTCAAGCAGTTAATCACAGTCCACAAATCTTGACTTGAATCATTAGCTAGCCATTGGTCTTTCTGCAGAACCTGTGCTTCCAAGTCTTCTCTTTGTCTACCAGAAGGTGAGCTTTCATCACACTAGGTTCTGGAACTGGCAGAAGCATTGCGGTGAAGACTATGGTACTAGGCAGAGTCTGGAAGACCAAGGTTCAAATCCCCACTTAGCCATGAAGCTCACTGACTGGCTTTGGACCTTACTGTCTCTTAGTCTTACCTCAGAGCTGTGAGGATAAAATGGGGAGAGAGAGAACCATGCACACTGTATTGAGCAACTTAAAGGAAAGGGACATTAATAGAGCTTCCTCTGCTGTGTTCAAGACTCCCTGCAATAGAACTGGTGCCTTTGTAAGGAAGAAGTGCTGATTTCCCTAATATAAAGTACTAAATTTTGCTAACAAACGCTTCAGCATAGGAGTTTGTGGAAGGGGTATGATGTTCCTTTTCTAAAGTTTATATATTTGTTTCCTATGGTGACTGGTTTCTTCAGTTGCCTGCTTTAAGGCAGGAGTTCCTGAGTTGGTCCATCAACCACCAGTGGTCCACAAGCTTCATTCAGGTGGTCTGTGTTATGTCTGTAAAAATACAATTGGAATCATGGAGCATCTAGCACAGGGCACTACAGTTGCTACAACAAGCAGAAAAATCAAGTGGTCTGCCAAGATCCTTAGCAATTGCCTTTCTATCCTTTTCTTTGACTTTCAAATAACTTTGCTTTAGGAGAGTGAAGAAGACGATGTTGGGAACTTAGAACTGGCTTGGGATATGCTGGAGTTAGCAAAAGTAATATACAAAAGGTATGTCTGGGAGTTCTGACAAATAATGCCTTTTTATACAACTAAAGGTGTTATGACAATCTTGCTGACTCTGCCTTCTTGATCTAGACAGGACACGAAAGAAGCTCAGCTCCTTGTTGCTCAGGCTCACCTAAAACTAGGAGAAGTTAGCATCGAATCTGGTAACTACCTTAAAGTTGCTTAGGCATGCAGTGGATTAATTTCTGATACTATTATTCATATTTCCACTGCATATGATATTTTAGTTTTTGCATGTCCATTACATATTATATAAACTGTCAGTAATATATTTTATATTCACTTTACAGTATTCATATTTCCAAAGCTGCTCAGACTTTATCAACTAGCTCAGAGTTTATCAACTAAGCCTTTTATTTTGGACACCTCATACTGTACTTCGTTATAATACAGTTACCTATACTATTGGGAAGTACGCTGGTAGATTGGTTACTTTTATTCTATTGTGGCCTAGTTCAGATGCATGATTCCCTGCTTATTAAAGCATAGCTTAGAAGCCTTGAAGAACGAATAGAGGCCCCTCGCCTTGGTCCTTTCTCAGTGTTTACACCCTGGTTAAATGGTAATTAAATTTCAGTTAGCTATTCTGCCTAATAATAATAATTACACTAATTTTCTTTATACCCTGTCCATCTGGCTGGGTTTCCCCAGCCACTCTGGGCGGCTTACAACATATCTGAAAACATCAATCATTAGAAACTTCCCTAAGCAGGGCTACCTTCAGATGTCTTCTAAAAGTAAGATAGTTGTTTATTTCCTTGACATCTGAAGGGAAGGCATTCCACAGGGACGGCATCATAACCAAGAAGGCCCTCTGCCTGGTTCCTAAATGCAACTTTATCTACTAACCAGGAACTTAAACTATAGTTCCCTGTTTTGAATATAATGGCTAATTGGAGTTTAACCAAACCAGGATGTAGCTGATGAATAAGGGGAAAGGCATGGGAAGGAAGCTTGCAGTCTCCTCATTTGTTCTCAGCTGTTGAACTATTTTGAGCAAGCCAGATATGCTTTCTAGCCACTGTTTCCACCAGTCTCTGCAGACTATATTAAATGTAAAATGTCCTATATTATTCAAAAATTGATACTGGAATCACGACAGGTTATAATGATTGAATTCTGCTTTGTACAAATTTCTACCTTCATATGAAAGTCCTGTGCTTTACTTTCTGTTTTTATTGTGCAGAAAACTACTCTCAAGCTATAGAAGAGTTCCGTTCTTGCCTGGCTCTTCAGCAGAAGTACTTAGAGGCCCATGACCGCTTGCTTGCAGAGACTCATTATCATCTGGGGTTGGCCTTTCACTATGATAATCAGTATGATGAAGCAGTGTTGCAGTATAGTAAATCGATGGAAGTCATTGATAAAAGAATGGGTAAGTGAAGTGCAGTTCTTCATGCAGTTTTAGTTAAGCATCACCGTTACTGTGTCCTCCAAGCTCCAAATGTACAGTGTTGGGAAAGCTACAGAGCTAGTTTCTTCATGAAGAGGTGTTCAGAGAGCTAATGTGTCAGCTAGCAAACACTATTTGGCAGCTGCTGATGATCCTTGAGAATCTGTTTTAACATACACTGGGACAAAGCCCAAAACTGATGAGTAAATGGCTCTAAAAGTACTAATATCACCTAAATATCACCTTTTTAGCGATGTTGACTGAGCGACTAAAAACAAAAGGGGAGGGATCAGCTGAGGATGAGAAGGAAATTGTAGAACTCGAGGGACTGCTTCCTGAAATTAAAGAGAAGATAGAAGATTCAAAGGAGTCTCAAAAGAGTGCAAGAATAGCCGAACTGGCTCTGAAAGCAACTTTGGTGAGTCCTAGGCTTACTACTACCATTTTTTGTGAACTTGTGCTAGAGAGGAGCAGATAGCAAAATAAATTAAGCTGAGATACACAGCTGTAAATAGGAAGAAAGGATGCCATTGATACTTAGTTTTATAGTGGAAAATGCTAAATTTTTACTTTGGGGGGGGGTAGGAGATGACTTTTGAAGCACTGAGTTCAAAGACCTTACATTGAATAATTAATGATAAGATGACATGTAAAATTTGTTCCGGAGGATCCCCCAAACTCTTGAGCTGATTTTGAAGAAAGTTAGCTGGAGGTGACAGTAGATGAAGCACTGTTATAGGAATGGAAGTTGTTGCATCAGTGGAAATGCAGGCTTGAATATGTCCCTTATTCTTAAAGCAAGACTGCAGATAGCAACTGCAAAATAGCTTGGGGGTTCACACACTACAGATGAGACACCTGTTTACTTCTCTTGTGGTCTTAAAAAACATTGGGAGCTTGAAAAATTAACTGCAGACCAGCTTCCTCATTATTGCTTCTCATTACACCTTAAATTTTATAAATTGTTCTTCAAAACCGATGTGCTCTTCATTGTACATGTTTATAGTTTAGTCCCAGTAGGCTTTTAATAGTGACTTTTAGACTGATAGATCTCTTTTGTTTCCAGGTTGGTGGATCATCTTCTAGTTTTCCACAGGCAACTGAAAGCAATCCAGCTTCAGCTGTAAGTGATACTAATCCCTAAAGCAAGCAGTTTAATTCTGCTGTTCTATAGTATTTCATATTTTGCCTTCTGTTTTGTAACAGATCCCAGCTGGGCAAAAAACTGATGGAGCTCCTCAGTGTATTACAGACATCTCCCATCTTGTCAGAAAAAAGGTTTGTGTCCCATACAACTAACAAAAATAGGTAACCACTGGCTTGCAGTACTTGAACCAGGTGTAGGCAAACTTGGCCCGCCAGATGTTTTGGGACTACAGCTCCCACCATCCCTAGCTAACAGGAACAGTGGTCAGGGATGATGGGAGTTGTAGTCCCAAAACATCTGGAGGGCCAAGTTTGCCTATGTCTGACTTAAGCAGTCACTTAAAAGCTTTGATCATTCTGCTTCTACAAATTTCAGAAATCCTGCATAATATCTTCTCCACTGGGAGCCAATCAGCCTGAGAACCATCTAGCGCACTTGGTAGCTTTTGATGGTTTTGTGCTGTGCTGTGCTTATCTGACTCACCCTGGTTTAATTTCAAAGCTTAATTGTGTGGGTCCTGCAGGCACTTGAGAATTTAGATGTGTTGGGGACCTGCAAAATTGTCCAGGGTAGAGATTCAGAGTTTACAGGTAGCACGAAATCCATATAAACTGAATGTCACAGCCAGGCTGAGCTGGGTTCCCATATTTCAAGTGGAAAGGAGAATTGGTTAAAATAGCAAAGACAGTCTAAAACAAGCAAACTATTTGTATCTTAAGATACCCCCCCTTTTTTTTGATGAAAAAATTCTTTATTGAAATTCATTAATGTCATTACAAATTTAACTTCACACATACACATACATACAATATATACATATTCTTAAATTTGTTTAACTTGGAATGTTAATTTAACCTAATTCCACTTAGGTATCAGCTAAGCTAAAATCATATAATGGTACATAAAATAAAGTAAAACAACAACAAATTAAAGTAAAATAAATACAGATTTCCCAATATAGTTGACATTTGTGATATTGAATGTACTTATAATTATTACCTTACAATTAATACAATATTTTTTAATACTTTCTTACAACCTAGCATACCAATTTTCCTTTATTTCTTAATATTTTATGTACACAAGGGTCATTCAAATACTACCATAGATAATATGTCACTGTTATTTTTTTGTAAGTATCTCTTAAACATTTCCCATTTTTGAGAAAATCATTGTTTGGTGTTACCTCTTAACCTATTTGTTAATTGAGCCATTTCCACATAGTCTGTGTATCATCAACTTTTTGAGACATTCAGACAGGACAAATAAAATGAATTTGCCAATGAGCCCTCTAAATTTGAAATAGTGCTGTTAAATAATGTCACCAAGATTATCACAAGGATGTACTGACTCCTCCTTGACTGGGAAGTCGAGAAGGTGAAGGTGGTCATGATTAGATGGGGGCAGGATATCGGATGTCCCATTATGATGAGAGAATGGGAATCACTCTGGAAAATTAACATGAACTTTACTGCATGTCACACCATCAAAGAAAATATGGTGAAAATGCAGTTTTGGTGGTACCTTACACCATCAAAAATCTCAAATGTATAGAAATAGTTTGAATAAGTGTTGGAAGTGTGGAGAAAAAATGGGAGATTTTTATCATATGTGGTGGACATGCAGAAAAGTCCAAAATTTTTGGAATATTTATGATGAGGTGAAAAAACATTCAAATTAACATTTTTAAAGAAACCAGAAGCCTTTCTGTTAGGAATCTTGGGTAGAGACATTCCGAAAAATATAAGAGAAATCTTTTTATATGCAACAGTGGCTGCCCGTCTATTGATAGCATCTAATTGGAAAGGAGAAAAGATACAATGTTAACAGAATGGCAAAAATAAAGATACCCTCTTAACAAAAATCTCTCCATATATTTGATCTCTTTCTTCTACAGTCTGCCTTCTGATTTTGAGAGCTATGTGTAGACTGTTAGGTAACCCAGAACTAGATTGCTTTCAGTATTGGAGGACAACTTTCCAATAGCTGAAGCAGCAATATGCACCTTGTAACCTTTACAAGGCTGTAGCCCAGAACAGTTTTAAAGCACAGTTCAGTTGTCAGCTTATTAATAGTAAATGCATAATAGCACTAGATATTCTTTATTAATACTTTACATTTGAAATTGTACTTGGTGAAGACTAAACAATTTTGTCTTCAGAGGAAACCCGAGGAAGAAACTCAACAAGGAAATAATGAAGCTAAGAAATCTAAACCAGAACCGGCTGTCAATGGTGGTGGTGATGCTACCCCCAGTGGAAATGTGGTTGCAGAGAAAAAGGAAGAGGAGGTGGGCTGTCGAGTCAGGAGTCTTCTGTATATTTTCCGTTTCCCAGGCTCATCTTTCCTGCCTGCCTTTAATTGCTTGTTGGTCTTCTCTCCCAGACCACTTAAAGTTGGAAATTTGCTTGTGTCAAAATGCATGTTGGAATCTGTCTAAACTAAACCTGCTAGACTAGTTCTGTATACTTGTATCTCTTGGATGCTTTGAAATAGCAACTTTGCTTAAAGTACTATTTATGTAGGAGTCCTAATTCTTTACATTATCAGAAGTAGAGAAAGGGATTTAAGACAAATTATCTAAGCGTAATTTGGTTAATGGCTTCTGTCAAGAGGCAGCAGCAGCCATGCTACATTTAAGTAATCAATTGTACATAAGTGTGTTGAATGCTTTCAAGAGCTGTATTTAACTGGTCAGATAAAACAAATGCATGTACTAAATTCTTTTTTCTTTTTTTTTACAGGCAGAGGAAAGGCCACAAGTTGAAACAGTTCAAAGTGCTGTATGATATAGTTTTAATATTGGACACTCCCTCCCAAGGCCAGTGGGTTTTGTATATAATGTATTTTTTCACTTTTGGCAACTTTTGTATTCAATAAAGATTACTCAAACATTTAACACTGCCTTTTGATAAAATTCAGCCGTATTCATGCATAAATACCTATTGTCTCCATCAGCAGACCTAAAGATGGTTGCATCTGCCTCCTAGCCAGTTCTACAACAGCAGTGCCAGGCTGGCTTTCAGTTGATGTACTGACTTGTAAATGTCTGGTTTGTAAGGGTTTAGGAAGCAAAGCAGCATTTTTTTGTGGTTAGAAAATTGTGGCCTAGATACTGAGCAGATATGGGGCCTAAATGTTGGTGGCATTTCTTCCTGGATTTAGTTTGAAACTGCAAGTCTGAGGAAGCACTAAATCATGGGGTAAGCAAACTAAGGCCCGGGGGCCGGATCCGGCCCAATCACCTTCTAAATCTGGCCCGCGGACGCTCCAGAATTCGGCGTGTTTTTACATGAGTAGAATGTGTCCTTTTAATTTAAAATGCAGCTCTGGGTTATTTGTGCAGCATAGGAATTGGTTCACCCCCCCCCCCCCAAATGTATAGTCCAGCCCCCCACAAGGTCTGAGGAACAGTGGACTGGCCCCCTGCTGAAAAAGTTTGCTGACCCCTGCACTAAACCATTTATGTCTACTGTGTCAGACTGGAAATAGTTTTGAGAGGATGAGCCTCCTAGCAAATTTTGTGGGAGTCAAGCAGAGTGCAGGCTAGAGTAGCTGCAAATAGGAGGGAAGACAAAGGGTGGAACTTAAAATAGATCTTTGACAAACTAAAAAATTGAATCAGGCTTGTGTTTGATGCAAAATGTCTCATTTGTGTGTCAGACACATTACATTAACTCAGCTGGAAGAAGAGCCCAGGTTAAAGTAGGATTCTGTTGGGGAGAAATGATATAAGGGTGAGAGGCTCATGGTTGCTAGAATTAAACCACTACTTAGAAATGGTATAAAGAAGATATGGAAAATACTCAGTCCGGAGAACTGATGCAGGTTTAGGTGCACAGCAGCCAATGTTTGTGCAGTTTCCAAGTAAGGAAGTGACACCTGGGTTTTTTTAAAAAAGCAAAATAGCATGGCTGCTTCAAGCAGGTGATTATCCCTCATTCACTGCCAAGATGTCAGCTACATTAATATACTTTACCATAACCACTAATAAAACACAGGTGGCCACTTGAGGTATTAGGCTACGGGATGGACATTCTTCATAAACTTAATAAAGTCTTGCAATGATTGCCAGTAGAGTAAGCTAGTATGTAGCCTAAGATGTCTTGTTCCTTCTCTTTAAATTTGTTCCAATGCCTTCAACTTTGTCTGAAAGAAAAACATGCAAGTCACAATTAAACCTGCACTGCTTATGGAGAATGTGGACCAGTAAGAAGTAAGCAGCACATAAGCGGCACACAAAGCACCACCAAACCATTCTACATTCTAAATCTTATATTAATAATCCAAAAATTGAGACAGAAGCCACAAACAGAAAACTCATTTAAATTTTGTCCTAAAGGAAGATTCAGTCTTTAAAGTTCCTTTAGCCAGGCTCCTGAATCTTACTTTTGGACACAATTTGAAGTGAGTTTTCTGTTTGTGGCTTCTGTAGTAGATCTTGTACCTTGTTCTCTCAATTTTTGGATTATTAATATAAGATTTAGAATGTAGAATGGTTTTGTAGTGCTTTGTGTGCCGCTTATATGCTGCTTGCTTCTTGCTGGTCTACTACAAGAATTGGCAGCATAGGTTCATTTCTTCAGTATGGAGAATGTGGAGCAAAGCTTTCGGTCAGGAAATGTATGTAGCAAGTTCCATTTGTTCTGATCTCACTAGAATGGGTGTACTTCAAACCTTGCAGTTAAATATAATTTCATTTATGTCAGGAGAGCTGCAAATTTTACCTGTTTTCTTGAAGTCTCCTGCAACATTAATTCTGCAATTTTTCTTCCAGAGGGTTCCTTATGGTACAGATCTGTTGTCTCTGGCAGATAAGATTGATCAATACTCTGAAACAAATGACGAGGTCAGCTAGGATGTGATGATCTAATGTGTGGTTAGTTTGTGCTCTGAACAGTTACTGGTAACCTTTTTAGTATACGTGATTTCTGACAATCTACTATAAACAAGTCACCTGGCTCTGTTTTACAATTTGGCTGCACAGAAAATTGATAAATGGTAAACATGAAAGTGAGATTGCTTTTGGTTTTCTCCAGTGGATGGTTAATTAGTATGCTCATCCTTTTGTTTTCCTGGGTGGAATGAAAAGTTTGTGATGATTAAATTCACTTAGCTAGTATACGTACCCCTGATGTATATCTGAGTTCATCCCATCTTCCATCTGCTATGCGCACAACCACAGATGCACCTGGCACCAACTGGATCTGGAAGTTTCAAACTATAGCATTAAGTACATTCTTTTATATGTGTGATTGTTGAACAAGAATAATGGTGAAACGTTGGGGATAAAGTAGGGCTTACATAGATTGCAGGCGCCTGTCATACCTGAGGCTGTTGAGGTTTTCATATAATTACAGAATATCCAAGTGCCTCCTTACTCTATACTGGAGCCTTCTACTCCAGGGTTAGTAGACCACATAAATGTTCCCCATTGCACCCAAATGAATCTGTAAAGCAGTGGTTCTCAAAGGGTGTGGCAAGAAGATTCAAGGACAATCAAATATTTAAACATTTCAGTGTAGTATACAGTAGTATCAAAAAAAAAATTATTTGCAGACTATGGATAAATATATTTACAAAAAAACACTAATTTGAGTTTCTTTTCTCTCAATGTATTTCTTACCAAACAATTTGGTATGGGGTGAGCAAGTTTTTATTCTTGGAAGTGTGGCCGAAAGAAAAACATTTTAGAACCACTGGTTCAGGTAAATTTTCAATTTAAAGATTACATTATAAAGAAACATAGTCTTGTACATTGGTTTATCTGACTTGGCAGTCTTCAGGGAGGATCTCTGCAGCACAAACACACATTTTGGAATCCATTTGTATGATGGTGGGGCTGATGTTGCAAACCACCTTCTGTCTTGCTCCCAAAAATCTTTGCCAGCCATGCTCCTTGGAACTTTCTGCACTTGCAGTAGTGTTTGAGAAAATTGGGATTTGTGTGGTCTACCTTTTGCATCAGTTTTTGTTACTACCCTGTATAGTACGATCTAGAAAAGGATTGCAAGTGCTCCCCTTACTTCACCATTTTACTTCTTGGATAAGCTTTGTGCAGCTACTGCTCTATGCTTAACTAGTCTCATACCTCTTTCTTTTGGAGCATGCTCTTCATAATGCTGCTGCATTTCCCTTCAGATAAGGAAGCCAGGATGATCTGTTAAGGAAAGAACAAACCTTGAACCAGAAAAGAACAAACCACCTACTGTTTCTTTGCAGCATTCTTTTAGTAGACTACTGCAAGAGATTCCTTAAGTGAGAGAAATAGTGAGTAGTGTTCCCAAAACAATACAAAGTAACATTGTAAAGCTTACTAATTTTGTACACACCCCAAACAACATCTTGAAATTAGAAACTGATTGCTGACTTTGGACTAAATTATAGTAGTGTGTAAAAACAAGTGGGTCAAGAGCTGGTGACACTTAAGCCAAAGATGGGGTGGGGAATGCTTCGCAGTTATAGGCACTGGTTCATTGCTTTGCACCATCACCACCTCCAAAAGCTGGGAGAACTAGTTGCCATTTGTACCCTTTGTCATTGCTAAGATATTTGCAGGCATTAAGCGTACACAAGTAGGGACTTCAGAAAGTACTGAATTCTGTGGGGATGAGCCATCAGTTCTTAACTGATGCTGCATTCACATAAAGCTCAAAAGTGGGGAAGTGGATAACTTTCAGCTTGACAGAATGGTGATATACAGGTGATGCAGGGAAACATTGTACAGAGTGTGTGTGTGTGCGTGTGTGCGCGTGCGCTAATAAGTGCATGCCCCTGCCCAGCTGCTGGAATTTGATTGTTTTTGCAAGAAAATTGGCATGTATGTCGTAACTTTTAGCTGGTTGGTTAACTATACCTGACTGGGAGCCCCCTGGTATAAGGGCAGTTGGTAAATGCCAGTGTTGCAGTAACCTCTGGAAAACACATGAAGAGCTGTCCATGCCCCACTTTTCTGAGTGTAATGTAACTGTTCCCCTTTTAGCATGACTCTTCTTTGTGCTGCTTGGCATTCTTTTTCACCCGAGGCACATTGGGCAGGATTCACCACACCTTGGTACAGGTGAATAATAATGGCTGTATATTCATGGTAAACTCTGTGGGGACAGGTCTGAAAAACAAGTTGCAGGTTCTGAAAGGAAAGGCTGAGCCACCTGTTGTGTACAGGTTCACAAATATGAGTTTGGAAATAAATATGGTCATCAGTAAGAAAGCTTACACTGTACTCCACCATGGGCAGACTGCCTCATTCAAAATCATGCCAGGTCTCCTTAACACAGAATTAAATTTCACATACCCGGAGCCCCCTGGTATAAGGCAGTGAGTAAATGCTGGTGATATGACATGTTTCTGTAAAAAAAAATTGGGCAGCAATGGATTTATGAAAGGAATGCACACACTTCCTTTATGTGGAACAGAAATTAAGAACCCTGAGCCTCGCTGCTAGCAAAAATGTTTGAACCCCAGTAGGGTATCAAAATATAGGCTACAGATTTAGTAGGGATAGGTGGTAGGGAATCAGCCTAATTATAGCAATACTAATTCACTAGAGAGAATGTTTCTACTTTGCTGAACTTTTCTGGAGCTAATAATTCTGCTTAAAACTCCACCTAGTTACCTTCCACACAGTGCATCTTAGTTAACTGGTTACTAGGCTCAGGAGGCATTTAGCCACTTTGCTGTAGACTCTGCTGAATAAGACAGATTACTTGTGAAAAATACCAGATAAACCAGTGTTGAAATACAGATTGGTTCCTTCTTACAGCATGGGACCCATCTTACTGAAAGGCAACGGCCTATCCTTTGCTGAGTGGAACACCCAGTGTCATCTTTTTTTAGTTGTAGGCCATTCTCAGAGTCCTGTGACTGAAGGGTGGCTTACAGAGTGACGGAACAACAAAATAAAGGATGTGATACCTTGAAGCCATCAAGCCACACAGGCCATTGCTGGTAGCTGTTTTTGTCAAGCTCCTCAACAAAGATGGGGTAATCATACTTCAGCCATTGTGCCCCAAAGTAACATGCCCCAGGTGGATTGAAGCAGAATTGGGCGATTGTCAAGCCAGACCATGGTAAGTTCATGCCTCTGTCCAATGCAAACTGCAATACCACAGAGATTAGATGTCAGTCTGGATAAGAGCACTGTACACACACAGCCAAAGCTTAGTTTGCTCACAAACATTAAATACTAAATTTGTTTCTCAACTATACCATTTCAAATTACTCTGACATGCCAGTTTTCTGTGAGCAGGGAATTTTTGTCCTTAGCAATATGAAGTAATACAGCTGAGAAAGTCAACTTGTTTAGAAAATTAAGAATACTAGTGGTTGTCTTCAGAAGTTGATAAATGCCTGTTAATCAACATGTAGCTAAAGGCACAGCAACAGAGACCAGGTTAAAGGTTGATAACTATTTTCAAGTGCAGAAATTACTCAAGACTGGTTATAAGTAGCCAGCATTCCTATCGATGTGACTACTGAGTTAAACACAGCTTACTTCCATCTCTATAGTATTCTATTCCAGCCATGTATAAAATTTTGTGCTAAACGGCATTTCTGTGAGTGTGATAGCTATTCACCTTGATGCCGTAGGTGGGAATGTATCTGGAGACATAGGTGAGGCTGAAAGGCTGTGGACTGCTGCCTGGCACCCGGGTTAGTTTCTGATGGATCCAGGTGACAACCTCCTCATCTGTGCTTAAACTCTTAGGACCTTCAAGCTGGTGAACTATTTCCCGCACTGAAACAACAGACCTGTGTGAAACAAAAAGCTGTTTTTGCTGTAGCCCACAGTTACGGAATTCTATCATTTCCTACCAAAGTGTGTTGATGCATGGGGCGAGATGCTTGGCTCACCCTTCTGTTAATCTGATTTGAATGTAAGATGGACTGTTAACGTTTTGTAAGGTTCCTTCTGCCCTTTGATTAAAAAAAATTTCCAAACAATAGGCTCATCAAATACATAGTCCACCATAGAACACACTATAATGTTTCAGCTTTTATATATGTGACTACAGTGACACCAAAAATTCTTAAAAGTAATAGCTGGCAATCCTCTTAAGGGAGACTTTTCCACAATTGTTATGATTCCACCTTTTTTACTTCCATCCATCCTACAGCCACTGAGGAGACAGAAACTCAGTTTACCTGTTGGTCATGGCTTCATAGAAGCAACTTTCTCCTGCAGTAGGCTTGGCCGAGTCTGAATAATAGACACCATCAGAATAGTCAGGCCTGGACTGAAAGAGGCCCACTTTGGCCCAGTTTGTCTGAGGGACCATGCTTCTTTGTAAAGTTTTATGGCTGGAATTTACAGGCGCCTTGATAAGCCTCACTAGCAGGGTTGCACAGGGCACATACCTACAGGGAAAGTGAGAAGACAGATATTAGGAAGGTTGTATGATGATAAGATGGGGAAGGAATTGGAAATGATGTAAGTGAGAGGGGCTCACCGTCCTACTGATGTCAGAGAGCTGGTAGAGAAGGGCTGATCTGGGCAGGGACTGTTGTGAAAAATACGGAGCTGATGAGCACCATCATTGAGGGAGACCTGAGGAAAACAGTAATCAGCATCTATCCACAGACCCTTTTTCCTCCTCCTTGGGAAATATATTGTGTTTCCCTCCTACCATTTGCATCTGAACTGTAGAGAAACAGCAAGATTTTTGGGTAGGGCTCCAGGTCACACAGCAGTTATGGTGGGATGGGGTTTTTGGCATGGCACTAGAAAGCATGAGCATTAATAGTAAAAACCTATCCTGTGAGATCTAGTGGGAATGTGAAACATTCTTGTAGCACTTTGGTTGACAGAAGAATGAGAGTTCCTGAAATACCCATGAAGAAAGAAGGCATTTTCCTACTGGAGCCTATCAGCATTATAAACCATGTCCTAACTTCATTTTCAGAACTGAGGCTGCTTCCCCTGAACTCCCCTTCAGTTAATTCACCTGCATCCCCTTGGCCTCTGGTTCAGGGGCTGTGTGTGTTCCACATTGCACAAAAACATTGAGAGCTGCCCAACCGATTTGGATGAGCTCAGAGGTTAAGCGATTGATGGAATAAACCTGTAAAATACCAAGAGACATTAGTTCATCCCCCCCTGGCAGCTAGACCCATAGTTCTGTTTTGTGTTGGAGGTCAGGAAGATGTTGGCATAATGTCCTCCATGAAGAATATATTAATAGCCCTGCAGAATCAGACCAAAGGCCCACCTAGTCCAGCATGCTGTTCTCATAGTGGCCAACTAGATGCCTATAGGAAGCCTGCAAGCATTCTGCTGTCTTTTGAAGATATGCCTCAGCCTGCTTACACGGGCATTCTCTTAATCTCTTGACCTGAGTCTCCAGTTTTAACTACTACTTTGTTTTAGTATACACCTGTTTTGTTGCATTTTAATTATGGGTGTTTATATTTTAATGTTTGTGCAACTCTTATATTTTGTAGGTTGCTTAGAAGCCTATTTTGGCATTAAACAGTAAATAAATAGCAGGACCTAACCCCAACAATACTCTTCCCTCTTGTGTTCCCCAGCAACTGGTATTTGGAGGTATAATGCCTCTGCCACTGGAGCCATTAATAGCACCCAGTTCTAATACGATGAGAGGAGGAGAAAAATGTCTCTCTATCCAGTTTATCCTCGGCATGCATAATTTTATACAGCTCCGTCATTTGCCTCCTTACTCTTTTTTCTAAACTAAAAAGCCCCAAATGATGTAACTTTTCCACACAGGGGAGTTGTTCCAGCTCCATTCCAGGAAAGGAAAGATCCTTAACTTCCTAACTCTTGACCCCCAACAGGACATGCTTCATTCATTGGCAGCATTCTTTGCTCGCCCTTTACCCATACCAGCACAAACCTTTAATAGAAGAGTTGCACAAGGCGCTATCACTGGCTCTCTGATTTCAACTGAGTAGTTGTAAAGTGGATCAAATATGCTGCTATTCAGGTCAATCCCAGTGCAAATGTCTGGCCCAATTCTGAAAGGAAGAAGCAGAAACAACCTTCAGCTAGATGTTTTCCATAAGAGGGCATTGTTAAGCTCCTCTGTTGTCGTGGCACCTTGAACTGAAGCAAAACCCTTTGCGTGCTTCAGGACATAACCATAGAAACATTAAAATCAGGGGTAGGAGACAGGGTCATTCTGTCTGGAAGGCTTGCACAGACAGAACAATTGTGAGAGTGCCCCATTGAATTCCACACATAGCACGTATGCAGCCTGGGAGAAGCAGAGGAAAGATGGCATTTTAGGGAAGAAAAACCCAGAGAACTGTTCCTCCTTACTGCATGAAACCACTGGTGAAGATGCGAGCAGTGACCCTGGTAACAGTGACACCATCAGGCAGGAAGCGGGCTCCATCAATGTATAGATCAAAGCCATCTCCAGCTCTGAAAGGCTCTACAGGAGGGGTCTCCCTGAAATGATGAATAAAAGCTTCCTGTGGGGGGAAAAGTTGTGATGATACTAAATGGTCATTTTACTGCACTTTCACTCGGTTTAAAGGTCCTTTTGTTTTAACAATCCCGAACAGTTTATTATCATGAGCAAACATAAATGCAATTCGTTGTAAACAAATGTAGAGAAATGGATGCTGGTGCAAAAATCTTAATGCCGCATATACTCTCAATGGGGTCTGAAGTAGCAGTGATTGACCAGGAACAAGACCTGGGGGCCATAGTAGTTAGCTCAATTAAGATGTTGATCCAGTGTACAGGAACTGTGAGAAAGGCAAAATCCATGCTAGGGATCACTAGGAAAAGAACTGAGAATAAAACTGTTGATACCATAATGCTTTTATACAAATCTATGGTGTGACTGCATTTGGAATTCTGTGTACCGTTCTGGTCACCTCACCTCAAAAAGGATATTGTCGTGTTGGAAAAGGTTCACAAAAGGGCAACCAAAATTATCAAGAAAATGGAGCAACTCCCCTGTGAAGGAAGCTTGCAGATTTGGGACTTTTTAGTTTAAAGAAAATGTGCATGAGATGTGACATATGTTTATAACATTAAGCATGGCACAGAGTATATAGAGAAAAGTTGTTCTTCCTCTCTCATAACACCAGAACTCCTGAAGACCCAATGAAGCTGAATTTTGGAATATTCAGGACAGATAAAAGAACTGTAAATTGCAGTGCCCAGAATTCTTTGAAGGAAAGGAGGTTCTTCAGATACACTTTAAAGATATAATACGTATGCAGCCAGACTGTGTACTGAGTGGAGGTGGAAGGTCTGTCCCAATTATCCCAAGCCCTGTAGGGACTGTAAAACTGTCCTTGCCCAGCACTCACATGAGGCCAGGTTTTTGCTGGGTCAAGTGGAGGTGGTGACTCTGGTGGGAAAGGCTGCTCAGGTTTCTGGGTGCTGAAGACGTGCAGTCTTAAAGTAGCATCACCATATATCTTGAAGTCCTGATGATTCTCTTCCATTGACTAGGAGCAAAGCATTATGTGCAGATGGGAATGAAACAAGAGGAAAGCATAATAAGGCACAGCTTAAAACATGGGGCTTTATCCAGTGCTCTGTGCACATAGCTTCACTGGCACAACAGAAATTCCATTTCTTCTGCCCCCATGTGCTTCTACTGCATGCATAGCAGTGTTTTATTCCAGTGGAGCTGCAGCACTAGATATGGTCCAAGGAATCAACACACAACAGAATGGAGGCTTAACCAATGATTCAGTCCTCTTAAGTAGCTGTCTACCAACTCCACCTGGTACGCAGGCTGAGACCCTACCTGCCCGCGGACTGTCTCGCCAGAGTGGTGCATGCTCTAGTTATCTCCCGCTTGGACTACTGCAACGCGCTCTACGTGGGGCTACCTTTGAAGGTGACCCGGAAACTACAATTAATCCAGAATGCGGCAGCTAGACTGGTGACTGGGGGCGGCCGCCGAGACCACATAACACCGGTCTTGAAAGACCTACATTGGCTCCCAGTACGTTTCCGAGCACAATTCAAAGTGTTGGTGTTGACCTTTAAAGCCCTAAATGGCCTCGGCCCAGTATACCTGAAGGAGCGTCTCCACCCCCATCATTCTGCCCGGACACTGAGGTCCAGCGCCGAGGGCCTTCTGGCGGTTCCCTCATTGCGAGAAGCAAAGCTACAGGGAACCAGGCAGAGGGCCTTCTCGGTAGTGGCGCCCGCCCTGTGGAACGCCCTCCCATCAGATGTCAAAGCGATAAATAACTACCTGACATTTAGAAGGCATCTTAAGGCAGCCCTGTTCAGGGAAGCTTTTAATCTGTGATATTTTACTGTATTTTTTGTTTCTATGGAAGCCGCCCAGAGTGGCTGGGGAAACCCAGCCAGATGGGCGGGGTACAAATAATAAATTATTATTATATTATTATTATTACATACTGTTGCTTCCATATAAAATATTGCTCTATGAAGATTACAGTTGTAAGTCTTTACTAGAGTAAGCCAGTAAGGAGTGTTGCATCAATAAAAGCAGCAAGACTGAACGAGTCATTAGTTGTTTAACATCTCTTCAGCCTTTTGCTGGTATTAATATTGGCGTACTTTACCTACCTGGTTAACCTTGGTTTGCTTTACAGGAGTGGACTTACCATCACTGACAGAGCTACAACAGGTGGCACAGGGCCATGATACAGAGTCAGTGTATGAGTCCCTGTGTTCCAGACAGGCATCCCATGTTCCCCTTTCTTCATTGCACCTGTGAAAGCAGAATGCAGAAAACTTAATTCCTAGACTAGTAATAGGAAAACCTTAATTCCTGTGGGGAATCATAGCACCAGGCAACCAGAAATGCCTGCAGCATACCTGTAACCATCACTTTATGGGATTCATACATCTTGGTCAGTCTGAGCACAGCCCAGGCAGCCAGCCATTCATCACTCCCTAGTAGTGGCTGGTGTTGAGGCTTGAATCCTTTGTCCCAGGGGGTGGGTGCCACCCTCCCACTGGGCCAGTGGTAAAAGCGAGCAATAACGATCATGTCCTGCTGTGGCTCAACATCCCAGAAGGTTTCCTGAAGGAAACAAAAAGAAGCAGTTCAGGTGAGCCAAGAGTAGTGCTATAATTTCCAGCACCTTCTACCCTTCAATTCCCTCTGCCATACACCATACTCAAAAACCGCCTAACTGTTTTCATGGATTAGGAATGAGCATGTTTTTCTCTGAGCTCAGAACTGCTTTTACACCATTGGCAAGAAAACCTAAAGCCCATATTTTGCAAACAAGCAACATGAGTGCTTCTTATAGTTAAGCATGGGCATCCACAAGAATTATCCCCAGGACTGGGGAAAGTAAATACTCTAAACCAATGTAAATACTTATCTAGCATCAGAGAACTGGTCTACCATTTCTGGTAACAGGTGACTGAGTTGTGGTGAGGTCTGAGCAAACTTGGCCTCTGAGAAACAAATACAGTGGTACCTCGGGTTAAGAATTTAATTCATTCTGGAGGTCCGTTCTTAACCTGAAACTGTTCTTAACCTGAAGCACCACTTTAGCTAATGGGTCCTCCCGCTACACCGCTGCCACACGATTTCTGTTCTCATCCTGAAGCAAAGTTCTTAACCCGAGGTGCTATTTCTGGGTTAGCGGAGTCTGTAACCTGAAGCGTCTGTAACCCAGATACCACTGTACAGTATTCTAGCGCTTGCAGCAATGGTAGTGCTAAGTAACCATCCAATCAGTGCAAGGATAATAACCTGTCTGAGGACACTCTGTGAACTTCCCAGCTGGACTGGGATGTAAACCTAAGTCCATCTCCAAGCCTAACACTCTCCTGCCAAAGCACCATTCTATACCTCCTGTTCTCCAAACACGAAGTAGCCATGTTTAATATTGGATCTCATGGAATCGGTGCAGTAATTCAGTCCCGAGTCCTTGGTGGCAATCACCTGAAATCAAGTTTGAGAAAAATGTAACACGTGGTCCAACTTCCTTTTTAAGCTTTCTTGGTGTTTCTTCCTAAAATAATAAAGAACTCCAGGATGGTTCTGCTAGAATGCTGAACCAGGGTGCTAGCTGAACACCAACTATGACATTGGGGCTATTGACAGAGCCACACATGTTCCATACCTGACCAGTTTTCTGATGGTAACCAGTTAGCCGGACAGCCCCATCTCCCGGTGGGGCGCCTTTTACTCTATCAAGGATGAACCCTAATTGTCTTCTTTCATTCTGCTGGGATTGTGGCCACTCGAGCACTGCTTCAAATTTCCTGAAATAATCAGAGGCTTATTAACCCACTGCTCTTCAGCTGTTGCCCCTGTCCTTCAACAGCAAGCAGCACCTTTCCCCTTCTTGAATGGCAAAATGGCAGTTCCCCACCAAATCAGAACCTTGCTAGATTAAGCAATAAAGCTGGGTTACAAGAAAAGTAGAGAGCAATTGATCCACTGTATATTGATATACTGTATATCTGGCTGTTAAAGTCAAGTAGAGCAATTGTCTCATTGCCAATTTCTATTGCGACAGCAGAATGTGGAGAGAAATATACCCCTGCAAAGGAAAATCCAAACGATACTTCGTATTTACCTAGGAAGGTATGGAGAAGCCTTTGGTTTCTGTTTCTGGGTGCTGCCAGTGCCACAGCCAGGAAGGTAACAGGGAGAGATGGGGGGAAATGAAAAAAGAGGGGAAGGTTGATGCATGTGAGCATACTGCAGCACAAAGGCAAGAAAGGGGTTTCTTGAAGAACCATATATACTGCCCAGTTGGGTGTTAGGGGAGCAGAAAAGGAATGTTAAAGGTAGTTGATTATATAAGGGTAAGAGTAAGTAAAATGTGACAAATCAGAAAGGACATAGGAAGGAAAATACTTTTGCTGAGTTTAATTTACATGCATGAAGGTTCCCCTTGGGAGGATCTGGTGAATCATGTGTATTTCATTAGCAAGCTACAGGACAACTCTGCAACATGCAAAACTAAAATAGGCTCATAGCAAATAATAAGTCGACCACCACAAGCTGGAGACTGGCATGAGGTAGTCTAAAAGGATGACAGAAAGCTGAATGGAATCTTTCTACCTGATATCTTTGGTCAAGTACTCCATCCCTACTCCTTTTCTGTATCTGGAGTGAGCAATGGTGTTGCACCTCCCTTTTTCAGGAGGACATTCTCGACGAAATTGCCATTGAAAATATTAGGCACTGAAAGTAATCACCACAATATTGGGAATAAAACTGAATGAGGCCCAATACAAGTAAGATTCTAAACTATAGTAGAAGCCATGTTGATGTGGAACAAAATAGGGCAATAGGTTTATGGCTACTGAATGAAGAAAAAGACACAGAAGAAAAGCACAGAGTCTAAAAGGAAGTCAGCTTGGGGGCTGCTTCTCTTGTTATACTGTTTATGTGAAGTTGCTTCAGAATCATTTCCCTCTTTGTTTTATCGCTCTCTGATCTAGGAGACATTTGGGGCATGAATATGAAAGTAGCTCGTGTGCAATTATTTGTTTTCCATATTATGTACTAATTTTTGTTGGCATTCATTTGTCTCGGGAGACAGTGGAGGAATGCACCTTTGGAGGTGAAGTCAAACTGTTGGAAGGTTGCAACTCCTCTTGTGGCTGTAGAGATGTGGGAGAGACATATTTTGTTAAGTTGCTAAAATAACTAGGCACAGTACAATGGTTTTAAAAAAAGAAGGCGTCCTATAGATTCGCACCAGTTTTAGAGCCCACAAACACAGGGATGCACTTATTGATGAGCACATACGGAAGGAAACATCAAAGAGAGCAAGCAGCTTCTAAAGAAACAAAAATAGAAGATGTTACTTCTTGGTAGCCTACATTTATTGGTATTGGTCTTAGCCAATTCTAAAACTTAAACTTTACTAAGCCAGGGTGGCCTCTTACATACATCCCTGCTGGTACCATGACAGCCAGCATTTCCTACCTAAAGGAAATAGGCAAATGCTGACATTTCTTTTTCAAAGAGATTCTAGATGAGTGGGAAAGGATTAACCTCTAGGGTACTGACCAGAACAGTTTCTAGGAGGTAGGAACAGAACCACTTTAAAATGCTAATTTAGCAGATGTTACCAAGATGCTTAGAATCTTCAGAGGGGAATGACTGGGCTGCATCAATAGGAGTATAGCATCTAGATCAAGGGAAGTAATAGTGCCACTGTATTCTGCTCTGGTCAGACCTCACCTGGAGTACTGTGTCCAGTTCTGGGCACCACAGTTCAAGAAGGACATTGACAAACTGGAACGTGTCCAGAGGAGGGCAACCAAAATGGTCAAAGGCCTGGAAACAATGCCTTATGAGGAACGGCTAAGGGAGCTGGGCATGTTTAGCCTGGAGAAGAGGAGGTTAAGGGGTGATATGATAGCCATGTTCAAATATATAAAAGGATGTCACATAGAGGAGGGAGAAAGGTTGTTTTCTGCTGCTCCAGAGAAGCGGACACGGAGCAATGGATCCAAACTACAAGAAAGAAGATTCCACCTAAACATTAGGAAGAACTTCCTGACAGTAAGAGCTGTTCGACAGTGGAATTTGCTGCCAAGGAGTGTGGTGGAGTCTCCTTCTTTGGAGGTCTTTAAGCAGAGGCTTGACAACCATATGTCAGGAGTGCTCTGATGGTGTTTCCTGCTTGGCAGGGGGTTGGACTCGATGGCCCTTGTGGTCTCTTCCAACTCTATGATTCTATGATTCTATGACTCTTGCAGTCGCAGAGAGAACCTTCTTGTTGTTGGCATCCCTTGACATCACTAAAATATAATACACTAAAATATTATCCAGTGGTGATCCCTTAAAGATTAAAGAGGGAAGACTTGCAGAATTGATCACTTCAAAAGGGTGGATGGGGCACTAATTCTAAAGGAAGAGGGTGAATGTTTCAGGAATATTTTTTGTGTTGCTTTTTTTTTGCATTTCACAAGCACTTCAAGTACATGACTTCCAATATAAAGTAATCACACTGAAATTGACTCAGAGAAAGAATTAGAAACATGATCCTATCAGCCTACTTTAATAGAGGCAGTTTGGTTTTACGGCGGATTTTTGTATTATTTTTTTTTAGGACTAAAAAGGTGCCTCTGTTATATCCTCTCCAATGCATAAACAAAGCCAAAGGCAGCGTCCTCAGCATTTGCTAATGAGGCAGCCTCTGAATATAGGATGTTCCAGTTAACAGCTATTGATAGACTAATGTGCCATGCATGTGTGAATGTCTTTAACCTTGTAGTGATTGACATGGACAGACAGACACACAACAAGGAAGACTCTAGATAATCATGGCAGAAGAATTACATTTTTAGGGATCATATGTACAAACAGTTATTCTGAACACATTTTTGTGTTCTGCTGCCAATGGGAAGGTCAGGAGAAAGCTCTCCTTGTGGTATGGTATAGTCTGTGGAAAGACAATATTAACTGATGTTGTGCTTTAGTTTATATGGTCAGTTGCAGGCAGAGCAGACTATAACTACCCTCTGCTGTGCAGATGGGTAAGTACAGTACATCCAATCCTGCACCACCAAAACCTCATGCAGATGCACCCATATCCTTAATTAAAAATACAGAGAAAATCACAGACGTGGGTGGATTAGAGATGCATAATCTTTTAGTTGTTTCATTTATACACAAAACACACAGAGAAGTATACAAAGGAATACAGTAGGCATTTCTATGCTGACTTATCTTCATTAGAAGGAAAGCTTAGTCCTGAAAGGAGAAAGGGGTGGTCTTCCTCCTTTCTCACCTTTTATTGGGTTTGTATTGGAGAGGCTGTTCCTGATCAGGAGGAGAGTCAACAAAGCCAGTGTAAGGAGGGACAGAGAAGAACAGGCTGGTGGGGGCAGGGTGGAAAGAGCGCTGGGCTGGAGAAAAGTCTGTAGGGGGTGCTGTGCAACTGGACACCTGCATTTGAAAGAACAAAATACAACAGAATTAAACAGGTGAGGTGGGGTGGCATGACAAGCAGGGCGAGGGCAGTGTAAATATACTGGGGGTGAAAGGAAGGCTTCCAATCTCTTGATCCTACTTTTCAAATGTTCCTTCCAGTGGAGAGTTTGCCATCCACCTGCCATCATTTCTACAAACCATCTTGCTTCCACTCAGTATTAGCATTGGATGATGGAAATTTAAAACTTGCTTTCGCCTCTCGGTAATACAGTACTAATTTTATCTGGAAAACTTTAAGCTTTTGTTTCACGATTTCCAACAATTTGGGACCTTTTTTTTTTTTTTTTACCTGGAACCAGTTGTGCTGTATGATGTGCTTGCTGGGCCCAGGACTGTGCAAGTCAGTGCAGCAGCAAGGGTGGGAGAGCACTGGATTGGTAGCGGCAGGTATAGATGTGTATGTTTGTTCCTGCTGCCACCAACCCAGTGCTTCTATCCGCTCTGCCATGCTGCCTCACTGTGTTTGAGAGACTGCAGTGGTGGCACCCCATCTCACTGAGACACTACTTGAGAACCTTGGACTTTTCAATTGAGTGACAGATAGAATTATTTTTTATGCTAGGAATTAAAGTAGCTACTTAATTGTTGAATTAGTTATTAATTCATCTGGAGTTTTATATGAATGTGCTAAATAGTTAATAGCTGGGATTTTAAAAGGCTTCAGTCAGATGGTAGCATACTTCATTTATTCCTTTGAAATATATAATTAATACATTTTCACTGAGTTTGCTCTTAGCCTTATCTTCCATGGATTCTGGATAGCTTTAACCTCCAGTTCAGCTATCAGTGGCTACTACTAGTTATGATAGCTATAACCTCCAGGATCAGAGGTAGTATCCCACCAAGTACCAGTTTTTGGGGAACAGGAGTGGGAGGCTATTATTGTGCTCATGTTCTCCTTGCGGTTTCCCAATTTTTCACCATTTATCTATTATTTCAAATTGTCTTTCTTTTTGGTGTCATTCTGGTTCTCTGCAGCAAATAAATATTGAGGACACAAAGAACCTGTTTTTCAGAATCTGTCTTCAAGAAATGCTAACTAGAAAAAGAGTTAAAAATAACTTCAAAAGAGACAATAATGCCATGCAGTTCAACTCACTGTAGGAGGGTATTTGTACAAGGAGGCATTGCCTGGATGAATCTCTGCCATTGACTGCATGTCAGCATCTCTTGCATTCACTAGTCGCAAGTACAGCTCTGCTTTGCCCAGCTGTGAGGAAAAAACAAGGTGTGGTCTGGTTGGGATTAAAACAGATACGAAAATAACTGAAGACGATGTTGGACTAATTTATCTTGATCTGGCCAAGGTGTTCTGAGGAACAGCCATCATTCCAGGAATGTTTCTATTCAGTCAATGAGGCCTGAGATTGAATCTGTCTCAAATCACACTCAGCACAATGCAGAAAGTAGGAGCTCAGTGTTAAGTGCCAATGTTAATGGTTCACCATGAGTCTCCTGAGAGCACGAGCATGACACTCTCCCTTCATGTTGGTCAGGAAATAATTTTCTGGGCACTCTGCACTGACCCTTGCTAAAGGTCCTCACCTGGGGCACACCATTCAACTGTTCTGGAGTAAGGCTTGGCTTCATAGGAAGCACTCGGATGGGGATCTTCCAGCGCCCACACATCACTTGATGTAGATGGTCAAAGATGTTGATTTTGGCCCACCCCCTGGGGGCCAGATTCTGGATCTCCAGTCCATAAGCATCAAAGCCTCCAGATGCTTGAAGCTCAGTTATGAGGGTGATGGTGGTTGAAGGAAGGACTCTGAAAAGCAAGAACAGACAAAGGTAATACATACAAGCCTACCTTTTTCTCTACAAATCACTGTAGCCATGTTTCACATGGGGGTTTGGCAAAGAAGACTATCTTCTATATGACACTAACGTATATGACCTCTAAATAAGAACAGACAAGAATCTGGCGTGTGCAAAACTGGACTGAAACGGCCTATTTTATGGCAATCTGAAACTCATACTAATCCCCAGAGTGAGTGGTTCCCATGCCAAGATGATAGGGCCCTGGGTCTTCTAAAGGGTCAGGATAAAAGCAGTTCATGATAGATTGTTTTCTTTGCATTGTTTTTTTTAGAAAGGAATCTTCTACCACTTATCATTGCATTTGTCTTGAGCATTATCTTGCTGTACACTATATACATTGAAACAATGAAAACAAATAACTTTGCCAACTGGGAATGGCTGCCCAGATAATGACCCGGGAACAGAAGAGATGAGATGTTATGGCAAAAGCCACTGAAACTCACCTTGGGACTGGTTGCCTAGCTGCTAAGATGGCGCAGCACCCTCTTTGCCCATCAGTCACATACTGTGGGTATTGACCCATATCAGAGGAGACAACGGGCAGTGGGGTGGGCTTGCCCAGCTCTTGCCCATTGCGGAACAGGCCAGAGACCAGGCAGACTTGATAGAATGTGGGATCCAGGCCCAAAAGAAAATCATAGAATATCACAAAGCCAGACCTGCAGAGAGATGATAATTGTCACACTCATGTAATAATTAACACAGCTTGCATGCCACCCCAAGCTGAGTGAAATTCCAGGGGTTCTAGGCACTTCCAGGAATTAGGAAGGTTTAGGCATACAGCCTATCTCCCACCACCCCAAACTCTTAACAACAGCTATTTTCTATGAGCTAGCTGCAGTCCAGAAGACTCAACAGGCTAGATTCCAAAATGCATCCCTAGGAATGGTATTAGGATGGAAAAAATGAACATCTTCACTTTACATGGCAGTGTCTACAAATACTCCATGCAAGAATGAGACAGAAAAAAAAACATATGCTGCCCTCCCACTAGCTCAACCCAGAATAATACAGGTAATAGAAATGACATACGCCGGATCATATGGCGCTGGTCCCAGGGCATCAGAAGGGTCCAGGAAGTACTGGCTCATAGCTGTGGCAGATGCTCTCATGGGGTCCTATAGCAGGCAGAAATATGAGAGCTGTTTTACATTACCAAAGAATAGAAAAAGGAAATACCAGCATCAGTCTTAGGGGGAATAATGAGGCTTGCTGCCTCAAGGAAACTCTTAAGAATATAACTCAACAGCTTCAGATAAATCATTCACCCCTGAGCAAAATGGTCAGCATATTTGCAACAAGCAGAGCATGCACCACTGGATGCATCTTTCTGGAGTGAACACAGATATGGAGAGAGCCAGCCACACAGGATGATAGCTCTGAATTATTAAAACTATAGAAGTATTTTTATACTATTTCCGCTCCAAAAGCAGATATTCAGTATGACTTTTGCCTGAGGTTTCCCAAGTTAAAGGGGCACTAACCATGTTACTAGCTGGAAAGGTAGGGTCAGGCAATCCAAGAAGAGGGGGAGGAGGTGGCAGGGGTGGAGCTATAGGAGGTGGCAGCCGGGGTAGTGGTGACCCCCTCTTGGGGTGTCTTAGCTTCATCCTCTCTGTGTCATGTCTCAGGCTGCCAATCTCTGCATGCAGCTGAGCCATCTCTGCCATGTGTAACCGCTGCAGTTGCGCCAGCTCTGTGCCTGAAGACCCTGATGAAAAAGAAGATGAGCAGGGGGAGCCCATTAACACAGTTATTGCTTGTGCCAATACTGGGAAAGAATCCTTATGAGGTGGGACAAGAGCCTGCATATTATTCATCTGGCTCTTTGTAAAAACAAAGCCAGCTCAATGTCCTTATTTGTTTTTGCTGGACTGGCACTACTGAACATTTCAGCTACATCTCCAAAGCCATTTAGTTGTGGAAATGTTGCCCCCTTCCTGCCCAACATTTCAAGGAGCACCTTTGGCCATTAGCAACCTCCATACTGCAGATGGGGTGGTCTTGAAAATTTGGGGTATGTGTAGAATCACAAAGAAAAAGGACCTGCTTGGAAATCCTGGCAGTATAATCTATGTGTCAAATGAGTAGATGAGATTTGGTGCATTTAGTTTAGGAACTGCTTCACATAAAAGGCGTTCCAAAGTGATTTACAGGGATAACAAACAATATCAATAAAAATGCATTAAAACAAAACAAATATACTAGAAGTGTTCATCCACAAAAAAACCCAACAATGTAAAATAACCACATCCCACCTTGAATAAGGATGAACATAAAAAATAAACAACCAAACACCAGACCTTAGCACCACCCAAATGCCCAGGAGAATAATGAACCACGATCTGGTTGGCAAGCTCACTGCAGTAGAATACTCAGCCCATCTCTGCCATCTTTCATGATTTCTCTCCATAATAGACAACTATGGAGGCTGAATTTCGCCAGCAGCAAACAGATCTGGTTACTGTCCAAAGAGAATACTCTGCACTTCCACTTAAACCTCCAAATCAAAGTGATTGCTTAGGTGATATATATGCCAATGCCCTGAATTGCAGAGATTGATGCCTGCTACTGTATCTTAAACTTCTTTGGCCCAACTTCAATACAGTAGGCTATGGTCCCCACCATCTTCTATTTTCCTTCTGTCCTTCAGGATCTTCAACTTTAATATCTCATCTTCCAGCCTCTGGTTCTCCAGCTCAACAGACAGGAGCTCAGCATCCAAACCCCGTGGGTAGGAGTTCGGGCTACCTTCATGTTCTGCAAGGACAAGAAGAGCCAATCAACAACAAAGATGGCTTGGAGACGTGAAAGAGCGAGAAGTATTTACAGTGGTGCCTCGCAAGACGAAATTAATCCGTTCCGCGAGAGTCTTCGTCTAGCGGTTTTTTCGTCTTGCGAAGCAAGCCCATTGACGGATTAGCGCTATTAGCGCTATTAGCGGTTTAGCGGCTATTAAAGGCTTAAAGGCTTAGGGGATTAGCTGCTAAAAGGCTATTAAAGGCTATTAAAGGCTTAGCAGATTAGATAAAGGGGGGTGACAGCGAATAAAATCTCTAGACTCGCAAGATATTTTCGTCTTGCGAAGCAAGCCCATAGGGGAATTCGTCCTGCGAAGCAACTTCAAAACGGAAAACCCTTTCGTCTAGCGGTTTTTCCGTCTTGCGAGGCATTCGTCTTGCGGGGCACCACTGTACTAAGGTTTCTCAATCTGCATCATCAGCAAATAACCATTTGGAATCATATACATTTATGATAGCACATGAGCTTTGTAAGAGGACCATACTGTCCAGTGGAATTGATTCTCACTTGGCTGTGAATAGTAAAGCCTTTTTGAGCTCAAGGCCTAAAGGCAGGGACAGCCAACATGATGCCACCCAGATGTTGGACTATAGCTTCCATCATCCCTGAGCATTGACCATGTTGACTGGGGCTGATAGAAATTGAAGCCCAACAGCATCTAGAGAGTGCCACATTGTCCCAAGGGTCCAAGAGACAGCCTAGTCTATGATACTGTTATAAGCTGGGGTGGGGGAGGAAGTAGGCTGTATGTGAGAGCCTTCTAAATCTAACCTGGATCCAGAAAATGTTAAAATATAAGCCAGGCTACCTTCTTGTGTTGAGGTGATAACCTGTGTGATGGGCCATTAAGGTAAACAAAGGAAAGGGGTTCTTTGTGAGATGAGTTGAAGGACAAATACAAAGTTGAAAGCTGCAGTGATGTGAGCTAGAAGCTAGAAGCCAGAAGGAAAGAAGCAAAATGCTTGTGAGAACCATGCCTAATTTCTGATGGCCGGCATTCAAGCCTGTGGCTATGGGATAAACAAAACTGTTTTGGGCTGATAATGTTGTGAGCTCCTCTATTGTAGGCTCAGGGTGTGTGTGTGTGTGTGTGTGTGTGTGTGTGTGTGTGTGTGTATCATATATATATCATAAAGACACCACAGTCTCCACTGTGGAGTAAGCACTTGGAACCCCTGGAATTACACACTACTTGGATATTGGTGTGGCATGCAACACTACAATATCCAAGTTTGGAGAGAAGAAAACAGGGAAACAAAGCTCACTCTTCTTTCTGCCCTTGTGCTCAGGCCTTGCTCCTACTTTCTCCAGGGCTGTGGCCTCCACCTGCAGCTCATACATCTGACGGAGGATGTTATGGTCACTGCCTCCCCCCTGCAAATAAGCCAGGTAAAGTGCCCTGCAGGGAAACACAAATGAATCATCAATTTATTGGTGCTATTGCTAGATTTTCTCCTTCTGACAGCATTTCAAAGTCTTTATTAGCTCAGGGTGGTGGTGGTGGGGAATCAAAGGAACTATTTTTCCTTGCATGAAGATGAATACAGCTGGGCTTGCTAAATACCTGTATTTCATGAAGATGTGCAACATGGTGGGGAAAAGGGACTGACTGTGCCCACTGGGAAGAAAGTTGTTTCCTCTCTCATCCATTGAAAAGTATCTGCTTCTCATCCACCCAGAGTAGCAACTTGCAACTGCAGAGCTTCCCAAAAGTGGGACAGAGAGGAATCCAGGAGAAAGCTCCACAGGCAACAAACAGTGAAAGATCTAATAAATTGAGAGTCAATTCTGTTTACAGAAAATATTGTCCCATTTAGTCTTGCAGCTCCCTCCCTACTCACTGTATCTCTGAAGAGAGGGGTCCAACTGCTGCTGGAAATGACATAGACTTGAAGACCTTTTTCTCTATGTTGCCCTCAGCAATGTCTGTCTGTCTGTTGATGGGAGATTTGGGTTTGCTTCTAAAAAAAACCCAATAAGGTGTGTGAGTATCATCTTACTTTTTTCAATCAGTGATAATACTTGCTTCCCACAATGCTTGAGTCATGGATAGACTCCCCAAATGGTCTTTTTGACCTTTTCTGACTCCCCTATTCCAACCTCAGATAGGGAATGATCTTAGGCTTCTCCAGCCTTTGATGGAACTCCATCCATTCCCAGAAATGATCCCTCTTTGAGCCTTACCTGGTCTCTGCTGATACCTGCAGGAGTTCCACTTGTTTCCGCAGAGCATCCAAAGCCAGTTGGTTTTTTCCCTCCTGGGTAGTCAACTCCACCAGCAGCTGTTCAATATGAGATGTAGCTGAGTTCCCTAGTTTCAGTTCAGACAGGCGCCTATGGATCTCTGGATAAACAGAAAATTTGACACACTTTATTAGAACACCTAGACCAAGTCAACATATTTCCAGAGGCTCCCTGAATTGGATTTCCATGCAAAATATAGATACATCATTTCTCTCCATTATCCTGTATCAGAGCCCTGATCTGCCCAGCTGGGAACACGTTATCCCTGGTGAATTAATATGCATCCTTTGTCCTAGTTCTCAGAAACACCTGATAAGGAAAGCAAACCTGCACTTTATATGTACTAAAGATTGCAGATGTGTGCTTATTACCGGTACTTAATACCCTACCCCCCCACCCCACTCTGAAAATAAAAGAAAAATCTTACATATAGAAAACTTGCATATCAGGGAGAAGGCTAGGGTATAAATATATTCCCTGAAATGATAGTCTTCTATATGCAAAATGGGTTTTGTGTTGTTGTTTTGTATGGAGGAGAATTCAGTCATGAAAATCTTCACGCACAGTCTGAAGTAGAACAGTCCGGACACAGGTTTACCATGTCATCTGCTGTTTCTGAGGACTTGGCCTATGCATCCTCCAAATATACGTAAGTAGACAAGAAAGCTCTCAAGTACAAAATTAGCTGTCGGTAGTATTTGTGGATGGGTCTAACTGCCTCCTTCCCTTCTGTAGAACTTGTGGTATCATGAGCCTTGTGTATCAGGCCTGGCCATTTGCTGGATAGTGGTGGCTGTTTGCTCATCTTTTATTGTTTTGAACTCCAGGTCATTCCCTTTACCTGAAGCAAGAAGGCAGTAATCTAGTAGGTACTCTCATTCTCTTACCATCCTTCTGCTGCTCCAGGTACTGGTTTCTGGCCTGGATATCTGCCAAATGGCGCTCATGTTCTTCTGCCATTTGCTGTTGGCGCTTCCAGTATTCCCGCTGGTGTCTGTCGTTATCCTAGGAGTCAAGGAAAGATGACAAGTTTGATATGTTTGATATGCCAGTGATGCAATGCTTCAGAGCTAAATGCCCATGAGAAATGGTATGTTGTGGTGAATTAATTGTAAATTCCAGAAGAAGTGATCTCGGCATGCCCTCTACTGAAAGCCTGCATGATTTAGTGGCAGAGTGCTGGGCTTAGATGTGAGAAACCCAGATTCAAATCTCCATTCAGCTTTGGGTAAATCACACTCTCTATCAGACTAGCCTACTTCCTCAGTGGTAAAGCTTAAAGCTGTTCTCTAAATTCCTTGTAAGGAAAGACAGGACACAGCCATTACAAAAATAATATCATATTGGAATGGATTTCAAATATTTATCTCATGAACAACTACCACTAGCATATAACACCCTGCTTGTAGGATTTGTATTGGCTACTAATCTATTACCAGGACAGGTTACTGGGAAGACCACCGTATTCCTTAGATCACTGTGATCAGTGGGAGAGTTTATCCTGCAAATTCCAAAGATCTCAGGTCTGCTCCACATTAACTCAGAGCAGAGCTTTTAGTGTTGCTCCCCCTGTTCTGAGCTATGATCTGCACTTTCTGGTCTGAAAATGGAACAGCACAGGAAGGAGCTCCCCATGGCAATGAGTTTCTGTAAAGTTGTTCCTCACACAATTCTGGCAATTTTAAGCACTCCACTGCAATCCAGAATTAAAATTGCTAGAAGCCTGCAACATTTTTTTTAGAAGTCTTTAATCACTGTTTTACCTCTGCCTGGAATGTCCTGAATGTAGGAAGAGTGTCTTCCAGTGACATCCTCAGTTTGTGGAACTGTGAAAGGGAAGAATTCCTTTAGTGATTTAGTGATTATTATTATAATTACTACTACAACTTATTACCCACCCTTCACCCCAAGGTTCCAAGGTGGATTACAACAGCTACAACACAATATTAAAAAGATCTTGAAACAACTTATTCAAGTTATGGGTGCTAATTAGGGTTTGTTTATTGTTTTATTTAAGGTTGCCAGCTTATTTTCTGGCAGGACTATTGTGTCTTCTGCTGTGTGTTAAGCAGAAATGATACAGGTGAAGCTTTTCCATCACTCTGTCTCAGTGACAGGAAAGGTTTCACCTACTGAATTTCTTACAGCTGTCCAAAGAGGCCTGCATTTCCATTGGCAATCTTGCTGTTGGCACATCATATAGAGAAAAGAGCTGGCTCTCTTCCATTCTTTTTTACTGTTGGTGAACACAACGCTAATAGAATTTCAGATGGAACTCGAGAAAATCAACACTAGTGGCCAAATTCTCTGAATCTATAGGCCAATGTTTCATACAACCTTTTCCATGCCAATGTTACTAGTTGACCTTTCTAAGCCTAATGGTAAGTTTGTCAAATGCTCTGAAAACACGTCTAGCGGGAGACTGCAGCTTATTGTCCCTTAGCTCAACTGAAATGTTGGGGTGAGGAAGCTTTCTGAAATGCTTGTAAGAAGTGCATAAGCTGAAAGCTAGACTTGTGGTGCTGTGCTCAGATGATGAGCCCTTTGTTTCATCAGCTCAATTTTTCATCTGTGGTGACAAAAAATAAAAAGGCATCAGAGATGAGGGGAAATAACCTAAGTGTTTGAATGAATTAACTACTAAGTAAAGTAGTTTAGAATGGAAGTACTGTAAACAGAGAATCTATGATGGAGCAAAGATCTGCGCTCTTCTCTTCTTTTCTGCAGTACCTCTTCAGTCAGTTTCTTCAAGGCCTGGCTGTCTGAAATACTTCCTTTATGATCAAAGCTTCTGGAGTGGCGTGCTTGTTCCTCATATTCCCCATCCAAGTGATGCTTCTTTGTTTTTGGTGCTTGTAGCTGATGATGCTGTGCCATAGAAACCACCACCCAGAAAAGAAAGCCAATAAATGAAAGGGGGTGTCAGGAAAATATATTGTTACTCAAATGCAAATTCATGGAAGCTAAAATATCTAAACAGAAGGCTTCAAAACCCTCTCAGTTCATGAAACACCTCGAAACTGGGGTGGGGGAAAATCTAGGCACACCTTCCTCCTCCTTCTGCTGTATGTGTACATACACAGGAAAAAGTTTAAAATATTGATGGCTTTTTGGTATGACTGGAAAAGCCTTATACGCCAATGCAGTCAGCAAAATTGCAGCACATAACTTTCCCCCTCCAGCACACAAGCTAGTAGGTCCCAAAATGTTGGGGGAAAGTCTAACAAACATTGCCAGGTCTTTACCATGCTGTCCGGAGTCTCTGCTTTCTTAGGTTCTTTCCCCTTACAGAGGGCTTGCCTGTTTCGGTATCTGGCATCAGATGCAGTCTCCTCTCCAATGCAGAATTTTTCCATGTGCTTTTCTAGCAGCCGCCTGGAGCGGAACCCCATCCCGCAGTTGGCACAGTGGAAAGCCACCAGATCCGTCATCATGAGGAGTGACTGCTGCTGCTGTTCCACAAAGGGTGGTGTTTATTTGGAAGGCACTGGGCACTTGTTCTTCCTTGCAGGAAAGGACTACAACAGCATATGGAGTTTCTATAGTTGCTATGCTGGTAAACTGGCAGGTGGTGCTAGCCAGCCAAAATGATGCAGCAAAGTAGCCCAGAGTGATTGGAATAATCACCATGGCAGTAGCTACTGTTTATGTTTGCTGTTACCTAAGATCTGTTAAGGAGAGGAGATCTGTGTGTGCACCTGGTCTCTATTTGCTTTTTATATTTCTGACAGGGCCCTTTCTGTAATAGCACTGTGTAATATCTGGCCTGGATTGTGTGCTACTGCAAGCCTAATCCACAAGCACTTCAATAAAAATGTTTATGTACATATACTCCATTCCTAACCATATGTACAAAGTGGAAAAAAGTTTATGACATGAAAAGGTGTAGTAATAAAAAGGCCTAAAGTAAATGCAATACATAATATTAACCAAATCAGTAAGAGCTGTTACTGGGAAACTCGTAAGTGCAATCTGAGAATCCAAGAAGGAGCTGAGTCTATAATACCTGGTTGGGGTGTCAGCCACCTCCCTGCATCAGTCACTAGAGGGGAGGGACAGTTAAGGAGAGTGTATGTTCTTAAAGCAATTCCATTCTTCTTCTTCTGTTGTTTATATGCAGGGCAATAAAGGCTGTCTCTACACTCCGGCATTCGTGCATACATGGGTCTGTTTCCATGCGCACATTTGTGCGCCTTTGACTTGGAAAAGGTTCAGAAAGTGGCAACCTAAATGATAAATGGGATGGAGCAACTCACCTGGGAAGAAAGGTGGCACAGCATTTGGGACTTCTTAGTTTAAAGAAAAGGTGAGTAAGTGGTGACATAATAAAAGATTATAAAATTATGCATGGTATGGAGAAAAAGGATAAAGATTTTCTTCCTCTCTCATAATGCTAGAACTCAAGGACATCCAATGAAGCTGAATGTTGGAAGATTTGGAACAGATAAAAGTAGTTTAAATATGCAGCACATATTTAAACTAAGGAACTTGCTCCCACAGGACGCATTGATGGCCACCAGCACAGGGAAAATGTATTTATGGGGAGTGTGATAACCCTAAAAGAAAGTGCAGAAACAGACACCAAGTACTGGTATCATAGAATCATAGAAATTGTAGAATTGGAAAGGACCCCCAAGGGCTATCTAGTCCAACCCCCTGCAATGCAGGAATCTCAACTAAAGCATCCATGACAGGTGGCCAGCCAGTGCTAAAAACCTCCAGTGAAGGACAGTCCACAACCTTCTCAGGGAGTCTGTTCCACTGTCAAACAGCTCTTACTGTCAAAGTGCTTCTTGATGTTTAGTCAGAATCTGCTTTCATGTAACTTCAATCCATTGGTTCGGGTTGGCAACTTTGTTATTGCTGAGTTTGAGACTAGAATTTGAAAAGAAATTTTGTTGGCAAATATATATTTTTAGTATGAAATCCTCTTTTTGAAAAAGGGCATTTTTTTTCTTCCTTGGAGATGATAGATTGAAAAGAAACTAATCCTTAGTGTGTTGCCATAGCCAAGTGAAGATTTTTATGGGGCCTTGCTACTTCCTGCGTGTTAGTTACATTGCTCACTACGTAATTATCCAGTGGTATCATTTTTCCAAGTACTGTATGTAGAAAATTGAACCACCATTATGAACAAGACCCAACAAGTCTGTAGCAGAAAGGGAAGCCGCTGACAGATATGGGCATCCAGGCGCTGCTGACGGCTTGGGTGAGGGCGGGGCGTAAAGCAGGAAGAGTTTGTGAGCTTATTTTGCATTTAGTCACAACCATAATGCAGTGCGCTGAATTAATTCTTTTATCTGTATTTTCTGTTTATTTCTGTTGTGAAATATTACATGTGCTGGTTCTAAAAGCAAGTAGAAATTCCGGAATATAACTCATTGTTGAAAAGCAAGATTTTAACCCTTGGTTTAAAGGAGTTGCTGTCACCTAAGAAGCAGGCGTGGTTACTCCAGCAAATCTACCACGGGGCTTAAGTTTATACTCTGGTTTCTCTTCAGATCGTATAAATCTTTCGCCTTTTACTAAAGATTTCCGTGGAGAGGAACAGTTATGAGTTTACAACTAATTTTTTGAGGCCCCGCTTCGGTGGGGCTACTTTTTTTGCTGTTAAAAATAGATTTGAATGCTTACCAACTTCACAAAAATTAACAGGCATAAAACAGTGTTGTTAAAAGTATGATGCTGTTCGTTTCTTTTAATGCCGACCCATAGCGCAGTTTTATAGGTGTTTAGGCGGAAGTAAGAATTTAAAAAGTCTGCTTATTTTGAAGTTACCGGTAATTACGATTTACTGTATATCAATGAATGAAGGACTGTCGGAAATGTAGCGTTCTGATCGCTAGCCCATCGGACTTGGGGAACCCTGTGCAAATGCCCCCTCCGCCACAAAACTCCCTCGGTGACATTGGGCTTGTGTCTCTCAGGCAGCCCATCTTATAAGGGTGTAAAGGGAATAAAAACGGGTGGCGGGGTGCCTGAGCTTGAAGGAAGAGCGGGATAAAATGCCATGAATACGATATGTGCATAATATTGAATTTTGGCAATCGTCACGAGATTCCCATAGATTCAAAAAAGGAAAAGTTGTATACCAAAAGGCAAAAATAAATGAATCGGGAAAAACGCAAAAAAGGTTGAAAACGGAAAAGTTAAAAATTACGAGATACCAATTAATCTGCACTAAAAGACCCCGTCATTCGTCTACCTATATAGCTGCTTCTCCATCACAAGAGAGGCCATTTCCCCCTTAGAACGCTCCTCCGGGTAGGCTCCATGTCATTAACTTTGGCTTGCACGTCATTTTCGGAAGTGTAAATCTCCAGAAAACATGGGGAAAGAATTAGGGGGCGGACGCCGCAAGTCGTGCTGGTAGATGTAGTTTTTTTGTAGGCATTTACGTCACCTGACAGACGTAGCTTCCCGGCAGGCTTTGCGGCGCGCCCCGTTCAAAACGGCGGCAGTTGCTTCGCTGCTTCTTTTCGATACCGGTCTGTGAAGTGAGAGGTGCTCCTTTTTTTTGCTGACGCTAGAGAACCAGACTTTTCCAGTACTATGGACGCAAGCGTTTATAGATGCCTTCAGCCCGGGTTAGTGATTAATATTCAGCGTAGTAATGGTAAGTAAAGGACCAGAGCCTGACAAAAATCGCGATCTGTTTAGGTGTGTCTTTTTCCTCTTGCCGTAGCCAAAGTTTTCAGCCTCTTCTGGGGTTTTGTAGAATTAATGCGCATGCGCTGCAGTTATCCTCGCCTTCCTTCTGGCGTGCAATGGAACTTACTGATAGGAAGGGACCCAGCATATAGCCAGATAGAGAAGCCCCTGCTTCGTTTTCATTTCTTTATCCAGTACTTATCTCCCACCCTTCTTCTGTCATGGAAGCCAAGAGGGCGTTACACGCTGTTTCCCGGTGGTCTCCCATCCTGGCACTGACCATCCACAGTCTTGTTTAACACAAGGTTCCCTCATGCAGTAGAGCTGCCTCAGACGTTGCGTAGCTGAATACAAATCTGGTGAAATTCTTTCCCTCCTCGACACTCCAATGCTAATAAGATGAGGCGTTTCCGTTAGTAATTTGAGTTCCAGGCTGTTAAGGGCTTTATAGGTGAATAACATAACTCTGAATTGTGCATATAAGCTAACAAGCTGCTAATGCAGCTATTCACAGGATCACTTTGCCTCAGTTTATAGTGAACAATTAGTTTTACGAAATGGTTTAATGACTTTTTCAAACAACTTTTTACATACAATTTTTCCATTTGAGGGCCACATTCCTTTCTGGGCAAATTTACAGGGGCCAGAGGCATGGGGATAGCCATGGTTTATGTTAGGGGGACAGACTTTCTGGGGGGGCAGAACTTTGGTTAGCTAAGTATTTTTATTGATTTGCTTGTTTTTTGGGGGTGGAGGTGCAAACCTTGGCCAGAGGCAAAAGTGGACAGATAAGAATTTGGAACCCTTTGTACAGCAGGCTATATTCCAGCCACGCAAAAGCTAGAGGTTTGTCTATCCACACATGCTTTTCTGGATTGAAAGATTTGTGCAAGAGTATCACTTTCAAGGATACATTCCAGCCAGACAAAAGCACTCAAAGTGGGTACCAAACAGAGCCTGGGGAGAGTCCCAAGGGCTGGTTAGAGAAGCTAGGAGAATCACCTATGCCCCCCTTGGCTGGGGATTCCGCGCCTCTTCTGCAGACACTTTTCTAAAATAAATTTTGACCTTTGGATATAAGAAGGCATATTCTGTTGGTAATGGTACTACCTGGAAACTATCAACAATAGCTAGCAGAGGTATAACTAACTGTGTTTTGGGGGAGGGGGGTGCCAAAAAACTACTGAGCTTCTCTAGGAATAGTAGTAGGGCTGGGCCATATATTGATACATCATCTAAAACTAGTTTGATGTTCATATTGTGATATATGTTTCAAAATTTTTCACCTGGCAATATATTGCGAATCATGATGTGTCTGTGTGTGCATTATGCAAAAATCATGATGCGGGAAGAACTGTGAAGCCAGTCAATGCCTCTACATAGCTCCATCCTTATTTCAGACTGTGATATATCCTTATTTCAGACATTGTGATATATCATTATATCATTCCTACATCGTAGGCCATGTTAGTATGTAGAAAATGGTTTTGTCCAAGTTGGTGTTAAGCATAAGCAAACTTATTAAGACTGTCAAGGAAGTGACCCAGGGGGAAGAGAAAGAATTACTGCAAAAAAATTATATTACCCAGAACTGTCTCTCAAAAGAGGGCAGCAAATCGTTACCGATGGTACTCCATTAATACTTTTCTGCTTAGAGTGGAAGCTCACAGACGTGTTTGTACTTTTGTGACAAGTTTCACATTGCATGTTTCGGATTAGTTGATATTTCAATGCATCTAGTTCCTCTGTGGTTCTCTGATTTGAGGAAACTAGCCTTTTTTGAAATGATTTCCCCCCCTATTCAGGTGCAGTCCATGGTGCCACAATCAAGGCAGTGAGTCTGGAAAAAATGGTGGTATCTGTAGAATGGACAGAAAATAACACTGTCAAAGGGAAAGAGGTGAGAATTTGAAATATATCCCCATTCTTTACTTATGCAGTCAAGCAGCTGAGGCTAAGAGCAACCCTAACCCCTAGATATGCTGGCTGAAGGGAGTTAGGATGAGGTGCCTTTCCTCTGGTGAGCAAGGTGTCTAAGCTGCAGACCATAGCTATGGCCACAGAAAGCTCCACAGGTTGTTTAACTGCCAGAGAATAAGAAGTAAAATTCCAGATTCTCCCTTCACTTGCCCGGCCTGTACAAGTTGGTAGACTTTAGAAGTGGCAGATTGTCCATCAATGCATTCCCTCTCCACTCCACCCTCCATTTAGGATTGGTAGTCCAATACATGTTTACATATAAGTCCTATTGAACATAATAGGGCCTATGAGCTATTGAGGTGCATACAATTCAGCAATGATTCTCCAGCAATACCAATTGCCTGTTGGCTCCTTTTAGACATATGGCTAGCCACTGGAAAACAGAATGCTGGGCTGGATTTGCCTTTGCTTTGATCCAGCAAGGCGCTTATGATTTAGTAGACATCATATAAACCATATATTTGGAAATCTTCAATAAATGTTGGTTTAAAACCTACCTCCTGCATCATACACGTGGTGCTTTTTTGTCCAGAATTAGTAAGAATTCCAACTCTAAAAACCCTTTTGCATGTCTTTGAATGGATATTTGTAGATATGCCAATTAAATAAATCATATCCTGCCTTACCACCATATGATCCTCAAAAATAATTCCTTCTCTACCTCCAACATGATTTTTTTCCCCATTTACCATTCTTTTTCCTTGTGGGAGTCCCACCTAAACTGCACAGTGTGGTTTTCTAGGATAGTGCTTGACTGACTTTTTTTTTAATTGAATTTTATAATTCATCTGCGTCTGTAAAATGTATTATGCAAAGCAAGAGTGCATTCTGGGATCTTACCAATTAAGATGTTGCTGTATTAAGTGATCTTGATGTGTATTATTAAGAACATAATATCTATTATGTTGGATGAAGTGAAGGACTAACATTCTCTATAAAAATTATCCAGTAGATCATGGCCTACCTTCAGCCTACCCTGATAAATGGTGTATAATGCAGAAATGGTCCTAAAAATGACGACACCCTTTTGCTTAGAAAGTTGTATCATATACGCTGCAAAACTAATTTACTCATTTGGGAGTAAGTTGTGAATATATTGAGCTCAGTAGAGCCTAGCTTTTGAGTAAACATGACTAGGATCAGGCTGAATGTTAGCCAATAAGTTTATATACTAAACACCTACTCAGAGCTTTTTTTGTTAACCACAAAACAAACTCTTGTTGTGTTAAATGAATAAGGCAACATTTCCCAACATGGTGTGATATGTGTAGAAGCTGAGTAGTTGATCTGGAGACTTCAAATTCATACTTCCTACCTGCTCTATGGGTGCCTCTGTAGCTCAGGAAAATGACTGTTAGAATATTGCAGCACTAGCAATAGGATTATGATGTCATTCATAAGGTAAAGCAGATGGGCTGTGGGGCATGACTTATTCACTCTACCTCTGCACATTCACAAAGCTAAGAGGGAGAAATCAGTTGCATAGCCTAACTGATTAGTTTTAGATTAGTAAACACTTCATTTTTTGGAATGACAGTCTAAGAATTTGTTTCAGTAAGTAATATTTGCTTTACTAGGAGCTTACAGCGGAAATCAAGGAATGACTGGGATGTACTAAGATTAGCTACTAGAGATTAAAGCATTTGTAGTAAATGGGCTTTGCTGGTGTCTTGTGAAATAAGAGCCTCCTGGAACACTATATTGGTGGGCAACTTGTTTTATATATCAATTTATGAGAGCTGTGAATTCATTGCTCTAAACTGGTCATGCCAAACAAATTGCTGACTGGTGGTCCTGGTGCTTAGGCATGCGGTAGATTGCTTAACATATACCCTTAAGGCTGATGATTAATTATGTGGTAAATGGCTCATCCTGTGTTTTGTGTCTGTTTTCCCTTTGCAGATTGACCTTGATGATGTGGTAGCAATAAATCCAGAGCTGTTTACATCTCCAGTTGTTGCTGCTGCGAAAGAAAGCCATCTTGCCCAGGAGAATGTAACCACACAGGTAGGTTATCCTGGAGTTTTTCCTTTGATTCTTGCCAAGCAGCAAGAATCTGAACTTACTGAATTTTAAAGATGGGTTGAAACTTCATGAGTTGTTTTTATATCTTTTAATATTTTACTATTTCATGCTTGCCTCTATATTGATTTGAGGTCTCAAGATATGGATTAACAATGCAAAAGAAGTTTACGTCTTTCAGCATTTTTAATTCTTTTTTTAAAAAAAGTATACAAACAGCATCTCTATTCATGTACTTTCCTGGGGATAATTTCTGATTCCCCCCCCCCAATGTCTTTATTCTATTATCCTCTAAAAGTGCTAATTGAAGCTTTTCTGCATCCATGTTTTAATAGCAGTTATATCACCTGAACAGTGGTGCTGGGGGGAAGCAGTATGGCCAAACTCTCTTGTGATGGAGGAGCAAGACATTGGGTAGAGGAGCCCTAGGGATACGGATATGCACACTGCCTCAGAGGACTAGGAATGAGGCAATGACAATTGAAAGGGAAAATATGATGGGCAAAGGAGAGAGATGGTGGGGCAATATGTAGAAAGAGTATTTTGGACAGAGTGTTAGCTTAGGCAAATGGCGAGACGTAAAGCTAATGGAACCATGTCCAAAAGCACATGGGGCTTCTGTGTCAGATAATTGCCAAGAGGGAGGAAATTGTAGGACCTGCAGCTTTTCCTGAAGGCCTGGGTTTGAAAATACTGGTTTTTCTTTTGTTCTTGGACATACAGAAGCCCCTGCTCTCCACTGCTTTGTAGGACTGCCCTACCTGAAGCTTTCTACCACTGTCCAAATTGCCTTTTCCCATGCACTTGTTGCTCTATTGTCATTATCTTGGATGATTTGCCCTTTCACTTCACTATGGCTTATGTGCAGTCAATTTCTGCAGCTTACCCTGTGCACATTATCATATAGTCCAGGGGTAGGGGATTTTTGGGTGAGTGGTCCATTCTGACAGATGGGAAGGGTTGCACAGCTGTCAATCACTTGACATCATATAATGTCAGGTGATTTAAATATAAGCCTCCAGAGCAGGTACAGGCTTGATGCTCGCACTTGTTGTTTAGTCGTGTCCAACTCTTCGTGACTCATGGACCAGAGCACGCCGGGCACTCCTGTCTTCCACTGCCTCCCACAGTTTGGTCAAACTCATGTTGGTAGCTTCGAGAACGCTGTCTAACCATCTCGTCCTCTGTCGTACCCTTTTCCTAGTGCCCTCCTTGTTAGGAAAATACAGCAGCAAAGGCTTGTCTATTATGTTAGCACTGCTAGTGCAAGGATTTCCACTTGCCCAATGGAACTGTCCCTCGTTTTCCTCCCCTCTGCTCTCTCTCCCTGAGCCCATGTCGAGGGTTGGGGGAACCCCCAGAGCTGATTGCAGGAGGTGGATAGGGAGAGGAGAGAGAAGGGACATTTGTTGCACAGCCAAAAGTCCCTGCACTAATGGAACTGTTCTGTTGAATGCTGCATGTAATAAGTTTCTTTTTAAGACCACATTTGAGTTCTTGGGTCTCTCCTAGAAGTGTATCATTATACAGAGAAACATGTGGTTTTCAATTTTTTTGGTGTTCGCCTTTGTTGGTAGCAAGTTCATCCAAATATATTTTTCAAGCAGTCCTTTAGATCATAGTCATGATTGCAAAATGCTTAGTCAAATTCTTATTTTCTCTGCACCCTTAAGACTAGATTCTTTGGCTGCAAATACTTGAGGCTGACTCATCTGATACTATAGTGAGCTGCTTTGAGCTCAGCTTGGTTGCTGGAAAAGCAGCATGCAGATATAAAACCAAGTTCTGCATTCTGATTTGATAGTTTTTTGTTGCATTATACCTACCTAGTGAGATAGCAGATAGGGCCAGTTAATATAAATGAGGCAGAACAATGTCTTTTAAAACTTAATCCTGTCAAAACTTCACCATCAATAAATTAACCATTTCTTCTGCAATTTTATATTGGTTATTTCCCTAATAATCTCTGAGTTTGATGACTTTCTTTTTTTAAGTAGCATTCAGTACCCCTCCTAGCATACATGTTAAAATCTTGCTGTCCATATTTAATAGAAGGCAGTATTATACAGCAGAAACATCATCTGGTTTGGGAATTGAACTTAACTTTTGCTTCATTCATAGGAATGGTCGGGTGAGAAAAGTGTGGTTGTATTCAAGTACAGTACTGTATCTCCTTTCATAAATGGAAGGGGCTGATATCCAGCAGTACCTATTGGCAAAACAGTATAGTAGTGCTTTTCACTAATTCCCACTTCTTGTTTCTGTACCACCTACCACCCTATTTTGAAAGGTCCCCTCAACTCTCTGGTACATCTTTACAGCAGGTTGCAGAGGCAGGGAAGGAATTTGTATAAATCTCCCTCCCACCCCCTTCAGCAGGAGCACCAAGCATATGAAAACAAATCAGCCAAATAAAGTGTTGGTGGTTCTTTAAATATGTTATAAAACAGGCCAAACGGTTTTAAGCATTTGCCAAACTATTTGTAATGACAATTAGGGAATTTTATGAAGATAAAAATGAAAATGGATTTCTTCACTGTAACAAAGCCCTATTCTATTTTCAGTTAGATTATTTGTGTACCTGGTTTCTGTATGGTATCATAAGCATGGTTTGCACATGTTCCTTTGCTAGTGTATCCCTCTTCTCAAGAGCTAATTTTCAGCTAGCTGTTGTTTACATCCCTATGTAGGAAGGGAAGTACAGTGGTACATTGCAAGACGAATGCCTCGCAAGACAAAAAACTCGCTAGACGAAAGGGTTTTTTGTTTTTTGAGCTGCTTCGCAAGACGATTTTCCCTATGGGCTTGCTTCGCAAGACGGAAACGTCTTGCAAGTTTGTTTCCTTTTTCTTAACACCGTTAATACAGTTGCAACTTGACTTCGAGGAAAAACTCATAGAACGTGGTGTGGTAGCCTTTTTTGAGGTTTTTAAAGACTTTGGTGATTTTTGAAGCTTTTCCAAAACTTTCCCAACACCGTGCTTCACAAGACGAAAAAAATCGCAAGACGACAAAACTCGCGGAACGAATTAATTTCGTCTTGCGAGGCACCACTGTATAAGCCTTTTGAATTGCCTTATGTTGCCAGATAACTATAATTGCATTATTAACTAATCAGAAGCTAAATTCCTGTGGGAGGCCTTTGATGTTTGATAAACATTGCTAGTAGTTTTCCAATGACATTCAAGTTAACAGTTAAAAATCCATTGAAATATTTAGCTGTAATCTACTCTCAATCTGCCTGGCTCAAATTAGCCAATCTGGTTGTCCTAAAATTCTTTTTGATTCATATTTTGGGGAATACACAGAAATTAATAGAACATCTAAAATTTTCTGAGTTTTGTAATTTTTAGATTATGTATTTCTATGTTCTCTACAATATTTGTAAGTTGGCAGTTAGCAATTCTCATTAAAACAATTCCATTAATATTCCAAATTTATTATGTTGCAAAGTGGGGTCTGTGTTAATATTCAGTAGACTACAATACTTTTTTTTTACTTCAGAGGCAAACCCGCAGAACAACACTCTCAAAAATTCCTGCTCCGAAAGAAGGTAAAAACAAATTTATTTGCTTTGAAATATTATGAATAGTTTTAGCCCTCTATTGGAAAAGAACTCTGTACGCTGCATCTGATTTTGAAGCAATTTTGTCTCAGATTTACTTGGTGACTGGGAATTGGAAGACATATGAATCCTAGTAAATGTATTACAGAGCCTGATTCTCCCCTCACTTCTTATTTTTGGACGTTCTATATAGCCACTGTCACCTGTAGCTTTGACCCTGCAGGTCTATCCTGTGCTTATGCCTCTTCTCCCTCAGCTGCCCATACAGAAGTGTCATGATACATGCTTAATATTAATAAGGACCCACTCTCTATATTGCAGTGGTGGTGTATTTTTTGTACTTGTAAGTTTTTAAAACAGGTTTTAATTTTGTACTTTGACTTATTGTAATCTGCCCTGGGACCACAGGGTGAAGGGCAGGTAGGTAATAAATTAAAATAATACTAATGGTTGTTCATCCCAAAGCATTTATTAGAACTTAAAAAAAATAAAAGTTTGGTTACTCTGTATCACAACAACTATATGTTCCGGAGGCGTTTCCTTTTCTGAATTATGTTCAGGAAATAAATCTTAGCAGTATCTTGTTGCCTCCATATTGCTCATCAATTCTGTGGTAATACTCCCTCACCTTTCCATTTTTGAAGTCCTTTATTCTAATTTAGGTTTTAGAAACATGTCTTTCTGAATACCTTATTAAAATTGCATAGTTTTCCTTCTCCTACATAGGCTACCTTCCCAGGTTGACAAGCCAAGTAAAACTTAGTTAAATACCACCCTTATACTGTTCTCTGGGGTTGTATTCAACTAACAGGATCTGTTAGTCGTGGCATTTAATTTCATTGGGTACTCCAAGTAAAAGTTAGTTAAATACAGCCTTTAAACTGGGTTTTACCAAACTGACCTCTAGTAGTTCCCAAATGCTTGCTGAAGTTGTATTGTACTGCTTTGTGCACACACAAAAATACACAAACATTTTTGGAGTCAATTTTGCTGAATATTATTAAGTTGGTAATTGATGGCACTTTCCCCTTGCTTCCTTAGTACTGCGATCGCAAGCTAGCAAGATGTCTGTCATAGCAGAAACTCAGAACAGCCCTCTGGAAAACGATATGGAGGTGGAATTGCCTGCTCCTGTACGAACACGAAGCCACTCTGCTCTTCCTGGTGAGTAGGAATAAGTACAATACATTATGATTTTGCATTTGTATCGCACAAGTGTTCACGGGTAGAGCAGCTCTCACCTATATGCATAAAAGGACCTTGTAAATTTACAAACCCTCACTATTTCTTGTGTTGCCTTGAGTAATGCTTTTAACCACTGATTTCCCGTCTCAACAGTTGTACGAACTCGATCTAGGGTCAGCTATTCTACTGATCGATGTAATGTACAACCAAATGGCAATGAAATGACAGAAGACACTCCACAGACTTTGAGAATGGTCTCTGTTGCAATTCAAGGTAGGAATATAGTTCCCAGCTTGCTTCATGGCTCTTTAAATCAATATCTTCAATAGCTTTGTTTAGTCTGGTAGAGAGCTTTGTGCTACCATCTTAATGGAGGTTTGAATATAGTTGAGGATGGACACTAAAGCTTAGGTTGAACTGGTCTTCAGTCTTGAATCCAAGCTTAAATAAAAGCTTAGTTCCTGAACACAGGAAGTAGTGTTTCAAATGTATTTTGGCATTTACAGAGAGCTCACTATCAGCACAAGTTTCCATGCATCTAGCATTAGCAGGAAGGGCTTCCAGCCAAAGTGGATGACTTCCAAGGAGACTTGAAGAACCTAAACACTCCTGTTGTCTTAAATATCACCTATGACTGTAGAAATTTACGCAACAATAAAATGATACATCTCCTGATTTTTATTTTTGTTTTAAGACTGCCTCTGGGAGACTTGTGGACAGAAGATCAGTTTTTTGATGTAGGCCATTTCATTTCAGTAGCAGTAATAACATTCTTGCTTCTTCTAGCTCGTAGGAAATCTAACATTGTAAAAGAGATGGACAAAATGAAAAATAAGAGGGAAGAGAAAAGGGCCCAGTTCTCTGAAATAAGAAATAAGCGGGCACAGGTAAGAATGGGATACTTGCCTGTGAAACATTCTGCAGGATGTTTCATTCCATAGCTGTATCTTGGGTGCCATGCAGAGCATGGATATTCATCATTGTTCTCTATGTAATCTGACTAAAATAAGCAATTTAGCTTTTCTCATTGCATGGAATGAAATTAGTTCTGGTTTCTCAAAGTTAAAAGCAATTAGCATACCAAACTGAGTTCTAGATTTTTATTCCTTGTTCTAGTTTTGAAAGGTCCTTATGGCAGACACATTAAAGAAAACTGCCTGCGCAGTTTCTCTAAAACCTGTCTAAGAAAAAACTATAGTTGCTTGCCATACTTTAAGTATATCAAGACTACAATTAGACCAACTTAATGGAGAGCAGCTAGTTGGAACTTAAGAGCTCAAGTAATCTCATTTAGAAGTGGATGGGGGGGAAAGCTTTATAAAAATGTATATTGAAGCTTTAATAACAGTGGATGAAAGCATAAAGTGAAACTTTTGCCCCAAGGAAGACTTTTCCTACTCTCCGTACTTTATTTCTTAATTGGTAGTGTTGCACATTCTTAGGAAGAAAAGTTGCATAATTTTCTCTATAGCAAGATTGTAAGTTAATTACTACTTTGCCTTACAGGAATATGACAGTAGTTGTCCAAACTGGGATTTTGCACGGATGGTCAAGGAATATAGAGCCAATATTGTTTGTCAGTCGATATCAATGAATGACCCCGTAAGTAAATACTTGCAACTAACTAGCCACATTTCCCCCTCCAAGTGTCTTCTTATTTAGTATTCATCTTCAAATAAACACAATTATTGGTATACATTTGCTATATTTTAAGGAGGTAACAAATACTTTATGAACATCAAGATCTAGGAAACTGAATTAACTATTAAAGAATGGGACTCCACTTGAACTCTCAATGTATTATCTAGGATTATCAAAGTAATCTTGCTCATTTATTGATTGTATGTCCTGAAGAATTTTAAAATGGTGTCAAAGAATGTGCATTGAACATTAAACAGAGATCTAGTGCTCAGTGAAATAGGTAGGCTGCTGGATCATACTGTGACTTGGCAAATTATTAAAATTTTCACAAGTGATAATCACTCAAGGGAGTGGAACAGCTATCATTGGGCTAAAGTTCCACTAAGCATGTGACTTCTAGAAGTTCACACTGACTTTCTCTACTTGCCTGCTTTGTCTAGACAAGTCATATAAATGATATCTATTTTTCATCAACCTGATATATTTTTATCACATATAATGTTGATAAATGTGGTTATAGGCCTCCAAGAACACATGGTGATTTGTGGAATGATACCACTGTTTAAAAACTAGAACTACTTAAGTTAAATGATGTTAAATAGATATTTGGAACATCATGGGGGGTGGGTTGTAAAATAACAAAAATAAACTTTGCATGAATCAATGTTTATGACTAATATATATATTGCAAATAAAGAAAAACACAATGGAAAAAGATTTTTTAAAATTTTCATGACTGAGTTCAGTACAGGGTTTTGAAAAATGCTTTGTTGGGGCCATAGATGTTTTGTGGTATTTCACATTAACATTATTTGCATATATGCAGAACTATCTCGATAAGAAAACTGCATGTCAGGACTGGTCGTTGTCCTCTTCAGATCACCACCCAAACGCTTCTTGTTCTTTTATAAAACTTTTTATTGCGTATTAACAAAACATTCTTATAAACGGTTCTTAACTATTATTCCTCAGAGTCACTTATTTCAGATACCTTCTGAGCTCTGCTTCTCCATGACCAGTCACTCTCAAAATGGCGAAGGCGCCCTTCCCTTCGCTTTCCCGCTCTTTTTTCTAACCTCCTGGCTAGAGCTGGCTTGTATCTCCCCTCCTCCGAATCTGAGCTAGAACTGAACCCTTGCCTTTCCTGTGAACAGCCAGTCCCTCCCTGTTGTTCCTCTTGCTCTCTTCTGTTAGATTCACTGCTCTCCTTCCCCCCTTGGCGAATGCTTTCTCCCTCTGAGAAACTGGAAACTTCTAACTCTTCCCTGACACTGCACATGACAGCTGGTGCCATTCTGCATAGGAATGGGACCTTTGTTGGCTATATGACTTACTGAAAAAGGGCTAATATTGACAGTGATGTTACAAATCTTTATAACTGCAACAAAAACTCTTACTTCTTAAAACTTTCTTATACTAGGGAATTGCATTATATTGTTGGGTGTTGCAGAGTATCCCATCATCACCTTCTCTGATACAGCTTAGTGAATAAAGATGCCAAAGAGCTGGTCTTAATGTGAAATTTTCTTTCCTTTTTTAAAGATAGAAGAGCATAGAATTTGTGTCTGTGTGAGGAAACGACCCTTAAATAAACAAGGTAAAGTGGCATCTGTGGAGTTTAACAATTGACAGGTTGGTTCAACACTGTTCTTTACGCTGGATTCTGTGGAGAATATCAATGCAGAAATTATGGCAGGTTTCTTTCAGTTGGAACTTCGTTAGTGCTGAAAATGGTTGTCTTTTAAAAACAATGTCATGTATTTTGCTCCAATGAGGGAGGAATAAGATACCAGAAGACCTCTTTAGCAAACCTCTAGCAGGATGCTTGTACAGTTTGTCAACTCCCTCTAATGTTTAATTCTTTCAATTAACATTTTACTACCTCAGTGCTTCCCTTGTGCTGCTCATCTCCTATTAAAAATCCCATGCCAAGTTGTTCAACCTTTGCTTTCCTGGTCAGGTTGTCAGTTCCACAAAACACTGCAAATCAATAGGGTTCAACTTTATAGTGTGAACTACTTTTGTTTCCTAAACAGAACTTGGGAAGAAAGAGTGTGATATAATTACTGTTGCCAGCAAGAACAGCATCCTAGTGCATGAACCAAAGGTGAAGGTGGATTTGACGAAATACCTTGAAAACCAGGCTTTTCGATTTGACTTCTCATTTGATGAAAAAGCTTCCAATGAAATGGTTTATTGGTAATGCATGTCTTTCCTTTTCTGGCAGTGAATGAAGAGTACAGAGTTGTGACAGGGAGAGTTGTGACAGGGACAGAATGGGACAGTAGACGTGGAGGGCCAGTTCACATGTGAAGCTTCTTTCATGCAGCTGTCAAAGATTTTAACTCATACAGGCACTCCAGGCAGCAGATGCCACTTCAAAACACTTCATTGCCTCTTGTATAAGCTCATATCTGTGCATCATTTATATGCTGGCACTGCATGCACAGAAGTTGCTAAATAGGTGGGAGATCCTTACCTGGGGAATCTGCTGCTTGGAGCTCCTTCATGGGTAAGGGGCTTATGATGAGGCTTCAGTTGGGAGGTGGTGAATCTGAATCTGACATTCTGCGATAATTCCTCCTGAGGAACCAGAAAATTCCACACTAAAGATCAGTTAATACATTGCACAAAATCACAATTTCTTGTTAGGCATAACAACTGGAAATCCTTGATACTTGAGAAATAAAACATATTAACTACCTTTCCCAAATCTGTTCTCAGTGTTGGGAGCAGACACTTTATCCCCTTAGTATTTAATGATCAGTCTTTGTGGTATACAGGGAAGTCCTTTACGGCAAAGGTGATGAAGTTTCCTTGGCCAGTAGGCTAGATCTTTTTCTCCCCACACCTGGTGAGCCAAATCTGACATCACAATGATGTTGGTTGATTTTTTGCTATGAAACCTGAATTGTTGGGACTGTTTGAAAGCCCCTTTGCATTGCATGTTTGAAAAGTTGTGTGGGACTGTTTGCAAAAGGGCTTTCAAATAGTCTCTGCTGCTCTTGGAGCCAAACCAGAAGTTCAAAGAGTAGCACTGGGAGGGAGAAGCAGTTTCCATTTACGATGCTGCTAAAATAGAACAATTGAGAGTTCGCTTGAAGCTCCCAATTGTTATTTTGAAGCTCTGCCTTTACCTGCCCATACCTGCCATCATGCATGGCACTGGGTGCAGTGTGGGCAAGACTTGCCCAGAATGGCCTCACAGGCCAAGTGTGTTCTGTAGGTCAGAGGTTCCCCATCCCTGCTTATGGAAGTACTTGAGATGAGAAGGTTTTTCTAAGGCAGAGGTGTAAAGCTAGAGGGGCAGAACCCCTGTGCCTCACTCTTCAGCTCTAATGGGATTGTTCCTGTCCCCAGGGAGTAGACATAATTCTTTCTGCTAGGACTACAGCTATATCCCACTTTTAATTTTTTTAAAAAAGGTCACACAGCAGTTTACAAAAAAATGATATAAAACACAAAATCAGATGAATAGAATAACGGTACTGCTAATCAGCCCTCATTAACTTACCAATGCATCAGTAGCATGATAATACATAGTAGCAAAGGGTTCAGCAACCCAAGAGCTTCTGATAGCCCCTTCTAAAGCAACATTATATCTTGAGTGCTGAAAGTGTAGAAAGGTAGCTCTTGAGCCTAGTGGAACCTCTCTTATTCAGTCTGCAATGCTCTTGTGGTCAAGCAAATTTCTAGACTTCTGATCTTGTCAGTGTTTGAGTTATTAAGCTATAATGGAGTTATTTTTGTGGGTGCTCTTGTAAATGGTTTTATGGGGATTTGAGTTTTCAGAATTCACTTGTACTGTGATAGTTTCACTCATTCATTCATATTTTGCATTTTCCTGTTACGGTTTGACCAGGTTCACTGCTAGACCACTTGTGCAGACGATATTTGAGGGAGGGAAAGCTACATGTTTTGCCTATGGTCAGACTGGAAGTGGAAAAACCCATGTAAGTGTTTTGTTCTTGAGGGATGTGTGTATGTGTTGCAGGATATTAATGAACTTTTTCACTCTGACTTAGCTTGGTGAACTTAAGGCCCTATCACAGCATTTATCTATATAGCCATAGCTGCTGTACTTATGTGGCTTTTAAATGAGCTTTTGGGTGTGGGCTGCTGTTGCATGATCCTGCAGAGACTGAATTCCACTGCTTTTAAACATTGATTTTCTGTGCTTGCAAATACTGTAATCAAAGTTGCAGAAAATAGATTCCCTTATAACTGCTGAGAACCTGTCTCTTAATATATTTTCTCTTTCTAGACTATGGGAGGTGACTTCTCTGGGAAAGTGCAGAAGGCCTCTAAAGGAATATATGCTTTTGCATGTATGTACCATTTTCATTTGAATTTTATTTTAAAAGTTGGAAACATAAGGAAAAGTAGATTGTAATATGCAATCTATTGCATGTGTGAAGCTTGCTCTTCCAATTAAACTTTTTGTTAAATGATATACATTAAGTACTAATGTCCACAGCGAATGCTTTAGATAACCACTTTATAAGCTGTAAAAGAACTTCTAGAAAGGACCCTAAAGCACATAGAGCTCTTGATAATTATCCTGTAAATGTCTTTCCCTTACCAGCACAGGATGTCTTCCTTCTTCAGAACCAGCCAAGATACAAGGCTCTAGGTCTGGAAGTGTACGTGACTTTCTTTGAAATATATAATGGAAAGGTGAGGCCATGTGTATTTTTAAATATTCTTCATATCTCCTGAGATCTGAGTGTGCTGGAGATGAGTTGGTATCTTCTATAGATAATCTGGTGATGGCAGGGAGTATTAGACTAACATCCCCCTTCTGCAGCTGGGGTAGCCTAGCAGTGGTGAGAGGTGTCTTCTCATTATAAGCCATTTTAGACTTAGGGTTACAGCTTTGTTACAGTTTGTATAATCTTAAACACTGCTAAATGGAAATCTTTGAGACATTTTAAGAGCAGAGCACTTCACTACATTGCATGGTCTTGCACTGGGAATTAATGTTCACTTGGGTGAATCAAACAAGTCTTCTTAACCTGAGAAGATCGAGTCCTTTTGAGAATGAGATGTGATATACCCACTGCTCTTGAGGCTACACCACAAGCTACATAAAGAAAATGTGACCATCCCCAGTTAGGAGGTGAACATTCTTAAGAAAATGCAGGCTTTTGGAAGAGAGGTTTGAGCTCCTCTTAAGCCACTCCTCAGTTTGCATGCATTAGTTTCTTGATTTTAATACCTAGTGCAGACTCTACATTCATGGGAAATGTGGTGTCTGTGCTTGGTATAAGGTTCCTAGCCATGGGGAGTTTGCAGTGACATTCCAGTCCATTATGCATAAATGTATTGTACCCTTCTTTATTGGAAAGCTTTATGTTGAGGCTTTCATGAAGATTTTTAAAATATGTGAGACCTTTTGAAGCAGCTTTCTCAAATGCTACACTTCTAGCACCTGATCTTTCTGCAACTTTTTGTATTTCCCTCTTTTCCAATCCAGCTATTCGATCTCTTAAACAAAAAAGCAAAGCTGCGAGTGCTGGAGGATGGCAAACAGCAGGTTCAGGTCGTTGGACTGCAAGAAATGCAAGTGAACTGTGCTGAGGATGTTATCCGGATGATTGAGATAGGCAGTGCCTGCAGGTTGGTTGTGCTGCATGCTTAATATTAGTGCAGGATGTAGATGACCATTTATCATCTCCCCCTTAACTCTTAGGGAAAAGGAGCAGTTGACAATATATAATCAGTTTTACCTTTACTTAGAAGACAATTTGCAAGAAAGGGTGGGGACTATCCATAGCCTTTAGTCTTCTGGTGGTAAAACAAGAAGAACTGTATAGGAACCTAAATTTTGTACCAGTAAAACTGAACTTGCATGTTCTAAATTAACCTGCTTTTATTATAAACTCACTATTTTTCTCCAGTCTTTGAAACCTTAGGAGCTTTTTATTGCTACAAAAAGCAATTCCTAGAGAAAGAGATTCATAGATGTGGAGAGTTTGGAGAAAGTGACTGGGGACTGTGAAGGGAGAGTCATTCATGTCACCGGAACACCAAAACACTGAACAACAACAGCAACTGCTACTACTACTTCTTAAAATTTGTATACTGTCCTTCATTGGCAAATCTCAGGGTGGTTCACAACATAAAAATACAATATTAAAGCACAAAATACATCATAAGAACAAAAATCAACCAACCAATAGGCAAAAATCAACCAATGGAGACATTAGGCGTTGTCTCCAATCTTTTTGGGCTCCAGGGCACACTTACAAATCTAAAACTCCTGAAGACATGACAGAAGAAAAACTGGTAATGCTCAGACTCTTCCTCCATCAAATAAAAATCAGGCAACCTCCCCAAAACACTCTCCCACTAGGGAGGGGCAGAGGGGCTTGGTGGACACCAAGTGGGATGGATGTCTGCCATAATTCATATGGGTGCCTGGTTGGAGACCCCATGCTTAGATCCATGCAGATACTGCAAAGGCTAGTACCCTTTTAATATATTAAATTCACATTAGACTTGGAAGTAGAAGCATTAATTGGAACATAACAGATGAGGTACAAACAACACAAGTTATACTGACATATTCTGAGGCGAAGATACGGAACAGTTGGTATATAATTATATTTCATACCCATGATCTAATGAACACTATTATCTCTGTTGTAGGACATCCGGGCATACATTTGCAAACGCCAGCTCCTCGCGTTCCCATGCTTGTTTTCAAATTATTCTGCGCAGAAAACGAAAACTTCATGGCAAGTTCTCCTTAGTGGACTTGGCGGGGAATGAAAGAGGTGCTGATACCTCCAGCAATGATCGGCAGACACGGTTGGAAGCAGCAGAAATAAACAAGAGCTTGCTAGCACTGAAGGTACAGTGTAACTTCATGGCACAGGCAATAAGAGTTCGTGGCAGTTTTAGACAAGAGCCGAATAGACAGCTGATGGCATAAATCCAGGACTGGGCTACTTACTACCAGCCTCTTTAGCACTGTTTATTTGCCTGTTCAGTTCTGCAGACTTGGACAAACCAACCCAGGATGTATGGAGACAGATTTGCAACTCTTATTATAGAAGACACTTGCTAAACCTGTTAGTTATGACAAAGCTGTTTGGGGAGCTTGCAGAATAGCCACTGAAGAATAAGAGGACAAGGAATAATTTGTGAAAAGGAGCTCAGCAACATTCAGCATGGAAAGCTGTATTAGAAACTCACCAGGAGCCTGAGCATTGCAACTGACTTGCATAGACAGATACCAAAATGCCAAACTGCAGTGTCTATATTGGCTACCGCTATCTGGAAGTTAAATTAAAATGACTCTTGAACCTCCTTCCAATTCTAACTCTATAAAAGTTTGATTTGATTAAGTGGTTCAAAAAAGATTAGAAGCTATTTGTGATTTTTCCTGTCGCGGATATATATCATGATATATCAAGATATTGTGATATTTAGTTGGTGATATATTGTGATATTGAAAACCAGATATCACCCAGTCCTAGTGTACTCCAGTTGTGATGTCTGTTCTAAATAGTGATGTAACTTGCACACACACCTTTCTGGGATGTCTTTTTAGTTTTGTTCATAAAACAGAGCAAGAGGCCAAATTTACCAAACAGAATGTTGCTTTCTAGATAATCACTGCGAAGTAGTATATAACTGCTTTTCTTGAGGGGCTGTAGGTGATGAGCACTGCAAATTTTTTGTCTACTATCTAAAGAACAAGGCAAACAAAAGTTTTAAGTGCACCTGTGATAATATTTCAAAGTTACCTAAAGCAGGGCAGACTTGAGACACTGCAGGATTTCTTGCAACCTTTTCTTCAAAGGTGGGGAACCAATTGCCCATCAGGTGATGTTAGACTTCTAACTCCCATCAAGCCCAGCTAACATGGCCAGGGATGATGGGAGTTGGGTGTCAGCAACATCTGGAGCCACATCCTACTGTGCAATCCTAAGTAAGTGCTTAGAAGTCCACTAGGTTCTACTTAAGGTAAAAAAGTGTTTAGCTATAGCCATGATGGTGATGATCCTAAACACTGTTCAAATATGACTATTTCTCCTCCTATCCCCAGGAATGTATCCGCGCTCTAGGCCAGAATAAACAACACACACCTTTTCGGGAGAGCAAACTTACCCAAGTGCTGAGGGATTCCTTCATTGGAGCAAATTCCAGAACCTGTATGGTAAGTTAAATAGCTGGCCTTGTGATCAGAGAAATGGCAGGAACTTGCTGAAGTTACCACTTGATTTTAAATTCTTCTGTTTCTAGTAACAAGTAAAATAGCTATGCCAGTGTATCTTAAGAAAATTATACCCAGTTCTTGATTTATGCAGAAAGCCAAAACAAGCTTCCTGATCAAATATTTTTGTTGCACTGGTTCATGAGCCGGTATGTTGCAATCTAGAGCAAAGCTTATCAACATACAGATGTTAAAATTGCTCTCCTTCGGGGTCTTAGTTGCATTAAGGTGACAACCTAAACATGTGCTTGGAAAAAGCCTATAGATTTCTGTGGAGTCTAAATTCCAAGTAAATATGATGAAGGTGCAAGAAAACTTAAGGTGCTTCATTGTTGATGGGATCAGTGAAGCAGAACTGCTGGGACAGCATTGCAGGCTGGATGGATGTGACTGTAACTGTATAGAAAGTAAGAGATGAATACGGGTGGCTATTTTATTTATTTGCTTTCAGATTGCAATGATCTCCCCAGGCATGAATTCCTGTGAATATACCCTAAACACCTTGCGGTATGCTGATAGGTGAGTGATTTCTGGACTTACAAATCTCATCCTTAATACTGGGGTAAATTGTTGGTCATACAAGTGATCTTAGTCATGATGTATTTGTGGAAGGAAAAACTGTTTTAGAATTGCAGTTTTCAAATGGCCTCAGGCTTTCACTTTAAGGGTGGGATTCATCTAACAAGCACCACCTGTGGAAGCCCTACACATGAGCTTCAGCTTGTGCAATGGGGTGTTCCCCCTGTGGCCCCCAATTAATTGGCTTGTGGGGGTTGGGAGAACCTCCAGAACAGGGTGTGGGGGGACGGGGTATTGTTCTGTCTAGCAAGCTGGAATGCTTGCGCAGACAGAATGACTGGAAAAGTTCCACCCTCAGGCTTCACCTGTGTTGTATACAGGCCATTAAGTGATTTACCAAGGCTGGATTCTTCCCTTCTGTTCTCAGAGTGAAGGAGCTCCCTCACAATGGAACAGCTGGAGAAGCACAGAACTGCATGGAAACTGAAAATGAAGAGGTGGATATCAGTGAGGAAGAATCGGCCCACCTTCATGAGGTTTGCATGTGCTGAACAGGAGGGCAATCTGTTTGGCGAGTAGAGCTTAGTGAGGCTGTACTAATACTTTCTCTTGTCAAAACAACAGCTTTCTGATGATGAGCTGTCTCATCTGTCCAGTTTCCGTGAGGCTGTCACCCGGATAAGTGAGCTTGAGGAGAAGGCAATAGAGGAGCTTAAGGATGTCAGGGAGGTATGTATTGGTGGGTAGTGCACCAAATCTTCTTGATAGTCTCTGGGTTCAAGTGGCTTTTACTGTTGAAGAACTGAAATTGTGACGCTGAAATGATGCTTATCCTAGATCAAGGAGCATGCAATAAGATTTCAGTGCAAATTTTAAGCCAATATTTCCAGTAACATCAGTTTGTTCCATAATTGTAAGAGAAACTCCTAACTTTCCTCACCTTTCGTACTCAGAAAATGAACGACTGCAACTGTCTCCTGGATATTGCAGAACAACCAGAATATGACCTGGAGGCATTTGTGTATCAAGCCCAGTGCTTCGTAAATGAAGGATCCAAAAATTTCCTCCGCCTGAAAGGTACTGGAGGGTGCTGTATTTCACTAACACACTGCAGGAAGTAGCATAGAAATTAAAATGCTTGGTGCTTTTAGGAGTTGGCTTTTCAACTTCCCTGTGACAGAATGTTCAGCTATGCTACGAAAACTGCCATTTGTATGTTAAACACTGCATAGAATATAGAAGCAATGCAGTTGCTATCCAAAATTGCTTGCCACATAAGATGATGGAGGCCAGGGAGAGATATAAGGCTTTACCATGATTAGTGGTAAGGAAAGGAGAAGGTAAAATGTAGCTAGGGTTGTCCAGAAAGTACAGGCAACTCTCAATTTGCGTGAGAGTTGTGTTCCTGGCCCCCACGTGCATTGGTGGAGCACGTATAAGCCTGCCCCTATTATGCCCTTTTCCATGTCCAAAAGGACTCACGCGTCAGTTGACTGCCTGCAAAGTGGTTGCTTCCTGTACTGCATAGAATCAGATGATGTGTGGAGACTTAAAATGGTTTGAATAGAAAGACTTCTATTCTAGGCAAAAGGCATGAATGAAATAGTAGAAGATATGAAGAAGTTAAAGATGTCATGGTCAGATGGGCACAAGACCTCGGGTATAGTACCTTATACCCCCCAAATTGGCTAAAATGTACCAAAACACCAGTGGAGAATGTTGGAGGAATGTTGCGCACCTCTATACTGTACTTTCTTTCCGCTTTGATTAGGAGCTTTGTGGTGCTAAAGTGTAGACTTGGTGGGCAATACCGTGGTTTGACTATTGGACTGATTAAACACATGGTGTGTGATTCCCAGGAATACATTGCCACAGGCTGGAAGAGAATCACCACTGTCCTCTTAGAGGACATCCTTGGAGAGGAAGGGGGGTCAGTATGGAGCTGCTTAATTCTGGAATGCTGTCCTTGTAGGAGAAGTGTTCAGTGTGGGGCGTGGAATGTGGGGTGTGGAATGTAAGAGGTTGCACTGTTACTGAGTGAAGCAGTTGCACTGGGGTGGGTTCATGCATTGCTGTGGAGTGTTCCTCAGTTTTCCAAATGTGCCCATGGGGCCCCAAAATGTTGATAACCCCTACACTGTACTGTGATGTTCCAGAACTAAAGGAATAGGCATTTTACAAAGCATTCACTAGGTGGCTCTCTTTGCAAACATTACAATCCTGAGGCAAAAAATTAGTTTCACTTTTGTTTTCAGTCATACACAATGCTATTTTGCCACAAGATATTTTTCATATACTTGAATGGGACAAGACAGCAATGGCTGACAGCAAGTCCTGGAGAGACTGGCTGCACAATCTGAATTCCAAATAGGAACTCCATAGTGCTGCTGATCCCTGCCCAAAACAGGACTTGCTGTAAGCTCCAATCAGCTGATTGACAATTAGAGCAAGGCCCTTGGGTATTGTTCTTTGCAGCCCAGCTTTGAAGTGGGGTGTCAGGTGATTGACATGTGGGCCTCACCCACTTGTCAAAATGGTTCTGGTAAGGGAACTCAGGCTCTTGCCTGCTGGCTGGATCCTGTTGCTGCCACCAGAGTGGTCAGAAAGAAAGAAATGGAGTATCTAGATGTGTGTTTCTTTTTTTGTTTTCTGGATGCCCCCCAAAGGGGTCTCATGCTGATGTCTATCTTCTCTGTCTCCTTCCTCTTCCATAGACACTCTGGAAGAACTAACCCTTGCCATGCAGATGGAAGAACAAGCCAGCAAGCATCTGAATAAGCGACCACTTCAGTAGTTACCCACTTGTTAAATGAATTTCTTCCCTCTCTATTTGTCTGTCACTTCTTTGGTTTGCTATTAACTGTATTTAAAATGCAAGCAGAAGGTTCATCCTATCTTGTTTGAGGGTTCCCTGTTTTGGGGAGAGGGTGCTATCCTTTATGCAGGTAAAGGAAAGTACTCTGCCAGAATGTGATGTTTCTGGGACCATTGCTCCTCTTCACAACTGAAGGCTAAGAAGAAGAGTTGCTTTGGTGTCTCTTGGTAAGCTTGTACATTTTTCTAGTGTAAATAAAGTATTTCACTAAATACTTTTGAAATGTTAACATTGAATGCAATCCAGTGAATCTTGAACTGGTTTTGCTGTTTGAGACTTTTTAAAATATAAATAATCAGTAATTGAAGCAGTTTATAAATAAATATTTCTGAATGCATCAAGTCCTGTATTGTGAGGGGTTTGAAGTGTGTTCTGCAGGTCTTCTGCTGTTCTTGGAGGCCACTTGTATATGTTGGATTTGTATGCACATCTGGCTTGGAGAGCAACAACTTGGTAAGGACAGCTTGCTTATTTTCAACCTTATCTATTACATCTAAAAGAGAATTTGGGATTTGTCAGTAAGACTGGTTATAAACATATTTTACTTAGAAATACTATGGGAGGAGTTCAGCATTGTGCTGTTATGTTTGTTCAGTCATTGCAAACATTTCTGCTTGCCAGGTAGACCAGTTTCCCATCTTCCTATTAACATGACTTGTTGCGCTAGCACAACTATTTAGCTGAATCTGGCCTTTTATCTTGGTTTTCAACTGGTTTTGTTTCAGAGGAAGGCAGCAATTGTACTTACTAGTATACTTACCAGAGGAAGTCTATTGAACTTGGTGGATCTTTGCCCCCCACCCTTAAATATTTACAGGAGCATGGAAAGAATGTTTAGGACTATAACTTGAACACATTAGGCAATCCTAGTCCAGCTAGGTTGTGATGACAGCCAAGGTTGTTTCTATTTTGGTTGAACTTTAAGGAAAGATGGTCCCTATTTATGAGAAATGATCAGGGGTTCTGGAAAAATGTGGGTGGTCAACGCTAGTCAAAACTTCTGGACTCTACTATTTTTGCTAATGGAACAACTGGAAGAGGACAAGATTGAATTCATCTGACCTTTTTCCAGGTTGTTTAAAAAAAAATTACTAACACAGGTATGTGTAGAAAGTGGAGCTAATCACCTTGTAGGCTAGCTAAATGAAAAAAAAATACTGGAGTTCTATAGAGAGCTGGAAGGCAAATTATTTGAAAGATGTAATGAGATAATAATATTAGAGGACTTAATGCGGTGGTGTTGACAGAAAACGATAAAACAATTAAGGAACTCCAGTAAAGGAATGGATCAGGATGTGACATGCTGGTAATCCAATTTATAGAAAGAAAAGAGGAAGAAAAAGAATTTTGAAGGAAATGGTGTGTTATGAAAATATCAAGTTTGTATTCAGAAACTGAAAATAAAACAAACGCAATTTGCCATGATCACACAGAATGAAATAGAGCAACGACTAAAAAGCTTTAAAACAAAAACAATTTGAGTTTGCCAATAAGCTGGGAAAGTAAAACCCCCAATATAATAAACAAGATAATGGTAGGGGAGAGGATATATAACCAAAAAGAATTCAGAAAATAAGTTTTAAGATACTACTCGACTTTGTATGTGAATGGAAAGGAGAGTGAGAAAGACATAGAAGAATATTTGCAAAAATGTTATCTACCACAGCTAACAAAGGACCAAGTAGATAGTCTAAATGCCCCCATCTCAATGATGGAAATAGATGTACCTATCAAGCAGGCAAAGTCTGGCAAACCTCCTGGTCTGGACGGACTTTCAGTCGCATATTATAAAACATTAAGAGAAACATTACCACGCCCCTTAAAGATCTTATGAATGAAAGTTTACAAGGGAGAACAATACCAACATTGTAGAAGAACGTTTACATTACTCTAATCCCCAAACAAGATCAGGATATACTCCAACCCAAGAACTACAGGCTGATCTCCTTACTGAACAATGATTATAAGTTGTACACTGCAATAATGGCAAAAAAGCTGATGGTGGTCCTAGAATCACCTATTCGTGAGGTTTTTTTACCAAGGAATAATACTAGAAATGTGATCAAATACTTGGAAAAAAGAAATGAAAAAGAAGCAGCACTAATATTTTTATATGCTGAAAAGGCCTTTGACAATGTGTTCTGGGTCTTCCTGAAGAAATTAGTGGAGAATGCTATTCTGAATGCCATATTCTCTAATGGGATAAATGCAGTATACACAGAGCAATAGGTGAGCTTAATAATAAATAGTAATGTCACAGAAAAAAGTAGCATCAAGAAGGGGACAAGGCAGGGATGCCCCCTGTTGCCACTGTTGTTTATCCTAATACGTATTAGAAGTGTTAACTAGAGAAATACGAAAAATGATGAAATAACAGGAATTAAGGTTGGGCAGAGAGAATACAAAGTGAAAGCCTTTGCAGACGACGTGTTGATGTTGGAAAATTCGGTGGAAAGCGTCCCAAGGGCAATAGAAACTATAACAAAATTTGGCAAATTGGCAGGATTCTATATAAATAAGGAAAAAACAAAAATGATAGTAAAAAATTTAGACTTACAGGCAAAAGAAAGACTTGAGAATATTATGGGAATTAAAACAGAAAAATATTTGAGGATATGGATATCAGCTAAGAATTTAAACCTTTTTCAGGATAACTATGTTAAAATCTGGAATGAAATAAAAAGAATCTAGAAAAATGGACTAGACTGAACCTTTCTTTGTTAGGAAGAATATCTGCAGTCAAAATGAATGTTTTGCCCAAGATGATCTTCTTATTTCAAACACTCGTGGTAATAGCCCAAACTGTTTTAAAATGTGAAAGAAGGACGTGACAAACTTCATTTGGTAGTGGGGAAACCCAAATTAAGTATAAAAATCTGACAGATGTAAGAGAAAGAGGGGACTTTGCCCTTCCAGACCTTAGATTTTATTATGAGGCAGCATGTCTCTGTTGGATGAAAGAATAGATGGAGCTAAGAGATACCAACATTTTAGACCTAGAAGGTTTTGATCTACACTTTGAATGGCATGCATATCTGCATTATGACAAATCAAGGGTGCACAAAGGTTTCCAAAACCATGTCATAAGAAGAAGTATGTACATGGTTTGGCAGCGACACAAAGATCTCTTAGAGAGAAAACCCCCAAGATGGATATCCCCAACTGAGGTGGTCTCAGCGAAAAGGTTGAATATGGACTAATGGGCCACTTATAAAGTTTATAGAAGGAGGAGTTCACCTAAAAAAAGGAGAAGAGATTTGGGATCATACTATAGATTGGTTTCAGTATTTTCAGGTGAATGAGTTACCAGTATTTTAAAGAGATAAGGAAAAGGGATTGGCGGAAATGAGTTCAGAATTTGAAAAAATTGTATTAGGAAAGGATGATAAATTAATCTCAAAAATTTATAAGGTGTTATTGGAGTGGGAGACCAAAGATGAGATGGTAAAGGCGACAATGACAAAATGGGCCATAGATATTGGTTGCAACATAGAATTGTCCACATGGGAAAAATTATGGGGGGAAAACCATGAATTTTTCTGCCTGTTAACTTATTAAGGAAAACCTACAAAAGATGATGTACCAGTGGTACTTGACAACCCAATAAATTAGTGAAAATGTATAAAAAAGGGTCTAATTTATGCTGGAAGTGCCACAAGGTAGAGGGAACCCTGATTCATATGTGGTGGTCGTGTAAATACTCTAGAGCAGGCATCCCCAAACTTGGCCCTCAACCTGTTTTGGGACTGCAACTCCCATCATCCCTAGCTAACAGGACTAGTGGTCAGGGATTATGGGAATTGTAGTCCCAAAACAGCTGGAGGGCCGAGTTTGGGGATGCCTGCTCTAACGAATAATTAAAGATTTTAAAATTCACATTTCCCAAAAGACCAGAGGCCTTCCTGTTAGGGATAATAGGTGATGGTATTCCAAAAAAGGCACTCAATATCTTTCTGCACGCAATCACTGCAGCTAGAATAATATATGCAAAAAAAAATGGAAAGAAGTAGAGATACCCACGAAGGAAACTTGGTAAAACAAACTGATAGAATATGTAGAATTAGTAACCTTGACTGCAAAACTAAGGAATAAGGATGAGTTAAAAAGAAGAGTAGAGTGGAGGTATTTTGGAGATTATCTTAGAGGGTACAATATACAATTTAATCTACAAGTAGGTTAAATATACAATTTAACCTACAAGAGAGATGGATTGGGAAGTCGGGAAAAGAGATAAGAGATGGATACTGTGCAATGTGTGTATAAAGGCTGTTAAAACTGCATAAATAAAAGTTTTTAAAACATTGTGGATTTATTTAAAATATTTATACCCAGCCGCTCTGCCTGACAAGACCAAGGTAGCCAACTTGGATAGAAGGGACTCCACTCCTTAGCTACTGTGGCTATTTCAACTGCTGCTCTTCAAAGGCTTCGTGGAGGGGAACACTACCCTCATGTGTGCAATTTAACAACCTAGGCCCATATACTACCAAATGTTATTAGTCCCTGGGAGGTCTGGGTATTTTCTCACGCAGACCTGAGAGTACGCAACTCCCGGCTGTTCCTGTTATAAATGTTGCAAATGGACAATGACCATAATCATATCTATTTAAGTCAATGTGTTGGACTGTGATAGTCTTCATTCATGTAGAGGCAAGAATTCCATTTATGACTTCTGAAACTAGTCAAACACTGGTATTGAAATCTGTCAGTGTTAAACAATTTTATTGGCTTTATGCATTAATCATGTGCTTAAAGGAAAACTATCTCTGATGGCTATTATTTTGAAAAAAGTCTACAAAAATCTTTACAATTATTATTTATTTATTGAATTTATATACCGCCCTGTACCCAGAGGTCTCAGGGCGATTCACAGAATAAAATCAATTATAGTGTCAGTCTGTTCTGAAACGGAAATTAATTTCTGCCTTTCTGAGTTTTTGCATTTTATCAGTAGAATGGCAAAAAGTGTCAACTGTTTGGGCCATTTCATTGTAACTGTGAAGTTTAAAATTTGCACCTATTTGGACTACTCAAGAGCAAAGTAGTGTGTGAGTATGCTTCAGTATCCTTCCCCAAAGTGTTAAACAAGTGTGTGTGTGTGTGTGTGTGTGTGTGTGTGTTTATTTATATACGGTATGTGCTTACACCCTATGAGGAAAAGTCTGATATATGCATAGATGTATCAGTGTAGCTTTCAAAGGATGGGAATGATGCTGCTAATTTTGTCTGCTGGCATTGCCAATTATAAAGTGAATTTAGGGTGTCATTACTGCATGCAAGTGTTAATTGATTCCTAAAATCTAAGGCATACAAAGTGGCTAAGGAGATGCTAATGGCATAGCATGCTTTCCAAGAGAAGAGAGCTAGGAGTTGGGAAACAACTGATATGAAGTTTCAACATTTTATCTCCATCTCTATGAAGTAGATAGGCCTGATCTGTAAGCATACATACTATCCATTGTGCTAAAGTACACTTCAGGAAAAAAGCAGCCAAATCCTATACAAAACCGTATCTGAAATCAATGGGCTTAAGCATACGATTGCTCCTTAATTTCTCTTAAAGAGCTGTATTACTTCAAAAATCCCTTTATATATCTGTAAAGCTATGAAGTATTCAAGAGAGTGTTTATATTATATTGCTGAATGCATAACTAGAGAAGCCATTGCTGCTTTCCCAGTAGCGCTGCTAGAGAATGGCAGTTTCTGTTTTTGGCTTGCAAATCATGTAAATGTTTTGCCTTTAATAATATTTCTCAAGAAAAGAACATTGGGTCTTATGGTAGACTTCTGGATGCTCTACTACATTAGGGTTCAGTCTGTCTGCACAAAAATAAGTTGGCAAGGGGATTTAGAGTTCACGGTGTAAGAGCAGAGCAGCCTGCTAGATAAGGCCAAGCATTCTGTTCTCACAGTGGCTAACCAGATGCCCATGTATCTTCTGTATGTTCATTTATTTCAGTTTCAGTTGAACCTGCAAATTGGAGTGAAGTCTTGTGTCTGGTATGTATGATCACAGAGACTTAAATTTAGTTGTTCAGTACTGTTTTTATTTATTACATAGATATCCTGTCTCCTCCTCAGAACTCAAAGTGGCTGTACAAGGGATTATTCCTTATTTTCATAAGTATGACACAAATTAGTCTATGGTTATGTTGTTGCAAAGGCAGCTGTTGAAGAACAATTAGAGCAATTGATGTGTCTGGTGGTTGATAACCAAACTAAGTAGATTTCAGATTTGAGAAAAGGGAGGGGGACAGGGACTCAAAGTCGCCTGTCATAAGGCACTTGGAGCTTTGCATCTTTTTCTCATGGGGATGGGTAGTAGGGCCTGAAACAGAATGCATGAAAAAAATAGATGAAAATGAACAACAGCCCAATAAATGAGGACAATTGAGAGGTCACTAACTAAAGCAGCAACTCTCTATTTTGAGACAGCTGTTCCTGTTCATCTTCTGCAGTTGAGTTTCTCTCTGAGGGAGGAAAAAGAGTTCAAGAAATATAACTCAGTTCATTACTTCAGTACCAAGTATGGTAGCTTATTTTTTAAATACAGTGGTATCTTGGTTCCCAAAAAACTTAGTTGATGAACAAATCAGCTCCCAAATGCCGCAAACCTGGAAGTAAGTGTTCTGGTTTGCAAATGTTTTTTGGAAGCTGAACATCCGTTTTGGCTGTCGGCATTGTTTCCAGGGCCAATGAGAAGCCGTGCCTTGGTTTTTGAATGTTTTGGAAGTCGAATGGACTTCCAGAATGTATTGAGTTCGGGAACTAAGGTACCACTGTGCTGTTATACAAACAAGATACAGTGGTACCTCGGGTTACGAACTTATTTCGTTCTGGAGGTCTGTTCTTAACCCGAAACTGTTCTTAACCTGAGGTGCTCTTTCGCTAATGGGGCCTCCCGCTGCTGCCGCACCATCACTGCGTGATTTCCATTTTCATCCTGGGGCAAAGTTCTCAACCTGAGGTACTACTACCGGGTTAGTGGAGTTTGTAACCTGAAGCATTTGTAACCCAAGGTACCACTGTATTTACTTAAAGTACTGGTAAGCTGCCTTTTATCTATCTATCTATTCTATTTATTATTTGTACCCCGCCCATCTGGCTGGGTTTCCCCAGCTACTCTGGGCGGCTTCCATAGAAACCAAAAAACACTAAAATATCACACATTAAAAACTTCCCTGAACAGGGCTGCCTTAAGATGTCTTCTGAATGTCAGGTAGTTGTTTATCGCTTTGACATCTGATGGGAGGGTGTTCCACAGGGCGGGCGCCACTACCGAGAAGGCCCTCTGCCTGGGTCCCTGTAACTTGGCTTCTCGCAATGAGGGAACCGCCAGAAGGCCCTCGGCGCTGGACCTCAGCGTCCGGGCAGAACAATGGGGCTGGAGACGTTCCTTCAGGTATACTGGGCCGAGGCCGTTTAGGGCTTTAAAGGTCAACACCAGCACTTTGAATTGTGCTCGGAAACGTACTGGGAGCCAATGTAGGTCTTTCAAGACCCGTGTTATGTGGTCTCGGCGGCCGCCCCCGCATTCTAGCTGCCGCATTCTGGATTAGTTGTAGTTTCCGAGTCACCTTCAAAGGTAGAGCACATTGCAGTAGTCCAAGCGGGAGATAACTAGAGCATGCACCACTCTGGCAAGACAGTCCGTAGGCAGGTAGGGTCTCAGCCTGCGTACCAGGTGGAGTTGGTAGACAGCTGCCCTGGATACAGAATTGACCTGCGCCTCCATGGACAGCTGTGAGTCCAAAATGACTCCCAGGCTGCGCACCTGGTCCTTCAGGGGCACAGTTACCCTATTCAGGACCAGGGAGTCCTCCACACCAGCCCGCCCCCTGTCCCCCAAAAACAGTACTTCTGTCTTGTCAGGATTCAACTTCAATCCATTAGCCGCCATCCATCCTCCAACCGCCTCCAGGCTAAGCATCCTCACATGGCAGTTTCCATAAAATAAAATGCAGTATGCACAAGCGAAGCCGTAAAGATTATAAATGCATAATACAGGGGCGGCTAACATTTTTTGCTTGAGAGCCACATTGAGGCTTTGCCAGCCCTCAAAGGGTTGCATGCCAACATGCACATCACTCTCAAGAGTAGACACAGTACTTTTTTTCTTGTCATCTAACTAGCATTTCTCTCTACAGATTTCATATGTAATTTCTGTCCCCTCTGGATTTGTTGAATTAACATAAGACCCTTCTTGTTTATACTGTTGTGAACTAATTTGTCCCATTTCATATTTTTGTACTTATTCACAACCTGCCTACACAATATGCCATCCCATTATTTCCCTTCCCTCCCCCCCCTTTTTTTAGCATTAAGGAGGTATCTACATATTCCAAAGTTATTTTGTCCACTACTGTGCCCAAGATACCTGGAATATCCATTTTTGCCTGAGCCAAAATATATTCCGGAATATTGACTATATTGGTGGCCAGGATAACAGCCTGCACAGCATCCATATTCAGGTACAAGTTTGTAGCATCTTGCTAGAGGGAAGAAAGGTAAGACAGGCACTTTATTGAAAAGCAGGAACTTTCCAAGGTTCAGGGCTGGAAATAAATGGAGGGCAATTCCTGATGGTTCATTGGCCTCTCTTCCTTGAAACAAGGGCCACTCTAATGGAGTTGTCTCTACATGTCTCTTCACTCAAAGGCTAGGATGACTGTATCTGAACAGTGAACTTCTTGGAATTTTTTAATTAGCTAAAGGACTAATGGCTGCTTGGCTTTTGATTGAAATTGGATATTTGGAAAATTTAGAAGAAAGATGAATGGGCCTACTCTGTAATAGTTCACCATCTTTTTAAAATGCTCTCTCCAGAAAGGCACACCTGATGACAATTTTATTATCATTTTGCCACCAGGGAATATCATTTTTATTCTTTGACATAGGGGGCAGCTTTAATTATATTGTTGCAGTTGCTCAGTCTGGACTTTAGTGCTGCTGTACTAATGCCTTGTGTTTTAATGTTTAGAAAAATAAAAAATATTTATTGTAAATAGTTTTGAGACTTCGTATAAAACATCATTCAATAATTGTAGGTGGTTGGTTATTATAACCTTCATAAGCAGCTATGAAGACAGAGGCTGTATTAGAATTAGCTTTACTAGTAAATCCACACTTTAAAATATGCAGGCTTCCCAAATTAATTTCTTTCAAAATCTGCCAATCCAATGTTCAGACCAACTTTTACAGAAATGGAGAAATATGGTTGAATATGTTTACTTAGGAATGGAAAAGCAAAAATTGCTAGGAAGATGAATCACAGTACGGAAAGAAGGCTGGAATATTGCATCGGATGGTGTTGTGGTTTAAAGAGGCAAGTTAAGTATTTTAGGCCTCTGCTTGATTATTTTCTTCATTCTCAGACTTTTTTGGTTAATCTGTCATAAGCAAATTGGAAAGCCTCATCACCACAGTCATATGCTGGAGGCAGCAGTGTTACTCTGCAATTACTCTGGCAGATGATGTTCTTGGCCTTATTCTGAAAAAAAGGTCTAGAGCTGTGCTTTCCCTCTACTGTGCCACTTTCTATGTTCCTCCTCTTCAAGATTGTTATTAATTTAAATACTGCTTAATGCTCTTAAAATAGGTTTCTAAGTGGTTTAAGATAAGAGGATAAGAGAAACCTAGTAAACAGAAAGCAGCTTTTACAATGGCAGAAGTAGTAAGAAGATACCACTACCCTTTCTGAACTCTGGCTCTCTTAAAGCATTCATTTGAATTTAACAGTTACTGAAGATCTTGTCTACACTGGCTATGCCACAGAAGATAGTGATTCTTACTATAGTTGCTGGGGGAAGAAAAGACTTCTAAACAATTCAGAAAAGTGGTTTGGGATTTCAGGTGTTTTGTCTTAAATCTCACTGTTGCTTTTGGCAAATAAAACATCTCATATCTGAGTCCCATAACCTTAGTACAGAGGCTAGACAAGACATACCATAAAGAGCTCGAACAATTTTTCTCCCATGGCACTCCGGGTTTGATTCTCCACCACTATGAACATCCTTACAAAATGCTGCAGGGGGATACAATTTAATTCATAGGGAAAATAAGAATAATCCTTGGGTTGTATCTAACTCTGCTTTTCTGTTTGTGCAGCAGACCTCTGCTTGAGTTAACATAACTTCTCCCTCCTCTCCAGCCCATGATGCATCCTTAAACTCTCCAGACTCCAGAGGGTTGGGTATACTCTGGAGCAAATTTTGAATGCAGAGAGGTGAGGAAACAGGACTCCATTGCACAAGTGAAACTCAGCTTGTACAGTCAAACCTCAGTTGTCGAACGTTTGGCTTCCGAAATGTCTGACAATCGAGGTGCGGCTTCTGATTGGTTGCAGGAGCTTTCTGCACTCAAGCGGAAGCTACGTTGGATGTTTGGCTTCTGAAAAATGTTAGAAAACCGGAGCATTTACTTCTGGGTTTTCGGAGTTTGGTAGTCAAAACATTCCAAAACACAGGTGTTCGGGATCCGATGTTTGACTGTATAATGTTGGATGCAGCCCTTTGTAAGCTACAGGAGTATAAAACTCTGCAATCTAATATTTACTATCCAGGTTTCATTAGTATTTATTGTTCTGGTCTTCATCACTCAGAATCTTTAGTGGGGGGCTGCCGTTATCCCTTTCCAAAGCTCTAGCCTCAACCATAATTTCCCAGAACAACTGAGACTTTAAAAGTTCTCTAGTAGTATTAGTTTATTAATTACCCACCCTTCACCCTATGATCCCAGGGCATTAAAATACATTAGAAACAGTTTTAAAATACTTCTGTATATTTTGGCTTAAATATACAGGCAGTTTCTGCTCCCATGCTTCCAACATCTACAAGCCATGCATGTTAAATTCTAAGAAACCCTTACTTACTCCTGTCATAGTCTGATCTTTGTATTCTTTAGTGCTTAATCCACTGACTAACGTTTTATCTCATCCAATCCATCCATTCCACCCACCGAAACAACCCCTTCAGTTAGAGAGCTTTGAAAAAGTGACAATAGACATCTACGCCCAGTTCCCTCCTTTTCAACAAAGTCACTTGCCTCTAGGGTAATGCTGGCCTGCCTCTGGCAATTAGTGTGATCTTTGTTGCCCATGGCACACATGAGACCATGCACCACTCTCAAGAAGACCAGCTCCTCAGCTACATCTCTGGAGTCTTGGGCCAGAATTCTGCAAAGTTGAGTGTTTGAAGAGTGGGATAAAAATGTTTTCAATAAACAGATAAGAGAGGGGGAAGGGGGTTTAAGAGCAGAGGGAGCATCCCACTAATTTACAAGCCAGAGAGATCTAGGTTGTTCTGTGCCCTTTACCAACTGGTTGACAGTGAGACATCCAATAGTAATAGGAGACATCAAATAGGTTCAGCTTTCCTGTTGCACTGTTGGATTTCTGCAACAGTTGTTAAAGGCACACGCTGCCAAGAAAATAAGCTGACTGGGCAAATCTGTTGTATTGAATGAGTTGTTATGGTGCTAAGCATAGTAAGGTGGATGGTGACATGAATTTGGCTAAGCAGCAAATACTTCGTCTAGTGCTGAAGATGATAACCGTAAAATGATTAGAGAGGAGCTGTATATTCAGAGGATATTTTATGTATAGCTCCATTGATAACCTGACTATTCTAGCTCATGTTATAAACTCTGAAAGGTATGAAGATAGTGGCTGGATTATATAGGTATTCTAGTTCTGAATGTGTTTTAAGGGACTGGATGTGATGTTGGCTGTCTAATGTTGCATCAAGAAGCAGAAGGCATGGATTCAACTTCAACCCTTGAAAGCCATTTTGTAGTAATGTCTGGATGGGGGTGGGGAGGGTTTCAAATAGATATGCTTGGTTACTTGCTGGCCTTGGGCAATGCAAATCACTCTTAGCCAGTGTGCTATGTTAAGAGACTAAAATTGCTAATTTGAGGTTCTTGGAACAAAATGCAGCAAGTAGATATCATAGTATGATTAAAACATATAGTTAACACCATCAATTAAAAATATATAAAAACAGTGCCCTACTGCCTCCATCTGAGTAGCAGGTGAAGTGGGTGTATATAATCTGCCAGTCTGGACTGTGGACTGGTGGCTGTTTTCACACAGTAAGTGAGGTGTTTTCTAGTTTGCATCTGTGGCCTACCCAAAACTGGGCTAAGCGTGTTTCACAGTTTGCCTCTGTGTTGGCAACTGGTTCCAGTAACCCATCATAATCTCTTACCCAATGGCTTTGGCAGCGGCAGCTTGCTGAATATATGCTGGCAAGGACTCCATCAGGTGTAATGTACCAGCTTCTGTATGTAGGAAACAATGTAGGAGTCAGGTACTGTGTCTCATAGCTGCCCCAAATATTTGCTTTTGACCTAAAACACTGTCCAGAAAGAACTGAATTGCACAGAAAATTCATTCAGTACCTATCCAGCAGCACAGTTTAACTTAGGCTAGCACCAGCTAATTGCTGTTTCACACGCCATGCATAAATTTGATTCCTTGATGGTAAGCAGGGAATGTTGGTTTGGGTCTGCTTTGAAAGATGTCAGTGTTTGCCTGCAGCCCTCCCTGCTCCAGTTTCTCAGACTGGTGATTGAGATGAATTTCTGTTCTATCACAATGGGTTCTCATTCCATACCCCTACAGTCCCGCTCTGAGCAAACTTGGAACTTGATAGAGGTTTTCAGGTATGAATGAGGAAAGAGGTTGGGCCCCATGATAAAAGAAAAGGAACAGAGGATGGACTTTAGTTGTTAAAATATATGCCTTCCCTTCTCAACACATGAAGAATATTAATGCTACAGTAAGTGTGTGTTCACAATACTGCCTTAGAGAGCAGTGAAGTTGTTTTTTCAGTGCATTTCATAGCTCTTGCACCCCAAGCTGTTTACATCTGCACAGCTTCAATTTGTTCCTTTTTCTATACGCACCAGAGAATGTTGACAGGCAGGAATATCTTTACCCTATGCAGAGATGTTCATACAAGGGTGGAGACAAATTGGGAACAGCTTAATAACTCCAATCGGTGTGAAGCTTTTTTGAGAAACAATGCACCAAACAGTAGTATGAAGTACAGTAAACATGCATTTTGGCTAACATCTTGTGAACACAAAAACCGGAAATGCAGTGAGTGCACAGTAAACGAGAATGTGAACACAGCCTTAGACTAATATACGCTAGAGATAAGGAAGGAGATGTAGAAGTGGGGAACATCTTCATAAGTGGGTCCAAATGGCAGCATTTGTGGATCTCACCTTCCAGGATTCTGGCTTGCATTTTGGCAGTCTCCTGTCTTGATGGCTTTAGCAATGCAACCAGTCCTTTTAGCAAAGCTGGCCGCACATCATATGCCATGAGGTCCTTGATTAGTTGAATCGCTAGAAGAAGGAAGATACTAAAGTGGGTGCTTTGTCACAGAGTAATAGTAGTAAGGTAGCTCCTGTTGCACAGAGCAAGCCTCAGTTTTTCTTGGGGAATAATTTGCCTACACAAAGCCTAAAAGGTGGTTCAACTATGTCCAGTCTTTGTTAATCATTTGTTCTAGTGTGTTTACCAGTTACTGGGAATCATAGGCGGGGAGAGCACAGGTCCTGCTTTTGGGCTTTCCATAGGCTGCTGGCTGCCACTGAGAATGGGATACTGGACTAGATGGGCCACTGGCCTTATCCAGCAGGTCCTTCTTACGTTTATATGGCAGTTATAGGACAAAGAACACTCAATTTTTTTTAAAGTGGGTTTGTTAATGCACTAGGCAATATAGCACGTTAATTGTGCAGTTCTCAAGTTCCTAAAGACTTCAATCCCTCCGTAAAGGCACCGTCTGTTGGTTCTTTCATAAAATGCGTAGACTAGTTTTAAAAAAAATTGGTAGCACTAACCACACAGCTTAACTGTATGGAATAAAGGCCAGCGAGTCACCTGCTTTGAAGACATGTTTATGCTACTTGGGAATTTGTAAGTTATCTGTTTTGAAGCAAATATAGCATTAAAAAAGAAAATTGTGATAGCTTCCATGCAAATTAGAACACACACTGGATTCACCCAGCTTTGGCACCAGCCAAAGACCAGTATGCCTTGTAAGTAGGCTACCTTGTGCTGTACCTTACGTAAAATTTGCTTTTTCATGAATGCCTTAGTTATTAGCGTTCTTCCCTTCCTATAGACATTTGGCTCACTGGTGCATTATTTTAAAACTGATTTTCAGTTTCAGTATGTGGTAGTCACCTGGACTCAACGATTTGAGGGTTGGCTTCAAAAGTGGAGGTGAGTGCATAGAGTCATCTTACCCTCATATTGCACCTCCAGGTGCAGAGAACGGAGCACACTAAGCACTGAGTCCACAATACTTGGATGGGCATCTCCCACAATTGTCTGCCAAAGTAAACGAGCAAGAGAAGAATATTTGAGACCCCGTCTTAGTATGCTTTAATACAGAACAAGCATGAAAAATATAGGTCACAATCAAGAGATCACAAGGAAGAGCTGGGCTACCCAAATCTTCAGCATGATCAAGCAGACAAAAGATTATATTTTGACCTGGTGATGCAAATCCCTTTTAGGAGCACGTCAGACGATATTTTAGCATATACATGAAACACTGAGGGGAGACAATTCATTTTGTAAGAATGTAAAAGGAAGATTGCTGTAACTGATTGAAGTTCCCTGTTGCAAATTAAAGCTGTGCTGATATAAACAACGTGGGGTGCAAGAGCTGTAAAATGAACAAAAAAACAACTTCTCTAATGCAGTAATGTGAACTCTCACCCAGGTGAGATCAGACAACATGCTGCAATGAACCATAAAGATGCAAGGGCAGTATTTAGGGAGACCACTCTTTCTTCATGAATCTGTTATACCAATCAGTTTTATAAGTGCATTAATTAGAAATAATCATTAGCTAGAATGGTTAAGGGAGGTGTCAGTAAGTTCTATGTGTCCCTAAACTTCTAGATCTAGCCATAATTGGGGTGGTGTGTTCTACAGCTGACAGTTCTTAGCTAAAAAAACCACATATTTTCAGGGGTACTATTTCAGATTTTAGACATGGGGGCAGAATAGGATTTCAGTAATTTTTTAAAAGAAACTCCCAATTACAATTACGGTACAAACATTGTTTTTTAAGGCAATGTATTTGGGTTACTTTTATCTCCATTACTTATAGTTCAATTATCAAACTCAGGTCAGATCTGTTAGCCTTTCTTGCCTAATATAGTTGGTTCCTTTGGCATGGTATTTGGCACTTAGATCCATTTAACTGTTAATAGCAATATATATGTGCAGTTTGTAGACCCTGCACTGGCTAGAAACACAGATGCCCCTGAGGAAAACATGCATGTTGTCTGTAACAGATGATGGGAAGAAGTTCCATATAGTGGATGAAACAAAGATTGCAACCCCATGCCTCCCCCCCTCCATCTTCTTGTTGCTCACCTGTATTGTCCTCAATGTTTGTAGGGACAGTTGCTGGGCTTTTGGAGAGGTGCACTTTAGAAGAGCAATCAGCCCTTTGTACACTTGATTCTGGTATTTGGGGTTGCCATGGCCTAAAGCATCCAGAAGAATCTGTACTTGCTCTTGAGTCTCTTCTGACTTGCAGGTTGCAAAAAACTCAGCAATTGATCGTACACCTATAAAGGAAAAAAGCTTTCTGAACACGCAAGCTAGAAAGTGTCAGCTAAGCAGCCCCATGTTTTAGCTTGTATTTAAATAATATGGAAGTTTTAATACAAGTATTTTGTAAGTAACAAAGGACACCCTTATTATACATTGATAAATATGCAGAATACCATTGGCAGGCAATCACTCTAATAGTGAACATGATTGCAGCCAATTGCTATTTGCTATTCTTAAAATGTGTGTGATTTATAATAATAATAATAATAATAAATTTTATTTATATCCCGCCCTCCCCAGCCAAAGCCAGGCTCAGGGCGGCTAACAACAAATAAATAATCAAACAATTAAATAGTCCAACATTCTAAAACATTTCATTATAAAAATTAATTAAAATCAAATTAATGGCAACCGTTGAGCAAAGTTCTGTGTAGGTTGCCGGAGGTGGGAGTCAGGCTGGGCCCTGACCAAAGGCCTGGTGGAACAACTCTGTCTTGCAGGCCTTGCGGAAAGATGTCAGGTCCCGCAGGGCCCTAGTCTCTTGTGACAGAGCGTTCCACCAGATTGGAGCCGCAGCCGAGAAAGCCCTGGCTCTAGTTGAGGCCAGCCTAACCTCTCTGAGGCCTGGGACCTTCAGGATGTTTTTATTTGCAGACCGTAGGTTCCTCTGTGGGGCATACCAGGAGAGGCGGTCCCGTAGGTACGAGGGTCCTAGGCCGTATAGGGCTTTAAAGGTTAAAACCAGCACCTTAAACCTGATCCTGTACTCCACCGGGAGCCAGTGCAGCTGGTATAGTACCGGATGAATGTGATCTCGCAGCGAAGACCCCATAAGGAGTCTCGCCGCGGCATTCTGCACCCGCTGGAGTTTCTGGGTCAGTCTCAAGGGCAGCCCCACGTAGAGCGAGTTACAATAATCCAGTCTGGAGGTGACCGTCGCGTGGATCACAGTGGCTAGGTCAGGGCGAGAGAGATAAGGGGCCAACTGCTTAGCTTGGCGGAGATGAAAAAATGCCGCCTTTGTTATAGCTGTAATCTGCGCCTCCATAGAGAGGGAGGTATCGAAGATTACACCCAAACTCTTAACGGACGGTGCTGGCACTAATTGCACCCCGCAAGAGATGGGAGTTGCCCCCAATCCCATATCGTCCCGTCCCAGCCAGAGGACCTCTGTCTTCGAAGGATTTAACTTCAACCGGCTTCCGCGTAACCATCCAGCCACAGCTTCCAAACATCTGGTCAGTGTGTCTGGGGCCGAGTCAGGATGGCCATCCATCAACAGATAGAGTTGGGTGTCATCGGCATACTGATGGCAACCCAGCCCAAAACTCCGGACAAGCTGGGCGAGGGCGCATAAAGATGTTAAAAGCATCGGGAGAGTATCGCACCCTGAGGCACTCCACACACCAAGGAGTGGCGGGATGACAATTCCCCCAAGCGCCACCCTCTGTCCCCGACCGGAGAGAAACGAGCGCAGCCATTGAAGGACTGTGCCCTGGATCCCCACGTCGGCAAGGCGGTGGTCCAGGAGTTCGTGATCAACCATGTCGAAGGCTGCTGACAGATCTAGAAGAATCAGCAGCCCCGACCCGCCTCGATCCAGCTGCCTACGGAGATCATCTGTTAGGGCGACCAGAGCCGTCTCGGTCCCATGACCAGCGCGGAAGCCAGACTGGAATGGATCTAGAGCCGATGTTTCATCCAGAAACCTACCAAGCTGTTCAGCAACCGCTCTCTCAATCACCTTACCCAGGAATGGAAGATTCGAAACCGGGCGGTAATTGGATAGATCTAAGGGATCTAATGATGTTTTCTTTAAGAGCGGGCGCACCACTGCCTCCTTCAATTCCCCTGGAAATATCCCGGTGCCAAGGGACAAATTGATGATATCCCCCAGGGGGGCCCGCACCTCGTCTGGACACGCTCTAATCAGCCAAGACGGGCACGGGTCAAGAGGACAGGTGGTGGGCTTTCCAGCTCGGAGGAGTCTGTCCACATCGGCTGGGGATATCCGATCAAAGTGGTCCAATACTGGACCCGAGGACAGTCGAGGGGCCTCCAGTTCCTTTATTGTATCCAAATTGGCAGGGAGGTCATGGCGGAGCAACAGGACCTTCTCCGCAAAAAGCTCGCAAACGCCTCACAGCTATGTGTCAGATTGTTATTTAAATTTGGCTGTCCTTCAAGGGACGTTAAAGACCTAATTATACTAAATAATTGCGCCGGGCGAGAGCTAGCGGATGCAATGGAGGCCGAGAAGTAAGACTTCTTAGCGGCCTTCACCGCCATCTCATAGGTTTTCATAAAAACCCTATAAGATGTTCTTGAGGCTCCGTCACGGGCACCCCGCCATACTCGCTCTAGCCGTCTGAGGTCCCGCTTCATTTTCCGAAGCTCCTCGGTAAACCAGGGAGCCCGGTTTCTGCGGAGTCGCAGAGGGCGCTTAGGTGCGATCTCATCTATGGCTGCCAGGAGCTGGGTATTCCAGCCCTCAACAAGCTCAGTCAATGAGTCGCCAGGGGAGCAAGGTCCCGCAAGGCTTGACGGAATCTATCAGGGTCCATCAGCCTCTGCGGGCGAGCCCAAATCGGCTCGCCACCTAAGCAGGGTGGGGGTGGAAAGTCAATCCTGGCTTTCAGAGCGTAGTGATCAGACCATGGCACCTTAATTGAAGGAGACATGATCACATCTATACCTACGCCAAAGATCAAATCCAGCGTGTGGCCTGCTTGATGTGTGGGGCCTGAAACAAACTGGGAGAGCCCTAGTGTTGCCATGGAAGACACCAGGTCCAGAGCCTGTGAGGAGGGAGTGGCATCAGCATGGATGTTGAAGTCCCCCAATACCAATAGGTTAGGGAACTCCAAGGCCCAGCCGGCCACCGCCTCCAGTAGGCCTGACAGGGTGGCTGCTGGTGCGCTAGGTGGCCGGTACACCAGCCAGACAGCCAAGCTCACCTCAGAGCCCCACACTAGGCCAACACATTCAATGCCAGGGATCGATGGCGATGGTAGAGCCCTGAAAGGACAATCTTCCCGGATTAATAATGCCACCCCTCCCCCGGCCCACAGTCCGTGACTGGTGGAGGACGGAGAAACCCGGGGCGCCATCTCTCGTAAGGTAACTGTTGCCCCTTCGCGTACCCAGGTCTCCGTCACACAAGCCAGGTCAACCCCCTGCGAGGTAAAGAAATCTCGCAGAGTGGCGGTTTTGTTGCCTATAGACCTGGCATTGCACAACACCAGTGACGGAGGTGAGTAATCCTTGCTCACCCTACCCTCGTCCCTCGGGATGGGGCGCAGATTGGAAGGGGTACGAGCATATCCGTATCTCGATCCCCTTCGCCTATAACATCTGCCCCCACCACCATACCTCCCTCGCCCCTCCACGGTAGCAATCCCAAGCCTCGTACAAGCCTCCATTTACAAAATAAAAAACCAAACCAAACTGAAAACAATTCTACCTAAGCAAAACCAATCCCCACCCCAAACCACAATAAAACAGAACAAAATAAAAATACATAGATAAAAACCACTGTTCACGGTGGTACAATAAAGTAAAAAGTAAAAACACCTTTAAAATACTTTAAAATATATAAAAACATTATTAACTTTTGCTTCGGCAGCTCCAGCATCCTTAAAACGGTAGCGGAGGTGAGTCTGGGCCCCGCCCCTAGGCCAGGTGGAATCAGCCTGAAGAGGGAGCGGCCTTCCCCAACACTCACGGTGCAGCAGCAGCGATGTCCCAATGCCTCAGTGAGGCTTCTTAGAGCTGTGGCGAAGGTGAGTCTGGGCCCCGCCCCTAGGCCTGGTGGAATCAGCCTGAAGAGGGAGCGGCCTTCCCAACACTCACGGGGCTGCAGCAGCGATGTCCCAATGCCTCAGTGAGGCTTCTTAAAGCTGTGGCGAAGGTGAGTCTGGGCCCCGCCCCCTAGGCCTGGTGGAATCAGCCTGAAGAGGGAGCGGCCTTCCCCAACACTCACGGTGCAGCAGATCTATTAACATCACATCTATTTAATCACTAAATGGGTTTCTCAAACGGTATCATGTATGGAAAATTTTGGATCAATGTACAGGGCTATCTTCAAGTAAATCTTGTTTTCCATATACCTTCAGAGTCTACAACTGAAAACAAAGTGGAGTGAAGCCATTGCACCTCACACTAGCTAAAATATGCAATGGTTTTCAGACTTTGAGTTTTCAAGTATTTGCCCATTTATGTAAAAATTCTGTAGACTTTAGGGCAAATGAATAAATAAATAATAAATAGCCTCCTTATTCAGTTGATTTAATCCCTGTTTCAATCAGTCCTTGTTTTTGAAATTGTGCTGGTCTAAGGTTACAATTGTTAAACATGCACTTTGTATTCTTGGGAGTAAGCCAAATTGGACTCAGTGGGATTCACTTCTGAGTAAACACAAGACTGTGTGTGTGTGTGTGTGAGAGAGAGAGAGAGAGAGAGAGAGCGCGAGAGCGCGCCTCTCTCTTATATATGGCTTGCAGCAAGTAGGAAGTGGGAGCTTAGGGAACAGGACTATTAAGATTTAGGGGGAAAGCCACTGTAAGCTGTTTTGAGCCAGTGGGATAATGCAGAATATAAATCCAATCTAATCAATATAGTTCAAGCTCACACAACTAGTTATGGGCAGCAATGACTGGCTCTGAATTTGGATGCAGCTTCAGATTTGCATGAAAAGCCATATTCAACCAGTTAAATGAGATTCATTGAGCACTCCTATGTGAATGCACATCCAGATGCAAAATCTGCATCCCCATTTACAGTGTACTTTTCACATACAGCTTTCCCTTGCTGGACTGGGATGGACATATATCACACTCATCCATTTCAGTTGAGCAATGCAGTAAACAAGCATCCACTGTCACTTTATGGGAGATACTAAAAAAAGTTTATATTCCCTCCCAGCTGAATTTATTTGCGTTTAACTCCCCATACACTAATTTTTAATACTGTAGTTAAAACACTTCATCCTACTCTACCCAAGAAAGGAAACTTTACAGAGTTATTAATATGCTGATGTTTCAGAGATCTATTCATCTTCTACAGGTAGAAATATCCTGGCTGCTATATACTGCAATGAAAGGAAAACACTACAAAGTAAGATCCTTGTGAGAATCAAATGTTTCCATGCCCTTTTATTGATGAACTTGTGACAGGTGAGATACTGAAGAAGAAAGCAACTCTTTTCTATCAGCAGTATTCACTGGGGTGGAAAGAATAAGCTGAGCTCTATGGGGAAAACCCTGAGGCCAGAAAACCACTTCACTTAAATATCTGGCAGTACATCTCATTTGTCACAATCTACCTTACCATAGCTTTCACAAATAATCTCTTTGAACTTCCTGCCAGATCTTGCTACTAACTGAAGAAGCTTTATGGACTCCCTTTTGTCCTCCTCTTTCAGTTGGTTGAGCCCAAGTATTTCCAGCAATGTGAGGATACCACCAACTTCCAGGAATTCAATAATGTATCGCTGGCTGAAAAAATGTGGAGAAGAAAGCAACAGATCTAAAAGTCTATTTGCAACAAGATTGCATAATATGATTTCAGTTATTATTTAACACTTATTAACAGTTAAGTTTCTTTTCATAGGCAAACTAATTGGCAGCTCCACTGCTTCTCTTCCTAAACACCACTTTAGTAACCCCTTTACTAAAGCAGCAGAGCTGCCAAGGGAAAGACTTTGCACTTCAGTCATTCACTAAATAGTGTTCCATTCTTTACAGGAATGCAAGCTGATGAACTAAAGCAATTCCAGTTTTCTTACAGGGGAAGAAAACTTTGACCACATTTTCCATATACAGAACTGGGCATAGGTATTCCCAAATCCAACACTTACAACCTGGTATCTCAGCCAAGGAGATTATAGAAATGCTTCATCTAAGAACATTCCCTATGGTTGTTGCTGGAGTAGTTTTTATTCCTGAAGCCATGCCAGTGTGCAAGTTGCATGATTTCATGTTTGATAAAATGGTTATTTAGGCAGCAGACAAAGAAGCACCAAGCCACAGAAAACAGAGCTTTTTATATTTGCCAATCTCTTTGATAATACAATTACATTTTCCCAAACACCACGTTCTCATTACCTCTTTCACACCAACATAATGTGCTAAAAACCTCAGGATCCTATCCAAATATAGAAATGGTACATTTTTTACTCACCCACTTGCAGCTGATAGGAAGATCCCAATGGACTTCAATTGTTGCTCTAGGCACGTTCCATACATGTAACTATTGTGAGTTTGTGAAGGTTTAAATTAAATACATTCTGGCACACTAAACCTCAGCTGAATCTGATTTTCTCCCTACCCACCTCAGCCCTTTTGCAGGAGTTCATACTTTATTTAGAGGAATGACATGTCTGAAGTAGCACTTGCAAGGTCTGTCTGTGAACTTAAGACATTGGGCAATATTGCAGGAAAAGTCAAGAGTCCAGGATTATTAAATTCTGCTACCATAACTGGAGCACAATTGCCCTAAAAATAGCAAAAATTGGTGCAATTTATACTAATAACTCGTATAAAAATAAATATAATTTATCAAACCAATATGTAGCCAATTCTGGTAATTTTAATGGAGAAATTATTGCTTTCTTTTTTGGCTCTTGTTACACTTTAACAAGAGATCTCCAAGGAAGAGGATACGTCAACCTGAGCCAAGCAGTTAGACGGGCGAGAAACAAACTGGCTCCTTGAGAGAATTCTATTTCCAGTTCTGGACCTGTCTTGCCTTGGTTGGTTAGCATAAAATTTTCTAGAATGTGCCTTCGAGCAATTTTGCCAGCACTGTCCCATTCCTGTAGAAAACTTATTAATCTGCTGATGGCTGCCTGCTCCTTTATGGAAGTCATGACTGGTTGTGTCCTTCTGTTGAGAAGAGAAGAGAACCTTAGACCTATGCATTTGTGAGATCAGAGAATACACCAGCCCCATCTACTTTGACCAGGCATAGGCAAACTCAGCCCTCCAAATGTTTCAGGAGTACAACTCCCATTATCCCTAGCTAACAGGACCAGTGGTCAGGGATGATGGGAGTTGTAGTCTCAAAACATCTGGAAGGCCGAGTTTGCCTATGCCTGACTTTGACACACCTTGCATCTCACATTAAAATAGTAATTTAAAGGAAGTCACCATGCTTGTTTTAAACCATAGTTTGAACCATATTAAAGCCTAGTTTGTTTTGTCAAGGTACTAACAAGTCTTTCAGTAATGTAGGCTTAACAAGCAGTGTCATTCTGTAGTTACCAAATTTTGGATTTGGTGAAGTGGCTAATTAAAATGGATTCTGTAGGTCGGTCTGAAAGGCAAAAACTCAACACAGACATCTTGGAAGTTATGTCAGCCCCACTAATCTTATTTATCCTATAGACAACACATGAAACTCAAATTTGATTCACATACAAAAATTTGAGGGGTAACATTTACAGAATTGCTATGATAAAGGCAACATTAAATATAAAGAAGAGCTTACCTATCTCATTTTTTTTCTTTACAGCCCCTTCAAAAATGTATAAAGAAGCAGTGCTGAGACATGCATAGGAATCCATCAGGGAATTAACAACCTGTGGTTTGCAGGAGCTTTTGTCCTTGGCAGAGTATTTTCAGCATAGGAGAGAAGGTTCTAAATAAATCAATTTTCCTCAAATAGTTGTGATTGAAAGTGTTATTAGCCATAACAAATGTTAGCACTGACAAGGGAACAGCTGTAGCAGCCTTTCAGAGGAAGAGGTGAAACATGAGTCTCATTCACTTGATTTACAGAATATTTGTGAAATCTTACTCGTGAGCCTTGTAGCTGATATTTGCGTTTTGGCAGAAGTTGTTTTTCATCTTGGGACATTCACTATAAATTATAGCTCCATATTGTGCACGTGTGTCCTCTACACTGATCTAGTTAAAAGAACTTTCCAACTGAAACAATTGCTAGTTTGATTCTAAATTAACATCTCCATATTTTTATGGGGGCATATATTCCCTCCTTTTTCTAGGAAGCAATGAGTCCTTTGACTGCTAAAGATAAATCTTCATCTACTTGGCTGCAGCACTTGATACACAGGAGTCAGTCACAGGGGAGATGGCTGCATGGCCACATCATGTTCTTATTTGAAGATTCAATGACACCACCTACTGTGAATATGTTTACCTTTATTCACAAAGAGATTCAGGCTTCCAACAAAGGAAAATGCATTTTTAAAGGCACAGCCACAGAGAAACTCTCAAAAGGTATTATATGTTCCACATCTATCTTCTGCAATCCAGACACATAGGGACTTCAGCCCACAATTGCCTTCTGGATTGAGTTGGAAAAGATTGAGACTGGCACAAGTTTGCCATCTGCACAGATAGGTTCTGGATGTCAGTGAGGTAAAAACATATCTGTTCAAGTGCTGAACTCAGAACATGAGAAATCTGCCATGTGTACATATTGTTAAATGACAAAAGCACTTAATTCTGTAGAAAGTGTTTTCAAGAGCTCTCTCTCTCACCAGCCTTTTTATTTGTAGACATTTTAATTAGTGTACAAGGATATCTTGAGCCACAAATAGAAACTGCCTATTTATCCAAGATGCCAATTGGGTATACATTTGAGTGCTGCCAACACAGCTGCTATGGAGGATTTTAAAACAGGAAGAGGGAAGACATCTGAGGTAACCTTTCTTTCCATTTCTACCATATGAAGTCAGGGATATAATGCTGCCAGGTTTTAAGTCTATCTTTAGAAAGAAAAACCTGCCACAGTACCTGAGTACGGTAATTGGGTATCCCTTTGTTTCCCATCTTCCAATATTTGTTTTCTGGCACTTGTACCAAACTAATGAAATCACAAAACTCAGCAGCATAGCAATCCAATGTGAAATCCAGAACAGGAAGCCCACCATGCTTAATTGGCTAATGCATAGTAAATCTAGCAATCCTTGGCTTCTTGCCTTGCCATATAATATTTTTGCCAAGCTGTTAACCACTTTAATAGAACCATAAGCACAATCTGAAACAGATCTAACACTTTAGGAAACACTGCCATTTTAGTGTTGCAGTACATCCCTTAAGAGAGACCTTAACAGCCATTCAAAATATGTACAGCATCCTTAATGTTGAACAGTATAAAAGCAAAACTTCCATTCTTTAGGTCTTGAAGCTTATTTGTAATCTGGAGCCTTAAACATTGCCACTGACCCCACGCATTTTCTTTCAATGCAAAATACTATTTCTTTTTTTACCTTGGGTGTTAAAGGGCTGGATTTAACTAAGCAATGGGACTTTCCTTCCTCCCCTCCCCTGTGCACCCCATCCCCACAAATTAGCTTGGGGAGGTGCCAGGAGAACGCCAAGAACAGCATGGAGAGGAGAGGTATTTCCATCAGGCAAGCAAAAATGTTTGTGCTGACGGAACTTTTGTTTTAGCATGACTTTGAATTCCTTCCACTGTTCCGATTTGTCTAAGGTGATTTAAAGGTTGAATAATACTGTACATTCTTAGGTTATTGAGCAGAGCAGGCAAGAACTGCAGCAGGTTCTTCAAAAACTACCTAGTATTGTCTGCAGGAAGAGCAAACCTGTTTAATCTCTTTCAGAGCAATGGCTATGGACCCCTCACAGAAAAGCAACATGATTTAATGCTCCTTCTCAGTCCAAAGGCCCATACAAAACGTTAACTGAAATTCATTTTATTTGAAAGCCTTTTAAGGCAATCTTTTTCAAGCAATCCAATGTACTGTCCATATCCAGAGAAAAATGATTAGGATTTTCGGCATTTCATGAAACTGAATGATATTCACAACCTGATTATGGGTCATAATCACAGCATTTGATTCATTTAAAGCATAAGGCTTTCGCAAAGAATCTTAGGAACTGTATTCACTTAAGGGTAAGCTCCAGTTTCCATGGTTCTTTGGGAGAAACCATGGCTGTTAAAGTGGTATAAATATGCTTTAAATATAGGGCGTGTAAATGTATAAGAGTATAATTAATCCTTCCACTGAGAAATATAGTAAACATTTTCACATCTAATATATGAACAGAATTGCCCCAAGGGGCAAAATGCTTTTGGATAACTACTAATATCACCTCCCTACATATATCAGGAGTTTCAACCTTGGGCACCTCAGTATATTGTTAAACAATGGAGTTAAATGTGGTACAAGTTCTTCTGAGAAGTGCTCACAGAATTCTAATGGAAAACTACCAGTCCTTTTTAAGCTTTTATATATTCTTTAGTATCAGAAAACAGAAACTTCTAAACACTCAGAATATTGATTATGTTACCCGGCTCCCATCTTTAGTGAAGGAGCCTGTCCCAGTAGTATCTTTTGCAATTTGTTAATTTCTAACAACTTAAGCTTTTAAAATCCCTCCACCTTAAAAATATTTCTTATGGGCTTGGTCATATATATCATGTCTCAAAAAGTTATTAAAATTTGTGGGTTTTTCCTATTTCTCATGAGATGTCAAGTTTATAAAGATCCTGGAGGTGTTAATAAATACACATAATCACTAACTATATATTATATAAACTAAAGATCCAATAGACAGAGTGATTCAACCATGTAGTGGAGTCCAATCTCAGTTTCTCCAACGCTCTATGGAAGCAGAAGTGTACAATCAATATGCCTGATGAATTGTAGGACATAAAGTAAAAAGCACATACTTTAGCCAAAGGACAGTAACTTCTTCATATATCAAGTGGCCTAGTCACCTAATTAAAATCATTTTAGAAGATATCCCTTTGATTTCTCTGTGTTTTCACATCTGGTACACACAATGTTAAAATCTTTCCCAGTAACTAAGGCTGCAATCATAATTTCACTTACCTGGCAGTAAGCTCCGTTGGATTCAATGAACTTACTCTTAAGTAGGAATGGTTGGGAATGCGTTCTAACTCTTCTTCCCTGAAAGAACTAATTATATTACAGTACTCCCCAAAGGAGATCCTTTCTGCCTGGTATTAGAATCATCTTAACCCATTCAAAAATAGCCATAATGAAAACAACCCAACCTAGAATCCTTCATAGTGATGTGCTTGGCAAAAACAATATACTGTAGGCTCTAGAACCTAAAATTTAGATAAGCTGTGAGCTAAAAATTGTTGTCCATTGTAGTCCAGATTTGTGATGAGTTTCCTGCAGAAAGACATTAAGGTTCAACTCACCAAGTGTCTGAACTACTCCATCATGCAGTTGTTAAAGTCACAGGAATCCTGCTAGGAAAACAAAACAAAACAAAACAAAACAAATGATAACCCTGCCAGGGCAAACATAAACAACAAAATGCAAAACTTCTTTGCATCCCCAGAAATATGTTTTTGAGGAGTGGGGTGGGGCTTCTTTTCTCCCACCCTGATTTTCTGCTGGAGCTCAGCTTTGGAATTTGAGATGCAGAATAAACGATTAATGCAGCAAAGTGTCCAGTGCCTTTCTCTCCTCGTTCAGAGACCCAGGCTTGAATTCTAGCTTCTCAGTTCGTGGTCTCTGCCCACCACCCTCTCAGTCTCGAAGCCTTCGCAATTCCCTACACACCCCTCGTTCTGCTCTTGCCATATACAGACTGCTCTAGCCTCCACTGCTCCTTCTTTCCTGGGCTGCTTCAAAACTTCCAGCGGCGACCCACTGGCAAACCTGTCAACGAAGAAGCCCAGCTCGGTTTTGTTTTGTTTTTGACGAAAACGGGCAGTGTGTGTGTGTATATATTTATTTATACTGTATATGCAAAGGGGTGGCTGCTCGGTTGCTAAGGCCGCTGCGTTGCTAAGCAGCATCCCGGTTACCGGCGAAGTGGGGGTCACGGAGCGGCCGCGCGCGCTCTCGCCTGCTCCTCCTGATTCGTCAGGCGAGTCGAAGAGGGCGGGCATTTCCGGCGGGGCTGAGGCGGAAGCGGCAGTTCTGAGGTAGCCGCCGTAGGGATGGGGTCCAAGGAGTTGGGGTTCGTAGTGGAGCTGCCCCCGACCCCGCGGGAGAGAAATGCTGGTGAGTGTGCGAGGGTTTGGGAGGCTTCGCTGGTACGGCACTCGCGGAGCGGCCGGTGGAGAGGAAAAGGAAGGTCCGACCGACGTGCTGAAGGTGGAAACTGGAGATAGGCGAGGGCTGTCTTCGTGGGGTCGGGTTGTTTTTTTAAGAGTTTGATTTTAGGCAGCGTTCCCTTTGGCTTGGCCCCGAAATCTGCTTCCATTGCCGAGGTGCTTCGCCTTTGGAAGTAGGAATTAATCGCAAATAAGCGGCGCGCACGCGCACATCTTACCCAGGTGCAGGGATGATCTGCGGAGGCGGCTGCAACCCCCAAAAGTTTGCGTGTCTGATGGCACAGTAGTCCTTTCGTTAAGACTAAGGCAGACTTTTAATCTTCCTTTCTTTTTTTCAGAGTCCGGTGCTGCAAAGAGAAGTAAAGGCAATCTGCCCGTGGTGATACTGCTTGGGTGGGCTGGCTGCAAGGATAGGTACCTGCAGAAGTACAGCACCATCTACCTTCAGGAGGTGAGTAGTGAACTTACTTGACTGCAGTTATTGCCGTGTTCTTCAGAGAAAGAACAATTTGTGGCCAATCCAGAAATACATCAAGAACACTTGGATGGATTGTACTCTGGGTGGCATGTGGCACACCTGAACATTGTGTATAAAAGTGAAAATTCTAGGGTGAGAATTTCCTGACCTGATCATTCCCAGGACTTGCGTAGAGTAGACTCTAGTGCCAAGTGAAAATGTTTGTCTTCAACCAGGCGTTTGGCTGATTAACATTCTATGGCTTTTAAAATGTGTTTGTAGGAGGGGGGTTTATTGGTTTGTTTTTGTTTTGTTGTGTATTTTGTATTTTTCTGTTGTGAACTGCCCTGCGATCTTCAGATGAAGGGTGGTATACAAATTACATACATACATAATAAGTCACAGAGAGTAGCTTGACTGATTTCAAAGTTGAATTTTCTATATGGCCTGATTGAAATCTTTTTCAACTCTTTTATGTTAACAGAAAGCTTGGGAATATTTGAAGTGTTTAGTTTTGGTAGCAACTTTAGCTTAAGAAGTTTGCTTGGCATCCTCTTTAAAATGTATTCTAGGGGACATTCAAAAGCCTACTATTTTGTGTTTATTACATAGCTCTTCAAAGATTCTGAAAATTAACTGAGGTCCTGTCTGATGTTCACTTGATTTCTTTCCAATGATAGATGTTTTAGACTGAAATGTGGTTCCCTTGTTAAAGGCAGGGAGACTGAGCAGTTGTCTCTCTCTCCCTGCTGTTATAGCCATTTTGGCTATAATGGATTCCTTTCCACTTTCTTGCTCAAACACTGGTATAAAACACGCTATAAGCATGTCAGCTGACAAGTATGGGATTTGTGACTGGAGTTAATGTTTTTTTGGATGAGTCACTGACTTGAAATGAAAGAGCTTCATTTGCCCATCACTGTAGTCCACTGCAGATAATTTAGTTTGTTACTCAGTCCTCAGGACTCACCCTTTGCGATAACCTAACATGTACCTAATTGCTAGTCTATATAGGAGTATTGCTTTTAAGATGTTTCCATTTCCTGGAGTGAAAATTGAGAGCAGTTCTCAAATATGCAGTATATGAATATTTCTCTTGGCACACCTTGTCCAATTCTTGTTCTTTTTACTGTATGGCACACACTAAAACTTGTGTATTCCTCACAGGGATGTGTAGTGATCCGCTATACGGCTCCTTGGAGATTGGTTTTCTTTTCAGAATCCTTGGGTATAAATTCCTTGCAGAACTTGGCAAAGAAGCTGCTGGAGCTCCTCTTTGACTACAAAGTAGAGACGAAGCCCCTGCTCTTTCATGTCTTCAGCAATGGAGGTGTCATGCTGTACCGCTACATTGTGGAGCTTCTTCACACTCACCAGCAGTTCCAGCATCTAAGGGTGGTGGGTACTGTGTTTGACAGTGCTCCTGGCAGGAAGAATCTGCGGGGTGCGCTTGGTGCCCTCTCAGTTGTCCTATCGTCATACAATGTATGTGTTAAGTATGCCCTTTTACTGACATTTGCAATTCTGGTGGTGACATGGCGGATGGTACTGTATCCTGTGACCCGCTTTGTACATGAGAGCCACTATGATGCCATGTTGAAGCAACTCTCTAGATGGCCTGAGCTATACCTCTACTCCAAGGCGGATTCTGTTATTCAAGCAAGTGATGTGGAGAATATGATAGAGGCTCGGAAGCAGCATCAGGTCCTTGTTAAGGCTGTGGACTTTGTGGACACTGATCATGTCAGCCACCTGCGAGCATATCCCACCTTATACACAACTCATTGCACCTCCTTTATGTACAATTGCATTGGGAGCACTTAGGCTCACTTGGTGGCTGATGTGAAGGTATTAGTATCTGCCTGTTCTCCCACTAATATTATACTCTAAACCGTTCATCATTGCTTTTGATAAAATTCTGTTGCTGCCTCTCACTAATGAAAGCCAAAGTATTTCTCAGAACCTGAATGTCTGAAATTGTCATATAGCTGAGTAGCAGAGAGTGCGACTGTAGGATAAATATGAGCAAACCCACACTGATGCGTTTTGCAATATATTCATTCTTCTTGACTTTGGCTCATGGGCTTTGGAAAGTACTCTAATAGGCTCTGTGTTATCTGTGCATTTAAACATGCACACTTCTGAGCTAAGAAAAACGAAATTCTGCAACTTTTATTTAAGTATACACATTTGCATACACTCATTTGGTATACAGTGGACCCTCTGGATACGAACTTAATTCGTTCTGGGGGGTCCTTATGTACCCCGAAAAGTCCACAACATGAGGCGTCACTTCTGTGCACACGCACAGTGCGATAGAGCACTTCTGCGCATCATGAAGTGTGTAGAGCATCTTTGTGCATGCACGCGCAGCGAAACCCGGAAGTATACACTTTTGGATTTGCTGCGTTCGCAACCCAAAAGTTACGTTACCCGAAGGTAACGTAACCCGAAGGTAACGTAATCCAAGGGTCCACTGTATTTTATCCTGCTTCTCCTGATCATGGGGAGCAAGGACCTGTACGGGGTGCTGAAGCCCGTCCCTAACTATTTGAAATATTATATAGCTTCCTGTTTGGTTTCTGAGATTTTAGTAAGCACCAGCTCTCAAATGTACCTGTGGCTGATATTAAATTTTGTGTTTTGATGTATGTAGAATTTAAATGTAAAACCCTGCCAATGTTCATTTCATCTTTCCATTAACCTCTTCCACCTTTTCAAGGTTTCACCTTGTGAAGCAAAATCAGTTCCTTTCTGTGCTACTGTATACAACTCTGCAGTTAGTTGATCCGCCACCATCTCTAGGCTGCTTTTCTCTCTCTTATACTTGTCTTGTGGCCAAGTACTTTTTAGCTGAGGACAGGAGGAGGCTTCTTGTGAGTTAAAGCAAGGCTAGTGACTCTATATATATATATATATATATATATATATATATATATATATATCTCCATATATATAGCTCCAACTAAGCTATAGACTATAACACAGAATTAAAAGGACATATCTAAAGTTGTGCATATCTCTTTTCTGGATCTGTCTTCTGCATTGCATTTATGAAATCACACTCTTTTATTCCATATTGATCCAGGAAAACTTGCTATAACTTTGGTAACAGTACGGAGGAGGGGTGGTGAAACATTCTTTGCTGTCTTGTCTTGTGAGTACAGAGGTGGCTAGAAAGTTTTCTAGTATCTAATCCATTTTACATTAACTTGATCATGTGTCCATTGTAGAAATGCTTAAAACAGTGAAGGTTATTGACTGAAGTTCTAGCCGAGCTGCTGTAGCTAATTACTATTTTTCAAATGGGTGGATTTACCTATCTTGGTGTCAGTTTCCATGTGTCCCCCCTATCAATGGGTCAATAGCTCAGGGTATTTTGCCCCCAGTTCATAACTGTGTACTGGGGGAAATAACTGGAGAGGAAAACATGTTGCTGTTTGATATGTGCTAAAGTGTTTAAGATGATAACAAGCTAGGTGACTCAGAAATAATAGGCGACTAGATCTAAACCTTTAGTGAGACTCCTGAAGAATAAGGGTTTTAAAGCCTTAAATATAAATAGTCCCTCAGTTGCCCTAGCTGCAGATGTGCTATTAGGAGATTTTAAGGCTTCTCTCAAATAGATTTTACAGGTAGTGCATTTATACTTTATCTGTTAATAACAAAAACCCTATATTGCCACCTTTGTTGAATGCAATTCATTTTACTGCTGCTTTCCCACAATATTGTCACAGAGTGGAAGAACTGAGCTGTTTGCACACCTATAGAAAAAGAGACTGAAATCTAATTCCAGGAATCAGTCTGTAGCTTTTAATTAAAAATAGGGCTTTCTAATGTTTGCAGATGCATTTATGCTGAATAATACAAAATGGGCATCATGGTGTTGTGTTTTAATGTCTTATTCTTTCTGATACACTGGATGTCAGATTTGGACTTCAACCAGATGGACTTTAGTTCATGTGCTTACAGAGCAAACCAGTTCATTTTTTGCCCTGAAATAGGAGTTAAGTCCTGTTGAAGTTACTAAGACAAATGTGTGTAGGATTGTAGCCTCAACTGTGAAAATCTCTGTGTAACTTTGGGCCAGTCACAACATTTTTGTCTAACCTACCTCACAGGGTTGTTGTGAGGACAGAATAAGATAACTTATGAAGATCTTGCTAAATTGTATTATGGGACAAATTGTGCTGTGTTGCAGAGATATTTGGACTGGATCATTTTATATGATACATAATGGGTGTGTCCTACTTTTTTGTTATTATCGAGCCTATGGTGGTCTGTGCTGTTTGCACTGACGGTTGCTTTCACTTGAACTTCTGCGAGCTTCCCACAGCTTGAGTGAGTTTGTTTAAATTTAAACATTTATATTCCACTTTTCATTTTCCAAAGGATAGCAATAAAAAACCTTGAAAATATCACAGTGAATAAAAACAAAAACCAAATCAGATAGCAGCAGGCTATCTTCTAGACTGACTAAAACTGAAAGCAGCAGTGATAAAAACAAAATGCTACGTAAGCAGCAATTAAACTAATTACTGCAAAGGTTGTTGTTGTTTAGTTATTCCTTTAGTTTGTTGTTTTATAAAAAAGGCATCTCAAAGGAACTTAACAAGAATATAAAATATCAATATATAATATAAAAATAAAAAGAAGGTGCAAAAAGAAAACCCCCTTAAAGTTCTCATTCACAAATACAATAAAAAGGATAAATCTTGTTTACCTATCTAAAAGATGAGCACAGTGGAGGCTAAATTCATACACAAGTATTATCTCGAAAACTCGAAAGCCTATGGAAATAAAAATGTCTCAGCTGGGTCCCTAAAAACTGACAATGATGGTGCCAAGTGTTTCCCTGAGGAGTTAATAACACAAACAGGACTTCTGAAAAAAATAATATTGTGTTGCTACTCTCCTCACCACCCCATCACCCCAGGTGTGCCATCTGTGAAATTGACTAAAATGGATTAGTAACTTGCAATAATCTTTGGCTTTTAGTAGTGGCCTTTGTGTAGGTTCTACCACCTGAGACCAGAAGTAAGGGCTCTGAATGGCTGCTTAAGGATGCTGGTGGAGATGTTGGCTTTAGGTCCGGGTTTCCCTCCCTGATAAAAATCCTTTTTTCTTTGTAGAAGGAATTTCTCCAGCTGTTGTAGCATAGATTTTTGGGAGTAAAGTATGACTTGCTGCTCTCTAGTGGTTCTAAGTCAAAACAGCAAAAGGGTCAGGATTCCTTTTTTTATAGCACCAGAGTGCCCTTTGATTAAACTATTAAGCTTTTTCATAACAGCAGCTAAGCTTCATTTGCTCATCTAGCAGTTGCATTGTTTCTCCTTTGCATTTGAACTATTTTGACTTGCACAGATAATAAAGCAGTCATTTATCAGCAATGTAGGAAGAGAATTGTTTGTACACTTAAGAAGAGGAAAGTCCATATTCAGTTTTTCTGCCCAGTATTTTGTCTCTAGGTATGCTTCAGTGGAGTACATGAGAATCATAATTTTCATCGCAGATGGATCAGTTTAGAAGCTGATATTTGATGTCATCTTATTGATCAGTCATATTTTTCAACACCAGTACATATGTTCACAAGGACTTTTAGCTACCCAATGGAACTTCACTCCTCTCTCCTGAAGATTTGCGGGTATCCCCAGAATAGACTTAGAGGTTGTGCAGGAGAGTAGAAGGCAGGGAAATTTCATTGCACAGCTAAAAGTCCTTGCAGAATTGTTTAGTTGTACAGATTCCCTATATGCACAATATCTTTGTCAGACTCTAAAAAGATAAAATATATGTCAGTCTGTGTAAATGGGAGTGGTACTCTGCACCTGGTGCAGTAAATGCTAGGTTTGTGCACTGAAGACTAGGTATGATTTGGACTCTGCTTTGGAAAATAGGCTGATGCAGTTTGGATTACTTTGGAAGAGAGCAACATTGTGTCTGCAACAGAACCCCATTTAGGGAAATTCATTTCGTGTTTCCTCATTTGCCTGTTATATCAATTTGTTGTTATAAAGCTGAGGGAAAAACCTTGTACTGGTGTGGGAGAGGCATTCAGTCGTAAGAAGCAGGATGGTCCAGAAACTTTGGAAGGTATTGGAGCAGCAATTAAAGCAGGGGTGCAGGACACTTATCCCTCTAGATGTTGCTGAACTATAACTGTTGGCCCCAGCAAGCATGGACAATGGCCAAAGGTTCCCCACACCTGTGTTAAAGCTGGAAAATAATTATATTCTTACACAATGAGCATTATATAGAACTGGGAACACACACAGGGGGAAATTAAACAGTCAATGTAGTCTTGATTCTTGTTTTCAGGAGCTGAATGAAATTCTGAGGATGAAATAAGCATCAACTAAGGGATTGGTTCTACTGGATAGAATCCAGAAGGGACCTACAAGTGATGAAATCATCTAAATGTTTCCCGTATTTCCCTCTGCTGAAAACAAAGCATTTCAGAGCCAGTTCCTTGCCTATATTTCTGCCTGTACCATTAAGATCTGCCTTTATTGAGTTGCAGTTTCAAATGTTGGATAGTCATTACCACAATATTCCATACGCAGATAGACTATGTATATGCGGGCAATCACAATTAGAAGATACTCATTTTTAAATGTTATATTGCCCCTTACACACAGACCCAAGGAGTCACTTTCTAAAATCCTTGTTTGTTCAAGGAAGCAGTCTTCCCCTGATGGAGTGGGTTCACTGGTTACTGAGTGACTGCAATGCATTAGTGACTCATAAAGTGGCCCTTTTTGTGTTGGCGGCAAGGAAAATTAGGAAGAAAGAATCGGACAAAATCGCTGTGAACTGTAATGGGGATTCAGAGGTCTAAATCTGTGTAGTAGCAGAGTGCTCCCTGATTATAGTCTTGCTAGGAATTGATGGTTCTGTTTGTTTTAGCAGATGCCTTGATTTATATTTTGTATTTGAAATTGCCTTTGTTCCCATGTTTTTGTCATGGCCTTTGGCTGGCACAATAAACCTACAGAACTGAGGAAAGAGCTTAGGAAGATCTTAATGCAGCACCTTTATGCTGTCCACTTGTTCCTCTTCCCTTGCCCCCAAACCTAGCAGTGGTTGTTGTACTGGGTTTATATAGCACCTGAATTGTGTGAAACACCTTAAGGGACATGTTATGTTGGGGGATAGTAGCCCCAGAGAAATGTGCTTCAAGAGATCATATCACTCATAACGCTATTTCCTAAACCCTGAATGTGAAGGCAGAAAAGGGCAACCAAAATGATCAGGGATGAGGAAAGACTAAAATGTTTGGGACTTCCGTGCTTTTTTGTTTTTGTTTTTTAAACGACTAAAGAGAGGTCTTCACAAAAATAGTGTTCAGATAGTGGATATGGTTTAATTATAATACTAGAACTCATAGTCTAGTGAAATTGATCACTAGATTCAGGATAGACAAAAGAAAATACTGTTTCTAATGGATGCATAATTAATTACAGTAATGCAATTTACAGGATGCAGGGATGGCACTAGTTGGATGAATTTAAAGGGGAACTGGAGAAATTCATGCAGGATAGATCTATCAGAGACTATTAGTTATCATGTTTTTTTTAAGCTCCATATTCAGAGGCAGTGAATGCTGGTTGCTGGGGAGCAATGACAAGAGAGGGCTGTTGCCTTTATGCCCTACTTGTGGGCTTCCCAGAGGTATCCGGTTGTGCCACTGGGGGGAAAAAAGATGCTAGACTAGATGGACCTTTGGTCTGATCCAGCAGAGCTTTTTATGTTTTATGAGGTCTACTCCAGGTTCTTTTATTTTGTGTTGTTATTAGACATAGAACGCAAACTAGTCAAAATGCGCTGTTTCAAGGGTTACTAGTGAACTTGCAAGCCACTCTAGGTACCCTTTTGGCTATGGAGTGAAATAAAAATGCTGGCCACAGAACATACATTTCAGGGAGAGAATATAATTGTGCGATCAAGGTTGGCATGGAATGACATAAACGTTTGTGATATTGCACAGCAACTTTGGTTAGGAAGAGCATGGTCATTCCCCAGTAAATAATCAAGGTAGAGTGGTACAAGGTAAAAGAAATTGTGGATGGGAGAATTTTTTGTTATGAATTCAGGGGTACCATACTCTCCTAAATTCCTAGATCCAGTAACTGTTAGAATTTAATCAATGTTTGCAGTACAGTGGTACCTCGGGTTATAGACACTTCAGGTTACAGACTCCGCTAACCCAGAAATAGCACCTCGGGTTAAGAACTTTGCTTCAGGATAAGAACAGAAATTGTGCGGCAGCAGCACGAGGCCCCATTAGCTAAAGTGGTACCTCAGCTTAAGAACAGTTTCAGGTTAAGAACGGACCTCCAGAACGAATTAAGTTCTTAACCCGAGGTACCACTGTATTAAACTGGATAGAAGGCACTGAACTCCTGGATACAGATTATATTTTATGATAACCAGGCCAGTCTCCTCGTGAGTTAATCAGCTGGGAAACTAACCATTAACCAAGAAGAAATGGAAAGTAATGGTCAAGGAGAGGAGGCCTTGTGCCAGACACTTTTGAGAGGGGGCCATCCTCCAGCTCTGAGTTAGTTAGAAAGACAAAGGCCAGAGTTTGAAGTAGAGTAATGTTTAGGATTGGGTTTTCAGTGTTGGCTGTGATGTGAGCTGGAGGAAAAACGTTACAATCTGAAAAAAAGTCAGCAAGCTGCAGAGTCAGAACCATGGCTGGTGTCTGTCCAGGGCTACAGCTATGGGAAAGCAAGACCTGCATGGAGTGTCAATGCTGTGAACCCTTCCATTGTAGGCTTAGGTTGTATATATGCTTAAATAAACGATATATCCTAAAGATACCAGTCTCCACTGTGCCTCGTTCCAAAAAGGAAACACAGGTGCTTACCTGAAACCCCTGGAATTTTGCACTGCTTGGAGATTAGGGTGGCATGAAACAATATATTATTTTAGTACTTCGTTAGATAGCATATTAATTGTTCTACGGGCTTTATTTTTGCCCCATTGCAACCCTGTGAATAAATCAGTATTCTTCCATTTGATCACTGGAAAACTGAGGCACAAATTCAGGAAGTTCCCCAGGGACATATAGTAAGTCTACATCAGTGATAGAACATGAACTATGATTTAAGTACAATTCTGTACCCACTGGTTTCCAGCCTTTTTAGGATTTATGCTAATGTATCACTAATCTAAAGCTTAATTTAAATATCAGTGGAGCTGGTAGATGTGTCACAGGACCAAAATGTGTTGGAAAACCTGAAGTGCCCTAATTGGGGATACAGTGGTACCTCGGGTTACAGATGCTTCAGATTACAGACGCTTCAGGTTACAGATTCCGCTAACCCAGAAATAGTAGCTCGGGTTAAGAGCTTTGCTTCAGGATGAGAACAGAAATCGCGCAGTGGCGGCAGTGAGAGGCCCCATTAGCTAAAGTGATACCTCAAGTTAAGAACAGTTTCAGAACAAATAAGTTCTTAACCCGAGGTATCACAGTAGTACAGTGAGAAGGATAAAATGGGTTTTAGGAAGTGGTGGAGCTAGTGTCCCTCTCTCTGCTGTCTTCACACTTCAGTTGCCTCTGACCTCTCACTTTGATTAACGAGCTGACAATAGGGTATTGATAAGGAATTAACCTTGAGCCCTTCTTGCTTCAGTGTCAATAGACCAGGAGCCAAGTACACGCCTCTGATTGGAAATCTGTGTTATGTGCACAGAGATCTTGAGGAGCCATTGACATGTAAGGACAGAGATCCAGGGTTCAGGGGCAAGGAAGCAAGGCATGAATTCCAGCCTGGCGTGATGTGTGTGCAAATGAAGTTTCGCATACCCTAACCATGTGTTTCAAAGATCCTGCTTGGTGCCTCATTTCCACTTCTCCCCTACTCCTCTTCAGGTGCAGAAAGTCAAGGCTCATCCTGTTCATCAGTTATAAAAGGGATGAAGGTGTTTGTATTTTAAAATAATATTTATTCAATAAGAAGTAGATTACACATGCATGTGTATATTGGCTATGTTTGGATGATTATCCATAGCTTCATAAGCTGTGGTTCATGCCGCCATGGCCACTGCACCTCCTCTCCTCCCATAATGTACCAGCCGTCGTGTGAAGATCCTGACTTTCTTTAAGTCAGAGTTCCCTGTTATGTCCAAACTGAAGAATCTGGCTTGCTATCCTGGTTTGTTAGCATTAAACCAGAATTCTCTGGCTCAGATATACATAAATAATAACTCTGCCTCAATGCAAGCCAGGATGCTTGCAATGGAATTGGTGTGGAACAGAAGGTGGGCTAAGGCATGTGTCACACATAGTGACAGTGTTTTCCACATCTTTATAAATGCATGTGTTATGAAGCCATGGACAATAATTTGAACGTGGCTTTTTTTTTGTTTACAATCTGTGTTTAATTTGGGCTCCCACTGAACCTGTAGAAAACTAGCAATAACTGTGGCGTTAGGGAATGAGATTGGAAATGCATAGGTCAGGGTTTGATAACAGAAATTATGGGCAAGGTTTAAGGAGTGGGACATGTCTTCCCTAGCCACTTAACCCTTTCTTATGGTTCACCCATATTTTTGAGCTTTCAGCAGGTACTGCTTGAACTTCACTGCCCCAAGGAAGTCTGAAAATTTAACAATAGAAAGAAAGTTGAGATCTGGAGCCAACATCTGTCTCATATTCAGGACTGCAGTGTACATCTAACTTATAGAATGTGCACAGACCTGATAATGTACAGTCATACCTCGGGATAAATGTGCTTCAAGTTAAGTATTTTCGGGTTGTGCGCCGCGGCGACCCGGAAGTAACGGAGCATGTTACTTCTGGGTTTCGCAGCGCGCGCATGCACAGACGGTCAAAATGACGTCACGCGCATGCGTGGAAGTGGTGAAACGCAACCTGCGCAGTTGTGTTCGCTTAGGATGCAAACAGGGCTCCGGAACGGCTCCCGTTTGCATCCCGAGATACCACTGTATAGCCTCTTGTGACCTCTTGTTTGATGTTTTGCTTCCATTTGATTTGCTGCATTGCAAATCAATGTGGAATGTGACTGCTGTTTTTCAGATCATCCAAACCCATCATTTCCACCCCTTATGCACCCTTGCAGTCGTATCTGTAACCTGATCCCATTTGGTGATGGGGTATTTGATTTAGAACTCAGAGACACTTACCGTAAGCTATGGATGTGCTTGCCCTTGGATGAGTTTTCTTCTGTTTTGTGCCCCATAGTTATAATTTCTAAATGCATCTGTGTCTTTTCTTACGGAACACAATGAGATGTCTTTGGAAGCTAGGTAGGAATTAACTGTTGCAGATACAAGCAGGACCTCTCGTATTTCAAGGACTTCATATCTACTCTGAACCTGATAAACTACAAGTCACTTTTATCTATTTTTACCCTACCTTTGAGATACAAAGTGGCTTCCAAAGTGGCTCAAAGGGATAAATATCTTATATCAATGATAATTAAAATCCAGCACATAATTGTCCTTGAGGAAGGGATTCTCAGCTGGGTGTGAGTTGAGGTTTGATGCCTGGCTTCTACCTCCCCTTCCTTGATAGCTTAATAAGGCAGCCCAGGAGGCCCCCAAATGGCCACCCAGAGAACTGCATGCGATGAGGGCAGCAGCAAACAGGTCCAGCATCAGCACATGGGCCAACTTAGAATCATAGAATTGTAGAGTTGAAAGAGGCCACGAGGGTTGTCTAGTCCAATCCCCTGCAGTGCAGGAATCTTTTTGCCCAATGTGGGTCTCGAACCATGACCCTGAGTTTAAGAGTTTCATGCTCTACCAACTGAGCTGTCTGATACTGGGCACTATAGCATCCTTCCTTTCTTCTTACTTTGAAATATATGCTATAGTCAGGAAGCAGCTCAGCAGTCATATACATGGTTCCATATGTTCATTTTATTATTTTTACATTAAAAAGACACCATCCTTTTCTACAATTAAATGATAGTTATTCCCATGTAAATGTGTTTATCAGGTAAGCAGAAGCAAACTGCATTGTATTTCTGTAGTTATGATAGTGCTGTGATTTAAGTGGATTTAAAATGTGACTTTGTAAATGCTCAGATTTGTGGTTGTTTAATCAGGGTTGACAGACTATTTGGGAGAGGGCTTTGCTCTAACAAAACAGCAATTTAGAAACAGTTGAAAAACATGGAATTACAGCAGAGAAGAGAAATGTTAATTGTGTGCTTCAAAACTGCTATAATATACATGACTGTTCAAAGGGTTTGACATGGCCTAGCAGCAGCACTAGGCTAGAGTTGGATCCAGGCATGATGGATGAGTGCCTGATTGCTGTCTCCACACCCTGTTTGCTTCTGCCACAAATACATGGATGTTTCAGTCTAGGGCTAATGCATTTTAGATTTTGTTTTGCATTGTGGATTATAATGAGTCAACAGGACCATAATTGTTATAGTATAAGGACATAGGTGTCATTTCCCCCCTAGAAACAGGATTTACATTGAGTGTGAAGCACTTTAGTTGGTAGCCATGGCCAGGGTCACTCTGCCCATACCAATGAACTGTGGTTAGTGAGTCACTGTGCCTGAAGTACTTGACCAGAAGCCAATGAGCTGGTGTGTGTGTGTGTGTATGGAAGTGGGATTTGAACATGCATTCTTCTAGTTCCAAGTGGGTACCCTAAACCCCAGTCAGTTAAGAGTGTAGCTCTCTTCTCCCCTTGCCCTCCCATTTGCTGGTAGATACTGTAGAACAGCACAGAAGTCAGGACCCAGAGGCTGGACTGCCATGGCAAGGACGGTTTGTTTAATTAATTGTTTTGCCTGATTTCCATAACAAACTGGTGGCTTGTCCTCAGCGTGGCTCCCTCATTCATTACCGTTAATTAGATATGGATCTCCCGAATGGCGGCAGAGAGTGATGGACGAGCCTCCTGACACGTGCTATTATGCATTAGCATTTTCTCAATACATTCAATAGATCATCTCTCTCTTTTTGAAGATATTTTAAATAAAATATTAGCTGCTCAATCTGTGAGATTTATGTCCCTCCTCCCATCCCATGAATGCTCTATCAGGCTGGGTAGGAAGTAGTTAATTATTTATTTCAGCACCTCCATTTACATGCATCCAGGTAGTGACCAGAAATGTAGAGTGGATCTCTTTGCCCTCATTTGAACCCTATTATCTTTGTGGAGTAGGATGATTTGTCTAAAGCCACCTTGGGAGACAGTGGCAGCCCAAGATGCTAAATTCATCTGTCGTGTTTATGATCTCTTTTTTCTTCCCTTATAACTTCCCTCATCTTTCTTGTTATTGTCGCTTTGGTTTTTGAATTATAATGAAGAGTACTGATGCTAGCTTGCTACTTGGCTTCAATTCCTCAGGACTGGCTTTGAACACAAACTCCTGTCCCCATCCTGTTTAATGCCGGGGCCATGAAATCATGGCTGTTCTTCACAACCAGTCCTCTGCTGTCTTTGTTTGTGTGGGAGTGTCTGTCCCACCAATTGTCTTCCTCACTATTTTGAAACACACAAAAATTCTAGGACAGAAAATGTTGGAGAGTGCCTCTGGTAGAAGTGGCACTACAACTGGATTTTGACTGAGGCTAAGGAGAGGCAGTAATTTGCTTCTCATGTGGGTAATCCGAGGCAAGAATTGAAGCTAAGAATTGCCTTTCCCCCCAAGCAGACCCACAGAAAGGTGGTTGGGTGCCTGTGTATGTGTGTCTTGGATCGACCTGTCTGCATGATGTTTGCACACTTGCAGTAATGGCGCCACCTCCATCTTCCAAGTCAGCAGAGCTGTTGACCTCCAGCCCCTGATTCCCAGCCTTTCTTTGACTTGGTACTGGGGCCCATGTAACTCTACACCTGAGCCTGTGTTCTTCTAATGTAAGCCCTTATAGATCTGTTTGGGCTGTGCCTGGGTCTCCCTCTCTCAGGCCAGGGAAATGGCAAAATAATGCAGCTGCCCTGACTTCATTACCAGAGTGTTTAACAAACCTGACACCCTCCTTCACTGCACTAAGTGTGACGTTAACCTTTGACCTCCCCGGGCTGTATCGACAGTGTCAAAGGACAGCCGGGACAGGCACATACCAGTCAATCTTAATCGGTTTCTCAGCTCTCAGCTGGGATCAGGGAACCATTAAAGACTAAGCAGGTGGTTTCAAGCAGCACTAGCAAAGGGTGAAATACGAATATGGGCAATGCCTGTGCTGGCTAGTTTCAGAGTTTAGCTGCTTGTCCATCTCTTACAGCAATAACATCTTGTGCTTCAGAAAGGGGTGCCTCCTCTTTTCAACACAACTCAAGAAGATGTGAGACTATCATCAAGAAATTGAATTGTGGTTATGAATCTGGTCCCTTTCTGTTCTTTCTCAGCATTTAGAGACTGATAGCTTTAGTCCTGGAGGTGTCAGTTCTCTAAAAGGGGTTGTCAGAAAACTCAACAAATATTTATTCTTAACTCAATCAGCTGACCTCCCTCAGATTGGCTTCACATGTGAACGTGTGACATACAACATAATAGTCTAGTATTGTTGTGACCAAAGGGAATTATGGCTATTCTAGGACTTTAGGAAGGTGATGAAAATAGGAGAAATTGAGAGGAAAGGCTGTGCTATAAAGGTTTGAAAGGATGAGGGAACAGGCATGGGTTGATCTCTAGAAAAGAAGAATGAGTGTGGATGTGAATAGTTTTGAGAGGTAAATGCCCCAATTGGGCAAAGGCAATGCACATGGAGACTCAGGCTTCCATAACCACAGTTGGTGCGGATGCACGTTCAGTGCTTATCTGATCACCGTTTAATTGACTAGATGAGTCTTTTGATGTGCATGGAAATGCACATCCCCATTTGGAGCATTATCTGTATGCGCCCAGCTGAACTGGAGACCAAAGTGATGGTGGTGTTTATTTCTCCACTAGGAATTCTAATTAATGCAAAGTTACAAGGAGGTTACATGCAGAATAGATTGAAGAAGTAGGAAAAAAGTGGTGGGTATCCGGAACAGGAAATATAAAAAGCATCAAAAGCCCATCATTGATAGATGTGGTTTTCAACACTATAGTATGAATGAGTCTCTTGTTGAGTTTGGTTTGAAGTTTTAACTGTTGATATTTTACAATGCAGCGTAAGTAAGAGAATAATAATATTGTGACGGTATAAAATCCCAAGCAATTTGACAGTTGTTCAGCATTCTTAAACTTCAACATATTGGCAAAAAACAACAGTAATTTTTGAGAAAATAGTTCTTCTATTAGTGGACAAATGCACAAAAACTGCTACATTTGTATACAGCAGTAATCACTCTCACTGTTTGCTTACTGAGCTGTGAGATGCAAAGGGTAGCAGTTTCTGTCATCTCTTCTTGCCTTTCAAGTGCTTCTCATTGTCAGCAATATTTCTGAGTTGAACATAATTTTTAAAGTCATCCCTCCTCATCTTTCAGTGACTCTGATTCTCAATATGCATTCATTTTCTTTAGAATTTGCCTGCAACTGTGGGCAAAGGGCCACTATTCTTTGAGGATGGTTGTCATCTGTTCAGTTAAAGGGACTTTGCTCAGCTCCCCCCGCTAGCTTGCCTTCCCTTAAGATCCTATGGACTCACAGTTAATTCTGAGGCATCTCTTTGCCTTGCATGATGACTCATAGCTCTTCATAAAGTATTTCTTAATTTAAACTTGTTGCCATTATCTTTCTCCATAATTCCAAGGAATTTTGCCCCCGATAATCCCTCATGTTAAAATCCAGGGGTTAAACGAGACACTTGCTTCATCTGCCCTAGGCATACATTATATTTGGCACTTGTTTATTTCTTAATTATACTAGTACCCACACTTCCTCCTATTGGAGCCCGGGGCAGTTAACAACCATCTTAAAACCATACAGATATGCCCACTTATTTGATGTCTTTATTGAAGACCATGGGAGGACTGAAAACATCTTAGACTTGCAAAGATTAAGCCTGGCTTTTAAATGAATGTTTATAATTTAATTACGATTTTAAAAAATATTAACCTGAAAAGTCAGTGAGGTTCTAATATGTCCTACCACAACACCTTTTGTCATCTTTCAAGGGTTGCTACCTCTTTTCTGGCAGGACTTCAGTTTTCAGTAGCTGTATGATAAGCAGAAATTCAGCAGGTCAAGCTTTTCCTGGTGTGTGGATTCAGTAGTGGAGGGAAGCATCTTGCTGCTTGTTATCCAGCTCTTAAGGATACAGAAACTGTACCAGAAAAAGAAATTTGACCAGCCTATGTCTTGCTGCAATTGATGAATACAAATGAAATGCTTCCTGTCATAGGAGCCAACTCCTAGGGGCAGGTCCCTTTGCCCCTCCTAAAATATTTGAGGGGGCCGGGCGCAACAGAGTTGATGGGCGTTGCCATTCAAATGGTGTGTGTGTGTGCTGTGTCTTGTGACCAATTATGTGGGGTGGTGCTTACCTGCCCCCCCCCATATTTTATTCAGGTTGGCACCCCTACTCCCTGTACCAATTGCATGGCAATGCCTGGTGATTTTGTGTCTAAGGCAGGGATGGGAAACATGTGACCTTGTAGATGTTGCTGGACTTCTACCATCTCTGTCTTTGGGCTGGGGAGAAGGGCGGTGGATGCCCCTGGCCACCTGATCTCTTCACCCTTCTGCTGCTTGGACTCCAGTCTGCTCACTCCTTTCCATTTCAGGTGTCCTTGTTGCACTGTGCCTGCCTAAACATAGCTACTGTGTCTCCTTTGGGGGCACAGGAGCAGTTGACAGAGTGGCTAAAAAAACAAAAGGCAGGCAAGTCAGCTGTTGTGCTGCTTCTGGATCTTAGCATACCACAAATGAA